GGGGGAGGGGGGGTTGGGGGAGGTGCTTGAGGGGTGGGGGAGGGGAGGGGAGGAGGCGGGGAAGAAGGTGGGGGAGGGGGGGAAGATGCTTGGGGGGGAGTTGGAGGTTGGGTTGGAGTTGGGGATATAGGGGTGAGGGAGGGGAGGGGGAGGGCTGGGGGGTGTAAATTTGGGGGAGCGAGATGGATTGGATAGATGGACGTGCATAGACATGGCGTTGGTGCATTATGAAATAGATGGATCTCCATTGGGGTATATAGACCAGACCAGGCCGGGCAGCCGAATAAAAAACGCCTTAACAAACACCTTCCCTTCTCCCTTCCCCCCCCCCCCCCTCCTCTCCCTCCTATCCCCCACCCCTCCCCTTCACTTAAAATCCTGCCCCGCATAACTAACACTCATCCTCAACTGCCTCTGCCTCTGCTGACTCTGCAACTGCAACCTCTCCACCGCATACCCAAGGCGTTCCTTCTTCTGCTTCAACATCCGTAGTTTCGCTTCCTTCCCCCCTTCTCCTCCTCCTGCTCCTGCCCCAGTCCCCGCCCTTCCTCCTGGTGTCGTCCTCCCGCTAGCGCCGGCCCCAGATGTCCCGGTTCCGCGTTGGCCTAGGCGCCCTGCTTGTAGTTCAGCTTTAGCCCGCAATGCTTGCTCCCGTCGCTCAAGACGGTCGAGATGCGTTTCTGCTCGTGTGAGGAGGGTTGTTATTGCCGGGGCGAGCTCGGTGGCTAGGCTGTGTTGGGCGAGGGCGAGGGAAGGGGAGGGGGTGAGTTCGAAGTGCTGTGGGGGGTGTTAGCTTTTGCTGCCTGCTATTGTTGTTTGGTGTCTAGGTAGGGAAGGGGGAGGGAGGGGTAAAGATTAGAGGGGAGGGGGAAGGAAAGATTGGGGGGGGAGGAAGGAGGGAAAAGGGGGACATACACGAGTAGAACTTAGCACGGTCGAGAGGCGGGGGAAATCACTAATCCCTTGGTCGAGGATCGAGATGGAGGAATCGAGGAGTTGGAGGGAGGATTTGAGGGATTGGACGGAGGCGGAGAGGGAGGATGCTGAGCTGGTTGTTGACATTTTTGCGGTTCGGTCTCTCTGCAACCGAAACTATTTGGTCAACCGGCGGGGTGTTAGTTTCTGTGGAGAGAGGGAGAGCGTTTGCGCCTCTGCGGTGCAATATGCGGTCTAGATATGATATTTGAGAGTTGCCATGTAAACGCGACGCGGTGTAAATACAAGATCACGTGCACCGCGGGGTCCGGGTCGGCAGACGAGCGAGCGAGGTAAGGTGGGAAGCTTGGGCGAACCGCCGCCCCCCAGCTCGCATGACGATTTACTGACAAACAAACCTCCCGACGCTGATTCTTGAACCCCGCGAAAACCTCCAACGTTCAAACCTTTGTCACAAACGCGCCAATCTTTGTTCGATTTTCAAAAGCATTTATCTACCAGGAAGAAGAGGAAAAGGAGGGCATTATGACGTCTAATCCGCTCACTTACGAGGCGTCGGCTGGGGAGACACACATGCAGGTCTCCTCCGCACTACCCGATGAGGTTATCCAATGTCTCCGGAACGCACGATTCGTAAGTTGTCCTCCCCTATCCTTCCCTTATTTCCCTTCTACAATGCACCCCTCACAGCAGACCCCGATCTAACACCCCCTCCAGCTCCACCTCGCAACCTGCACCACCGACCTGCACCCCCACGTCTCCCTCATGAACTACACCTACCTCGCCTCAACCCCCTTCTCCCCCTCCCCAATCATAATAATGACCACCAACCCCTCCAGCCGCAAAACGCACAACCTCCTCTCCAACCCCCACGTCTCCCTCCTCGTTCACGACTGGGTATCCCACCGCCCCCTCCCCACCGCCTCCACCACCACCAGCCCCGAGCCCGAGCAGCCAGCCGCGCACCGCTCCTCCCTCGCCACCCTCCTCCAGAACCTCAATTCCTCGGCCCTGTCCTCGATAAGCGCTTCGATCAACGGGGACGCGAGAGTTGTCGAGAGTGGGACGGAGGAGGAGAAGTGGTTGAGGGAGGCGCATTTGAGGAATAATACGTTTGGGGAGGGGGAGGAGGGGGGGAGAGAGCAGGATGGCGGGAGGGGATGTTTTATTGAGGGGGAGGAGGTGAAGGTTGTGGTGGTGAGGATTACGGATGGGAGGGTGGCGGATTGGAAGGGTGCGGTTAGGGATTGGAGTTTGGTGCCTAGGGAGAGGTTGGCTAATGGGGTTTAACTGCTGGGAAATGGGTTGAGGGTTGCATTTACTGGTTCTGGAATGGGATGGGGGTGTTACAAATCATGGATCTCGGTGTGCGGGGATCTCGCGCGGTTACGAAGGGCATGTATTTATTGCTCCCTCGTACTATATGTATGTCTGCTTGCTTAGAAATGGGTACATACAAACTGAACTGGCAGCTTGTAATCTACCACTATTGTGACATAAAGGTGCCAATCTGCTACTCCAAGTGCTCGTACAACAATCCGTCCCCGCCTCAGACGCTTGGAACCACCACCGGCCTGCGTAGCTGGCACTCAACAGTCAATCTCGTAATCACCCTACCCCCATATGCCCACCCTCTAAGCAACCGGGCTCCACGGCATCGGGATCAAGATCCTCGACTGCATCGTTTGAATCAGCGGCACAGTCTTATGCACCGTATTTCCCCACCCCTCCACCCCCCAGCTCTTCTCGCGCCTCAGCTTGCGCTCCTCCAGATCCGCAAACTGCCAGAGGTGGTGCACCGTGTTCAGGTCGCCGATCTGCACGAACCACGCGCCGACGCCCTCCATCACCTCGCGGCGAGCCTTGAGGCCCTTGCGCCAGTGTGTCTCCCAGTCCAGCAGGTTACCGGGGTGTAGTGTGTAGGAGCGCAGCTCGAAGAGGCCGCCGAGTTGGCGCGGTGGGCTGGTGGGCCAGAAGCTGAATTCCTGCATCAGGGAGACGCGCTTGGAGGTGATGAGGGTCTTGAGCTTCTTGTCGAAGGCGGGGAAGTCGGGGTGGTTGGCGATTGAGTGGAGGGAGGAGTGGTAACCGTCGTATTTCTGGTACTCCCAGATGTGGACTGCAGGTTGTTAGAAATGGAAAAATATATAGTGATCGGGAACATACCAAAGGTATCGCTATCTCCAACTTCAGTGCGCCAGCTTCCTACCAAGTGAACCTTGTTCTCCGGCATGCTGGCCATCTTCGGATACCAGTTACCGACCAGCTCTACGTATTCGTCGACCTTATCCGGCTTGACCTCGTGGAACACAATCGAATGCACATATTTGCCTCTTGCAAGAACCTGAGAGAAGGATTGCTCAATCTGCTGGTCCATCTCTCTCCCCTCCTTGGTACCATAGATAAGCGAAGATAGCTTGCCAGTCGGTTTCTCGCCCTCGGGGCCGACGGGTTCTGCAGCTATGCTTAGTTTACCTAGTCCTAACATGTTAGAAACAGGGCCCGCAGTGCTCGCATGTGGAGCAGTGGGAGCTTCCCAAAGAAAAGTAGGAGATTGAGAAGAAGAAGAGGACGGGGTTGATGAGTTTACGGCGTCGAAACGGCCGGCTCCAGACTGACTTGGTTCGAACTTGGGCTTCTGCTTTGCAGCGAGATCGGCGCGGAATTCCTTCTGCTTCGCGTTGAATGACTCGACACCGTTGTTGGTCACGTCTGCCAGTGACGGCGTCTTCGGCCGGATGGCTGTGGTTGTAAAGGCGCGAGTGACCGACTGGACCGCTGTCGCCGAGCGCGAGCTTCGGCTTAGCTGAGATGCAATCATGGTTGCGATGATAATCGTCAAGCTGTGTTAGCTGTAGATACAGGTCTCGGAGTCAGACTGTGCGTTGCAACAGCCGCTCTGAAGCTTAGATGAGGAGGCGCGGTGCTTTCTGTTGAGAGTGATAGTGATAGATGATTGACGTATGTAAACAACGAAGTAGAGTACAAGTCGCAGGTTGAAAGGGATTACTGCAGAGTTGTAGATAGCTTCACAGATGCCAGATAGTTGGAGTTGTAAACGGGTGGAGCTTGGTTTAATGCCTGGTTTCCTTACCCCGCGAGCTGTTGGGGCTATGTATTAGACGGGTCATTGTCTCCATGCCTCCATGCCAAGAACATACCTTGAAGGCACGCACCTTAGCCGATGACCGCGCGGGCTAGCGCTTCAACATCACGTGAAATCACAACCTTTGATCAGTATCCGAGATCAGCCATTCCGAACCTCCCATCATCAAAAGCTCCCGATCAAGCACCTCACCACCCCCGCTACTCTACATACCCACCGTCAAGATGGCATTTTTCGGATTGAAGAAGTTCCCGGCCCCAATTGGTGAGTCAATTGATCCCTACTGCGCCCCTGTGCGCGTTTGTCCGGAATGGAAAAGACTGACTTCTGTTTAATAGCCGCGCCCCTTTGGCCATTCTACACCGCCGGTAAGAGATAGACTCCGACATTCTCTCGTCCAGCGAGGCGAAGAGAGATACCGAATTATATAGTTGTGATATTGACGGTACACTCAGGCGTCGTTGTCCTTTACGGAATCAGCCAGGCTGCCAGCGCCATGTCCCAGTGTACGTGCACACCTATACCAAATTTTGCGACTGCTCCCTAACATCTTCTTCTAGCCGACGAGTTCAAGAACGACCCAAGGAACCGCTTCGTCAGCAAGGTCAAGGCTGCTGAGAAGCACTAGAGGACAATTGGAGGATGATGTGGGATGGACTTGGGAAATAGACGTGCGGGCATAGAACTTTTGAGTTGGCACGAAACCTGTACATTGATATTATATGGAAAACCTTACCCAATGCCTGGGTTGTTGACTGGATAGTGTCGGTTTGTGTGATATGCTGATTTGTTGTATGAGGTGTAATGCTCAAATATGTTTAATCGTTGAGGCCGTAAAGCAGCGCAATGAAACAACATGCGGCTGTCAAGCCCATTTCGTACGTCACAGTAGGATATATATCAATATTTAGACTGTGCAGACCATTTCTCGAACATTCTGGATATATACATCCCACCATAAACCCCAGTGATATCAAACCAGTCCCTCAAAACTCCGAACTCTCCTGCCAGGCCCTGAAATCATCTACAAATCTTTAACAAGCTTCTTAACTAACTTCTTTTGCTCATCCATGCTTAACCCCTTGTCATCCGTATCCTGAATAGCCTTTCCTACTGCTAGTGTCGTCTTTGGGTTCTTGCTGTTAACCCAGACCTTTCCATTTCTGCCAACCGCGATTTCGAATGCCACTCCAGCGTCTCCCAACTCTTCCAGCACAACAAGTTTTCCTTGTTCAGTAGGCTTCGGCATCATCAATCGCCTGGCCATGACGAGAGATACGGTGAAGAGCATGCCTCCGGTTAGCAGCCCCAGGCCATCAGATTTCCCTGTCGACGAAGACACGCATTCTAGCTCCGGGTCCATGTGCTTGTTGGCCAGCGAGACACGCGCATAGATCAGGGAGCCCTGAACAAGCACCGGTCTGTTCTTCTTGGTTGCGCCCTCAAAGGAGAGTTGTGGTAAGGAGGCATATGAGGTGTAGTCTGTGATGCTGGCATAATAAACGTCGACGGATGAATGGTGGACTGTGGCGATCACAAGGTCTCCAACGGTTGGAATATACTACAATCGTTAGTTACATGCCATTATCAGACAAGGGAGAACTTACTCGGCCGCCATTAAACTCTACCCATATGGAATTCTTTCTGGTGTCTGTGCATAGCTGCCCCGCGACAACTGGAGTGATGGTATTCGGTGGGATGTGCCTTAGACCTGGGCCAAGCTTGATAGGTAGAGTAGGATGCGAGGGAAGTAATTCCGAATCGATATGATCGCCGGGTAATACGAAAGTCATGGCTGCCATATGGAGGCCAGAAAGCTGGTGAATTTATTTATATGCCCGGCTTGACTTTCTGTACCAGGCCATTTTCAACCTTCAGCCTTGTCGTTTGGGCTGCGGTAAAATCCGCGCTAAGGAAATAATTTCACGAGGATCAGACCAAGAAGACGACCACCCCCACTCCCATCCAAGGCCCAGAATTCTTACTCTCCTCCAGAAAAGTGATCCCTTCTCATCTCCCACAAGAAGTCACATATTTCTACAAGATGGCCGCTCAAGAAAACACCCAGGGCGCACAGCCCGAGAGACACGCCATTGGTATCTCCTTTGGAAACTCGAACAGCTCGATCGCCTACACCACAATCGAGGATAAGGCAGAGGTTATTGCCAACGAGGATGGAGGTATGTATTGTTTATGCTGTAGATATTTATGGTGCTAATTTGCTACAATAGATCGTCAAATTCCCTCCATCATCTCTTACATCGACGGAGAGGAGTATGTCGGTAACCAGGCCAAGGCGCAACTCATCCGCAACAAGGACAACACTGTCGCATATTTCAGAGATTTCGTCGGCCAAGAGTAAGTGATACGATTTAGGGATCGGAAACGTGCATGCTAACCCCGTGCTCAGCTTCAAGTCGATAGACCCAACCCACTCGCACGCATCTGCTCACCCAAAAGCCCACGAGAACACCGTCGCCTTCACCATCAAGGACAAGGCGGAGGGCGAGGCGTCCACCGTGACCGTCACCGAGATCACCAGCCGCCTCATCAAGCGTCTCGTCGACTCGGCCACTGACTTCACCGGAAAGAAGGTTGACTCTGCTGTCATCGCCGTCCCCACCAACTTCACCGAGGCCCAGAAGCAGGCTCTTACCGCTGCCGCCAAAGACGCCGGACTCGAGGTCCTCCAGCTGATCAACGAGCCCATCGCCGCCTTATTAGCATATGACGGTCGCCCAGATGCCAAGGTCTCCGACAAGATCGTCGTCGTTGCCGACTTCGGTGGAACCCGCTCCGACGTCACCGTCGTCGCCTCCAGAGGCGGCATGTACACCATCCTGGCCACGTCGCACGACTACGAGTTCGCCGGATGCCACCTTGACCAAGTGCTCATGGACCACTTCGCCAAGGAGTTCATCAAGTGGAACACCACCGACCCCCGCGCCGAGGCCCGCTCCCTGGCCAAGCTCAAGCAGGAGTCCGAGGCGGCCAAGAAGGCCCTCTCCATCGGAACCAACTCCAGCTTCAGCGTCGAGTCCCTCGCCGAGGGCATCGACTTCTCCTCCACCATCAACCGCCTGCGCTACGAGACCATCGGCCGCAAGGTCTTTGAGGGCTTCAACCGCCTCATCACCTCCACCATCGAGAAGGCCGACCTCGACGTCCTCCACATCGACCAGGTCATCATGTGCGGTGGTACCTCGCACACTCCCCGCATCGCCGCCAACTTCCGCAACATCTTCCCAGAGACCACTGAGATCCTCGCCCCATCCACCACCCCCACGGCCATCAACCCATCGGAGCTCGCCGCCCGCGGTGCCGCCCTCCAGGCCTCCCTCATCCAGGAGTACGACGCCACTGATATCGAGCAGTCGACCCACGCTGCCGTCACCACCGTCAAGCACCTTGCGCACGCCCTTGGTGTTCTCGCCATCTCCGACGATTCCGCCCGCGGCGTCTTCGTCCCTGTCGTCCCTGCTGAGACTGCTGCGCCGGCTCGCCGCACCATCACCATCGCTGCGCCAAAGGCTGGCGGTGATGTCCTGATCAAGGTTGTTGAGGGTGGCTCGCACATCAAGGTCACTCAGCCATTGCCAAAGGCAAAGTCGAACGGCGCCAAGGTTGCCGATGCGCACGAGGATGGATCTGAAGATGACGAGTCGTCTGAGGAGGAGGAGGAGGAGACCCGCGAGAAGGTGTGGAAGGTTGGTGGTGTGCTTGCCGAGATCGCCGTTAAGGGTGTTAAGGCTGGTGGAAGCGTTGAGGTCACCATTAATGTTGCGGGTGATCTTGCGACCACGATCACGGCGAGGGAGGTTGGAGGTAAGGGAGGTGTCAGGGGGAACTTGGAGGCAGCCCAGTAGGGTTCTGGACGAGAGGTGTGATATTTGTATAGGGGTGTAGATGATAGACGAATTGGAGCTTAGACGTGATGAATTTACGGTCAGGGTCGATAGTTTTGCACAGTCTGGACTGCACAGTTAGAGAATAAAATTGGAGATTTCACTGTTAGAATATGTGTTATTGAGACGGAGTTCACGTTTGAGGGGCTGGATGACCACAACAAACGCTATAAGGTTTTGTGGCATCACGGTGGTATTCGAATTCTCCGTCCAGTTCGTAACAATAGATGATGATACTCCAAAACAACGTGTTCTGCAGTCCTTAGCGTCGAAGGGGGTGAATCAGCCCTAGAGTTTGTAAAACCCTCGCCAAAAAGAGTATCAACAACGCGCGCCACGCCCTTTCATACTGCCGCTCTCGTTCTCACCGTTACCTCTTTCTCGCTGTCGCCCCTTCCTCATCGTTGCCCGTCTTACTATCATCCCCTATTGCCACCGCCCCATAGCGCTTATTTACGAAATCTTTAATTCAGGTGTTTGCAACCCCGGATTCAATCGCCCGTTGTATACATTCATCTAGGGTTGCCAACCGTGCTTTCGCATATGCCAGCGCAGATTCAGTATCGATGAGACACTATATAATACATTTCTTCACTGGCATGGGTACCCAGTGTGAAGTTGGTGGTTATGGCTGATCTGACAAGTCGAATATGATCATATATGTCTAGCAACAGAGACGCGGCGATAGACGGCAGCTGGCATGACACGAGCGAGACATGGCAAACGGGAATATCTCATAACTTGTAAACAATCTCGACACGACACAAAACAACGCGAATATGACGGAAAATACGCGACAATTGACTGATGATGAAAATACGATAATAATCAGCTGGAAGCTTCATGGTATTGGGTCGTGGAAAATTAACTCGTAAATACAAAATAAATTCAGTTTCGGAAAATATTTATTATACCCTCACATCTTTAACCAAGTCTATTAATCATTGTCAAAAATAACCTGTAAATATAAAATAAACTCATTCTCCGAAATCACCGATTAAAATCTACGATGACTATAATTAAAATAAACTTCGAGAAAATGCCAAAATTCGAATATATCGCCGGCCCCTATATTCAATTTCGAACAAGTTCAGCATCGTTGACAAAAACGAAAGAATTGAACCTTTGAACGATATCTACATCTCCAAAGTGTGTGGCAGGCACTGGAGCACTCCTCCCATTCATCACCCTGTCCTTTCTACTTCGAACCCCCTCCAAAACTAAAAAATCACCGCACATAAAAGTGAGAAACTCAAAAAGTAAACTCCCTCGGGTGGGCTCGAACCACCAACCTCTCGATATCAGAGAACTGTAAAGAAACTCTGGTAACAGTCGAACGCGCTAGCCAATTGCGCCACGAGGGACTTTCTTGCTTGTTTGACAGTCTTCTAAATCAGGTTTATGTACTGAAACTCGTTGTGAGCTGATAGGGCACGCAGAGTTTTCATTTATCATTTTCCTGAAATAGCGCGTTACTAGCGTGGTTGCGGTTGCGGGGCCGGGTGCGCTAGTGATTGGGTAAAAATAACTTAGCACGGGGGACACGTGATGGGTATACTTGGAACCACTGCACTACGATTATTCTCTTGCACGTGACGGCTGTACTTTGGAGCCAACTGTGCAACGATTATTCTCATGCACGTGACGTCTATTCTTGAATAGAACTGTCCTACGATTGTTCTCTTGTCTATACTTCAATAGAGTCCTATGATTGTGCTTTATGAGAACTGGAAAGTTTACGCCAAAGCCGAAGGTACTTTAAACTCTAGATAATATACCAGAGTAAATATGTATCGCTGGAACAAAAAATTGAGAGGTCGTAGAGCACAGTCAGGTACAGACCCGTCAGCCTCGCCATCGCCAGGCTGCACTTTTCCATTTTGGGTCACTGAAGGCTACCATCGTCCAAACCTTTGCAATTCCCATCCATGAGATAACGGCGACTTCAACATGGGAAAGAGCAAGCGCGATAGTGCGTCTCTGGACTATGATGAGCCTTCCAAGCGCCCTCGACATTCCAGTAATGCCCCGCCAAAAGGAGAGACCCAAGGCCGCATCGACCCAACCTACGGCCAGAGGAGCGCCTTTCCTGGACTCGACGAGGACGGCGGCTTTGGGACTGAGGATGACGACCTCGACTACGGCGATGATGCTGGGGCTATAAGCTATTTGAGAGCTGTCAGGTGTGTTTATTTGCCATCCCCATTGCGACAGTTCATGCTAACCCAGGTTATAGGTCCGAGGCTGCTGGAATACCGACTGTTCTTGTCGCACCTAGACCCATACTCGAAGGAGACGAAGAAGAGGACAGGACCATGTACGATGACGGAGTGGGTGACAGTCGCGGCTTCTACTCGGACGGCGCGTATACCGCTGCGCCAGATCCACAACCTGACACTCCTGAGATCCCACCTGCGAAGCACCTGCGGGCCGTGTACTTCGAAAAGATCCTCGAGCGCTTCGAACACCTGCGCGAACAGCTGGGCAACACCCCTCCAGACAATGTCGTCGAAAAACTCGACCAGAACCACGATTCGTACATGTCCGCCTCTGCTCCGGATTATAGGAAGTGGAGGTGGAGGGTCATCAATACAGAGCCAATGAACGCGCAGCTGGCGAGGATGGACAGGGCTACATCGCTCAAGCTGCTGAGACTATTGACAAACGACAAACTTGCGATGGGCGGGAGCACAATTCCTACCGAAAGGCTGAGCAGGTGGATTTGGGGAGTGCTGGCGAGACTACCAGATAGTGGAGAGTTGAACAGCGAGGAGATTGGGTTGGTGAGGGATTTGGGCAAGAGGGCTGTGTGGTTGGGTGTTGTGATGAACCAACCTCAGTCTGATACGGCGGCTGGGATGCCGGGGGATGAGGATAATGAAGGCGGGGAAGAATATGAGGACGACGAAGAAGATGGAGAGGTGGGAAATGAGTTTCCTATCCCAAAACCTGAAGAGAATGGCGCGTTGGGGGAGGCAGTTGAAGATAGGACAGAGATGGGCGCCCATGAGCCACACGTTAATGCCCCAGCGGCTTCACGGTATAATATATTTCGGTTCGACCCACCGGCCACGAATTCAGAAGCTGTAAATGCCACTCTGGCAAAGGCTGTGCTCGAGGATTCTTTCTGGGGAGATACGCCGATGCACATTCGGACACAGTTTAATATCGACATCGATGGTCCAATAGTGGCCTATAAAGGACACCTACCAAACCCAGAGATCTATAATTTCTTTCGTTTCGGCCACGAGGATCAGCTTACCGAAGAACAATTGGGAGCTAGAGAGCGCCTTCGCAACTTCTACAGACGGAATCGGGGATATGCGCGCTCCAATTTACCGTTTTATTACCTAAGAAACCGTTTAGCGGAACAATACAACGGGCCACTGCCACCAGCAAAGCAGCCTGGTGGCAATTGGGGATACGATTTTGAAGAATTTATACGCCAGAACCCAGATTATCCACAATTTCCTGACTTTCTCAATGACGAGCCACGAAACGTCCCAGGTGTCAAATTTGGCGACGAAGCTTTTGACAGAGCCTGGCAGGCTGCTGGCCTTGATACTCCGCAAACTAGGGTATATGACGACGGCCAAGACGAAGAAGAAGAAATCGCCATGGAAAAACTGGGTCTAGTCGCTGGTAGGGACCGTCGCCCATCTGTCATTGAAGAGCCCAAGCCCGAAGAGAAGGGTGAAGAGGAGACATTAGAAGCCGCGCGTGGTCGTATTCTTGCACAATTAGGAAGAGCGGGAGATGCAAACGCTGCTGAACTGTCGCGGGCACGGGACGCTTTGAAGGAACAGGAACTTAAAGAGCGAGCTCGTGAAGAAGAAGAAGACGCGGCAAGATTGCTGAACGCAAAGGCGACAGTGGACATGATTATTACAGTAGCGGGCGAAATATATGGACAAAGGGATCTGTTGGAGTTCAGGGAGACATGGGATTAGTGTTGACAGTCAACATCATGGAGGAATTATATAATATTGTCTAGTCTAATGTAATAGTAGACAAAGCTAAGAATGTGCACCTTAGCAACTAGCTGTTGCTTCACAACCGAATACGGCTGGCATGGTAATCACAGCCACTACTTCTCATCGGCGAACTCAGCTTCGTCATAAGAATACCCTTGCTTCTTCAATGCCCACTTAACCGCCGCCTGCACGTTATCCACAATCATCTTCGGCTCGTACTTTGGTGGCTTCCCCTCCTGCCACACCCCCGTCTTCACCAGAATACTATCCCAGCTCGTCCCAGTCGGGCTCTTGAAATTATTAGCACCCCTGATATCACTCTCCGGGTTGTCCCCAATCATAAACACCTGTTTGAGATCCCCCACTTCCTCGTGGAGAGCACTCAATATCTCGACCCTGTGCTTCTGAAGCACGCGCTCCGAATACAGATACGTCTCCTGCGTAGGCTTCCCCATGACGAGCTTAGTTAACTCCGCGCCATCGGTAACTTCGTCCCACACGCCCTGGAATGCGGCGCGGAAGCCGCCCTGGCCGAGCCGCGAAAGAGGGTGCGAGGTGGCCCAGAACAGGTCGGGGTTGCTGAAGATGAGCTTTGGTTGGCCGTCCTGCAGCCAGCCGTTGTTGGGGAGCGACTTGTCCCCGTTCTTGGCGGAGTAGGTGTTCAGCTCGCCTTTGGAGGAGAGAAGGAGGTCCAGTATGATTTGCGTGTCAAGTGCCCAGTCCTGGGGATCGGAGAACACGAAGATGGCGTCGATCTTGAGAGGTCCGGGAGGGAGCGGCTTGGCGATAGAGGAATAGTGTGAAGCATGAAGAGCGGCGAAGGGCCATATATTTGGGTGAGCGGTAAGAATATCCCCCGGAGTCACAACGTTCTTGAAGCCATATCTGTGAGCAATATCCCGAACTCGTTGCTGATCGGTTCCGGTGACGAAAATCGTCTTGTCTTTCAGCGCCTCGTAGTCGTTGCTGCCGTTGACCATCTCTTGAAATGGCGTGTGGCTCTGCACAAAGTTCTCTAGGCTTAACGGAACATTGAATCTGGAGCTTAGCTCTGCGACGCGTTCGGTTTCGTGCTTGCCGCCGCCGTTGGTCAGGAGGATGAAAGGAATCGAGTGTTTATTTAGAAATCGCAGGGTTGACGAGGCACCCGGTAGGCTTTTGGAGGAACGGAGGAGAACACCATCAATATCAAAGGCAAATGCGAAGTCTGGAGGCGTTGGCACAGTGGTATTATCGTCTCGTGGTGTTGACTGGTGGCGGAATTGCCGTGCATGTAGCCGATGCGTTGCGATGGCGGGGGATGCTGAGGCAGCAGATCGGAGAACCGGGCGGGCCCATGATGCTTGCAAGATTGGCCGGGCAAGGCTAGGAGAGCGAAGAGCTCTTGGAATAAGTAAAGGCTTCATGATCTATTATATGTTAGACAATGAAGAGGGGCTTGGGTGTCATCGCGAAAGGCAGGAACGCGATGGTCCCTGTCCCTGAAACAAGCCCGAGTGGCTCGGAGCTAAGATAAGATAACGATCTATGGGTATCAACGGCATGACGTAGGAGAGAGGGGTTTAACAACCAAAGAAGGTCGTTACACTGTTACACTGCCTAACTAGGTGAAGCTATTCTGAATACATTCTGATGGTATGTTCGAATAGTAATCTTTTTGCATCTGTTAATGTCTAATCGGTCTTCAGGTAGGTCACTGGAGCTCTCCATATGATTTTGCTCACACCCACAGCAAGACGGAAAATTGTTTCCCCGGAATGCATCATAGATTCAACGACGCTTGAATCATCAAGAGCTTCCCAAGTCGGCGCGCAACACTTTCTCATGTCTTACACCAATTACACTTTCAGGTGAAGCCACCGGATCTCAATAATGTTTGGCTGCTCAGGGAACTCGCCGTGAGCGGCATCGTTTGACTGAACCCCGGTTGCACTGTGTGATTGGAATCCATATCGGGACAATGGCCCTAGATGCCCAAAGCAACTGGGATGTCGAGATGCCACAGTTGCGACTGGGTGCGACTGGGACAGAGGAAAAACTTCCATCAATGAGCCCTTCTCAACCGGCCTTGGTCGCAACCTCAACGCCCGGAAAAGAGATCGAGCTGCCCCTGGAGGTATTGATTCAGATTGTCTCGTACATCCCGCGTCGACAGCAGTACCAGAAAACTTTATGGGCATGCTGCCTTGTATCTCGCGCCTGGTACTCAGCAGCAGTTATGTTGCTCTATGAACGACCACATATCGGAGGCGGCAACTTCCAAGAATTCGTCGCGACCATATGTCCATCCAAAAACGCTCACATTCGCAAGAGCCAGCTGGCGGGTATGGTCAAGAATCTAGATATGGGCTCACTAGTGCATGACGGCAGCAAAAGCTTGACCGCACGGCTCCTTGGGAGGTTAAAAGGTAGTCTCGAGGAGTTCGTTGCTCCCCAGGCGTCATTCTCGATAAATTCTTTCGCGGCTCTGGCCAAGTGTAAAAATCTCAAATTCTTGAATCTTTCTCTGATGTCAGCTTCCATCTCGATCAGAGTTCTTTTCCAAACTCTCAAATCTTTAGATAAGCTAGAAACGCTCTTCTTCCCCCGGACTTCGAATCAGGATGAGGGCCGTGAAAGCCCATATGATTGGCCTCCGAAATTGCAGGCGCTACATATCGCTGGAGGTTTGTCCGCATCGAACCTTTTTACAGCATCGAGAATTATACTGAACGGTGACAGGTGTTGACGATTACTTTCTTCGCGTTCATGCCACGAATATTCCCTCATCTGTGGAAAGAATTAGCATCCAACATTGTTCGCAGATATATACAGAGTAAAGAAAATCCGCTTCTTTGTTATGGCTTAACTAACTCCTGTCAGGGCTTTGCAAGAGTTCCTGTTAACAGTTGGTCCACAGTTGCGACACCTAACTCTGCGGCACCCTCTGATCAAGCTGCCACCGGGAGTGCTTAATGGCGTCCTACAATGGTGTCCCAACCTGGTTGCCCTTCGTATCAGTGTTGATTATGTCTCTGATGCATTGTTAGAGTCCAACGGAGTCAAATGTCACCCTCTTCGTGTTCTGGAACTCGACTGCTCAAATTCTGCGGATGCCGAAGTTGGCATCTCACCAGATTCCATATGGCTAGCCATAGATAATGGGTATTTGCCAGACTTGCGTAGCATTATAGTTAATGCGCGGTTGGCATGGCAAGCTACAGAACGTCTTCGGACTTCCGTTTCTGATTTGGTGGAGCTGGTACAGGAACGGGAGCGAAAGAACCCCCTGAAGTTAACACCAGGTGTATGGAGTGTTGTGTCATGAATAGGAGAAATATTCCGATTGCCCTCGTCGACTCATTTGGTGAAAGCTTGATGTTTCATCTGGATGCCAGGCAACGAATGTCAAGGTAAATTTCAACAGCTGAGTATATGTAGGCTATATCTACGCCGCTTGAACAAGGTAGGACATGAGATGGACATTGATGTTAAATACATTTAACTCCTGAATCCAACAAACTTCCCTTCGTTCTGTATGTGATAATCATACTCTCTTACCATTCTGTCTGTGTCATGGGTGCATCTCTTTGACTCATTGCCGGTGCTTGATGTTGTTAGTGCAGGTTGTGAGTTCTCTCATTAATATAAGCTTCTTTTCCCGTTTATTATTTGCCATCAGTGCTTGGTAACTCGACACACCTTGAGCAGATCAAGGCCTGGATAACAGTATAGGGCGCAAAAGAAGAAAACGGCAAAAAAGGGGTTCCATACGCTTTTCTATGCTGCATACCTTCAGGGGCATCAACACTATTCTACGCCTAAACCATTGACTTTATCCCCAAGGTGCTATACACTACGTCGATAGATTGGCCATTCCGAATTTGGACGATAGCTTGTTGCAGTCAAGCGAAGCTTTTATCAATCTAACATTCTGGCTAGAACCTTGCTGCTGTAAAACAAAGCATCAACCGATCCATCACCTCAACTGAAACTATAGCTTGCTGCAGCGAAACCAAACCAAATTGCTCTGTGGTTACGAGTGGCAGCTCTTCCCACTTGCTGATCTCAAAATAACCAAGTCTGATCACCGAAAATAACCCTGCCGCCGGTTGCCAGCTGCAATCGACGGCACGGTGTCCAAATAAACGACAATCACGTTCAAAGGAATGATTATATGTCAGAGATTCAAGGATAATCATAGAACCGTTTCCGCAAAATGGGAGGTCATATTGGGCCTGATGGCTACTATCGAAGTTAGTTACCAGCTCTCCATCGCAACTTCCCTATTACAAATGAACTATCTAAAATAACACTTCATTTTAGGCCGTCGCAATCGCCAATCCAATGCTAACCGTCGCCGTAATGGGCCATCGCTGAACAGAACAGAATCGTATAGTCATATTCAAGTCGTCGCCCGTCCGGATGCCAACTCGAATATACGACAGGAGCCACAGAGCCCGTTTGTACAAAACAAATCGCTGCAAGACGAAGACTATAGCATAGGTGAGTGCGGATACAATAACAACACACCAACAATAGCTTCTTACTCTGGCTTTGCCCCATTTTCGTTTGCTCAGGTAGCTGCAAACATGTCTGGACCTGGCCGATCTTCAAATGCGACCAGTCGCGATATAACATATGATGGAGACGGGGAAGCAGCTCCTACAGCGGACCAGGCATCATTCCAGGTAGTTGGTCCTCGCAGATGCACACTGAAAGTGAGCAAAAAGAAAGCAAAGAAATGGTCTCCATTCGACCTTGGGAGTTCAGAAGGTGAATTTGATATTGATGATACGCGGGCCGCTATTCCTATTACAGACAACCCAGTCCCCGAGCTTCCAACAAGCGTCCAAGAGACCTCTCACACTCCAATCGCAGAAACTCAACAACAAACCAACCAACTTCAGGAATTTTCTCCTACGCCCTCAGTAATATCTAGGGAGCGTCGTGAATCCTTCTTTGGTAACTCCAATACCAAATGCAGTACCGCAACAGATATTGCATTTAACGCAGCATTTCCACAGGTGCGCAATACACCAACGAAATCCCCGCCGGAACGTTCAATTATTCACAAGGAGGACCCTGAAGATACAAAGCTACGACTAGAAGATATTATGGCGCGAATTGATGACGTCTTCGACGTGGAAGAATGGGATCCTGACTTGCCAACTGGAGGTTCCAACAATTCACCTGAGCAACTTACTGCAGAGCCTCAGAAGGTCACTTACACCACTGTGGGATCAGTTGCCAAAACTGACGCCGTTCCGACCTTTTCTCCCCCTATTCGCATTCAACGTGAGGGTTCTGGTCGTCGTTTAACTGTTCCTACGCCACGCGGAACTGATAATTACTACAACCGCAACCAGCAGCCTGGAAACAACTCCAGTCCCAGTTATGGGCCCCCCACAAACATGAAGAATCTCAGATTTTCACAGCAGCAATATGCACCCCCTCCTCCACTCAATATCGCGGGACTTGAAAACTTGTACTTGTCCGATCTCGAAAAGGAGGTTTTGTTCAACACAATGAACGATAGTGCTGCTGGGTCCCCCCAAAATGAACAACAGCAGGCTACCTCGGCACCGGATGTGTCGCTCAACAATGCACCCAGCGGAAATTTCAGCGTCCAGAAAATGCTTCAGGAAGAGGCGTCTGGACCTAGCACTCATTTGACAGGCTCCTCAACCTTCGCTGGCCTCAATAAGATGCAAACCCTCCAAAGACTAGCTCAATTTGAGAACCCAGCACAGGTGTTTGCAAAAGGCCGCCTTGCAGAATTCAAAGCAGAGAAGATGAAGCAACAGATGTCTGATCTGGCGGCTTCGAGTGCTAAAGCCGCCTCCCAGGCTCAATCCTTTGAACATGGCAATAAAACTGGAATGCATCAGTTTGGCGAGACTGGATCGGATTCCTACAAGACTGCTATCGTGAGCTATGGCTCACAGTATCCGGGCCCAGAGAATGGTAATCCTCTTCAGCCAGGCTACAATTCATTTGGCCGCGAGTACCCGATGAATGGATACAGTTCAAAGCCCCAACTTCTTGCTCCGCCAGGTTATCCCCAACCACTGACAGCCGGGCCTCCTCGACAAGGGCAAAATTCAGTTGCCTTCAATAGGCTTGCTTGGACCTCTGGGAGCAGCCAGCTTCCAGATACCCCACAACAATTCCAATCTCCACCGGTCGAAAAGCAACACTCCCCATGGAATAACCAACCTCCACCGGTTGAAAAGCAATACTCTCCATGGAATAACCAATCCCCACAAGTCGAAAAACAATACTCTCCATGGAATACCCAATCTACACCGGCCGAAAACCAATACTCTCCATGGAATACTCAAGCACCACAGGCCGAAAAGCAATATTCTCCATGGAATAACCAACCTCAGCCGGCTGAAAAGAAATACTCTCCATGGAATAATGCCAACGGAAGCTTCAACCAGCAATCTCGGCCCTTCAGCTCCACCGGGCAAAATCACATTAGAGATACGTTGTCACTTGAGGAGATGTCCAAGTACTACCCCAACGGCTTTGGTCCCAACTTCCATTATAACGGTGATAGCGAAGAGCTCGATGAAGACACAAAGCTATCCCTCCTGGGACTTGCAAATGAATCCTTGGAAGTTAAACAGCGTCGTAAGGCAGAGAAGCTTGATGAGTGGTTCTACAGCGGCCCCAGCCGTTTAAATATGACAACCACTGATCATATCCAGGAGCTTGATAGCAGAGACAAGGGGATTCTACCATCAGCTCCACGTGCAAACATGGCCAATCGCGAAGTTCTCTCAGTGAAAGAGATTAGAAACAAGACAGACTCGGAATGTGGTGCTCCTCTCCTTGACAACCTCTTTGGGACCCTTGTGGCTTACTCCGATGATGTTGCGCAGCCAACAAACAGGCGCATCATGAGCAAATTTATGCAATCTCCAGCTTGGGCTCTTGATACTTCGGAGGAGGGCAATAAGAGTATCTTTGGCGATGATTGGGTGGCACCCCCAAAGCGTTTGGGAAGGGACCCTCGCTATACCCGTTCCAAACTGAGCGAAATGTGGGACTGATGCTAACCACTTCTACCGACTTGTTTTTGGCGATAGCAATGCGTCGGAATTCCCAGGGCGTCGGATTACGAAGGCGCTAATATTGCTGAGGCTTTGGTGTTACTGGGTAGCTATGACGGGGACGGCGCTATGGATCTTTCGGGTGGCTGCTATGACACTTTTGATGATTATGAAGAGATACCAACCTGTTTTTTGCTTTAGTTTTGCTTTTCGCCGATTTGTCAAGCTCGGCTTTTTGCTACTCTGGGAATGGACAAGCTACGGGTAAAGATAGGCAACATTGCACCCAAATAAATAATATGTCCCGAACAGAAGTTATCCGGCGTGTGATCAGACTATATTTCATTCCGGCGACATCTAACTGGTGTCTGTCCTGGACATAACTGCAAATTGGCACCAGTAATCCGGGCCTCTTCCTTTCAACCCACAGCCCATGTCAGTTATTCTGACATTCCACACCCTGGTATCTTAGAATTGCGATTTCTTCCCATATTCCTACATATCGTGCCGATCATTCATCCATAGACACGACAAACCCTCACGCCCCAACGCCAGTCCATGCCTAGTATACAATGCTCATTTCTCGTCCTTCGGGTCCTTCGGGTCCTTGGAGTTCTTCTTCCTCTCAAAAATACCCGCTAACCACTCCTCCAGCTCCCTCTCTGCCTTCGAATCCCCTCCCCCAGCTACCCTCTCCGTCCCCAACCGTCCCCTCATCTTCGCCCTCAACTCATCTATACTCGCGATATCAAATGCCCACAGCATTCCACCCGTGCACATCATAGCCAGACTGAACACATTCGCCGTCGCGATCGTCAGCGCATCCATAGCCTCGACTTGCAGGTTGAGAGGCGGTGCCGCCTGGTTCGAGGGTTGGTAGAACGACGGGACTATGGCTTTGTAGCGTCGTACTAGCGAGCGGCGTGTGATCAAGCTTGCGATGCCGAAGAAGGCCGCGCCGCCGAAGAAGAGGCCGAGTTGGCGGCGGTTGCGGAGGCCGGGGGAGATGGCGGGTTTGGCGGTTGGCGCTGGGGCGGCCTCAGTTGGGCGGATTGAAGACATGGCTGGGGCTTCGGCGTGGGCCATTGGAGGGTGGGTTTGCGGCGAGGTTTGCGAGGTTGTCGAGGAGGTGCAATCCCACTTAGATCAGTCGCGGATAGCTTTGGGATGAGATATGGCCGCTCTGATCGATTGGAAGCTGTGCGCCGGAGGTGAGCGTAGTAGAGAGTGAGGCCCAGAATTTAGATCTTGAATACTATATCGGGAATAGCGCCATAATGTAGTTATGATGTAATCACGTGATGGTTTTCATGTTCCGTATAGATTTATTGTGCCTGCCTGTTGCTGTTGCTTATATTTACTATGGCGATTATATTTGTATATTATTCAGTGGGGTCTTGGTATTAATGGGTTTGCTCTTGTTTGGGCTGCACAGTTTTGAATATAATGTGGAAATTTACTGGACGGGAATATATTGTAGGATTTGTATAAAAAGTAGTTATCAAATAGCCATATTTCCAGTCTCCAAAAACATCTGTAAAATTTACTAACTATTCGGAATATAATTCAATATATCTACTATTTTCAAGCCCATATATAAAGACCGACTCATCGTATATACAAACCTCCATCACTTCACCCCTGCTTCACCAAGTTTACTCACTACCCCTTACATCGTCCCCTTCAACGCCAGGTTCCTCGAGCTCGCGCCAACCGAAACAGTGAAGTCGCCAGTGGGTGTAACCCACTTCTGCGCATCCGTGTCCCAGTAGCTCAGATCCTTCCTCCTAAGGCTGAATGTAACCGTTCCGCTCTCCCCAGCTGCCAAGTTGATCTTAGAAAACCCACGGAGCTGGCGCACAGGCGTCGAAGGAGCGCTCGACGGAAGACCAATGTATAGCTGAGCCACCTCGGCACCCTCAACAGTGCCCGAGTTCGTGATCTTCGCCGTTACTGTCGCGACGGTATCATAGAGGCCTTCCGCGCCACCAGGAGCGGTGGTAGTTGAGCCTCCAGTCTTATCGCTGTACGTAGTGGTAAGATCGGAGTATTCGAAGGTCGTGTATGCTACGCAAGGTTAGTTAGAGATTTAAAAACGCGGGCTATTAATGACTTACAGAGACCAAAGCCGAACTCATATCTTGGCTCGATGCCAGCTTTGTCAAAGTGGCGATAATCGATGTACAATCCCTCGCTGAAATCATCGTCGCCGCTCTTGACAGAGGTACCATAGTCGCTAGCTTGCTTTGCGATGGTATAAGGCAGCTTGCCGTTCGGCGACTTAGAGCCGTACAGGATATCGACCAGCCCATTTCCGGACTCTTGCCCAGGGAGCCCAGCCCATACGACAGCCACGACGTTTGGCAGAGCCAAGATTCTCTCGAGGATCAATGGCCCAACGCTGTGGATAACGACGATAGTGTTCTTGTTGACGTTTGCGACAGCCTCGACGAGTCCGTTGCCGTTATGCCACGGGTCGAGATTCGCGCGGTCCCCGGCTTGGCCTTCAACTGTAATATATCCCTCTCCGGAGTCCGCGTTGATGAAGACTATTGCCGTGTTAGCCTTACCGGCAGCGGCAGCACCCTCTGAAGTGCCATCAGTCGTCGAAGTGACGATGGTCGTCCCGTCAGCTGTTGCTTGCTTCTGGATCGCATCGAGAGGCGAGATTAAATATGGGAACTCTGCTGCTCCGCTTCCCCATCCCATTGCCAGAGTTCCGACATCGCATCCACGATCCACGCAGGCGTTTGGACCGTTGGGGTTGTTGATGGCGTCGTTGCCGATAATTGCGAGCGAAGCGGGCTTCTTGAGTGGGAGAGCGTTGTTTTCATTTTTCAAGAGAACAATACCATCGCGTGCAATGTCTCGCGCAACGATCTTGTGGTCACCCTGGACGTCAGGTCCACCAACACCGCCGTTCCATGAACTCCATCCGACCTTTGGATAGCCAGCGTCTTGGCCGAGATAATACCAGGAGGCCAGGATTCGCTTTACCATGTCGTCTACCCTTGATTGATCAACCTGTCCGCCCGAGACGGCATTTGTCAGGGCAGTACCCCATAGGTACTTGTTGTCGCCAAAGTTGTCTCCCGGCATTGACATGTCCATACCAGCTTTGGCACTGCCGACGGTTGTGTGTTGTGCATTCCAATCACTTACGACATATCCGCGGAAATCCAACTCTCCTTTAAGAAGGCCGTTGAGTGCCAGGTCAGACTCGCAAGCGTGCGTGCCGTTAAGCCTGTTGTAAGAGCACATTACAGAAGCAACATTGGCCTTCACTGAATCTGCAAATGGCCTATGACTGTCAGCACTGCAACATGGGTATGGGATCGTGCCTACATACCATAAGTAGAGCTCATGGTTAACGCGGTCCGCAATAGTCGAACTCATTGTTTCGCGGTTCAACTCCTGCTCATTACCAATGTAATGCTTCGCACATGCCTGCACACCAGCATTTTGCATCCCGGTGATTGTTTCCGCCATGGCAACACCGGTGAGATACGGGTCTGGACTGAAGCCCTCCCAGTTACGGCCGCCGTGTGGGATTTTCCCGAGCGGGCCCCCAACAGGACCAAGCTGTACATGGATACCCATCGCCTTGGCCTCGGTGCCTATTTCAATACGAGTCAGCCTTCGTAACTTCCAAAGCCATTACCATGCACCTACCAAGGGCATTTCCACGAGCGTTGATCAAGTCTATATCCCAAGTGGAAGCGGCATGTACGCCAGCAGGGAAAGCGGTGATTCCCTTTGCGAATCTAATCCCCAATGGACCGTCCTGCAAGCAGAGCTGGGGGTAGCCAATGGAGGAGATTTCTGCTGTAGTTCCGACACAAGGGCCTTTCTCCCATCCCTCGCCTGTAACCATCTTCACCTTATCCTGAAGGGACAGTTTGGCCAACGCTGTAGCAGCCTTTGTATGGGCTGCATCCCAGCCGCCATTGTCAGCCCGGGCGGTCGGCACTGCACTGCTCAATGGAAGAAGCGCTGCAAGTGCCAGAGTGGCACTTCTGAGGAAGGTCATGGCAACAACGGAGGACTGAGTATTGTCACAAAAAACGAGACAATAGAAGGACAAACGAAATGTTCCACCTACGCGGGGTATGCTTCATTTATGGAAATCCATCTATGAGATGATGAGCGCGCAACTACTCTACCTACCTTGGCAGATGCCAGACTTAAAGAGCAGATATCCAAAGTACCGCCGGGCAGAGGCATAGCGCCTTTAGATGCTTTCAAGCTTGAAAGGCGATTGCCCAATTAGGGACATGGCCGCCCTGGGCCGGCACTTGGAGTTGATCACAGGGAACATTCTCCCCGCACATGTGGCGGGGAGTAGCGGACATGGCTGGGATAAAGTATGAACCGCATCCGGGAGTGGAGGTCGGAAGCGGCGATCGTTAGGATTGTCGGCATCATGGCATATAAACAAGGCCGAAGTAGATGCGGAGATGCGGACAAGAGCCTGGGCAATATACTGCGATATAATATTGTGGAGAAGAAAAAGAGAGTGATGAAATGCCAGACCACGATCGTTGTTCCAGATATATGATGCGGCCCGTGCTGCCGTATCTTCGGTGTTAATTGATCGTCGAATTTGGCTCTGACGTTGAAAATATTCACGTGATAATCGTGTCTTAGGTTTGAAGTCATGGGAAGCCATAGTTAAGAGTAGATCTTGTGGCGCGTGTCAAAAAGAGTAAGAGTCTGAGATCAAGCCCACACAGTCTGATGTAGATCCAGTTTAAGACGATTAGAGTGGATTCGTTGCGGCCGTTATTTATGACCTTCTGATGTACAATAATATCTGTCTCTTCCTGCCTTCAGCTGAGGCCTCTGCCAAACTTAGCCTTCAATCATATCCTACAGTCGTCTATTTTAGGTCTGATATACTTCTCATACACATATCATACACCCTTGATTGTAACCTCCAGCCTGCTGTTTAGGCTCGATCGATCTTCCCGCGATAGTCACCGATATGATCCAGAATAATCCTCGCCGCATCCGTAGGGCTATGTTGGCGTCCAATAGCCTCCACAAAATCGCCCTCTGGGTCCATCAAGTAGAAGTAAATACTGTGGTCCACCAGGTAATCCTGTCCCGGCTTCACGCCCTGCGGCGTGCTGAAGTATACCCGATACTTCTTGCACACGTCCTTGACCTGGTCCCAGGTTCCCGTCAGTCCCACCAGCGCTGGATGGAACTCCGCCAGATACTCCTTCACCACCGCCGGCGTGTCGCGTGCTGGATCGCAGGTAATGAAGACCGGCACCATGGTGCCTGGCTGCTTCGCCTCCACGAGATCGATCATCGATGCCATCTTGTCGAGCTCCTCCGGGCAGATATCAGGGCAGTGCGTAAACCCAAAGTACACAAGGCTGTATTTCCCCTTCAGATTCTCCTCCGTGTAGGGCTTTCCGTCGTGGTCGACAAGTGTGAATGGTCCCCCCACCTTTGGGCGCCCGACGCCTTTAGCTGCTTCGGCAATCCGTGCGCGCTCCATGCGTGCTTTCTCGTAGCGAAAGTAGAAGATCAGACTGGCGCCTGAACCGAGGAAGATGACACCTGCTTTCCAGGAGAACGGCTACAGGAACTGTTAGCGACTGTAAAGGGTTGGGATGGCGGGCCTCGGAAGGGAGGGGATCGAATTGCATGCGCAACGGAAGGGCGAATGAAATATAGCACATACCCCCGACTTATATCTACTCTTTGCCTCCTCCACAGATCTAGCTGGGCGCATAGCTGTCTTGCTAAATGCCCTCCGTGCACCATGGATGCCGCCCAAATTCGATACGGCAGTGCGGGTTCGGAGCGTAGCTAGGCATTGTGTCCGTGGGATCTGTGATATCATCGTGGGAGAGAGCGCAGAAAGCAGCGAGCTGCTCGGTATTAAAGACCTCGACATTGTGGAAGGGTTGTGGTTAGAAATGTGGCCGAGGAATTTCCCTTGATGGTCTGTACTGGATTGACAATCCTCAGATGCGACTCCAAGCTATCGCCTTGTTATGGTCTAGCGTCTTTTTAGCGCACGACCCACTCTATTCGCACAAAACGTCACGTGAAATTTGAGAACTGAGCATCATCCCATCAACACAACTACTCGAGCTTCATTATCACAATTAATATGCATATGCACCGATCTGGATTTATCACAATGATTTCTTGAGTCTATTGGGAGAGCAGATATAATTACAGGTATTACGCCCCCAAGTCTGCAAAAGAAAACGCCAATCTCGCTCACTCCACGCTCTCAGATATAATTCGCCCAAAGCAGTTTCCTGGTCGAATACCACCTGCTTGCTCCACGAAAATGCTCGAACGATTAAAGAAAAGAAAAAATATGATCCATTTGTGTCTGCATCCTCCTCCGAGATGGTATCTTGTGACCAAAGTGTAGGTAAGGGAGTTGGCCGACAGAAATGCCACCTCCTAATCCCACAAAAGCGCCAGTAATTATTTCTGACGTTGCAAGGGCCGGAGCTATTAGCAGCACGATAAACGCCGAAGGTATGCCAGAGGAAGCATAAGTCGTTACATTGTCAAACAAGTCGCTGTGTCGCATGCCTCACCCAGAAAATGTGTGGTGACGCCGAAGATCCAGCTGGGTCGGACAAAGACCCGGTAAAGTGGCGCAAGTTCAGATCGATTCCAAATTGAAACCAAATTCTCGAAGAGCTGTCCAGATACCGCGGCCAATTGCTCCCATACTTGCGCCGAATACTCGCCGATTAATCCCTGCTGCGACTGACCTGGCTCGCGCTCGTCCTGCTTCGCTCGTCCTCCTCCAAAACGTCGCTTAGACGGGTAGGGTGCTGGTGTCTATCCCACCCGCTTCCGCTGCCATACGCCTGGCCAGAATAATCGACGGGCTCCAAGGCTGCAGCTGCGCTGGTGCGGGGAGGGTAATCTCCGCTGGTTGTTGGGATCACACCGTACTGCTGCAAATGGGCGTGCTCTCTAGCTCTGGCCTCAACCATACGCTCGTCGTCAGATTCGGCCTCCGAAAGCGGTCGCTGGTAGGGGATCTTGTTTCCGCGCGCATCGCGTCTGAACTGGCCTTGGGGGTCGATTTCATACTCTTCCTCGCTGAGAGTTCCCAAGTCTGAACCAACATCACCTGGGTGGAGAGTTGCGCCTTGCTGTTGCTGGTAGAAGCCCCCTGATGTTTGCTGTGTGGCTGGAGCATGTGCATCTGGCGGGGTTGAGGTCGAGCTAGGGGGGTGTTGGCGGGATGTTGTTCCGGAAGCGGAACTTGAGGTTTGTTGACGGGATGATGCAGCTCCGCCACTTGTGGCGGGCGCGGCGGACCTTGACTCAACAAATGGGTCGGTCTGGCGGGCGCGTCCGCCCTGGTTGTAGAGATCCTCAGGGTCTTGCTGGCCTCCCATGCTTGCTGCGGTTGGTCCGCCAGGGTATGGACCTTCACGAGTCGCCGGTCTATCTCTCTGAGCATTGCTGGTGTGCCTGCTAGGGGCTCCCTGCATCATGGGGACGACTTGCACACCACCCACAAGTGTGGGCTGGCCATCGCGTAAAGAGGCGGTTCTCTCACGCTCCTCTTGCTCACGACGTCCAAGTTCTTCCCAAGCACGTCGAGCCTCTTCCTTTGAGATTTGCAATTCTCTCTTTAATTCGTTGATTAGTTTTTCCGAGTTGTTTTTCTCAGATTCTTTTTGCACCGCAGCTTGGATTGCAGCTGCCCTTCCCTGTCTCTCAGATTGGAGGAGGGTATCGAGCATTCCCTGCCTCTCAGCCATCTTCTCCTGTTCGGCTCTGGTATCGAAGAACCATCTCTGAAATTTGCGTTCCGAGGAAGCTCGAAGACGTTGAAGCTCCACAACAGCGTGGAAAAGGTTGGCGCCTGCTGCAGATAGGTCGGTGACTTGACGCGAAAGCTGAGATGAGATCGGATCACGCTGGATCTCACTGGTATTTTCTTCGAGGCGGCGAATCCAGTAAGATGTCAGTCCCTCCCAGTGTGCAGATAGGGTCTCCCAACGCTCGAACGCGTGAGGAAATGTTGATCCAGTATTTCTTTTCCCCTGAGCAACAGCGTCCAGGGGATCCACAGCTGGCTCAGCCAGAGGTGCCCTTTGCTCAGGCTGTGTAGCGGGATCTGGGCCAGCTTGAGGGGCGGCTCCACCCTGAGCTGCTGCGCGCGCTGCCCTCCTAGCTGCAGCCGGATCACCGCCGCCCAATGCGGTACCACCAGTTCCGCGACCTTGCAACGATGCATCGCCTGCCCTGTTACCTTGGTCGCCACTTACAACTCTACCTCCAGACGTACGATTTGATCTCTGGGAGTTGTCTGATATTCTTTGACCTCCTCCACCTCCACTCCCCCTTGCTCCTCCACCACCACCAGCAGCAGTTGCTTTCCTCTCGTCGCTTATTCTCCTTTCCTCAAGGACCCTTTGCTCTTCTTCTTGTCGTTGCCTCTGGAGCTCCGCCTCTGCAGCGGCTCGCTTCTTCTCTTCTCTGGCCTGACGCTCTATCATGATCTGTTTTGGACCTCTCAAACCCCCAGGCGAGCCGGTTGGCTGTGGCACGCTTGGTCTCATTGATCCATTATTGGTGCGTCCGTTGCCAGCGTAGGCTGGTGCGGCCCCCACCGGTAGATCTGACATCGAAGCGTTCTCCTCCTCCCAAACAGGCGTGAAGTCTGTTGGATGTCGCAGAGCTTCCTCTAACGTGTAGAGGATAGCTTCAGCGGTATGCTTGTTGACTCGTACTGCTCTGTGTGGTCGTAGCTTCTCGTCGGGACCTTGGAAGTTCTTAGATCGGAGTGCGTATGGCTCTTGCGATTCAGGTAGTCCCGCAGCCTCTTGAGGTGCAACTTGGTATGGTTGAGACTCAGCAAACCTCACATGCGGTGGGCTCGGTTCTGAGGTTAAGCTGGGGCTCGGGCTCGGAGTGATGCCAACTGATACAGCTTCAATGTGTGTCCGTCGCTGTAGTTGGGAGAGAGATTCAAGGTTGGGAGTGCGTCGTAGAGTCCTGGCGCTGACAGAGGAGATTGATGGACTATATCTGGCTTGAGAGAATGATGAGAGCTGGCGTGACTTATCAATGGACGTTGATGTTTCGTTGGGCGCGTAAAGGTCGTTAGATCGGGGGAAAGTTGGTTTCGACAATGCTGTTGGTGGTGGTGGTGGAGTGGAAAGCTTGGAAGGCAAGATGGCTGCGGCCTATGCCTTGTTTACTTTCTTGAAGTAAACCTTTCCTCGCGCCAGCTTTCCTTCAATTAGGGAAGCTTGAGGGTTGCTGGTGTTGTAGCTGTGAATGTGGAAGGTTGAGAATCGATCCACGCCTGTCAAGTAAACCTTGTGGGTAAACCTGAGGAATGGTATCGAAGAAAGTTATTGAGTTAAACTTTGTGAGAGAGTGTACCCAGAGATGTGGTCGTCCGGGGTGGAAGGTGACTTGGTCGTGGTCTCGATATGGGGAGGTTGGGGTCGTGTAAAAAGCAGGAGGCGCAGGCGAGAAAACGACGACGCGACAACCAACTGACAACGCAGCAGTATCGAATTATTAAAGGTGAAAAAGAACTTTTGATTCGCAAATCCAAGACTCCAAATGGCCAATAAACCGCCAACCGCAAAGAAACAGGTGAATGAATGAAGTCGGTAACTAAGAGCGCGACGCAGTTGAAGTGCTTCCAGGCAAAGAGTTATGCGCGCCCTGATCGCCCAACTCGCACAACTAAGCTAATAGGGTCGCATGCGCATGCACAAACTGTCGCATAGCACTTAAGACCAGGCGAAGTTATATAAAAGGGCCAGGAGAATGCGATGGACCTGGTGTGAAGTTCATGCCCGTTCGTTGTGAGGTTCAATTGCGATTTGCGATGGGCCGAGCCGCCCGCTGTAAGTGTTGGAGTTAGTCAACTCGGGTATCCGTTCATGCGCGTTGGATATGAGTTTTCAGCGGAAGGGCTTCAAATTGGCATCGGGTCGGGACAGCGCGTCTCCGTATAAAGCCTGATCACTCTCTCTCACCAGCGCTTATCACGAACTGTCGTGTTCGCTATAATCCCACTTCAAGACTGCAGGCACTGTCTGCCAGCATGGTTGTCTCAAGTCACCGCGCGACGCGTTCGTTTGTAAAACACGAAAGGGCAGGAGGGGAGACGGAGATTTGGATGTGAGACTATGGAGATTAAAATGACTGTCGCACTTGGTGGATACACAGGGCAGAACCAACGCGCGCTTGCTGCAAGTCTCGTGGGATCTCGCCCATTTTTTACAATTTATGTCACTGTTTCACGGTGAGAAATGCAGATTGGATTGAGATCGCCTGCCTCGTTTATCCCTGGCTGAGCGGTTTAGGTACATTTTGATGCGTTGTTCTTTCTGGTGCTAGGATGGTTGGGCGAATAATACGCACCAAGCAAGGAAGCCGCACGTCATTTTATCTATTAGCGGCTCTTTAGGGACCGGCCATCATAAGGAGTCAGGTTTTGAGTGAAATTCCGATGATGTTGGTTATTTCGTGAAAAAGGGTCCAATATTCAGTGTGAGTGGGGGTTTGATGCAAACAGATCAATACCTATGGATTTTCTGGATCAATGATTGAGACTTGTAAACAAATGTTGTACCCAGAGCAATTTTCCGTACCAGAGCGTTTACTGTCGAATCCACATAAGAGACCTGTCAGATGGCAAAACTAGTGATTTCGGGACGGGAGGTTATCCGATTTGTAAGTAAACACAGAAGGCTCAAAACCGATCACTGTACCTGGAGCAAGTCTCACATCGACATACTGTACGCACATAACCCAATTGTAGACTCTGTTGTTTACAAAACACACATTACTTGATTATACTAAGCGCTCTCCCTCTCCCTCATCACTGCTCGTTTTCTCTGTCTTGGTCCCCTTTTCTCATCATCATTCAGATGCAAAAGGGATTCTCCCAGCCTCCCTATTAATGGCCAATCAGGCGCTTGAAATCTGCAGGATAATTTCCAACACATGCAGCACCATTGGTCCACGTGTCTCAATACGCAACACAAGAGCCCTATGATAATAGCAATTTGAGGGGCATTTGAATCAAAGGGATTTGTTTCTGTTCTCTGTCGAAGGCTAATAAGCACGATGTCTATATCACGTGCCGTAGACTGAAGCCCAAAACCACGTGATGTTGATATTCAGGTACGCCAGGGACCGTTCCTGAGACAACGCGCTAAACAAGTGTTTTACGTGGTTGGAAGGAGTGAAAAAAAGAGGAAAATGTACCCACTACAGAGTGTGGGAGCGCACAGAGCAGCGTATATACTTGGCTGCGACATAGCTGCGACAGTTTATGCGGCGATTCCAGAAAAAAACTACCCCGGTTATCTACACCTCCAAAACTGGCCGCGAAGAGCGCGGTGACAGCCTACTGAACTAATTCTGCTCATTCAATATCTAAATGTCATATCAAGGTATCACATCAACGTACATATCAGTTGGTCGATTTTCGTCTTAGCATTATTTAATAATCACATGATGCACCCTACGTGCCCAAACGTGGTGACTGATTCACAACGATCAATGATCTGCACTAGCGTGAGGGGAACCCGCGATGACTTTCGGGCCGTCCAAAACTCCGAGAAGGGGAAAGGTTAATAGCTCCCAGATAAGACCTACCATTAAAGCTAATAAAACTGCACTCTTTCGCTCAACTTCCTGGTAACGGCTCATCAAAAAAGTCTCATGATATGACAATTATGGGCTTCAGTGATCCTGATCCTCTGTTTATTGATAACTGCAGTGATCGCTCGTAGGAATGATGGGTCTATCACGTTGCGGGCAGTTCCTAGCCTCTTGGTAATTCTCATGCACGACCCCTTTTTGACGCTTGGCGCACGAGGCCAGGAGTGCTATTGGCCTCTCATCCGCGCGACATTCAGACCCTCTGAATAACACCAATCAGCTGTATCAGCCTAACGGAATCTGCCCGCTCAGGATTCCAGAATATGGAACAACCCTGCGGCTGAAAATGCTTGGAAAGGGCGCAGCGGCTGTGCCGCCAGATGTTGGTCCCCTTCAACGTGAGAACATTCTCTTTCCTCATCTTCGTGCTCTCGCTTTCATCTAGTTTGTGTTTGTCTCTTTGGCGCTCTGTTGATGCATTGTGTTTCGCGATAGAATAACAGAATCCAGAAAGATCCGTCATCCTCGGAGGCACATTGCGCCGTCCAACCTCTAACCTCCAGCCTCCGCTCTCCCCGGTCTCGACGACGAGACCGCGACGATGCTTTCTTCAACCACTATCAACCTGCTTCTCCCACTCTTACTCGCGTCTTCCTCCCTCGCCGGCGTCGTGACCATACCGATATGGAAGGAGCCAGCCTCAGCTGGAGACCACACCCGGCGAGACATCCATTCTCGCGCAACAGTATTACAACAGCTTGACAACAGCCGTCAACGTGGATCCTACTACGCCAACATCACAGTTGGGACGCCTCCACAACCAATCTCTGTTATCATAGACACTGGAAGCAGCGATCTATGGATTCTTGCCAAAACGGCCGACGTCTGCCTTAATCCTAGTCTCATCAAGCAATTACCTGGGGATGTAGGGTGTATTGGAGGAACCTGTGAGATTAATCAAGCTTCAGGCGGTGGACTCGTACTGACTATCAACAGATGACCAACTCAAATCCTCCACATACGATAAGCTAATAAGCGGTGGCTTCCAAATCCAATATGTCGACCAAACAGAGAGCTCCGGCGATTACATATCAGAAACTGTTTCCTTCAATGGCCAAAACAAGAGCAACAATGCGATAAAAGAGCTACAAATCGGTCTTGCGAGTACCAGCACCCTCCCCGTTGGAGTTATGGGCATAGGCTACAACTCGTCAGTCGCCGCGGCTACAGTCTACCCAAACATCATCGATCAAATGGTCTACCAAGGATTGATTAACACACGCGCCTACTCACTCTGGCTCGACGACCTCTCAGCCGCCACCGGACAGATCCTCTTCGGCGGCATTGACACAGCCAAATATGACGGTTCCCTCTCCATCCTACCCGTTCTAGGCGATGACAAGGGCGGCAGGCCCACCTCGTTCGCCGTGGGCCTCTATGGTATGTCCGTCGGCCACAAAGGCTCAATGTCCTCCATAACCACCTCCACCTTCGCCATCCCCGTCATCCTCGACTCCGGCACCACGCACACCCTCCTCCCCGCCGCCGTCGTAAATCCCATCATCCGCGGCCTCGGCGCCTACGACTTCACCTCGCAAATCGGCGCCATCCTCGTCGACTGCGGTCTCCGCACCGCGAACCCCGATTTCATCTTCGGCTACAAATTCGGCAACTCCACAACCGCGCCAACCATCTACGTCAACCTCAGCGAGCTGATCCTCGATTTCCCTGGCCTCGATCAGGCGCAGATCAAAGACTCGTTCAAGGAGTGGGATAGCGTATGCTACCTCGCCATCGCAGACAGCAGCACCGTCACGGACCACCCCATCTACCTCCTCGGCGACACCTTCCTGCGCTCCGCGTACGTGGTGTACGACATCGACAACGACGAGATCGGGATCGCGCAGTCGAACTTTAATAGCGCGACGAATAAGATTGTCGAGATCTTGGCGGGGGAGAAGATTACGTCTATTAAGGGACAGCCGGATAACCTGGCTAAGGAGGTGGCGACGGGGACACGGGAGGCGGGGTTTAATGGGTTGATTAAGTCGAAGGACGCGGACACGAGTGCTGCTGTTTCTGGGAAGCTGCCGGGTGGAGGAGGCGCGACGCTGGTGGTAATGGCGGTGTCGGTTTGTTTTGCGGGGTTGGGGGGGCTGTTGGTTGGTGTTTGAGAGGTTTGTGGTGGGGTGAGATGGAGGATTGGAGTGGCATAGACGGGAGTGGGGTTTTGCGACTGGCAGTAGTGGTTGAGACGGACACAGGATTACATATTGGATATTCCCAGCTGCAGGGTGCAGCGAGCATCTGAGGGCATAGAGTGGGGGATTTACGACCTATGGCGGTGCTGAAGACACACATGCGCCGGATTGCATATTTGATATTTACTGGCTGGAGTTTGGTGGGAGCATACTATATTTTTCAGGATATTCGAAGAGGCTCAATCGAAGCCTCTTCTGCGGATACGGGAGAGGAGGTAAATTCCTGGGGATAGAATAAAGATAGTAGATCTCTTGGAAGAGGAAATAGAGATAGATAGGTAGGAGACCTCTTATAAGTAGAAACAAAGATACGAGACCTCTCTCTTACAAGAGGAAATAAAGATACAAGACCCTCTCCTAAACCGAATAAAGATAGGAGACACGCCCCTTCCGAACACCTATTAACCCGGAAATAAGCTCATCTCTCCATCAAAATAACCAATATAAACCCATCATGCAAACATCAGACGGAACCCCATCACGTGACCTATCTCTTACCTACCAGCAGCCGTTTTCACATTCCCGCGGCGGCGGTCATCTCGATCACCTCCTCCCTCCTCTCCTCCCTCCTCATAACCGCCGGGCAACTCTCGGCAGGCCCCTCTCCCCTCTCCGCCCCCTCTCTCCCATACCGATTATTCTCCGCTCCGTATAGTGCAGTAAGCACCATCATTACCTCGGAAGCTTGGCACCCCCCCTCACTCCCATACCACCACCACGTCAGTCCGAGAAAACGCGAACCATGCGCTGCGTTGCGTTCATCGCGATGGGGTTAATATGAATTATCCCCGTATCCCGGTCACCTTCTATCTTATACCCCCCCTTGGTGGACCATGGGAGGGGGAAGCCGGGGGGGGGAGAGGGAGGGGGGAACGTTTTCTGTACGATAGATTGATCTGCAACCACCACCACTGTAATCCCACGGGGCTGGCTCTGTTGCTGCTTTGAGCGGCGGCGGGGGGGGGAGGGAGGGGATAACTGTTATTCCCGCGCAGACAGGGCGGGCGGCGCAGGGCAGGGGATGGGACGGGGAGATCCCAAATCCAATCTCCCCAGCGGCATTTAGGCGTGGAGAACTGAGAGATGGGGAGGTGAGATTGGGGCGCCGGGGGATGGGGGGATGTGGGGGGGGGGCGCATTGAGCGTGGAAGATGAAGAAGGTCCTAAAGAAGCATTTGGTCTTCTTTCTAGATGGAGATGGAGATGGGGATTATTAATAACGGAATAGCTGGTATAGGTACAGTACAGTACAGTATAGTAGCTAGTAGTAGGTAATTACGCGCAACTATACTATTGATGATAATTACGCCGCGACGGAGATTTGCAAAGGCACCTCGTGATTCTGGCTTTTTTGCCTTTACGAGAAGAGGGAGGTGGTAGATGGAGGTAGGTGCGGTTTTTGCCTTAGCTTGAGTTGAGTTGAGGTTGTTTCTTTGGGAGAGGAGGCTGGAAGAGCCGCTATGTATGTCTCACATTTCAAATGGGACGGACGGACGGTGTGGCATCCGACAGGCTCGTCTGGTCTGGGAGGGAAGGCGCGTGGGGAATAGAGTAATGCGTGGGTGGGAAGGTATAGCCTGGCTGGCTGGGCGAGCTGAGGGATAACTCGTGCTGCGACTGACTGACTGTATTGTTGCTTACTAGAGTGATAGTCAGTCCTTCCTGCCTCCTGCTCTGTACGTATACCCTCATCCTAGCAGTAGTCCAGAACGACAGAGCGACAGAGCTATAGAACACTCATGACACTTTCAATTTCTGCGACTTCGGAATGCACATGCACATCGGACCTAGCTCCCCCATTGTAGCTCCCCTCCCCTACCCCCCATCCCCTATACCCTGCATCCCTGCGCAATATCAACCGCCGTTTTAATACCCTGATCAGAAATGGGAATCAAGGACGATTAGCGGGTCATACAGGGTGGAGTCTAAGTGGACGGGGTTTGTTGCGCTAGTTGTGTGGTGTGTGGTGGTGGTAGATGGTAGGTGGGCGTACAGTACAGTACAGTAACTAAATCCATCAACTACCACATGTTATACGATGTACGGTCGTCAAATCCTTCCCTCCTCACCCACCTCCTCGCTGCTCATGTGGATCGCAATGTGTGGCGACCGTGTGGGCCCCTTGCAAGTGTAGTGTAGTGTGTTGACCAAAAAAAAAGAAGAGGCTGTGGCTTGCTTGCATGTACCTTCCGCACACACTAATGGTGTGTCTGGTACCTACCCTTCGAGCCCATCGCGCGTGGAGTGGAGACATGGAATGGGGAAAATGTCTAAGGCTCAAACGTCGTCTCATCTTGTCTAAAACGCCAATTAACTAACACACGCACGCAACCACGCAACTTTCAACGCCCCAGGACCAGCGATGGAACCACCTTTGACCCCCTTCCCGCCCCCCCCCCCCCGAATAAGAACCGCAAAGCAGGATACCAAGCAGGAGGGATGGATGGATCCAGTTACGGGATCAGCGATCAGCGATCAGCGATCAGCGATCAGCGATCAGCATCATCAGGGAAAGAAGCATGGGCTTTCTTTCTTGCCTTGCCTCTCTCTTTTCCCCCTCCTGCTTTCCCGTGTGTTGACTTGCCACTACCGAAGAGGGAACGGCACGGAAGGAATCCCACACTTGCTGTGTCGCGCCCCATCTCCCCCATGCAAACAGATCCATACTCAGGATCCCGAGGAAGGGAAGGTGACGATGGCGGGTGGGTGATGCTTGTTGTGGTATCGTCGTACCCGGTACACACACAGCGCATCACTTCCCTATGGGGCCCCGAGTCATGAGAGAGAGTTTCTGCAATTGAAGGTGAAGGTGAAGGCCGGCCGGGTAAAACGTGGTGGGAAAGATGATCAGTTCCCCCCGAGAGCAGCATTTGTGGACTACGGCACTGGGATGGGGATTGCGATTGACGCCCGCGTGTTCTCGACCGGGCTTGTCTCGTGGGACTAGTGTTTAGAAAAAGAAGCCATGCGTAGTCTCCGTGGTGGACTGTGCTGTGCAGCGATGCGCTTGCGCACAGCGCCTCCGTGCCGGGGAGATGGTAAGGGACGCGGACGGGGAAGGCGTATGTGATGGCTGTATGTATGTGTGTGATGTGTGTGATGTGATCATGATGTTCCTGGCAACAATCCAATTCAATTTAATACAATTCCAACCGTAACCCGCTATGGGCGTAAACCTCGGATCAAATCGAGGGATGTGGTAGCACATCACACACCTTTTCTGTGTATCCTGCTCACACATCTTTGCCATGGGTACGGACAATCCTTGGTGGTTAGGCCTTGGCCTGTCCCTTTTGGCTGTCTGGCCCTTGTGTTCTTCCTGTCCCATGTTCCTGTGTGGCCCTTGTCAGAATTGAACTTGGAAGAGCATGACTGATGTTTGGGTGGCTGGTGATGTAGAGTTACCATGTGGGATTGACTTGTGTATTGAATCACACAGAGGGGGTAGGGGTTGGGCCATCCATCATCCATGCCTGCCAATGCACAATATGAATGTCGCTCGTCGATGCGCCCTGCAGCTAGCTGGGTGATGGTGGTGTGGTGGCTAGGTTGTTGGTCAACGCCTTCCCCTCGTGGCAAGGATCTGAAGGGGGCAAGGATCTGATGGCCGCCGTTGTTACTACTACTGTAGTGGTAGTTTAGTAGTAGTATGAGTAGTGCTAGTAGTGTCGTAGTAGTGTAATGTTCTGCTTTGGACACTTGCTTGTGGTAGTGGGGTATGGCTATAGTAACATCTCATACTGTCTGTATACAGTACATGCACCGGCTATCCCTTGGACCTCCCCCCTCCCTCTTTCACCCCTCCCATCCCATCCCCCTTCCCCTTCCTTGCTAATGCAGAGCACAGGGAACCCGAAAATCTGATGAAAAAGAGAGATGCACATCGGACCAGTCTGTCCATGGCATAACCTAAGTTGTCAGAGCGTCTTCCTTAAACAGCTCCCGGGTTGCTGGAGAGCCATTATTTGCTGCCTCATCGTGTGTAGCAGTCCTGCACGATTTGCCCATGATGCTCAATGCCATTGCCCATTGCCCATTGCCTGTTTAAATGCACATCCGATCCGGTAGCGGAGGGTATTGGAACTGTCAACAGTCGTCATCACTATCGCACTTAAGTGCCTCACTACTACTCAAACTAACAATTTGAAAACAACAAGCACAAGCAAGAAGCACAAGCACCACAGAAAATGCATATCAGATTACCGCCGTATACGTAACTTAACTCCGTCTACACACTCTACACAATGGCCTAGTATCCAGTATCACACACGGTTATGTACAGAAGCCACAGCGGACTAACCTAGAGCCGGTACCTCCTCCGAAGGTCTCCATCTATAACAGGCATTCCATGCATGGGCCGTCAACGGGTGACAGGATCTAGTGGACGCATTATGAGCAGCAACCTTACGACAACTTAACAACTTTCCTCCCCTGCTTGCCGCTCCACTAAAGTATGTGGTATGAAGTACTATACTTGCTTGCATCTTACATCTTACATCTGACATACTCTACATACATACCCTTACCCAGCTACACCCAGCTCCCTCTTCAGCCACAAAAGCCTCAAAAGCCTCAAAATACTATACTCCGTACTATACACACACTGACAACAGTGGATCTTCCAAGAAAAGTACAGTACCTTCTTCCTTGGACTCTAGACTGTGGATAGTGGATAATAGTGGCCGGTGGACTGTGGACCGCTCCACGCGTTATATGGCCCCACGAGTATATGCTCCGCTGGCGGCCCTTCCCTGGTCACCCCGACAAAGCCTATGTTATGCCCGCCATGCCCACACCATATCCATAATCCATACCCATATCCATAACCCATACCCATACCATGCCTTGCCCATGCTCCCATGCCATGCCCCCATCCCATCCCATCCAGTCTGGAACCCTTCACGCTCGAGACCCCAAAGCAAGCCACACATCCCACATCCCTCCCTCCCTCCCTTGAACCCCCCCCTTCCACCCCCCCCCGACCCACGAACCCTCGAACCCTTCTTCCGGCAGCAATGACCCCAGTCCCGTTCTCTTTTGAGCCGGAAGATCCTCTAACGTTCTTCGTCTCTCCCAGGAGGTCCAACGGAGAAAAAGTCGCAAGTCGTAAGCCCCAGTAAAAAAAAAGGCCCCCATGCAACTTCCTTGCCCTCTTCCAGGATTAGAAGAGCACATCCCCAATGCATGGGGGGGTAGGGGGAACAGCAACAACTTCCTTGGTCGAGGCAAAGGCAAGCAGGCGGCGGAGGAGGCGGAAAAAGGGCTGTGACCACTCTGAAATCCGACGCAGGAGGAGTGGAAACGCACATACCGCAATAATCCACATACGCACCGCAACCCACCACTACTAACTACTAACTGCTGCTACTACCACCGCACACACATTATCTGGAATTGACAGTTCCTGCGCGCCCGCCCGCGCAATTATTCGATTCAATGCCCTGTCGTTCATCTTTGCTTGATTCGTATACTGTGTGCACAAACCCCCCCCGCTCTCCCTCCCCCCCAACGCCAACGAGGGTTCCCATCCATATCCTTGCCGGTCAACTAATCTTTCCGTTCAAACTGCCGCCCAGGAACTCGACTTAGCGGTTCCGTCGTGCGATTGTGTTGTAGTAGTTTGTAGTGGTATTGTTATGTACCCAGTATACCCAGCATACCCAGTATATACCCAGTACTCCTCTATACCCAGTCGCTCTACTCAATGTACTTACCTTACCATACACATACCATACTCTACTCCTACTATTACTCCTCCATCCCACGCTGCGTACGCCTGCTCATGACTAGCCAGTAGTCCACTTATATTATATCATCCCACTTCGTTCTCTCTTCCGTCTGTAATCTTCCCAACTCCACAAACGTCCTCTCCAACAATACCTTATTGAACCACTCACTATATATCCCCCGAGTCCCGAGTTTCTCTAAACAATTATTTTTTGTGTTACTATTTAATACGCCCGTTCGATTTCCAAACGTCGCTCCCTAGTCTCTCTCTACCCTCACTCTTGAAGGTGCAATCTCGCCTGCTAATAACCTCAACCCGCCACCACCACTGCATTCTGGATTTGCCACCATCCGATCTGATTACCCTTCTTCAACTTGTTCGCTTTCTGGTCGATTATCGCCAGCCGTTGCAGTTTAATAAAGATTCGAGGGCATTATTCTTCAAAGGAGCCAACTGATCTGAACGAGCGGGTCGTTTCAGCGGCGACAGTTCGGCTCTCACTCTCATCAAGCGCTGCTTGCTGGTTTTTGAGAACAGCGCAGCCGAAACCAGAACCGTTTGCGAGGCAGTAAAGCGACTCCTGGTTCAGACATCACTGCTTTAGTATCTTGTCGCCCTCTAATCAATTCTACAAGTCCTCCACCTGGACCGTACGGCGACTCGTGCACAGTCCACCACCAACGTCCGTGGACCTGATAGACGCCGTTGTTATCAGTTTCTGCCACCCACCTTTCAGACATTACTTGTCATCCGGTTACTCTTTGGTCTTCCGTCATAGATCGCAATCTACCGTTTCTAAAGGCAGACCTGCTCGGACAGAGATAGCCTTCGTCCGCGCGTTGTTCGGCGCAACAGTTGCTACACTACTCTACCTTTCCCAACCCTTCCTGGCAATGAATCTCTCGAATCTGGTGCACGGGAGGAAGGTGAGACAACCGATGGCTGTGGATTATCTCTCAGAGGAGCAATTTGAGCAGCAAAGGTTCCAGGCACAGAAGTATCCAGAGTACTACGACGGCAGCTTCGCAGGATCATACGCACAACCAGCACAGTTATACTCATACGTCCAAGTCCCTCAACCGCCGCCGTCTCCTCCGATGGAGGAAATCGCAAAATGCTCTCTCCCTTCAATATCAAGCCTTCTTGGAATCGCAGACAACAATCCCTCTCAGCAACAAGAACAGTCTCGTCCAAGTAAGTCCTCAGTTCTCCTCCCTTGACCCCCCATCTAACGCATCACAAGTGTCCCAACATACGTCCGATAGTCGTAAGAACTCCGCACACTACACATCATCCAGCGCAGCGACGACGCCGCGACAGTCGCTCCCACTTACTCCACCCACGCACCCTGACTCGGCGCCCGAAAGCCGCCATTCCCCGTCCTCATCCATCTCATCCACCTCGCAATACAGCTGTGCGTCGACACCCGCAGCGTACAGCTTTCAACCCGGACCCGCTGGCAACGTAGGATTTAACCCAGAGCGAGAGGGGTTTTCAGGCGCAGAACCGCGGAGAGCTTCCGTGCCTATGTCGCAGCCGCAGTATGGTATTCAATCTTCGTACCCTATGGCACCAGCACAGCAAATGAACGGTTACTATCCTCCTCCTATGTCTGGAAATGCTCCTCTTCCAAATGGAGTATACTATCAACAACGGCCACTTCTCAACGTACGTCAAATCCCCCTCAGTTCTATTATCCCTATACTAATCCAACAACAGTACACAACCCCCCCCTCCACAAACCCCTGGCAACACCACCACTACATCGCCCCCTCCTCCTCCTGCTTCCCTCTCCCGCAAGACCGCTACATCTGCCCAACCTGCAACAAAGCCTTCTCGCGCCCCTCCAGCCTCAAGATCCACAGCCACAGCCACACGGGCGAGAAGCCCTTCCGCTGTCCCGTCCGCGGATGTGGCAAGAAGTTTAGCGTGCGGAGTAACATGAAGCGCCACGAGCGGGGGTGCCATGGCGGTGGTATTTGCTGATGGCTGATGGCTGAGACATGCGACGGAGACGGGAATGGGGGGATGCGAAGCGATCAATCATCTTTTTCTATCTATCTGACATATTATTGTTATTCGGAACGGCGAAACGGGGGCTTGGGCAGGGGGGAGGCGTTTGAGAAGTGGGTCGCACTGTTGGATTGAACTTTTTGGGGAAGAAGCGGTGTTTCTGTTGAAAAACGGGGCGAAGATGATATAACTGCAAAGAAATTGGGAGTTTTACTTGATGGCGAAAGAATGGGCTATTACGGTGGGGGGGTTATTTTTAGTGACTACGAACGAACGAGACTTTGGGTTTTTCTCACGAGAAAGCGTTCATACGATAACGAGCGCCCAGGGCGGCATTTTTCTCTCGATTCAGCGATGTGACGAGCAACAGATACAGATACACACGGGGGGGCTCAAGGGGTAGCTACCAAAGCAACACAACACACAAAATTTAATCACTCACAAGAAATGCAAACATATCCCATTTCCACATACATACATAAAGTCTCTATTTTTATGCCATTTTGCTGGTTGAGACCGACTCGACTCCCCCGTTCCCTATTCCCCTGCGCTATCTCCATGCCCAAGTCCTTAAGATCGGCCAGCTATAATACATGTAATACGGAGCCCGGCCGGGTGTTTCTGTACTCCCCTCCCCCACTCACCTCCCCTGCCCTAGGCGGAGGAAGTTCGGAATCCGAGACTACCATCGCTGTAACGATCATAGCGAGGAATCTGATATCATAACACAACGTACCTACCCATGCCCCCTTACGAACCCAAACCCAGGATCCGCGAAAGCCGCCAGAGATGCCGCGTCCTCTGCCGTGGAAATGGGAAGGGGGCCCAGCATGGGGCATGAGGGGCGCTCGGTGGAAGTGGTGGCGAGAGAGAGTAGCAAGCTAGATGGAATGAAGCCCTTCCCAAACGCTTGCTCGACGGGCAATACGTCACCCCTAGGTACAGACAGACAGATACTGTGTCGGCGAATTACCGAATTATTAGTCGAAGCTAGCTAGTTAAACGCATAGGGACTAAAAGTCTTCAGTCAGAAAAAAGCCTACAGTTGAGACAAGACAACGCCTCGCGGGTCTCGCTTGGGTACTACTGTCTGTGGAGGAACGAACCCCTCACTCACTCACACCACTTGTAAATGCCATGACCGTGGCAGGCGAGAAACCGCTGGCAGCCAGAGAGACATGACATGACCTGTAAGGGAGCACGGCGCTGAAACGGGGAGGCGTACGCATCTGCCCGTCACCTCCCTCCCTCTCTGTCTCGCTGTCCCTTACTTCCCAGGCTGGCTCCTGGCCGCTGATGGAACACCCCCGGCCCTCAAGCGACAGCGATTACGACTACGATGGTGGGCTGACTACAGCGGATATTCTGTTGAAGCGAGTGATGTAGCACCAACTACTCGACATATACTGGGAATAGGACCGGAAGCAACTCGCCAGTCGCCCCGTCCCCCACAGTGCTGGAGGAGGGCCACTTAGAAGGCCTTTGGGGGGGGGGGGTATGGTAGCATTGGACGAGGAGCAGACAGGCAGGTAGGGAGGAACTCCGTTAATCAACAGGATTGCAGCAAAGGCGCTCCACTAATGGCCGTTGAGAGCCCACATTGCTGATTCTAGCCACTGTGTCGGCGTCGTCGGGGTTGGTAGGTAGCCACCCACCAAGCCAAACCACCACTGGCAATCCTAGCGATTGGGACGTGTCGGTTTTGGTGGTAGCTGGATTGGATGGGGCGTATGTATGTGCCGACGAGGGGGTGGTGATAGGTGTTGTCGATCGGTAGGCCCACTGCTCGCCTGCTGCTTGCTTGATTGATTACAACAGGGCAGGGCAGGACATGGGAGAAGTCAGTGTAACGCGAGACAACACAGACAGGATGCACCTTGCAGGCGGCGCTGTCCTTCCCTCCCGCGACATGTTCCTCGGTGTCTTGTATTGTTGGTGATGGCCTCCTGCGTCTACGACTCATTGGTCCCTCGGGGTTCGATATCACAAATACCGCTTGCTGCTTTCCTTGCTTTTGTCGCCCAGCTCGACGAGTTGGTTGCTGCGGCGATATTTTTACATGCGTGCACACACGCACAATCCTCCTCCGGCAGGGTACATACATACATAACGCCGCCGTCTGTCTGTCTGTCTGTATCTTTGAGAAGAGGCGAGCAGGGAGGGCCCTGTTGCGCTGCAACTGCAGCAGATCAAAGATCTGCGGACTTGGGAACCAGTATCGGTGTGCCGAAGGGAGGGTGGCTAGCTGCCGTTGCGACCCTTCGCGGTGGCAGGTCGCAGGTAGCAGCAAGCTTGACTCCATTTTTGGCCTTTTGATGGGGCGGCGTTGCTGGTTCGCCCCCCCGCGGAACATGGTCCACATTGTGGTGTGTGGGATTGTGGTGGCGGGATGGGATGGGGGTGTCTCTCCTAGAATAGAAGTCGAGGATGGGGGGGGGGGTGGAGGTGGTTGTTGGGTCGGGATATTTCCCTCATAGTTTTGACAATCCCAGTTATGTTTATGTTGCGGCTTGCTCGATTGGTACACTCGAACGGTGGCCCGGGACTTGCTTGCCTAAATTAAGAGGGATTGGTTTGAAGGGATTGAAAAGGAAGTCCCTCTCTCTCAACTTTGGAGGATGCTAACCCTAATCCCATGGCATCACTCACAGCACACCATCAATATAGCACAATTGATGAGCACACATCGGTGGCAACAGGACACAATATCCAAGATATTGAAAGGAAAAACACCACATCTGACCCACCATTTGCACTTTATGCACCGCTCATCAAAGGCATTAGCACTGAGCATATCCCCTCCCAACCCTAACTTGAAAAACGCACCCATCAGCGCCGTCAGATCAGCAAGGCACTCCGCAAATGTCTCGTCCACCGCTGCGTGCCGGACGGCAGCATCCTACCCGTCGCTGGACATATGCACATCTAGGCAAAGAGCATAGGAGGATCCTCATCAAGGCCTGTCTTGTCTTGCCTTGCCTGTAAAAAGCCGCTCTGGATGGTGGAATGCTTGTGACGTATCAGAAAGTTCCATCGCACAAAAAATGCACAGCGGCAGGGTAGCTTCCTCCTTGCCCTTTTTTGCCCACAACGCCACTTGGCTTTTTTTTTTCTCTCCTCCCGTCCGTTGTGCTTCAGGTACTGTTGCTTGTCCTGGTCCTCCTGCGACGCCCTGACTCTGCGATGCCCTGCCCAGCTCAACCCCCACGAATTTGCAGGTCCTAGCATAATTCCATGGATCTGGATGGCGATGAATAGAGAGTACTCTATCCATCCCCCCCGACCAAAAACGGAGCAAAGAACCCTCACCCATCCCCTACCCTACCACCCCCCTAAAAAACGTGTGTGATGTCGTCTCCCTCACAAGTACCAGTACCTCCCCACCCGTCCCCCTAGTCGTCCGCGGATCATCTACCTGCAGCGCAGATCCGCATCTCGACCAATGATACGCCGGCGCGGGAGCGTGCCAGATAAGATCGTCCCCGTTAAGCACGTGAGATGCACATTGCCCTCGTCCCTCTGGCCCCCGTGTGGGACGCTGTGGGGCGCAGCGGGGGAGGTAGCGTTGGCCCCGAAGGCATGGGCGATGTGAGCCGCTCATTTCGGAGGAGGCGTGTCAAGGAGGTGGTGTGGATGAGGAGGGGGGGATGATGGGGGGTACTGGTACTTTGGCCCGTTATTCTACCCTACTGCACTGGGTGCTTGTAGTGGGATGTGGTGTATTGAACTGTACATGCTACTAATGCAGTGTTGATAGTGTTAGTAAGGAGGCTAGGCTCGACGAGGTTCAGTGCACCGGAGAGGCCGTAGAGTGGCTTTGCTTAGGCAGGAATCACAGGAATCATGATTTGGGCAGAGAAGAGACAGAGAAGACTGTGCATACTTATAATTATCATACGTATTGTGCTGTTGCTATATGTACTATTCTGTTCTTGATTTACTGCCGCCGTGCAAATTATCACCGTATGTAGAAACGGGAAGTACACGTTATTTTGTGATTTCCTGCAAGTCTCACACAGCTGTCTCACCGTAAAGTATCAGATACCCCAACTTGCTTCTTTCCATCCATAGTTTACCGTACTATACTACTACGTAGACCGTATTTTGTCTTCTCTCTAGTTGTACCCTCTACCCGTTCTTGAGATGAAAGGCCCGTCCTAAGGTCCGTCCCGTGGAGCCGCTAACAGACCCGGTGCGCCACAATGTCTCACTGTGTCACAGACTTAAGACAAGGTTGATGGGGGGGCTTTTTAGGGGGCCTCCTAGGGGACCTCACCCCGTCAGAAAAATAACGGAGTGTCGACGCTGTGTTAGGATAACTATCACAGCAAAACAGCTCTGCTCTGTTTCCCTGTTTCCCTACACCGACATATGTCCACAACGCCGCTCCGACGCTATAATTGCCTCAAAGAGGTAATGGATTACATAGCTAAATTACTCCTTGTCTCTACATCCTATACCCTACAGGTAGAGCTCCACTGCTAGTGCTGTGGAGAGCTTACACGCATGCTATCCCTAGCTCTAGCTCTCTCTGAACAGCTTCAGTCTCACTTAGCTCCTATTCCAGTCAACCGGGTGTATGCCGTCACGTCCGCTGTGCTCCATACTTCCTTCCAACTCCTAGGGCCCCTTCAGTCACATTGAGATTTCTGGCCCCCGCCAAGAGCAACAACAGGGTTCTCTCCTGGGGACGGAGAGTCACCCTTGTTTTGAGGCTACAAAGGCAACGTGGGCGATCCTCATCGACAAAATGTGTTTCATGACAGTCCCGACAGGGCGTTTAGCTGCAGTAGAGAGGTAAGGGGGAGGTACTCTAATTTACTCTCTTTATTACCTCAGCGGACAATATTAATGTATGCACTAGGAAATTGTTTTGTAGGATTGATTGACCTTTCTGGGTTCTCCTCTTAGCCTATATCATAATATGATATGTTATCGCCGCAATCCCTACCCGAAACGGTAGCGTTTCCCTTCGCCAAATTGACCTCAGAGAGCGGAATTAATTGCAATTAACGATGAGGGCAACTATGAACAATTTCAAGTCTTCAAGACATATGTATGCATGGTGCTTCCGGTCCAGTTTGAGCAGAATGCAGTAATGCTCTGCGCTGCGTCCAAAAGGGGGAAGCACATACATTCTTAGTACAAGCCATGGCGGCCCAGACCCTCTGATGATCAGCAGCCATGCACCATCCCTTGCCCATAGCTTTGCGGAAGCTCAGACTCCCTTCTGTCATACCATTCTGTCGGCAACACAGCTTCGTCCAGCTTACCGCACAGTAGCTCCTGCCCAGGGTGCAATTATGGGGTTTGTACTAGAGCACGAACCGCCTTCGCTTTCGTTGGGACGATGTTTCCGCGTCGAAAGCTGGGACTGGGGACACACCATCACGCCTCTACTACCAATTGGATTACGCCTGCGTTTCACGAATGTGCTGAACGATGGGATGGAATGTGATAGTTTGTTGGTATGTATGTCACATGTCATTTATATTGCTTTTCTACTGTCACTTGAATCGTATGTAGGGGAGGAAGACATGGGGTCCACAGTCTGCGTATGCATGCTATCCCGTTGTGCGACTCCCCGGGATTGTCAAACTTGAAACCCGCGAGGCGCTGAATGGCTGTGTTAGCCACAGGATATCGGCGCTTGCAGGTTATCACTATTTCTGCACAATGCTTGAATGTGTTCGGGGGACAGCGGGCGGGAGCTTGCTTGCTTGACATGCAGCCCAGGCCGATACAAGCCAGCTCCCCCCAGTTTAGAGTCGGCGCCTCATCAGTGGGCAAGCGTCAAACGTGGCCGGACGGCGCTCCAAGATGTTCCGCACAGTAGGCCTCCCGCTTCCTGTGTGCCATTCAAGTTTCAATCACAAAAGACATGTCTCAAATGCTACTGTGACGAGGCCGAGGCAGTGGGATTATCCAGACGATGGACGTGCCCGGCTATCTCTCCTCGCGCTCTGACTTAACAAGCTCTGATATAGAGGAACTCAGTCAGGATATTCTCTGTAGCGCGAACTAACAACCGTTATTAGAGGTACCTCCTCGCCACGCTTTCTACCGGCGCTGAGCACGTTGTGAGAGGGTCCGTGGCGCTAGGGCGACGACTTAGTGAGTTAGTGATGAGAGTAATATTGACAATATGTGCTTGTGGCACCACTATGCACAGGAGTCATTAATGTCGGGTTATAACGCAGATACTATTATCCCACCTCTTGGTCGGCTATCGAAATCTAGCCTCCAAACAAGACCCCCCCTCGAGGGCGCCTCTCCAAGCGGCGCCAACTGCAACAGGCAGTATCGCCGCCCTGATCGCAAAATACTCCGCAATCATCTGCTGTGCACACGCACTGCTGGATCGGGCGGCAAGAAACCAGTACCACGGCACTAGGTACCTGCCCATCGCTCAACGGGGCAGCACACAGCAAAGAACCCACCAACCCACCCATCCTCCCACCCAGAACTGCGCGCTGGCACCGCCCCGCGCCCCGATGGCGTCCATCCAGATCCTCAGTGGCGGCCTCGCGTTGTGGGGTGGCGAGACATAACACACGCTGCCATGTAACGGCCGCGGCCCTATACCGGGCTTGTCGAAACGACATCCCCATCACCATAGCGTGCCCTTCGGGAGAACCTGCCTGCTTTTTTCCCACCTCTCTCTGCCTGCCTGTTCTGTTATGTTATGTTCTGACCCCTTGGTGGAGTCAGCGGCGGCATGACAGGACGACTGTTCCGGTTCGGCTGCACGCTTTGGCAGCATTCTGATTTGTGCACTCGTATTGGGGTGGGTGTATGGAGGATTTGCGGCGGGGGGCCCGGATTCGAATGCATAGCGAGAAGTGGTGGCTGGATTGGGAGGGGGGCAGGGGTTGCGTTGCCCTTCTTCCTTGTTGTTGGGGAGTTGGGGGGGGGGCGGGTTTACGTAGGACAGTTGGAAGTGGGCAGGAGGGGGAGGGGTCCTAAGGAGGGTGTGGGATCGATGGACGAGAACTGGGGGCCCCCGTTTGAATACTGAGAAGGGGACAGATTTGGCACGGAGTGTAGCAATTTTTTTTGTTGTTGAGTAAGGGGCTTCGGAGGAGGTTTTGCGGTGAGTAGTCTTGTGTAAAGAATTCACCGTGGGTTTGGTTCTCCTGGCCAAATTTTCCGTAGACTTGGCCTACTGGTGCTATGGGCGAGGTAAGGGTTGAGCTTGGGATACGGATGGAAAAACAACGCATATTTGCTGTATTTTTTCAGGCTTGGGCTTGTAGCTGACGGCTCTGAGTACTGAGCTGGATTGCTGAATATTACTCTGATTCAATCATGCTTTGAATAACAGTATCCCTTTGAACTCTGTGTGCTTTGATGTTAATAATCTTGTAACTCTTTGCGATTGTGGCTCTGTATTGCTCTGACGTATGCCTCTATATACTGTTCTTTTGTCGAACTGTGTCCGCGATGCCCCTGCGATGCCCAGATCCCCTCATTTTTCCACTCTTTCCCAAGGCATATCGTCATCGAGCAACTATTCACACCCAGGAGCGCTCAAGTTCATCAACTAAAACACATCGCAAGACATTAAATAGCCCAGGAGGTGATAGTAATGACCAGCTCTGGAGTTCTTCTTTGTTCTCAGATAAGTTATATTGGAGATTGAAGCAGTTAAATAGTATAGATTCATTAATTATTACTGAACAACGATAGATACAAACGTCGCTCCGAAAGCCTTCTCTCGAATACCTCCTCCATATCACTTCCATAAAACCTATATCTCCAACTTCTCAACTCCCACAAGCTCTGCCTCTGCATTCAAAGCATCAATCTCAGCCTGTACGAATGGAATCCCACCAGCCAACCTCTTCTCCATCGTCTCCTGCTCGATCTCTCCCGGAAAGAAAATCCTATCCACACCCGCCATCTTCTCACTCCCAACGACCTTCTGATACAGCGTATCCATCCTCTCCTTAAACGCCTCCAAATCCATAAACAAATCCGGCTTAATCGCCACAAGAAAATGTCCCACATCCGCCGGCTTCGACGGATCATACGGCCCCGTCACACCTCCCGCAAACGCACTCCCCGACAAAACCCCAGAGAACACATCCATCATCACAGCCAACCCACTCCCCTTCGGGCCCCCCATCGGTAGCATAACACCCTTCAACGCCTCCGCCGGGTCCTCCGTCGGCCTCCCCTCCCCATCCAGCGCCCAGTCCCCCGGAATCTTCTCACCCCGCCTCAGCGCCTTATAAATCTTCCCCCTTGCCGCAACACTGGGCGCCATATCTAGAATAAACGGCTTCGTCTTACCCGCTGGCGCACCTGCCGCAATGGGACTCACACCCATCAACTTCTCGCGCCCGCCCCAGGCCGGTAGCGCCGGCGACGAGTTCGTGAAGACCAACGACATCAACCCGGCGTCGAGAGCTTGCTGCACTAGCCACGCGGACATACCGAAGTGGTTGGAGTGGCTGATCGATACCATGCCGATACCATACACCTTCGCTGCCTCGATGGCGACTTCCATACCCTGGTGGGCGGAGACGAAACCAAATGCGTTTTTTCCGTCGATGTGTGCGGCGACGGGGGTGGTTTGGGTTAGGACTGGCTCGGCGGTGGGGGAGAGGACGCCGCTCCGGATACGGGCGAGGTAGGAGGGGAGACGTTGGGTGCCGTGCGTGTCGATGCCGCGGAGGTCGGCAAGGACGAGGGCTTTGGCGATGATGGCTGCGTGCGCGGGGGAGACAGAGTTGGCTTCTAGGAGCCTCTGGGTGAAGGATGTGAGGGAGGTGGGTTGGATGTTGGTCATGCTTTGTTGGGGCTCTGGTGCTGAGGCCATGATGGCGGGGTGGTGGTGGATTGAGGTGAGTGGATTTTCTTTTAGCACACCGTTGATTGAGAGGGTTGGAGAGGCGGGGAGAAGTCTAATGGAAGCACAATTGTAAGTTCTGGTGATATTGAGGAAGTTTGGCTTGGAGAAGCTTTATTGTTGGGAATGGGAAGCTTTATGACGGTTGATGTGCGGGGCAGACAAGAGTTAGATCCCCCACATATGGTTAGTAGTCTCTCTTCTCCTCCGATATACGGACGCAAGCTCACGGTGCAGAGTAGCTCATACTAAAATATTAGAGAAATTAAATTTATTTCATGAGCTCCTTCATTGGCCGTTTACGGCAGTTTCAAAGTTCTACGTGAGATATAATTTGTGGGATGGCTAGAAGAGTGCGGCAGAAAAACGGACATGGGGAAACTTTGGAGAGTGCGGGGAATTGGGGTCTTCACCCCCGCAAGACCAATGATCCAGCAGATCACCGATATTCTAGATGTGTCCCGTCTGGCTCCTTCACGGCATATTATACACCACCAGAAGCTGCAAATACGGTGCCCGCCGAGTTATATTATCTCGTTGGACATGAATCCGAGGTTTTGGGTGCCAAGGGGTCAACATATGCAGCTGAACGGACGACTCTACTGTGCCGAACCCAGCCCAGACTCACATCGGGAAGCTATAGCTTGCGGAAACATCAATGTACGTATGTATGCGAGCTATAGCTATGGCTATATCACTAGGTCTGTTTTCGAGGCTGGCCGTTTGGTGGCTGTGGTGCGAACGTCTGATGCGGCTGTAACCCCAATTCCCTGGCGCGGACAGCGTATTGATGCACATATCAATGACGGCCGACAATAGGCACAAGCAGGAGGCTGATACAGTAGACCAACGGTAATATATTGCTTCTATTTGACGAGATATAAGGACTGTATCGAACACTTCGAACTACTCTGTCAGGTGAAATTCAAGAGCAGTAGATACGGAACGCATGTTTTGTCTCCCGTCCGACAACGAAGAGTCCTAATGAAAGGACCTTCACATCTCGCATCGCCATAGAAGACGCGGTGCTACACAATGGTCAAACGGTATAATTTCGAAAAAGAAGAAGAGGAAATCCCCAGCCGAAGCGAACTTTGAAGATATTGCTGCATAGTGGGGCATCTTGCTTATGTAATGCCGCTAAAATCGTGGATTCCTCATCCGAAAAACTTCGTTGCCTACAACTCCTCCCACAAACTTTTGTTTCTTCCTTTCTCTTTTCTTTCAATATCCAAAAACCATGGAATCCCTCGCTGGTACAAGCTGGGATGTCGTGATTGAGGGGACGGGACTGCAGCAGTCTCTACTGGCACTGTGAGTGCCTCTGGCCTAGCTTTGCTTTGCTTTGCTCGTGTCATGTCTGACTGACGCAGCCTTTGAAGGGCTCTGTCGCGATCGGACAAGAAGGTGCTTCACGTCGATGGAAATAACTACTATGGTGGCTCCGAAGCTGCCTTCAGCTTACAGGAAGCAGAGGCTTGGGCGGTGAGCTTAGCAGGTACGTTATGATGCTGAAGATTACTTGAAGCTCGGTCCACTAATGCTAGTTTAGCTACCCCTGTCGCGCCATTCTCAAAGGTGTCATTGCGGAAAGCAGAAACGAGCACGTCGAGTGCGAAGAAGCTGTCCCCTTCACGGGCGTACACTCTTACACTCTCGCCGCAGATCATATATGCCAGATCCAAGCTCGTCTCGCAGCTGGTATCTTCACAAGTCTACCGACAACTGGAGTTCCAGGCTGTGGGGAACTGGTGGTTATATGAAAATACCTCTGGTGTCTTCCCGGCTGCGCATGAAGCTGGAACGCTGAAGCGCATGCCGAATGGTCGAGAAGATATCTTCTCGGACAGGAGCATTGACGTCAGAGCCAAGCGCGGACTGATGAAGTTCATCAAGTTCGTGGTTGACTTTGAGAACCAGACAGGTGTATGGGAGACCCATGCTGATACTCCCTTCGTGGAGTTTCTGTCGTCACAGTTCCAGCTGCCTCCATCTATGCAGACATATCTTGTTGCCTTGACTCTGTCATTGGAACCCCCGGGAGTTACATCTGTTCGATATGCCCTGCCTAGGATTGCGAGACATCTTACGTCAATTGGTGTATTTGGACCTGGCTTTGGGGCAGTAGTCCCAAAATGGGGTGGGGGTGCAGAGATAGCACAGGTTGGATGCAGAGCTGGCGCTGTTGGGGGCGCTGTCTATGTTCTGGGCACCGGCGTTTCTGACGCCGACACTGGGTCGACCGCGGTTAGCCTCAAATTGACAAATGATGAGGCTGTTCAGTCAGAGTACTACATCTCTTCGCAAGATAAGGCCATCAAAGAAATAAACTCGGACACCCCGACGGTTTCCAAGCTCGTCGCCATCGTTTCCTCCGACCTATCGTCTCTCTTCGTTTCAACCGTGGAAGGCGCCCCGATAGCAGCGGTTGCAGTCGTCGCCTTCCCGGCCGATGCGGTCGTTGTTGATGGTCAAAGCTCGACGCACCCGATATTTATCATGGTGCATTCGAGTGACTCTGGGGAGTGCCCTCAAGGACAGTGTAAGCTCAACTCTTTTTCATTTTGTTACTATGCAAGCATTCTATGATGATTCAACCTCGAATACTTATCTACATTGTCTGATACCCCTTGAAGATACAACCTCTGACAGTCTGATGAATGCTTCTCATTTACATTTTAACTATGCTCCTCGTTACAGAAGACATGCTAACATGAATTGATTTTAAGATGTGCTATACGCCAGTACCACCAATATTCGGAACCCGAAAGGGCGCTTGGAAGCAGCTCTGTCAAAGCTTTTAAAATCCGCGGATGCTCCACGTGCAGACGCGGAAGGTTCGGAGCAGGATGCTGTTCTCTTCGAGATGTATTATGAACAGTCCCGTTCCTCAACTTCAAACCTGGCGTCTAGCACTTCATGTGCCTTGCCGTCTTCATCATTGGACTTGTCATTTGACGACTCTATATTGGATGACGTCGAGGACGCATGGCGTCGTATTATGGGGAGTCCTGAAACGGAATCTCCATATATGGTGTTCGAGACTCGAGAGCAATTGGATGATGATGATGATAATGGCATGGATGGACTATAATGACACCTGCAGAGGGGGCGCGTTAGGAGTTTGCTACATACCCATGAATGAAATATATGCTATTTTTCGAACCTCCTGCCGATCTGCCGTAGTACCTGACAGCCACCACGAGGCAATTGTGTGCCAGAAAGCGCTTTCGGGGATGATGGGCGTCTATAACTTGAAGCCCAGACCAAAAGACCAAATCGTGAAGCTTCTGCCAAGCTGCCACTATCGATATCGCCCAAAGAGGCATAGTCAGGCCCTCTCAACCGAAGGGTAGTACGGGCCGTGATTGATCGGACGGAATTGAGCCAGGCGAATCAGCGACGCCGTGTAAGCGCCTCATGCATGAAGGAAAGACGGCCACCACCGAATAGCTCCATGCAATTGGTGGTGATGGATGTGATCATCACCGTCGTCACAGTTGTTTGTGGTGACTGAGGGGAAGATCCATGTTGCCAGATCGTAGTATGATCTGTGCTGGTCAGGCAATGGACTAAGGCGACCCCCAGGCGGCCCCCAGTGGCCCTCCGCATTGTCTTGCGGTATTGCGCTGCATCCCCTCCCGCTTCGTCTTCAACTCCTCGGAAAAGACATCTGCTCTTGCGCTGTCCTTGCCTTTCACCTAGCACTGCTAGAAGGTAAAGGTTCCCCAGGTGCGCCGGCACTGAGTTAGCTTGCATATATCTACGCGCCAGTCCTCCCGCAGCCAGAGTTTGCTGGCACTCCAGTCACACACGGAGGCTTCGGCATCCTACTCTGGAGGAGAGCCCAAGCACTCGATCAAGCTCAGTTGCATGGGAGCGGGACAATTTTTCAATATTCAGCCACTCACAACCGCCGAGCTGCACGGCTGTCCCAAGGCAACTGGTCTGTCTATCGATCGCATTGGCTCGATCAGCAACGTAGCTTGTGAAGTCACATCTCCCCAGTCCCACATCAACCCACCAAACAGACTGGGCGGCTGCAGCGATCACGGCCTATACAGTAGTGCAGGAACCTCCCTTGCTTCCGAACGACTAGTTCGGAATCTGGTGATACATTGGGAACGACGAAAGAAGAATACTTTATCCAGGTCGCATCTCGCTTTCCCCTCTGCTGCTCTCTCATTTTTACGTGTCTAACTTTTTGTCTGCTTTTGGGGATTTAAACGGTTGTGTCTACACTCGCTATTTAATACTCACTTGAGGAATCTGGCATTTCTCTCAGAGGTCTCGCCGCTTACTCCCAATACGAATCGATATACCCTGTTCTTGCGATTGAGCCTGGGCCACCTCCCGCCCGACCTTCCATGAAGCGCAGCGACCAGATTAAAGCGACATCAACCAGCTGGGTCAGAGGACCGAATAACGAGCCACAGACTCTGTGCGCCTCACGAACCTGAACACCGACGAAGCCGCCTCCGAAGTGCACCGTCAGCTACAGGATGTCGACATTTATAGGGAAAGGGGTGGAGGGTGCGTCAAATACGGTTGCGGAATTAGCAAGGAGAGTAAACATACCAACGACGGAGTCCAGTCTACCGGGCCAGATCGAAGCAAACACTGTCGATCCGTGGACGGAGGCTGGAAAATATGCGCTGGGCTGGACATACTTTTGCGCGGTGATGGTGTTTCTGGTTTCTGCAACGCGTGTATACCACTGGTGGACAGACAAGATGAGACAGGCGCTGTACAAAACAGAGGTGCAAAAGCACATGCTGGCCTATTCGCCAGAGTCGGAATATGCCATGAGCAATATGGAAACAAGTAACACGGTTGATCAGCTCTTCCCGCGCGAGATTGAGAAGCCAATTCGACCGGACTATCAATCGTCTGCCTCTTCGATAAACTTCATCAATGATACGCTGGCGTTATTTCGATGGATCTTTTATCGCCCGATTCCAGAAATCAACTATTATAAGAAGAAGCGCCTTAGCTTTCCCTCCTTGGCAGTGGTGGGCATAATATTTATCGCATTGGCCTTCGTTGCTCTCTACTGCTTCCTACCACAGCCACTGTACTGGCAAAGCATGGCTTTCGGCTCCCCTCCCGTTGCTATCCGAGCCGGGATGCTGGCTGTGGCCATGACTCCATGGATTGTGGCTTCATCCATGAAAGCGAATCTGATAACGATGTTAACGGGTATTAGCCACGAGAGGCTAAATGTGTTGCATAGATGGGGCGGATATCTATGCTTGTTCCTCGCACTCGTGCACACAGTGCCGTTTTACATGCAGGCAGCCAGCGATAGCAAGGGCTATGAACAGTTCCAACTCCTGTTTCCAAATACCAGTGGATACATCTTCGGAACGGGAATCGCCTGTCTCGCACCTCTAGGATGGCTTTGCATCGGGTCCCTGCCATTTCTGCGCAGCATGGCGTACGAGTTATTCCTCGTTCTCCACATACCAGTCTCAGTAGCCTATGTCGGCTTGCTATTCTGGCATTGCCGCAACTTTCTCACGTCTTGGAGTTATCTCTACGCCACCGTTGCGATCTGGGCACTCTCTTATTTCATCCGAGCGTTCAATTTGAACTGGATGAACCCGAGGAGGCTATCATTCCTCGTCGGCGATGAAGCGGCTGTCCAACTGATGGCTGAGAATGCGATCAAGGTCACTATACCCACGCAGATGAAGTGGCGCCCAGGCCAATTCGTATACCTGCGAATGCCCGGAATCTCCGTTTTCGACAACCATCCATTCACAATTTCGTCTCTGTGCAGTGAAGATTTCCCCTCTGATTACGGCGAGTTGTACCGAGATTGCACTGTAGTTTTCCGTCCATTCGGTGGTTTTACTCGCAAAGTGCTCGAGACGGCAACCGAGAAGGGCCCGTTCCAGACGTATCGAGCATACCTTGATGGGCCATACGGTGGAATGCAAAGAGAGCTTGCAGCTTTTGAGACGGTCGTTTTGATTGGAGGCGGAAGTGGTATTACAGCAATTGTCTCACAGCTCTTGAATCTCATCAAAAGAATGAGAGATGGAAAGGCGGTGACCCTTAAGATCGAAGTTATCTGGGCGTTGAAGAGGCTTGAGGCGATGGATTGGTTCCGAGAGGAACTTCGCATCTGCCGCGAGTTTGCACCGCCGGACACAGTAACTTGCCAGTTTTTCGTGACTGCCGCTGTAAGGCAGAGCAGGATACAAGGGTTCAGCGAGCGCGCGCCAAGGCCTCTCAGTAATATGTTCCACGACAAGCTAGACGGCTTTGTGGCGGGTATTGCGTCGAAGAGGAATTCGGCGCTGATCCGAGACGAGGCACAGGGTGATCCAGAGAGAGAACGAGAATTGAGAGAGGAAGACCAGGATGCTATTACGGCCTTACCGCGCCAAAAACACCTACAGCCGACCGTCTTCCCACCACCTCCAAAACAAAGTTACAATGGCGCCCCAGCCGATCCGGGCTCTGCACGAAGGGCATCACTTAGAGCCCTAGAAGGCCGCAGAGAAAGCTCGGACGATGACCACTCCGCCACACGAAACTACCTCTCGCCGAACTCATCAAGGCTCAGCAGCAACCGCGAATTCCACTTCCCCCCTCCATCTCCCGGCCGCAATGCACCACACTTCCAATACGCCCCGCCATCTCCCAATAGGGCCTCTTTCTCTCCCCAGCTATCCGATGGGCCCCAATCACACCAATCAACCCCCTCGCAAGGCTCTGGCGCCTTCCCTCCCCCACCACCACCCGCACACGTCCGCACCGGCAAATCCCTCGACCTCTCTATCACCATCCCCTCAACCGGCGCACCCGCCCCCTCTGCAGCTGCAGACTTCGACTTCGGCTTCCCGAGCACACCAACCGAGTTCCAGAAGAACTTGATGCGCTTCGCCTTCGTGAACCCGCTCAAGAAGAAGGAGGGTTGGTCGACTGAGTATGGTCGCCCGGACTTGGCGTATATGCTCAAGGAGATGGCGACGGGTGGTGCGGATGGACGTGGTATCCTGGGGAGAAGGACGTGCGTGTTTGTGTGTGGACCGCCGGCTATGCGTATTGATGTCGCGAATGCGGTGGCGGGGCTGCAGGCGGATATCTGGGGAGATGATAGTAAGGATGAGATTTTCTTGCATACGGAGAATTATGCGATATAGGCTTCTTGGGAATGGGATTGTATCTTAGCAAGGCGCATGGGGGGGTTTGACGCATGACATGATGCGAAGGGGTTTTGATATATTTATTTTATACCATAGTGACTTATACAGTCGTCTCATTTGAAACTAATTGAATACTCCAACATCCAATATTATACAATCGTGAACTTAACGGATGGTATCCGCAGCAAAACACCACATCCTAATATCTAGTTCAATATCCCTTCTCCCTCCTACCCCTTACTCAGGCTTCGCCTCCTGTTGTTGTCCCGGCCGATCCACCTCCTCAGCATGTTCAAACACACCACCCATCCCATTCTCCTCCCTCTTCACCCTCCCCTCCCTATCCCACCCCTGCATTCCCCATCCCTTCTCTTTCAGACCCCTCTGGCGCTCCACCTCAAACGTATCATGACGCTTATTCTTAGAGCTCCAGAGGAAGGAGAAAAGCGCTGTAACGATGATGAACACCGCGATGAAGCCGACCATGATTCCAATCTCCTGCCTGTTATTCGCGTGCAACATCGGCAGCTTGGGGGTTTCGGCGACCATTTTCGCGGATGGGTGTGTGTGTGTTATTGCGTCTCGCGACGTTGAAATCCGGGGTTGATTTGCGGGGTATTGGGGTATTTGTGGGTAACTCGTGGTGGTTTTGTATGTGTTTTTGGAGTGAAATATCGGGGTTCACGATGAAGACCCTTTATGGAGTGATGTGAGAGTGGTGTGAGAAGCTGGATTTTCTGGCCCTGGGTTGTCATTGCGTCATAGATCGTTCCCCTTTACCCCTCGAGTGGCTGTTTTCCTTAGTGTAATGTGGGGGAGGGGATTGTGGGGAAGGGGGTAATGACGTAGTGTCCATTGGGGGATTTTGAACTAGTGTGGTCGACCGTTGCGGACACTACTCGCGCCGTACAGCCTAGTGGTATAGTGCAACCAGTTACAGAGGTTATAACGGCATATAGACTCTTAGTGTTGCTGTCTCTGTTCTTGTATCGTCTTCGTCTATACGGAGTATAGAGAGTACATCATGGCACTAGCCAACAAGGTGCTGTACAAGACTAATTTTTGATATCCAAGTGTCTCTATAGTTCATAGCATCACCGGTTTTTCTATTTACACGTCCCCTTATTCCACTACTTCCATCCCCGCGAGAGAGGCCTTACTCACCAAAGTAAGCGGATGCTCCGGCCCCAGCACACGCGTCCTCCCCTCAAACGCCGCCTCCAGGACCCGCTGAGCTTTTCCCACATTCTTCTCTCCCTGCCTCTTCAGAAAAGTCCCATAATTGTGCAGCGTAAGCAGCGTGTCCGGGTGCTCGTTTCCCAACTCCTTTCTATGATTATCCAGCACTTCCTCAAATATCGCGAAAGCGCGGCTTGCTTTCTCTGGTCCAGAATCTCCATAGACCCGCGCCAGACCCTCTTTCGCTCGGAAGATGAAGTGATGGTCTGGCCGCAGGACAGACTTGCGCGATTGAAGCACCACATTATATTCTGCCTCGGATTCGGCGTTCTTGTGTAGATCCTCATGTGTCCGCGCCAGAATCTCAAGCGCGTCGATTAGGTACGGCCGCTTGGAGCGGGTGCATTCTTTGATCGGGTCAAAGCCCATCATGGAGGGATCGATGGCACGCAGCGCCATGCCCTCTGCATCCTCGAAGCGGCCTTGATACACCCAAACCATCGCTAAGTTCATCGCGACCCCTCTGGTGATTTCGTGGGTGTCATCATACTTCTCCTTACATCTCTCCAGAATGTTAATGAGCAGTCTTTCGGCCTCGTGGTAGCGGCCGAGATCGAAATACGCGATGGCTAGGTTTTGCTGGCTTTGTATCAACTGGGGATGATATTCATGTAGGCTTTGGTCGCGCTTCTGCATGTCGCAGACCTCTTGAAGGCATTCGGCTGACTTGACATACAGTCCTTGCATTCGATATATCACTGCCAGGCCCTCTTTCGCGTAGGACAGTTCTGTTTCCGTTTCCATTGCGCGTCCCATACTTTGTATGACCTTATTATACTGCTCCTCCGCAGTAGCATATTGGGCCTGAGTTCCAGCTAGCATTGCCATGTTTGTGCGCAACTGAAGAGTAACAGGGGCATCTGGACCCATAATGGCAGTCCAACCCGTCAGCGCTCGATCAAAGTGTTTCTGGGCCGCCTCGTAGTTGTCCAGCTCGCGCTCCGCATCTCCCAAGTCCTTTAATGACACGAGGAGATTATATTCATCCAGCTCCAACCCTTCCTCATATGCCCTCTCCCGATCAAATACAGCTATATTGTACATGTTTACCGCCTCGGCCGCCTCGTAGGTGTCGTAAAAGTAGTCGCCTGCTAGATGGCAAATATACGCAAACTGTGGTACTCGGTAGCGCCCCAGCACGTCGAGACGCGCCAGTGCGGTGATATGCGGTACACACATCGCTCGGTTCAACAAAAATTGTTCGGATTTTGGTTCTAGCTGTTCGGTCATCGCTGCGTAGAGAATATCTGATGCGAGGGTAAACCAGGTTAATTCCGTGTCAGGAGCTACCCCAAGGCTCTGAATGAGGAAGCAGATAAGATCATGCATGGTGTATGACAGTCCAGTCGTATGATCTCCTTCTACTGCCTGCTCTAGCAAAGATGCTTTTTTGAGCTGATAAAGTTCCTCTTGTCGTCTCGTCGTATCTCCAAGCAAATTCCTGACATTTCGACACAATAGGGGCTTTTGGATAGCAGGGGTGGCTCTTGTTTGTCGTCTGAAACAACTCCAAATGGATTTTTTTCGTGTTCCCATTGAAGGAGTAGCTATTTCTTCGTACTTGAATGATGAGAACAGCCGAATGGGTATATTATCGGGGCACAAAAATGACAGTAGCCGCAGGAGATCCGCTCGGTCATGACATGATTCCTCCAGCTCTGAGAATGCAACATTAAAGAGTTTTGCCAAAGGGCGTATCGAAGTATCTATAGCACTGTAGCGGTGGCCCAGAACCTAAAGTACCGTCAGCATTCCAGCATCAGAGTATACCTCTCGCGTCTTCTTTTACCTTCATCTTGCCATCTTTATTGCTCAGTACCTCCAAGAGACCTTCCAGATGTCGACCATCTCTTTTCTGGTAAGAGGCCGCCTGGGCAATGGCGATGGGTAAGTTACCGAGAAGGTGAAGGATTTCTCTTGCTAGATCTTTCGTCTCTTCCTTTGTCTCGATTGTGGGCGGTAATGCACAGCTTTTAAGAAATAAATTCAAAGAGTCCGATTCCTCCATTTTTTCCAGAGGAATGCACCTCTGGATTCGTCCCGAATCTGTGGTTTTTAGATTTGCAAGATCCTCTTCATTTGTAGTAATCAGTATCCTACCCGCCGGCGCATCCGTTGGGAGGTGTTCAAAGAAAGAGACAGCATGGGATGTGAAATTGTCGATTACAAGTAACCACCCTTTCCCTCCACTTTCCGCCCTTTCTTCCAACCACCTGCAAGTTTTGGAAATAGCATCCGGATCGCCAGAGGAGAGGCCAAGAGTCCCAATAAAGCTCGCACGTGCGCTCTCAAAGCTATCTCCATCAACCCAGATAACATCGTCTCTTTTCCGTTTGCTCCTACGGATATAGGCAAGTGCAACTTGGGTCTTGCCCATCCCATGCATCCCGTAGATGGCTACTGTGATTGGGGAATCATCCTCTTCATCTTCGTCCTTAAAAGCGGCGTCTATGAGACCAAGCTCTTTCTCCCTACCACTAAAGTATTTCGAAAGAGTTCGGCGAGGATAGCCACCTTTCCTATGTGGAATTAGCTGAGTTCAAGAAATATATGCCTTCTGTTCCCACCTTTGTAACACCTTTCCTGTGACTCGAGGGTTAGAATATTGAGTTGAAATAAAGGCTCTAGAATGGGAGTTACCTTCTCCCCGAAGTCCACCGAGGCTAACTGTAACCACAACATTAGCTTCAATTCTGCCCATGTATTAGGCTACAAGCCTAATAATTAGGCCACCCACTACCTCTAAAGTCGCTTTGTTTTGCCAATTGATAAAAGGACTTAATTGCTTCGCTGATTTTAATGAAATTAGTATCGTGCGCACTATCAAATTTATTCATTCCGCTGTGGTCTGTCTCCAAAGCACATCCATCACTGCTGTCGGCCAAGCAAGCCGACTCTTGCGGCACAATCTAAAACTCTTAGCACTTTATCATAGGTGATTCTCAGACCTAAAATGTTTACCATCACCTTGGTCTTACTGTCAGGTACAGTTTCATAGAAACAAATCACTTTGCAGTGCTTATAACGGGCATGCATGCTACTCTGCAGCTCGAATAGTGTACTAGATCCTTTCTCTAACTCTTGTATAATGGACAGGTTAACCATGGCCAAGTCTATAGACTTCACAATTGTTAAGATCTTATTTGCTGCTGTCGCGGCCGTGGTCCCGGTGTGCGGTGTGCCGAGATATATGATACCAACCACGGACTCACACAGGAGAGAGTACTTGTCTGTATCAAGTGCTGCAGTGACGAGAGCCTACAAATATTAGAAAGTCAAACGCTTTATACTACCATCGATGACTTGCCTTCTTTATAATTATGCCGCCAAAGCTATGGCCGATGAGAATAAGTGGTCGCGCCTTGTTCTGAATCGAAACGACAAGGTGATCAGAAATTGCAACCCTGAGAGCGTTTTCAAACTCACTTTGCTCCTATGCAAATCAAGAGACCTCAGCAGACTGCTGCCACATTGATACAGATTGTACTGTGGTACACGCCCAACATAATGCGTGTTGCAACCCCATGCTGAGATACGGGCACCTGGCACTACTTTGGGAAGGAGATCCTGAAGCCAGTTGGTGCCATTACGCATCCAAGTCCAGTACGGGTGTGATCCCAGTCCTTGGACGGCAACAATACTGAATTGACTGTGTTAGCTAGAACTCGGTAGACCAGCCGCGGAATTAGATATATATACTCAACGATTGGCTCCGAGTATGTTGCCGTTCCTTCGGCGAGGATTGCCATACCATAGTCGGTTTCAGCCGCGGGGTCCATTGCAGCAAATGGCAGGCAATATTTACAACAATCATTCGCTTCTGCTATAAATTATACTATAATGCCATTTCAGGAAAATATGTATGGCTAAAATTCACGAGATATTAGAGAGATTGGAGCTATCTAAGGATAGAAAGATAGGTCCCAAAGTGGAATGGCGCGGATCCTTCCACGGTCCAAGCACGCACATGACAATAAAAACAACCAATATGTCGCGAGACCAGAGAGGTCGCGAGACCAGAGAGGAATGGAGCCTCTAACTCGATTCAGTCGGGGAGAAAAACCAATATAGAATCAATGTTTATTTTATCAGTATGCATCTCAGGCCCGCAAAGAATAAATCCGATGAACTAACTAGTTGTTAGAAGTTTTTAAGGTCTCCGTGAACCACTTGCTCTGGGAAAGGAACGGGATGGTAAAACTATGTATTGCTCCAGGGAAGTGGAAGGAACAGACGTCAGTGAGGCTGGGGCAATACTCTACGAGTATAAATACACTAAAGCTGAGCTGGGGTCTGCACATCCATAGATAGCACTAAAGTATATTAATATCCAGCCTCGCCCACTCCCCTCTCACAGCTCTCTTCCTTTCCTCTAGTCGATACCTTGTCCCATACCTATCATCCCTCTCTTTCACGACGACAGCAAGAACCAGAAACGGCAGCAACCATGGGGAACAGCAACAGTTCCCAGTACGACGTACGCAGCCCCGTCCCGTCCCGTCCTGCCCCGTCCCGTCGTCTAACCATTGCTAAAACTTTTCCGCGCCCACAGGACCGCGAAACACAGGAGTTCCACAGCCTGCCCAAGTCCAGGACACGCGGCGTGCGCACCGACCAGCGCACCCCATACACCCAGCAGCAAAACATGGGGTACAGAGCGCAAGATCAGAATGGAGGGCGCCAGCAACGCGGGTACAACCAGCAGCAGTATAGCGGAAACCGGGCTCGGGATGACAGGGACGACGATCCGTGCTGTTGATAATGAAGAGTTTTGCTCTATTGGCAAAGATGACCCTGTGCGGGATCATTTCATGGAAGTTAATCTTAGCGTTGCTGAACTGCGCATGGCAACTATTTTTAGATCACTACCGGCGCCTGTAGTTTCCTTCTCTGTATCCAGCTCACTACCAAGCTTTAACTCGTCTGCGCTAAAATGAAAATACCTCGAAAGTGACGCAAAGTTTCAAAATACCTTGTGCGCTTTCCAATTACGCCAAGCTCTAGAAGTGGCCCTCTATTTCCCCTAACCGCTAAGGCGGATATCAGGCCAGGGTCTCGCGGCCTACAGCCTATCATTAAACACATACAACCGCTGTAAAAACAGAGCCGAGGTCTTTAATGTCTAATAATGGATTTAACAAGGGGATTCATGCATGCTAAGTTGTATCATCACATTGTTAGGAGTCGTGTGCATATGTTGGTGTTTCAGTAGATATCAAAAGACCCAAGGTGATTTGCGAACTAGACAGCTGCAGGGTTTGGCAGCGGCTACGTGGGGACTGTTCTAGTTTTAGTTACTATTGTTGCGAGAGATGATAGATGAAATGATATCAAATGTTTTTTTTTTTCAATAATGTGTTCGGCCCTTTTCCATTGGGCATTGAGTGAGTGTGTAGAATTGAATAATATATTCTAGAGCCAAAAGCAAACCCTTCTATTCGACCAAAATATATTCCTCATGGAAGCCGATGAACAAACCGAGCTATATGGTCACACATCCCAAAATTTCAACTCATTTTCCAGCCATTGAAGCAATACATTGCCAGGAAGTCTCACACAGCAAAATCCACGCTCCCTTCAAACATAGCCACAAAGTCCATGTCAAACTCTCCCAACCAGTCCGGCCTGAGCACCTCCTTCTTCACTGGAATTTCCACCCCCATCTCTTCTCCTGTCTCGTCGTGGACTTCAGTCTCAGCGTTAGTCCCAGAGGAGGCAAAGTGGCTTTGCTCATCTGAGAGTACATCATCCACCCGCACCCTTTTCTCAGGCAGCTGCAATAGATCTGTGGACCCTCCTCGCTTCAAAACCATCCCCTCGGTCGTACTCACTCGGTTACTGCTCGCCGTATATTTGTCATAGTCGAGAACAGCATCCACGAAGCTAGACGTCGCTTCAAGCATTGGCTCTGCTTCGGGAATTTGCTCTCCCCCAGGCAGTTGTTCGGCTTCATAAACCAAACTGTCCGGGATATCGTCCCCAAAATCTCCAAATGGAGTCCCTGAATCTGCCAAATCGGCCATATACCCAGGGTATGTATCATCAGCAGATGCATCGCCCTGCTCCAGAAGCCATGGTGGAGAAGGGAGATCGTCCCCACTCAAACCATCCCCATCAGTATTTTCTTTTGGGCCACTCTTCTCCAGGAATGCGTCATACGGCCTTGTGCCATTTCCGTATTGTGCCAGCGGTTTCTTGTTTCTCAGCATCTGAACTGGTTCCGAATTAGACACGTTCGAGTGCAGAGCATGCAGCTTTCTATAGTCCCTTGGAGCGAACTTCTCATAACGAGGAGGTGGCCTGTTTTCTGAAAGGTCGATAATCTCCATGTCGTCAAACTGATAGTCATTCTTATCAAATTCCTTGAGAGCCAGTTGTTGGGTCATTGACTTATTTACAGATTTTGACACCTCTGCATCAGCAGTTTCTTCTGGCGTTTTCTTCGTCTCTTTGCTAGCATCTTGCTTTATCTTCTTCTGCAACTTGCGTGGCTTGTCCAGCCCTTCATGGCAACACTTGTGCTTGCAAGTTTTACCGTTCTTCAGTGCATTTCCCCCTCCACATATATGATTGCATGTCCATTTACCATTAGCCATCTGAACTGGCTCGGGTCGCTCTACATTGTCATGTTCTTCAGGAGCTGTTGTTTGCTGATTCGCAATATCATCAATATCAATGAACTGGTCGGACACGGTATTGTCATCCACTGCGTGCCCAGCCGACTCCTCTGCACTCTTGACAGCAGCAAGTAAATCCTGGTCTGGAATGTCATCATCCCATTCAAAATCAGCATCGCTGTCTCCGCCACCATCATCCGTGCTGAGTATGACCTTGGGAACAACCTTCTGTGCAGGCTGTACCACAGGAAAGAGCGAGTCAGGAATATTCGGTGCTAGAATTACAGACTGAACCGTCCCAATAATCCCATCACAGGCAAGGAAACAGCTTATTGCATCACTAGAATTCGACAACTCCGTAGAAAAGTGCACTTCGAACCCCTTCTCCAGATTCTTAATATTCCCTCGCCAAAAGTGCGCCAGGTTCCCGTTGGAGACGCCAGCCACGAAAGTCAATGAGATCTGCCGATGCCTCCAGAACGGGACCTTGTGGTTTTTCAAGTCAAGCCGCGCCCTGATCTTGACCTTGGGTAGTTGGCCTAGTTTGACAATTCTGCCCATGACCTCTACACTCAAAGTTAGGCGCGGGAATGATTTCAGGGAGTCTAGTAGCTTGTGGCCAAATGGCGGATTCCTGGTCAAAATCCGCTCAATCGTCGCGGAATCAGTTGCAATGAGCTTTGCAACGCTATTTATTCCAGCTGTAACCATTTTCTTGACAACTGCCGGCCCAATGCTGGGAATCTGTCTTAGCTGCAATGGGAGATGTTCCCAGAATTCCGCAGATATACTTCTTGACAACTCCAAGGCGTTCTGCGTTGCCAGTGCGTCACAATCAACTGCTTTGCAGTCGACAATACATCGAACCAGTCGATGGATTCGTTCAAATACTATGGCTTTGTCGGTCTGGTACTGCCTCCTATTGAACTCCTTGTCGTTGGGAGGATCCACGCCACCAAGTTGAACTTGTATGATGAGCGAAATTTTGTGGGCAGTTGCTGAGACATTCTCCTTGACAGGGTATTTGATAAATGGCGACCTGTTGAACTCTCGGAACGCCGCCCGCTCTGTCGGTTTCATTCTCAGGTCTTTAAATTCCGAGGCTTGAGATATGATATGCAACTATCAAAATTAGTTTCCAAAACTCAAGCTTGTGAGATTCACTAACCATTTGGCCCATTCCCGCGTGTTCGGGGATGCTCAGTAGCAGCTGCATAGTCTCGAATTTTACCATATACTTTGACATTGCCTGGCCGTATTCCGTGCATATGAATCTTTGGTCAGAAGTGACGAGCTTGGTATCTTGAAGCATTTTTATATCCCGCTCACAGACCTGTTCCAGTCTCTCGTCGGGATCTCTACTTCCTGTATCACAACTGAATTTGTAGTAAGTAGGATTTTGCTTCATGCGGACACTCATGAACGTTCCGGCAAGCCATTGCTTTGCGGAGTATAGATCACGGACAGTACCAAGGCCAATCTCCGAGTTCAGATGTTCAATGAGATTTAAGTGCAGCGTACTTTCAAGTACATCCTGACCTGATATCATCCTTTTGTAGCGGTCAATGCTAGATTGCCGCGTCATGATTATTGCAACGGCCGAGTCATCGAATTGCGGTCTCCCAGCTCGCCCAAGCATCTGCATGACTTCAAGATCTGAATATTCCGCAAGTCCGCCATCCTGGTATCCGACCGTGCCTTTGAGAACCACCAAGTGACAAGGAAGATTAATGCCGACAGCCAACGTTGACGTACAGCATATCACGCTGATTTGCCCATTCAGATACGATTTCTCAATCACCATTCGATCACCTGGATCCAATCCAGCATGGTGGTAAGCAACGCCTCTGGCAATTAGATCTTGGAGATCCTTGCTGCTCACTGGTACCCTCGTTGTAGGAGAAGGCCAAGCACGATCGACAACACGAGAACTCGCCCACCATTCTGCAAGTTTCGCAGCAGTGTTCTCACAAGATTTCCTCGTGAAGCAGAACACTATTATCGGTTTCTTGTGTGTATATTTGGCGATAAGTGCTGGTAGTTTCCCGTCTAAATACGAGTCAAATGCAAAATCATTGATGGTGCTATCAAAGCCGTGAACATGCTTCTGGAGCTTCACTGGGCGGTACTCTTCCCCAAATGTCTCACGGTGAGCAGGAAGGTGGGTATTCGTGTGATCTTTTCCTAGCCACACTGCGATATCGTGAGAATTGGGAACTGTAGCACTCAACGCCACAAACCGAACATTGGCACCAATAGACTTCATCCGCGAAACAACAGCTTCAAGCGTTGCACCTCGGTTTTCTTTCAGAATGTGGACTTCATCAATAAGAAAGAGCTTCACGAGCTGAAGCAGCTTGATATAGTCTTTCCACTTCCTGGTAATGCTATCCCATTTCTCAGGTGTCGTAACAATGATCGTTGCACTACCAACCTTTCGCACCTCTACTGCGTCGGTATCGCCAGTCAATTCAGCCGTGGCGATGTTCAGATTTCCAAACTTCACTCCCCAATCTCGGGCCCTCTCAGAGCACAGTGATTTCGTAGGAGCCTGGTAGACAATTTTGAACTGTCCAGATGAATGTGACTCAATGAGCCTCACAATAGCAAGTTCAAGGATTGCAGTTTTGCCACCACCAGTAGGGGCAGAGACGACAAGATTATCATCGCTCTTATAAGCCGCGGGGAAAACTTTCGATTGCACGGCATTGAAAAGTGGGAATGGAAAGACAGACCGAACCCTGTCAGGGAGCTCACGCGTTGATACCAACTGGATGCCATTTATCATGGGAGGGGCATGAGAAAGTTCAAAAGCGCCTCTAGGATCTAGCGTTTCGTGCGGTGGACTCTCTTCGTATACGGATTGGGGCTCCGGAGATCTTGCCCGTTGACTTGCACGAGCTTCTCGGCGGCTAACAATCCGTCTGGTTGGGCTGGATCCTGGGAGGTTCGGAGAAGGGCTTCGGTATCCGGGTGGAGTAAAGCTCTGTCCAGCTGTAAAAGTTAGTCTACTACCATGCATCAGGGTTGCCTGCAAAAGAATCACTCACACAAAATGAAAGGCGGAGATGGCTGTTGTCTCCGCGGTTGAAGTTGGCTGAATCGATTATCTGCATAATGGAACGTAGATGTATCGTTAAGTGATCTTGGTGGTTGGGTTGTCCTCATACTTGGAGGCTGTGTGCGGAGATTTGCCAGTGTTGAAGCCCGATTTGCAACTCGATAAGCTCCGTTTGGATTGCCATAAGTATGAAAAGTATCGCCGCCCGCAACGGTAGACCCATGAGCAGCCAGCAAACTTCTCGGTGTGAGCGAGATTCGTGGAGCTCCAGTGCCATGTTGCTGTACGGCATCAGATTGCAAGCCTTGTCTATCTGTGCATCCACACAATTAGATCTGTGATATGCACTGGAGAACTCAAAGGAGCTTACCAAAGGGATCATATTGAGGAGGTCGTGGAATCTGTTCCTGAGGAGGTCTAAAAGAAAAAACGTCCTGGAGACTGCTGTTATTGCTGAAGTGACGGCTGAATGTTGGCTGAGCTGGAGGTAAAGTATTCGCACGAGAAAATGGAATCATAGGATACACATCATCCTGAACATTTGCACTGGCATTATCGATGATCCTCTGCATCCGTGGATCCATCGGGAACCCCATAATGAGGCAGGAGAGAAAGAAAGACTTAGAGGAGCAGCATTGGAACGAGAGGCACTTCAGAGATGAACATATATGAGAGGATATTAGGAGAGTGATAATCACTTGAGGCTAACTTATCGATTGGAGATGATTTGAATGGCAGAGATTGAAAACTGAGAATATACGGACTCAACTGTGAGATGTGGACAATTGCGAGGTTGAAATATTGAAATCGGTGGGGGTTGGACGGATTGGGACAAGGGGCTCTCGCCAGTTGCTCCAGCTGTATTGGGAGGTGGCAGTGTCTGGCACAACCAACAACACTTCAGATGGCACACGGCAAAATGCTGGTCTCCTTTGGTGCATTTTTCTCAGGTGAATAAATCTCAACACTTACATATGGTTGTTGGTAATAAGCTGGAAACAAATAAACCTTTTGCCCAGATTCAAACAAGAGGGTATTGTGAAAGTTGCAAGAAGAGACAGGGTAATACTCAAACAAATATATTTCTATAAACTCCATCCAACATGGAACGGAAATATATCTCACATCCGGCCCACCTCAGCTAATTTCCAAAGCTTCGTCTAACTGGCCTCGCAGTCTTCGCTGCCCAAGATCCCTTCCTTCCATGCAAAATGCTTCCCTCCAGTCTAACCACCTACCCCACCCTCCTGACGCCTGGTATCACGCCGTGCCGTCGTTCGGCATTTCCATTTCGAATCCTGCCCAGTTTTGTTTTTACCCTTCCTTGCCTATTTGATTTACATGCCCATATATGCAGCGAGAGAAATTGACCGTTCAGTCTTCTCGCTTGCCTTTCCAGGCGCCCGTCCTCGGTTGGCCGATTGGCGAACTTGGGCGGCTCGTGCTCAAGCCCGCTTTGTTCGTGTTCATCAAGTCTAATGGGGTAAGAAGGTTCTTCTTGTCTTCGGCGGGAGTGTAGCCGTTGTCAATCGTCGTCTTCTCGTAGGTTGCAATGTTGATAGGCGGTGGGCGAGAGCGGCCCTTGTCATTAAGGCTGTAGAGGTATGTTGCAAAGATGACAACTGCAGTGCCAATGAGAAACTATAATAGGTCAGAACCTCCTCTCTCCCAAATAGTTTCTGAACCTGTTCAAGGGTAGTCGAGACTCACATTGGATGTAACCTTAAAGTCGAAGAACCAAACGCTGAACAAAAAGCTCAAAATAATGCTGATACTCGTCGCGAAGTTCTTCGCAATGTTATCCGCGTAGTTAATGCACATTGCTACCAAAACACCACCAAGCGCCTGGAACGCAATCGCCGTCCAAACCACAGAATTGTAGCCCGCGAAAAATCCGTTCTTTGCAATTTCGCCGCCGTCTTTGTACACAACTCCAATGAGGAGGGCAGGGAAAAGGGAGTAGAATGAGAGCTGAACATTGCGTGTCCAGACTGTGATGGATGCCGAGCTATCTTTCAAGACCTTCTCGAAATATACGCCTGTCAAACCCGAAATAACGGAGGCAGTTAGGACGGCGATGCAGCCAAGGGAGTAATTCATGGCTGCCTTTTCATGGCCAAGATCCTTGTCGATGCCCTCATAAGTAGCAGAGCGCTTTGTTAGCGCCGAAAGACTTCTCTTCGATACTTCATCTGCGACATGATGGGCCGCCTGTCCAACCTCGTGGAATGACCGCGGAAACGCGAATTTCGACGCATCCTCAAAGATGGTGGCGTAAGAGACCTTATCGGAAGATGGAAGCTGCACAATGACAACACCGATAGTGAGTAATACAAGAGCAGTCCATTTCCGCCCAGAAAGTGTGCGTCGAAGCATGGTTACGCTGAAAAGGGCAGTGGTAAGAATCTAGAACGCACGGATTGGTTAGTTTGTTGTATTTATCTCAGGGGATGAGGGGGCAGACCTTTAGTTGATACAAAATTTGAAAGTGAACAGCATCCAAATTGCTCACTGCAATATATTGGAGAGAATTCTGAAGGGTATATAACGACGCCGGGATCGCTAGCTTCCAGCCATCTCCGGAAAACACAGAGTTGTAAAGTTGTTCAAATAGTGCCGTAGCAGGTGTCGATGGGGGCATTGTCCGCGAAATGTCGTATAATGCTATGGTTAAGCTGACGGATAGTTTGAGTACTTCGTTCAAGAGGACCGCTGTGGATGTGAAGTATCGGTGCCCACCAACAACGGGCATGATGCGGGAGTAGTGCATAATCTGGTTTTTATCAGCCGCCATCCCATGTTCTCACAATCGCGGTATGCAAGTTCGGTAATTCATAGTGGGTAGCAGGTGTCATGGAGACGTACGAGAATGAGGGCGGAGTTTTGGAAGGTGAGCTGCAGACACCGTGGTTAGTATGACTTCATCATTGTTCTTGGGAAAAAGAGCTCACGGTGATCAGGGAAACATGTTTCATTGGCACCCCATAGAATGTCGCACTCTGCGACTTCTCCCCCGGTGCCATGGTGAGTTTCTTTTCAAGTAAATCCCAAGGTTGGGTTGAGCTTCGTCGATGCGCCCAGGAGTCTCTTTGTCAATCGGCTGCCCGTGAACCGACCAAGCGCAACACAGCTGCAAGCCTCTTTTTCTTCACAGCAAAGCAAAAAATATGCAGCGACGTCAGAGTCAGTGATGAGAGTTCCACCAAAATCCACTTGTAGACGGCAGAGGAAGAGTTGAAGAAGCGTTGTGCAGCGGCCGTGAAACCGCAGAGACAATGAAGGGCAAAGGGCCGCACAGGGCGCAGTTCTGGAACTGTGGAGAAATCGTGACAGCGCGACAAAACGCACTCACACACCAAAACAGGGTTAGTTTCCAGGGGTCGGGTGTGGGAGCTCACTTGGCGCCACAGCAATACATGGGGTTTAGCGCCGTTTCCCCGGCTGTTACGAAGATCTGGGCGAGATCGCGAGGGACGTACCGCACAGTTGAGTATCCCACATGTGACATTTTGGCTGCCGCTGTCTATTACGGTGGCTTTGAGTGTTACATGTAACAACAAACTGCTGAATAAATTCGATCACACAGTTCTATATATATCAGATTAAGGACTTAAATGAGCCAGCCACTCATCAGTCAATCTAGGAGAATTTTATTTTTATTTTACCGGCTATAAATGGTCCCCCTTCCGACATTGAGGTGGCACAAGTACTACACAACCCAACTACCCACAGTCATGTAAGGATGCAGCACTCCGCGAGCTCATCGATAGCTCAAAGATCTCGGGCTTTGCAAACGGGAGATATAGTGCATAGGAGATATGACTGATCTTTTTCCTGTCAGGAAGTGGCGGTCTGGTCGGGAGACAGGAGAGCCCCTTCCTCCCGTTGACGATGCAGCTCCTGACTCGACGTGGTAAATCCAGACCGTACGCGAGTATGCGAGGAGGTGGAGAGCACCATCATAACACCCAATCATTCACTGCACATCATATCTAGTTTGGTAATCCGACGGCAATAGTGCGTTTGATTGATCGCACGATCGCATTTCTTTGCTGTCGATATCCTTCAAGTGAGGGGTGGCAAATTCAAATGTTACAAGTCACAGTACAATGTTGGCACAAACAAGATGGTTATTATCGGTATGAGGGTTGTATTTCTACCATATGTACTGGGGTAGTAGTACTACCATTAAGCTCTCCTATTCCGCGACCAGTACAAGTTTCCAGTCCCATATCATTATTACCAAGACTCCTTTTCATATGCCTCCCAAGTACCTGTGTATACCCATCATGCGCCATCGCGATGCTAAAAAGAAAACAAAAAAAGAAAAAACGTATCATTAAAATCATCATCCAAGGGTAGTGCCCCTGAACTCCCCAGCTATCTAGTTGCGGCTGCCTAGAAAGCGGGAGATAATGTTCTGGCTGCGGCCGATTCCCATGCTCATACCCATGCGGGCACGGCGGGAGGACTGCTGAGTTGCTTGCTCAATATCGTACATGGTGGTGATATCCGGTTGGACTTTGCCGTGGGTGGGAGCGGCGATGTAGACTTGCTCAGGGCTCATCGTAGGAGCGACTGGCAGGTAGTAGTCATCAGACTGGCTGGGGAACATATCCACTTTGAGATCTTCCTGGAAGGAGTTGATGGATGGAATCCGTGATATCGGGGTGTTTGATCGGCTGCGGCTGGACTCGCGAGATGAGTGCCCGGAGTAGCATCCCATGCTGTACGAGCCGGTGGTATCGGCGGTGCCGCTGCGGGAGAGATCGGGGATATCCGATGCAGATGGTGTGCGACGCTTGAGGAACTCGGCCTTGTATGCCTTTGCCGAGTTGTACATGGCTCTTGGCTGTGCCACTGTTGGCTCACTTGCCTCGGTGCGAACACTGAAGTCGTCCAGGGCAGGGCGTGCGATTCTCAGAGTGTTGCGCTCCGCCTCACGTTGAGCCAGGTACTCGCGATGGCGGATCTTGATCTGTCTATCTTCTTCGATGGCATTGCGGATGGGAGCCAAGAAGGGCTCAAAGTGGCCCTCAAGCTCGGCGAGACCAAAGTTGAGATCCCAATCCAAAAGGTAAAGGAGCTGTCTCTCCATGAGATTGACCTCATTCCTGGAAAAGCCGAATTGGGAGAAATCTTGATACGACGTCGAAGGTACCGAGGTATATCCGGCCCAATGTTTGTTCTTTGGCGAGGAGTCGTTGAGGAATTTGGCAGAGAGGATGAGGCACGCGAGGAAGATGCGGTGAGTCGTGCATCGTAAACCCTTGGCAACGGGTGGGAGCTTCTTCTTGAGACGGTGAAGGTACAAAAGAGTGGTCATCAATGTCGGGACTTGGACGTTTGAGTGAATAACGAGGGAAGTGATGAACTGTTCAAGAGATGGGATCTTGAGGTCGGCAGCCGATAATGTTGGTGGCGGCGTCGTTGGTGGTGTGGGGGTTTGTTGAAGATGAACCTGTTCTGTGGTGGGGAAAGTCTCGCACTGAATGACTGCTTGGGCCATCTCGGCGAGGTATGAAATCATATCCTCTGTAACTGGAGTACAGACGAAGTGCTCGAGGGCAGCAGCCTGGTGTTGGTGACAGCGTGTGGAATCCATTGCGAGATGTTGGTAGATGATTCGTGAAAATGCTGGTACTTTGAATGCTGAAAGTGAGAAAATGAAGTTCAAAGCTAACCAGAAAATGTCGGTGTGCGAAAAAGAGGAAAGTATCTACTGAAGAAATAAATCCACAGAAGATATAAGATGAGGCTTAGTATTGATGGGTACTTCAATACACAGCCAGGTGATTGTTGAGCGTGCGAATGGAATTAACAATTGGGAGTTCCTATTGTCTATTGGCGACAATTGCTATTGTCGTTTTGGCGGTGGGTGGTGGGGTGGTGCGCAAGGCTGAGGCTAACAAGAAGGCTGACCGCTGGATTTCGAGAAGGACCGAGACCTGGGGTTGACGAATAACAACGAACTGTTTTGGCTGCGCAAATGAAAAGGCGTAATCTGACCAGCAGAATAAAATTAAGGATTATAGATTTCTCGAAGGAGTTCGAATAACAAGGCTTATGAGAGTATCGTTCAAAAAAGGAAAGGAAAAAAAAGGAATCCAACACCGGGCTAGAGATGACGAGGCAGGATATCCCAACAGGCGGAAATGAGCGACCTTAAAAGCCTGGAGGCTTCTCAGTGCAGCTGGAGTTTGGCCTTGTTGGTGCTGAAGAACGCCTGCGTCAAACGGCGATGTGCAGGGGTTGATAGGGCGAGGCAGTGCTAAATCGGGAACCGAGGGCGCGAAGCGGGCTCCTCTTTTGGCGCTCAGCGGCAACACAAACACGACCCTGTTTGAAAGGCCACCGGTACGGAGACCCAAAACTGGAGCGCGGCAAATGAAATGAGCTCGCAAGGATGTCGTGACTGGCGATGAAGAGCGGGTATCGCGTTGGTGGCGCGGGGTTAGATGTTGTGGGAGCTGGGTGAGGTTGACGGCGTTGTGAGGCTTCGTTGGGGTATGTTCTGTAGTTCTGCTTGGCTGCGGCGAAGGATGGATGATACAATGCAGTGACAGGCTTCGAGCACAGTTTCGATCAACGAGGGCGCTTGGGTATGATTCTGTGGGGTTTTCGTGTGTTTGAGCTTCAACAGTGACTGTTGGTCTGGTATATCGTCTGTGAATGTCGATACACCCGTCGTGGTCAATCCTTTCAATGATGGTGGTGAGAAACGAGCAAGGTCTTACTGTCGTCGTGACAAGACTTCAAGCATACAGCAATGAGAAAGCGATCGAGGACGACGAGGTGGGCTACGTGGTTATACTTATTCGGAAAGACCATAAGAAGGGCATTGTATTCTGTCACCTGTTTCAATTTTACAACACCCATTATTCCATTCTTTTTCAGACATCCTGCACCCCTGGCAACGCCAACAAGGTGCCAACCCGAACTATGAAGTCTAACGACTGCCTTGTGCAGACTCGTAAGGACCTACGCCAGCTCCGTTCCCATGGTTGGCCCAGGACTCTTCGCGGCCTCTCTCGCGTGGTCCGGCACGGAACAGGCCTGTGGGATCTCAAGAATCGGGAATAGCATGTACTCGCCTCACCAATATTAACTGACATGTACTCAGAACCACTGAATTCGGCTTGGCTCCCAGCTTCTCTCTCCTTGCTACCTAATGTCGATCATAAAATTGCAATGTATGACAACCTTGGTCCTAAGACACTATACGGCCATCTGACTGGCACACTCGGGGGCATTCAAACTACACGGGCGCAAATTACGGCTCTTCATCTACTTCACTCACATGCTTTACCTGTATCGTGACTGGATCACAGCGGACCAACAGAGCAGTGGACTGTGCCGTTTCAGAATCTAGGGGGCGCCATAAGCTGACCAGCAGGCCACCAGCTGAACGGGCATCGGACGACGACGAAAGAGTCTCGTCCAAATAATAGGCCGTTACGGTAAGCAGAGACCTTGTCCCGCTTCGAGGTAACAATGCTGTCAAAATGTCTTACATGGCTACCTAAAGGAGCCACGCCCACGAGAGACAGTGGAGTAGCTGGCAATAGAGTATTCCGGAGTGGCTCAGAAAGTGACGCCTCAGACCGTGGCGTAAAGTATACAAATACGCGTCGTCGATCTTTGGTCATTTCATGCATTGTTGGCAGGAGAAGGGACAGATATTCAGCTTCGGAAGCTCAAAAGACAATGCGCCATCTCATCTCCGAACTCTTCCAGCTCGTCATGCGAGAGGAGGGCATAAAATTGCGCATTTTGTTTGCCAAATTATGAATGTTTCAAGCAAGGCTATTTACTATATCGGCCATATACCTGTGATCGCCTTCGACATGAGTGATGTACATGAGATCTGCCGCGTTGCGATCTCACCAAAACACGATCGCAGGGCTGTTGATTCGACACGCACCTCTATTAGGAATGCTGAAACAAGCTGGTAAACACAATGTGTTGACATGGGAAATTGGTAGGCCAGTCGCACACCGGTTTGGACAACCATCCGGATAACATGGCACGAAGATTCGCTGATAGCATAAGCTTAACCGGATGCCAGCACACAGAAGTTATGCGCGGGCGTGTCCTGCATAGCCCTGAATTGTGACATCTCAGCCAACCCCTTTTTTGTACAGGGCGCTACGATGCATCATCTCTCCCTTTTTACCTGCAGTGGCCTAACAGAAATCAGGAGTAAGGTGCATAAGTCTTGCTGTCCCATAAAGGAGGCTTCAGGCAAGGAGGTTTCCCGAGGAGCAACTATTGAAAACCCAAGAAATAGTTTGCATACCGCGTAATCGGACAGTGAACCCCAGACCCCCAAACGAGGCTATGTCCACCGCGGATCCGCCGTTCAAGCCACCCGCGTCGTCCCCGCCACACCAATATTTGATTCGCTAGCCTCGTCCCGTGCTGAAACAGCCACCCAACCAATCGTCCATCCCGAGCCTGTCGCTGCGCTCACGACTTCCCACGCTCGTGACGGCTATATGCCAGCTGGACAGCCGCATGATATACCCAGCTGTGCTGGCCACGAGTTGTGGTGTGGCCGAGGTGTGCTGCGGCGAGGCAACTTTAGGGGGTCAAGACCCTAACCCTCGAACGCTTCATGTGAAGAACGTGCTCGTCCGAGGATGCTCGTGATCGTCAACCCCTGGTCGCGCAATGCAATACTCGAGCACAATCAACGCGCAGATGTTGCACGGAGTACAATCATCCCTTAATCTCCAGACGCTTTGGAGGGGCAGTGCACCGTCTACACCACTTATCCGTTATCGCCAGGTACAAGCGCGCATCGTCCCATGATAGGCTCATTCGAGGCGAGCGCTAAGCGCCCGAATCCTACAGCCCCTCGTTTGACGCTACCCCTCCACGCGTACATCAAGCGCCTACCTCCCCTCCACGATCTCAGCGCTTCGAGCATCCCTTATTTTCCAGTTTATTCTTGTAGAGACAGGCGAGCGTCTTCTCAAACGGCGCTGCGCTTGGGCAGGGTGGGGGCGCTTGATAGTGCCGCATGAACGAGTATTTATAGATTCGGCGCCAAGATTGGACTGTATCACAATGCAACCGTGGTTCTGGAATGTAGGCGGGTGTTTGGAAACAGACTGAGCTCTCTATGCAGAGGGTTTCAGCGTCGTCTGTTTACATCCAGGGAATGGTGATGACTAACTTACACGAGCTCTTAAAGGATATCACTCTGGTATATCGTGAATGACAGCGAAAACCAAAGCCTGAGGACCACGCAGGATGACAATTGATGAAGGTAGGCATTTGTTAAGGGAATTTATACTCTTGGGTTCATTAATATTTGGGTTTTGTGCATTATATCATTGTCTGGTAAAGGGGGGTTGTTTGCTGGTACGTTTAAGAAATAAATTATATCAGATGTTCAAAATATTATATTTTTTTCAATTTTTAAAAGCTACTAATTATTATTCCCTCCTAGTCCGTTGATAATATTTGAGCATCAAAATGAAGCAGCGAGCACAATAGATTATTCCGGTGCTCGAGGATGATATAGAGAAGTACTTTCGACAGGAAAGGAGGCCTGGAATAGCACCATTTTCAGTCACTCCAAGGACTGATCTTGTCACCACACCTCTATCACCACCTCCCGTCACCCCTCTAATCACAACATTGCTGTCACTACACCGCTGTCACCGCCACTACCACCGCCACCGTCCTTACTTCTACGCACACACCAAGACTGCAAACACTCTCTTCTTTCCAATCGCTGTAACCTCAGAGACCATAGAGACCAGAAACCTTTCAATGTCGACTCCAGTAGGAGTCTCTTCTGTCCTAGACCATATTATTAGCCATGCGAGCATAGGTAAGGAAAGCTAGACATACCACTTTGTTGCTTACCTCTTCTCAAGTGAGTGGAGTTGGAAGGCCACAAAGCGGTTCATCCACAATGCTAACAAGTATTCTGTCTTTCGTGAGCCTTCTGCGTTAGTAAGAGTCTTAGACACCTTCTTCAATTTAATGCGATCCCCGAAGGAATGGTTCATGATAGCTTGGATACTGCTGGTGCCGGTGACAAAGAAGGGATTTGGACGCCTCTCAAACCCCATATCAAAGCTGTCGAAGCCATCCTCAACGTCGTTGCAGTTAGATTGTATGATTAGACGCTGTCAAATGACCCTTCACTTTAGAAATTATATTTCCATAAGAGCCTTTCGATTTGCATATTCATTTATCTCCATCTCTTGCTGTCTTGAACATTTGTATTCATATTCATACACTATTCTCCCGCATGTTTTAAGCTAGAATGCCTGGTATTTTTAGTGTGGACACCTAATAAATATAAAATAATTACTATAAGATAGAACTTGCAGTATTTATAAACTTTATCATCTGCAGTGGTAATAGAGTTGAAAATATATATTTTGTTACCTCACGACGCACGTGTAGTTCCAAGCCCTAACGAAAGTGTGTCGTCAACCGCGGGGTAGAAAAAAATATTTATCCACAGCGTCCGTACCTTGCAGGGTTACAGTACGTATATCGCATCGCGTTATCCATTATACTGTCGCGTTTATAAAATTCTATGCCGCCGACCGAAACAACTGAAATACTCTGGCTTGGAGACATTGAACTACGTCGCGGTCGTTGATTGATGTTATCTATCCGACCCCCACCATCCCCTCCTGACTTGTCGACTGCCTCTCAGACATCCATACCGCTCGCTAAGTCAGATATCCCGAAACTTGCATTTCTTGATCAACATCGCGGCTTCTTTCTTGTCTCTTCTGCGCGTTTCTGTTTTTGCATGCGACGATGTCAGCTACTGGAAGGCAACAACTTTAAGAGGGAATTCAAGTGCGAATCCAGCCCTTTGTGATCACCGCCATAAGAACGCCCCTCAGAATGGGCGCCATATTAACGAACCGACAAGCTGAAGAGCTGTACGTTTATCTTATGGGCGATAATAGCTGAAATCTCGATTGATGCTAACTATGTATTCACAGACACAAGTCGATCATTGCATACCTATCAGCAAATAACCTACCAAACACAGCCGCTGCCCTCAGGGAAGAATTGAGTCTCGGAGATGATGTCTACGACGCAGCTACAGCAAAGAAATATGAATCGCTGCTAGAGAAGAAGTGGACAAGCGTCGTCCGGTTACAAAAGAAGGTACGCATAGAATGAAGGGTCTCCCTACAGTCTACCACACTTGACCGCCCCTCTTGGAGATCTCTCTGACCAGCTTCCCATTGCAGATAATGGATCTCGAATCCCGAAATATAGAACTGCAATCCGAAGTCGACAATGCGACGCCTACCTCCTTATCCAAACGGAATCAAGACCCGACAGCTTGGCTTCCAAAAACACCCCCGCGACACACATTGGAATCACACCGAGACACCGTCAACTGCGTTGCTTTCCACCCCATATTCTCCTCCATTGCCTCTGGCTCCGACGACTATACTATCAAGATTTGGGACTGGGAGCTTGGTGAACTAGAGACGACAATCAAGGGCCACACAAGAGCAATTCTGGACCTTGATTATGGCGGGCCAAGAGGTCGTGTGCTGCTGGCATCCTGCAGCTCTGACCTGACTATCAAGCTGTGGGACCCTGCAGATGCCTACAAGAATATCCGGACTTTGCCAGGCCATGACCACAGCGTCAGTGCCGTGCGATTCATACCGTCGGGGTCATCATCTGGGAACTTGCTCGTCAGCGCAAGCAGAGACAAAACCCTAAAGATATGGGACGTCACCACCGGTTACTGCGTGAAGACACTAAACGGCCATTCCGGCTGGATCCGCGCGGTCACCCCCTCCTCTGACGGGCGTTTCCTCCTCTCAACTGGCGACGATATGTCCGCTCGACTGTGGGACATCTCGGCCTCGAATCCAGAAAGCAAGCAGGCCATGTTCGGCCACGAGCACTACAACGAGTGCTGCGCATTGGCGCCGCCTGCCTCGTATCAAAATTTTGCCACCCTGGCTGGACTAAAGAAGCCTCCACCCGCAAGTAGCACTGCCGAGTTCATGGCTACCGGGTCGAGAGACAAGACGATTAGGCTTTGGGATGCTCGCGGGACTTGCCTCATGACGCTTGTTGGCCATGATAATTGGGTGCGGGACCTCATTTTCCACCCAGGCGGGAAATACCTCTTCTCTGTATCGGATGACAAATCGCTGCGGTGCTGGGACTTGAGCCAGCAAGGAAAGTGTGTCAAGATACTTCGGGACGTACACGAGCACTTTGTCACTTGTATACGATGGGCGCCGGGAATTGTTAAAGGGGAGCAAGCGACAGAGGAGCAGAATGGGGGGGCCGTTGGAACGCCGAAGAAAGCGGTGGCGCCTGAAGTTCAGATACGATGTGTGATTGCAACGGGGGGTGTGGATTGCAAGTTGAAGATATTTGCAAACTAAGGCTGCAAAATAATTATGATATCCAGGCCTACAGCATAATACCAAGGAGAGGCTATACCGGAATGAGAGATGGCCAGCCCGAGCCGCGGGAGGGACTAAACGGAGATAAGAAGTGTATCGAATCAACTGTGTCCTTGCAGTGGAAAGCTACTGTGCTAGGAGAGCTTCACGGGGTGATATCACGAAGAATGTACTTGAGAAGGTGGATCAGCCAACTTTGCTTCTGTGCTCTTGGCAATCGTGGAGATGCCTGTGCCAAATAGATGCGTTCAGGACCGATATACTGGATCCCCATCCCCGGAATATACCAGATCAGGACACGCACAGCAAGCCCGCTCCATCGAAAGCCAAGCTTAGTGCAGTTCAGGACTAAGACGATGCAGGGATGGGAACACAGATTAGGATACCAGTGGCTCAGCTCAGAATGAAGTAACGAATAGCTCGAATTCTTGATTGCTGGGATAGAGACTGTGCTTGCAGTGGCTATTGTGGAAGCAACCGTGTCTCCTTCTGTAGCGGTGGGGCAGATGTCTCTTGAGCTTCAAGAGAAGGATTAGACAACTTAGATACAATGATATGCTATAAAAAAGTTGACAAGCGTGGTTTTGGACTCTGGGTGGTTAAGTAGCTGATCTGTCGTTATGTAGTAGTCTACCCCACTACGCCTAGCTTTGCCCCTTTTGCTCTTGATATAAGAGGCATTGTTTGGGATTCTAGGCGATGATGACGATGTTCCGCTCACTATTTAAGACGCAGTATGGCCACGTCCACAAGTTGGCCGAAAGAGTTGTGATAAAGACATTTCAAACTTGGCGGAAGCTTGACACTGGCATTGCACAAAGCCATCACAGGTGATTACGTGGGCACTAAAACTGTTGGCACTTGGACAAGAAGAGTCGGTGCTAACCTCGGTGATGAGAGAAACGCGGCGACAGCACAAGCACGGTGGCGGCAGAAGCCCGTTGACAACAGAAACACGGCGATGGGAGATACACTGGCGATACGCTAATGGACTGATCTCCACTTTTCTCCAACTCTCCTTATTATGTACTAACTAAAAGAAACGATATAGCTACAAGTTGTGTAAAGTGTTCAGGACCTAATAGTACCCATTTCCCACAAACTCCTCCATTGCGCCTCAAATAACCAAACAGCCTCACGGACCCCCTTGTTGCCTTGGGCAATTTAAATTCCCCTGGTTCCTGACCAGAGATCTTGGATAGAGCCCGCAGGGCTCAGCGGTGACGGTATCCTGCCATCGTCTCACGCTGGAAGTTATAAAAAGTATAGTGGTTTAGTCCCACTTGAAGACGCTGCGGACTGCGAGTTTGATGCCCTCTGGCACGTTGGTTGCGTCGTCGGGGTAGACGAGGAAGGCGAGGGCGATGATGAAGTAGAGGCCGAGTAACTTGTCAATGTTAGAAACTGCACATATGTCGAATAATGAAGGGAATAAGGGAGAACTTACCATGGCACCTTCCAGATAATTGCTCTTTCCATCTGCGATCACGTATGAGACAACGAGGACGCTTAGGAAGAATACAACTGTTTCGAAGGTCTCAAAGTGCAGCGTCATTGGCTGACCAATGATCCACCCCAGAACCACCAAGAACGGTGTCACGAGCAGGGCAATCTGCATAGAGCTGCCAACCGCAACACCCATAGCCAGATCCATCTTATCCTTCAGCGCCACCACAATAGCCGTGACGTGCTCGGCGGCGTTACCGACGATAGGGAGCAGGATGAGACCCACAAACGTCTTTGACACGTGAACTTTGGCAACGAGGGCATCGATGCTGTCGACGAGGTAGTCGGCACAGACGGCAACGGCGAGGGTGGTAATGATCAGAACGATGGTTGCAGCCCAAGGGCTCATCTGGGGCTCCTCGGGGTTGTGCTCCTCGTCATCCATCTCGGTGCCGGCCTCGTGCTCGGCGTTAAAAAGGTTGGCGTGGGTGCGGAGCTGGAAGGCGAGATATAGGACGTATAGAATCAGCAGGATGATGGCGGTGCCGCGGGAAAGCAAGAGCATAGTGTCTTCCGTGTTGGCGCTGGACCCGGCGATGACGGTGTAGAGCGTGGCGGGGATGATTAGGGAGGCTGAGGCAAGGATGAGCAGTGACGACATTGTGCCTGCAGCTGTCGAGTTGAACGTCTGCTCGATTCCTTGGACGGTACCGGTGCGCGTGTTGTGGATGCCGCCGGCTACGAAGCAGCAGCCGAGGACGAGGAGGACGTTGGAGAGGATGCTGCCCAGCATGCTGGACTGGACGATGCGGATTTCGCCATTGCGGAGAGCAACGATGCACACCTGGGATTGGGTCAGCATGCATATTTCGGACATCCCTTGTGATAATTATAACGTACAATGAGTTCAACGGCATTGCCAAATGTCGCATTCATCAACCCTCCTAGCGTCTGTCCCAATTTCATAGATATTTCCTCAGTCGCGAATGAGAGAACTGCCGCCAATGGCATGATGGCAAAGAAGTTGAGCGCGAAGACTGTCACTGGATCCCATCCTGACGCACCAGCAAAGATTCCAAGCGGCACGAAGACCAGGAGGACGTTTACGTAGTTGCTCAGCAGCGTAATCTTTGTAATCGTAAACACTGTCGCAGGGTACCGGACCAATGGATTTTCGCTCTGGTCTCCAGGCGTGGAGGACTTCGCAAAGACCGATCTCCATGTATTCTCTCTAGAAGTGTTGATATTGCCATTGAGCAGGCTGGTGCGCTCGTCTTGGGCCGGCATCTCGTCGGTGGCGACTCGTCTGTCGCTGTTCGATGCTGAGCGGATGAAACGCTTGAATGCTGGAGATGCTGCAATTAAAAGTCGACGTCAGCCACCAGTCACTTATAACAGTCCGAGAGATTATTTGTCGGGAGTTGAAAGAAATATCCCCGACTATTCCGCAAACCAGGGCGGTGCTTGGCCATTTTGCGCAGCAGCACTACCACGATAGAGTAGCGGGTAATGAGGCGCTAATCACAACCAGAACTTGAAGCTGGTGGTTGACGTCTTGGTAGAGGACCCACACGATACTGGGAGCAAGTTTCGCAGTTGTATCATAAATCTCTCATAAACTGCTCTAATCACTTGACTAGATGGCCCTCGATAGGATAAAATAAGAGGATTAGGCCTCGTAATTCTCCATGCGGACGAAATAGCTAACGTAAGGACAAAGAGGCTTTGTTGATAGTAGTGGCCGCGAACAGGGCGAACGGACTCCCCACTGGGGAATTGCAGCCCCGCCCGCTAGCACTTCCCTTACAAAGCCAATCACAACATATCCGTAGAGTTGGGTTTGCGTAGGGGGAACTTACAGGCCATATTGGATTCGCTGCAAGGGAACGATCGGGGTTGCGATTTAGGCTCAGTCGTTGCGCGGGGAACACCTGGGAGCTGCTGCGCCTCGTTGGTTTGCGAAGTCGTCGGAGTTTGGAGACGGGCACGGAGCGGGGTGTTTATTGATGATATATCAACGGCAGGCGCCCAAGCAATTGACTAGGCTCTGTCTGATGCGTATTGCAGAGTACCATGGGTGTATTGGTTCAGGAGAGGGCCTGAGTCGCGACAGGGTCTTGTGGGAGAATGACGTTGCGAGAGTTGGGTTTCACCGCGTAGATGAAGCTCCGTCCCGTCAGGTATGTACTCAGAGCGGATCGGCGAATGGAGAGAGGAGTTTGCCTCAGTGGCTATGACAGCCAAGAAGTTGAAATTGAAGTTGATTGATGTCCCTCTGTCGATGTGGATCGTAATGTTAAAGGGCTTATGACGGGAGGGAGAAGAGGTAGAGTTGTAGGAGAAATGGCGACCGCGCTCAATAGACCAACAGCAAGTCTGGGTGGGGACGACTTCAGCTTGCCAGGTCCATAAAGCTTGGACGATCAGTTTGTTTGTTGCTGGGCGCTTGGAAAGTGGGGTGTCGATGGATCCACTGCACAGTCCACTTTCCTGCCAACATCTAGGCCGCACGGCGTCTGTTACGTCGACTGTACAGTACAGTACAGATTTCCGTCGATGTGTGTGTAGTGCTGCACTTGCATAAAGCTCATACAGGCCCCTCGCAGCTTAAGCTTTCAGCTCCCCTTGTCAGTTCTGCGTTATTTCACACTGGCATAGCCACACTTGGCGTTTGTTGGCAATGGAATGTGACGGCATGGGAAGCTGGAACGCCGGATATTTCACACAGGCGTCAAACGGGCTGGGGCGTATTGGTGGAACACAACAACGCTCTCCTACAGGCACGGGGAAATGTTTTGGCATGAAAGGGACACAGACATTCACAACATGTATCACAGCAGCTCCCGGGATGAGAGACGTCTGAGGATCCGAATCCATTTATTGGTATCTATAGTATACTTTTTGCTGTCTGTTGCTCTGTAGCACTATGTGCCACCCCCAGACAATCATATTTGATAAACTTTCCCGAACGCCGTCGCTAATGCCAAAAGCTATTGGAGTCCCTCGAATCCATCCCGCGCAGAATCGATACTCCTCTGTGATCCAATGAGCTAGGTATACCCCATAGACCATCCTTTCAGCCTCTCAAGTGGTCAAAATCTCTCAGCAGATGCTCCATATGAACATTAGTAGTCCGGCCACCCTTCCTCGGCGGCCTCTTCTTCTTATCCTTCGCCTTTGGTGGTGCCTTCACCCGCTTGCTTGGGTCCTCGCTGGCAGGCTTTTGACCGGCCTCGATGAGCTTCCTAACGAGGTCATCCGGATCTGCCAGTTCAATGCGGTGCCACATAGTCTCAAATTCGGGTTCAACAGGATGGCGTAGCGTAGGGTCATCGGCCCAAACCATGCGGGCGTGTCCATCTTTCTTTGTTCGGGTGACCAGCAAACGATGCTGCTTCTCCAACTCAGTGATAGCATCCTCACAATCTGGCCAGCCGTCCTTGAGCTCCTTCACTGAGACACCCTGAGCATCCGCCTTCCTCTGTAAATACGCCAGAAGCTGATCTTTCGTTCGCACATTTATGATAGGTCTGTGCTGGAACTTGCCAGAATCCCACGCCTGTACTTTCTTCTTTGGGTCCGGAATCCATTCTAGCCGTCCGTGTTTCCGAAGAATCGCAGCCAGAGTACGTTTTTGCTGATCAGGAAGGCCCATAAATGACATATACTCAAGAATTTCCTTGAAGCTTTTCGGCTCTCCCTTCTTCTTCAAAAATTCAATAATGTATGTGACTTGTGTGTATGAATCGCTGCCATAGCCGGTTTCCGACGGCTGAGAGTAGACGACTGGCAGGGTCTCGCGCTTGCGCTTCTGATCTTTAGAGCTCGGAGACGGGGTGGACTGGCTCGCTGGTGATGGAGATGGAACAGATGTAGACGTTGCTGCAATGGTGCGCTTGTTGGAGACCCTCGAGGCAGCTCCCTGCACATTGCTTTTGAATGCATTCTGCGCCTTGTCGAGGTATGAAGACATCTTTGCCGTCGGATATGGAAGTGAGCGAAAGATGAATATGCCGCAATTTCGGTATGCTAACTCGTCGAGGGCGCTTTGGGCGGTTGGGACCAAGGTCTCTCAAAGCCGAGGGCTTGATGTGCCTGGGGGTGGGGGAGGTTGTTTCCGCCCAAGTTCGCTTCAGACTCTCAAGCTTGAGAAGCCAGCCTCTCTCGAATCGAAAAGTTTATAATATGCACACACGTAGGCTTATGGAAGAAGATGAAGATTCGCTGGTGACCCGTTCGTGAAGAAGATCGACGTTGACAGACGAAGTGTCAAATCCGCCTGTTGGTAGTTGGTCTGCCGAGTTGGAACAGGGTGGAGGACTCCGATAAGAGTCAGAGTCTGCCAGATGGCGTCGTATGAAGTGTAACTGAAAGTAGTGCTCGTAATAGACGTGAGTTCTTATAGAGCCTGTCGTAAGATAGTTGTGTCGTAGAGATTGAAGCCAAAGAAGGCTGGCTAGAGCCGCCTAGAGCTGCAGCCTCGCCAAATCGCGCTAGTGGAGCTTTCGACGCAACTGTTTACCGAAGGGCATACCAGCATCACAAAGGGAACCTCACTTCGAAAGCGCAAACCTGCCCTCACCATCGACAAACAGCGATCTAAGAGTGCTGGACACTGGCATTCGGGTCGCATGATGCTGGACTAGTGACAAACTTATTTTGTCTAGGAAGCATCCATTGGTTACTCGCCAGTCTCACGATTCAACCACCTCACCTCAGACTACCGTCTCCAAGCACCACGCGAAAAATATTCCGATATATGCTCCTGGCTTGAGGTTTTTACGTCTCCTCTGGGGGGCCTGTACTGAATATGGCGGCCGCCACGGTGGATATAGGGTTCCTCTCTGGATACCTGAACCTACCACAACCGTCACTAACAGAGGCTCTGGACTCACCAACCACGGAGCTTGTCAACGCTGTCCTTCTTGCTGTCAGCACCAAGGCTCGTGAACACCAGGAGCTTGAAGCAGATAAACACCAGGTCGATACAGAGTTGGAAGCGGCCATACTTGGCTCAGAAGCCAGAACGAAAGACCTACAGCAAACCGCGGATAAGGCCCTGAAGGAAGCAAATGAACTCCGAGAGAAGCTTGCCGCTGAAGGTACAATTAACCTAACAACTCTTGCGAACAGCTAGCTAACGGACTTGATAGAAACCGCACGCGTTTCACTCGACACCGAGCTTCAACAACTTAAATCCTCGTCATTCACTTCATCATCAGAAGCCGACAGCCTGCGCGCTCGCATTACCAGTCTCGAAGGCGCCAACCGCGATACCCTCTCAATTGTGGCATCAAAGAGTGCTGCAAACGATTCACTTGCACAAGATCTCCAGAAACAACACCAGAAGGGCCTGGAGCTAAGCCAACAAGTATCGACGTTGCAGCAATCAGTACAAAACGCAAACTCAGCTCTGTCAAGCGCTAAATTCCGCGAGCAAAATGTGCAGCAGGAACTCGAGCAGGCCAAGAGGAACAACGAATGGCTTGACAACGAACTGAAGACGAAAAGCGCAGAGTCCTTGAAACTCCGCAAGGAGAAGGGTGCACGGATCGCAGAACTACAACGACAAAACGAAGAAGTCACCGCCAATTTGGAAGCTGCGAAGCGCACCGAGACTGCACTGCGCACTCGACTTGAGGAGGTGCAGAAGAAGGCAGAGGAGTCCCTGGCTAAGGTTCAACAGCTCCAGGAAATTGCCGCAAACACAGAAGAAGGGTTCAGACAGGAGCTAGAGAGTTCAAGGCGTCTCGCCGAGCTTCAGACGCAGCGAACCGAGACCCAAACCAACAGATTGAACGATCTAGAGGCGCAACTGGATAAAGCAAAGGATGATTTGGCGGCAGAGGTAGCAAGGCACCAACAAGATGCTGAGGCAGACTCCCAGGAGCGAGACAGGCTAGAGCACCGTATCGCAGAGCTCGAAGCTGAAGTTGATCGACTCGAGGCTGCTGCATCTGCCACATACCCTGCCTCTGTTCCAGGAACTCCAAGACAGGGCCTCAATGGCTTATTCCGAAGTGGTTCACCAGGTGTTTTTGCAACGCCTGGCTCGACAAGGAAGTCTACCATTACTGCAACACAAGCAATTGAAGAGCTGTACAAGGTTAAGGGTCAATTAGCGACTGAACGACGAAGAACCGAGCGCCTTACAGCTGAAATGGAGGATATGATGCAGGGTCTTGAGGCAAAGCAGCCTGAAATCGAGGAAATGCAACATGAGCACGAACGCCTCCAACAAGAGATCGTCGAGATGTCTAAATTCGTCGACGTGACCGGCAAGGAAAGGGATAGGGCGAAGAAGGATGCAAGAAAGGCTCTCAGCGAAGCCAAGACATCCCAGGCTGAGTTGGAGATCCTCCGACAGCAGTTGCGCGATCTCAGTGTCCAAGTAAAGATGCTCCTATGCGACTTGGATGCCCAGCAAAGAGGAATGGACTCCTTAACAGGGCCAGAGCGCATGCAGTTGGAGCGTCTGGCACGCGGCGAAGTCAGTGAAGACGCCCTTCAAGGTCTCACTGACACGGACAAATTTATCAGCCAACGCCTCACAGTGTTCCGAAGTGTAAGCGATTTACAGGATAAGAACCTCGAGCTACTGACCCTCACAAGAGAGCTCGGCGCAAAGATGGAGAGTGAGGAGGCTCTTGCCGAGAAGCACAAGGCCTCGCAAGACCATGAGATGGTGCAGCAACTGGAAAGGAAGGTCGAGCAATGTAATGACGAGATCCGTTCCCTGGTTGCCAGGTCCGAAAGCTACATCAAGGAGAGAGATATGTTCCGACGTATGTTGCAGCACCGTGGTCAGCTACCTCCGAACTCTGACCTCGAATCTGTTTTCGGCCAATCCGTCAATGGCGAGGTCGTAACCAGTGTCGAGACTCCAAACGCGAAGGACAGTGCCAATTACGCAACTCTGTTGCGCGAACTCCAGAGCCATTTCGACCAATACCGTGAGGAGCAGTCTATTGATCGCCGAACTATGAAAGAGCAGGCAGGAAAACTTGCGTCGGAGAAGTCTGCACTGCAGTCTGAGATTGCCAAAATCAACAGCCAACTTACACTCGCCAACGAGCGTTACGAAATGCTTCACGCTAACTACGCCATGCTCCAAAACGAAAACGGTGAGCTTCAAAAGCGCTCTCAAGTTCTTTCTGAAAGCGCAGCGAAGCAGGATCTTAGGACCCAGCAGGTTGCGGAGGACTTGATCGAGGCAAAGGGACTTGTCGAGAGTATGAGAAACGACATTGCCAATCTCAAGGCCGAGAAGAAGCTGTGGACTGAAATTCAAGGACGTCTCAACGAAGACAACAACAATCTGATGAACGAACGAAGCCAGCTTAACACTCTGCTCGCCAAACAGCAAAACCTACAAAACGAACGCGAACTGACAGAATCCGAGTCGAGACGTAGATTGCAGACGCAACTCGAGACTCTCGAGTCGGAGCTTTCTGCGACAAAACGGAAACTGAGCGATGAAGTCGAGGACAACAAGAAGGCTCAATTACGGAAAGAATACGACACTCAACAAAGCCAGAAGCGCATCGACGAGCTTGCTACCTCATTAAGCACGATCCGCGAGGAGTTGGTTGCAGCAAAAACCACTCGCGATCACCTTCAAACGCGCGTTGATGAGCTGACAATTGAGCTGAAGAGCGCTGAGGAGCGTGTTGAGGTCCTTCAACCGAGACCAACCCCGCGACCGGGAGCTAACGGTACAACCGCTGGTGACGAGCAGGCAGAGCAGGATGCCATCAGCAGAGAGCAAGAGTTGGGCATCGAAGTTTCAGAACTTAAGAGAGATCTCGAATTGGCGAAATCGGAGCTTGAGAACGCAAAGACCCAGACCGAACAATACAAGGGCATTAGCCAGTCTTCAGAAGAGGACCTCCAGAAGTTCCAAGAATCCCAAGAGGAGTATCAACAGGAGATGGACAAGATTATCGAGGAGAAGGATGCCAAGATCCGAGAATTGCAGCAGCGTGTTGATGATCTCTCTACTGAGTTGAGCACCACGGATACTGAGCTCAACAATCTTCGCAACGAGAAGGCTGAGACCGCCCGCCGTACTGCGGAGGATAAGGCTGTATTGGAAGCGGAGATTACGCGGTTGAAGGACGAGGATGAGCGACACACTCTCGCCTTGCAGTTCCACCAGCAAGACTTGCGAGCCCAGGCGGAGATTGCGACAAAGGCACAGCAAGACTACGAAAACGAACTTGTTAAGCATGCCGATGCCGCCCGACTTCTACAGGAATTGCGCACTAGTTACAATGTGCTGAAGTCAGAGTCAGCAGGCCTCAAATCTGAGGCAGAATCAGCAAAGGTGACTCTGAGCCAAAGTCAGGCCTCATGGGAGGAGCGACGAAACCAATTTGAGAAGGAGCTCCAGGAGCTGCGCCGCCGGAAGGACGATATTTCTTCCCAAAACACAATTCTCTTGCAGCAGTTCGAAAGCGTTAGTGCGCAAGTCACGGCTCTGCAACAAAGCCGCGCTGCCGCAGCTGAAAATGGCGACGCGGAAACTGCAGAGGCGACAGCGACTTCAGATAAGACAGTTGAAGGCCTCCGTGAGCTCATCACATACCTTAGACGTGACAAGGAAATCGTCGATGTACAATACGAGCTTTCCATCCAAGAATCTAAGCGCCTCAAGCAGCAATTCGACTATGCCCAATCCCAACTCGACGAAGCCAGACTCAAGTTGGATCAGGAAAGGCGTGCCCAAGCCGATGGGTCCCGCAGCAACTTGGCTCATAAAGACCTCATGGAGAAGATTAACGAGCTTAACCTCTTCCGCGAGAGTAGCATTACTCTCCGCAATGAGGCCCGACAAGCCCAAGCCCAACTGGCAGACAAGACAAAGCAAGTCGAGGAGCTTATGGAGAAGATCCAGCCCCTGGAGAACAAGGTCCGGGAGCTTGAGAATGCCAAGGAGATGCAAGATGGCGAGGTGAAGCTCTTACAAGAAGACCGTGACCGCTGGCAGAAGAGGAACCAAGAGATCCTCTCGAAGTACGACCGTATCGACCCCGCTGAGATGGAGCAGTTGAAGGCTTCGCTGGCTTCGCTTCAGGCTGAGCGTGATGCACTTACAACCGACCAACAGCCACTTCAGGAGAAGGTGCAGACGTTGGAGGGCGAGAAGGCGCAGTGGCAGGTGTCGCGCCAGAAGCTGATCGAACAGGCGAAGGAGCGTTCGCGTGTACTTACTAAGGAGAAGAACGAGCGAGTTGCCGAACGCACTGCTGAGAGAGATGCTGCGATTCAGGAGAAGGAGGCGCTCGAACAGCAGCTGTCAACCGTCCAACAGCAACTGAACACTTCCATACAGGAGAGACAGGCTCTGGAGGAGCAGTTGACACGCATGAAAGCCGAGAGTGAAGCTAACAAGGAGGATGCCACGGCAGCACCCACTACTGATGCCACTGACAGCGCAAACCAGCCGCAGGTTGCTACTGAACAGAATGCTGCGGTTGACCAACAACTCGACGCGGTTCGCAAAGAGCTTGAGGTTGCAAGGAAAGAGAAGGAAGACGTCGAAGCACAACTTGCAAATATCCGCCAAGAACTTGAGACCGCTCGAACTGAAAGAGATCAAGCCGCAGCTAGAGCAGCTCAAGCCGAAGCAGCAAAGCCTGCACCGCAAGCCGATACTTCAATGGATAGTACAGAGGAAGGCCAGGTGGATGAAACTGCTCCATCAAAGCCCACCGACGATGAACGCAAAGCCCTTGAAGAACGCACTCTTGCTGCCGAAACCAGGCTTCAGCAACTCGAGGAGTCTGTCGAAGCTACACTCAAGCAGAGATCCGAGAAGATGAAGACAGCACTCAACAAGAAGCTCGCCGAATCAAGAGACACTACCAAGGCTGCTCTCGAAGCGGAATATGCTCTCAAACTTGAGCAAGAAAGAAAAATATGGCTCGCCGAACAAGGCGCTACTGAGCCAAAGGTGCCGGCCACTCCGAAGACTGAAAGTGCTCCAGAGGCTGCACCGCCAGCTACTCCCTCAACACCATCGGCAAAACCTCCTACTCCAATGGGCGAACTCACCAACCTCACCGATGAACAAGTGCGGACTCTTCTCACCACAAACGCCACACTGAAGAATATTTTCACTGGAAACATCAGGAAAAAGATTGAAGAGCAGACCAAGAAATTGAAGGAAGAGTTCGAGAAGGAGAAGGAAGAGGTTGTGAAGAAGGCTGATGAAGCAAAGACTAAGGCTGTAATCATGGAGGGCAAAAAATCAGAGCTAAAAATCAACTTGACCAACAACAAGGTTAAGATGGCTGCAGCTAAACTGGAGGTCGTCGAGAAAGCTGCTACTGACACGCCTGACAAGCCTGTTGGCGAAGTTTGGGAGATTGCCAAGAACGCGAAGCCGCCGCCCAATGTCGTCCCTGCCCCGGCACCGACTCCAGCCGCTGGCTCTGCTATCCCTACTCCAGGTGCCAAACCTGAGGGAGCTCCAGCCGCGTCCGGCATTCGAGCACCGTCTGTTTCTGTTCCAGGAACATCGCAAGGCTCGCGTCCATCGACCCCCTCTACCCAACAACCCCAGGCAGCGCCGGCAGCTACGACTCCACAAGGCCCGGCTCAAGCCAATACTGCTCAGGCACAAGGTTCAAACATACCTGCTGTAAGTCTTACTTCTACTATATCCCGGTCTGGTCCTAAACTGACCTCTGTCCAGCCGTCTGGAATACCATCAGCACCAGGAGGGCCCCGTACTGGTCTTCCTGTACCTAGAGGCGGCGGCGCTCCACGCGGAAGAGGTGCGTACCAAGCGCCTCGCGGACAGAGCGGCATTGGGCGCGGGAGAGGTGGAGGTCAGAACCAAAGAGGCGGAATGAACGCTGGTGCTCCAACATTTGCTCCAAATGCTGGAACCAAGCGACCGCATGACGATGGTGGAGGCGTAGGACAGCAGAAGCGGATGAGAGGTGGTGGTGGCGGTGGTGGTGGACAATAAGGGTGATTTGCAATGGTAATATGGAGAAGGGGGGATGGTATTTGGAAGGAAACTGGACTTGACGTGCATTTCATTTGTTGCTATGTATTATATTGTGTTGCATAGTTTACGTGGGCTGGCTGGCTATATTGAGCATTGGCTTAGGCTCAGGCGTATGAATGGGGAGGGGAAGCTTTGGTTGGGACTGAGAAAATGGAGCCCACGGTGGTGGATGGAAAATAAATACAATTAAGGACTTCAAAGCACTTCTGATCGAATTTGAGCTGAATAATCGCCCTTCTTATATATAACCTGGGTATACCGAACCTCGCCCATCCACCATACATGCACCGCCTAACATGCTGTTTACATGAATTTCTCAGGCTTGCTGGTCACCAGCTTCCTCAACACCTCCACATGCCTCCTTGTACTCTTTAACTTCGCCTCATCGCTTTCAGTTTTATCAATCCTTCGCAGCCCTTCACCGAACAACACTGTGTAGTCTTCTAGAACCTCGCCAGCTGCGACTTCGCAGAACGCTCCGATACGGCAGAATTTCCCTATCTTGGCCCCAGCACCGACGCGTGTGTTCGCCTCAATGTGTGTACCGTCCCCAACGTGAGAAGCCTCGACGACCGCACCAATGTCTATTGTGACGTTATCGCCTATGGTGACGCCCGGGAACTTGGGGTCTGCGGCTGCTTTTGGGACGGAGAGTAGGCCGATCGAGGCTCGTTCGGATATTATGCACATTGAGCCGATGGAAACGGGTCCATGAGTGGAGATAAGGCGCGCGCGGGGTTGGATAATCGAGTAGCTGCGTATTAAGATGGGCTGGGTCCCTATGAGGACGGCGATGTCGGAAATGGTTATCGATGAGGAGAAGGAGACGGGTGGCTTTGGGGCGGAAGAGCCTGGTGCAGCGGGGCGCTTGGTTGACATTATGGCGGGGAGAACGAGGAATCGAAGCCCTTGAGAGGTGGTATAACCGTAACAGCAGGTGCAATTCGCAGGACCTGGGAGTTCTGAAGTATGAGAGTTGCTTGATAGCTTGCTATGTGTTCATTGTGGTAATTCGTGGGAAGGTCCTTCGTTCTCTGTGGTGGATGCTCTCGCGAGCCCCTAGAAACTGATACCGGGGGAAGTGAAGTGAGTGTTGTTGTAAATATTTTTATTGGGGAATTTCTAGTATATAGAATAAACAGGTAGGTTATTGTGTCAATGAAACAGAGAGATGTGGTTTACCTTCAATATTTTGTTCCCAAAATACTCTACAGACCGAAAGTCGACGTAGGTGACTGTAATCCTGGTAAATGTCGGTTGATGTTGTGAGGGTTGAGCGCGCTACCACCGTAGCCGCACCAGCCAATCATGGAAGCGGATTATCAATGAAGCTCGAATTCCAATCGAACCTCAATTTGTACACCAACATCACGGATCCGCTCCTCTCACCACAACCAACGTGCAGTACGCAGTTGAGCGCAACCCATGATCAGCACGATGTTGTCGCGAAACGCCACCTCACCCGCGCTCACGTCAATTGCGTCGCGAGTTCTGCCAGGAGCAGCCTCTGCGGGGGCTCGTCTTGGTGGTCCGGGTGCGTCCGCAGCACAGCAACAAACAAGAGGATTGGCAACTGTCCAGGATGCTCCAGCACCGAAGAGGATATATGGAGGTTTGAGAGATCAGGACCGCATCTTCCAGAACTTGTACAGCCACCACGGCCCAGATCTCGCCAGCGCGAAGAAGTACGGTGATTGGCACAAGACGAAGGAGATCTTGGATAAAGGTCATGACTGGGTATGTCAATCTTGCTCCAAAGTGCTATCTGTTTGTATCCTAATGCTGTACAGATTATTTCCGAGGTCAAGGCTTCTGGTCTTAGAGGACGTGGCGGTGCCGGCTTCCCGTCAGGGTTGAAATGGTCGTTCATGAACTTCAAGGGATGGGAGAACGACAACAAGCCACGTTATCTGGTTGTCAATGCAGATGAGGGCGAGCCTGGAACCTGCAAGGACAGAGAAATTATGCGAAAAGACCCACACAAGCTCCTCGAGGGATGTTTAGTTGCTGGCCGCGCCATGAACTGCTCCGCCGCCTACATCTACATCCGCGGCGAGTTCATTCACGAAGCTGCTGTTTTGCAGAATGCTATCCAGGAGGCCTACAAGGATGGACTGATTGGCAAGAACGCTTGCAACAGTGGATACGACTTCGATATCTACTTGCACCGCGGAATGGGCGCCTACGTTTGTGGAGAGGAGACTTCTCTTATCGAGTCCCTCGAGGGCAAGCCAGGAAAGCCTCGTCTAAAGCCCCCGTTCCCAGCATCCGTCGGACTTTTCGGATGCCCATCCACTGTCGCCAACGTCGAGACTATTGCCGTCGCACCTACGATCTGCAGAAGAGGAGGTGATTGGTTCGCCGGATTCGGCAGAGAGCGCAACGCTGGCACCAAGCTTTTCTGTATCTCTGGTCATGTCAACAACCCTTGCACAGTCGAGGAGGAGATGTCCATCCCTCTGCGCGAGCTGATTGACAAGCACTGTGGCGGTGTTCGTGGCGGTTGGGATAACCTCAAGGCCGTTATTCCCGGTGGCTCATCCACACCCATCCTGCCAAAATCCATCTGTGACGACCAAATAATGGACTTCGATGGCCTGAAGGACAGCCAATCTGGTCTCGGTACCGCAGCAGTCATTGTTATGGATAAGAGCACCGATGTTGTCCGTGCCATCTCCAGACTCTCGCACTTCTACCGCCACGAGTCCTGTGGCCAGTGCACCCCCTGCCGTGAGGGCAGCAAATGGACCGAGCAGATCATGCAGCGCTTCGAGAAGGGACAAGGAAGAGAGCGTGAGATTGACATGCTTCAGGAGCTTACCAAGCAAGTCGAGGGCCACACCATCTGCGCTCTTGGAGAGGCGTTCGCTTGGCCCATCCAGGGTCTCATTCGTCACTTCCGCCCCGAGCTAGAGGCACGCATGCAAAAGTTCGCGGAAGAGAACGGTGGTGCCGCCTTGGCTGGTGGATGGCAACACGACTCGAAGGCTCAGGGCAAGTTGGTGGCACCCGGCCAGTAAGAAGTGGCGCGGGGTAGTTGTATATATGGACTCTCATTGCTATTGTATAGAGTTCAATTTGGCGTTTCTTTGCATTATGGTTGTAGAGTTGAGTCAGTTTAGTGGGGTACAGATAAAACTATTAAAATCATATATCGATTTGCATCATTGCTTGCGCCGTGAAGACAGACTTTTAGTTTTTACATTTGATTTGCTATTTGAAGTGCCTCTTCAAGCTATGTTGTACAATTGCATTCATGATCCAGCGCCGTCTATGCCATTCCCGCTCATACTCCGATATGTATACACCAATCAACCGTGCCATCACCCTCAGATATCCAGTCTAGAGAAAGGTATACTGTCAGCGATTCATTGTACATGCAACCTCAGCCACTCCTCAATCCAGGCCGATCCCAAATGCTCTTCCAACTCCAGCCCGTCGCCTCTGAACCTCCTGGTATCAATCTCTTTCCATCATCCGCCTCCAAAATAGCACAGCTCTAGTCCGCCCTATTTCACTCCTTCCCTGCCTCATATTCTTCCGGCAATTCAAACCCAACCCTCCTTGCCGTCAACTTGACCCTCTCTTCCTCATCCATATTCATCCCCGGGTTGTAGCGCTCGAGTAGCGTCGCATACTGCCTTTGTGCCTTCAGGTACTGCAGATACTGCTGCGCGTGGTCCACTGCGACGTTTTGTGGCGATCCGGACGGCGCAGATGAGAATGCTGTGCGGATGCGGTTCTGGACAGGCGATCCCTTGAGGCGACGGGACGGGAGCTCACGGAGGAAGGAGCGGTAGAGGGCGCGGAGGTGCGCGGGGGCGACAGTGGAGGACATCGTGTGTTGGATTTATGAGAGGATAATTGAGTTGATCGGATGTGTTGAGAGGGGTTGTTCGTGGTTTCTTGAGTCGTGGTCGTGGATGATGGAAATATTGGGTGGCTACGGCAAAACGTCGGGAAGGCGGCGCATCGGTCGAAATTATATTACACGGCTGCAAGGCTGAGGATCTGTACATTTGCAACTGCACCACTTCCAACAATGCGAACAGACACCGGAAACTGCGCTTAATCTACGAATTTCAATCGCCTATACTTACTAATGACGGGCTCTCTGCCTATGAGATGCCTGCGGTCGGGATCAAGAAGCGTCTTTGGGCGATATGTGGCGCAGAGCGAAGCTACGAGCAATGCGGCAACCTTGGGAGTAAGAGGACTCCGAACAAGACGCCGAGTTGGGAAAACAACAACAAATGCAGAGGAAGTGGTTGCGGATAGCCCGAAGACACCACCCGATGTAGGACCTGAGGTTATATCTTGGGACGAGATAGCCGCGAAGATTGAAGCCTTAGCAACCCAACGACTTCCGAATTCACAGTCCAAAAAGACTAAACCTCCCAAGCCAGCAGGCAATAAACAGAAGCCATCAGTGTCATCTCCAGCAGAGAAATCTTCCCCGAAACAGGCAGCAACATCACAACCGCAACAGGCGGGCCCTCCACCCAAGTCCCGCGACTACCTCAAGTTACCATCCAACTCTCTCTCCGAACACTGGGACACCCTTCCTCCCTCACAAGAGCAGCTTGTCCATGCCGAGAAATTCTTCCGCCAGAGGCCCCCGCGGCCATTCGTCTGGTCAGCCCCGAAATTCCACTCCATGGCTTTCGGTTCCTCTCCCGAAGTCTGTTTCCTGGGTCGCTCCAACGTCGGGAAATCATCTTTACTGAATTCGCTTTTTGGCGGCAACATCGCAAACGTGAGTTCGAAGCCTGGGCGCACAAAGATGATGAACGCATTCAATGTGGGCGATAACACGGATCCATTGAAGAACCTGGTAGTGCTTGACATGCCAGGGTATGGAAAGGGGGGACACGCCGACTGGGGGAAGGAGGTGCTGAAGTATCTAGGCAAGCGGAAGGAGTTAAAGCGCGCGTTTATGCTTGTCGATGCCGAAGTGGGACTAAAGAAAACGGACGAGCAGCTCCTGGCTATCTTTAGAAAGGAGGAGATTCCTCACCAGATCGTGCTCAGCAAAGTCGACAAGCTACTATTCCCGAAGAACCGGAAACCCAGTGAGGGGGCACTAGAGAGCAGAATGCAGGTTCTAAAACGGGTGATGGAGACGACCAGACGCACCACCCAGCCAAATCCAGAGGATATGAGTGGTGCGCTGGGCGAAATCATTGGATGCTGTTCAGAGAGGCCGTTTGGCCAAGTTCTGGGTATCAATGAGGTTAGACATGCCATGCTGCAGGCAGCTGGCTTGGAGAAGAAGATGGATAGGAAGCTGATTGCCGAGACCGAAATTGTGTCCCACGACGATATCTTTGGAAAAGATCCTTGAGAGATGCAGCGGGATACCTGCTGGTAGTGGACTGAAGGGGACAATGAGGTTGATGGGACACGCTGCAAGTAGTGAGCCCTCCCAGACCACCGATTGTTCCACGGCTGCTTATTCACCTCTCCGAGAGCAACGGGGCATCTAAAGGATGGTGCTACAAGCCGAACATATATGGCGAGGGCAGAATTATCGATATATGAGAGCAGCAAATACATAGTCGGAAGGCTGGACTGAGCGAATATATGCCAGATAGCCCTGGTGTGTCTGTCAAGAGGGGAGCACGGCTGATGGATGGGATGTATAAATATGTAACGATAGGATATATAAGTAAAGGTGCAGCAGTGTAAGAATAGCTACAAGCGTAATTTATACTTAACAAGATACATCATGTCCAGTTGGAAATGTGCACTGTCATTTATCTATCTATGGTGATGAGGTGAGAATGGACCACATCCACTGTGATTGGCATAACGATGTAGAATATTGCAAAAGAACAACATGATTGTAACCAAACTGTACAGCACTATTCGTTATACAATTATCTTCAATCATATACATATCATACCTCTAAAAAAAAGCCAAAAAAAGAAGATTGAGGTCGTACCCGGGATCGAACCGGGATCTCAAGAAGACATGTGATGACTGAACATCCTCAAAATCTCACGTGCTAACCATTACACTATACAACCTTGTTTAGGGGCTAATGTTCGCTAATCCGGTAAATAAGAGACACACCTTTTTCGCGCTAGTACCAACGCTAGCACTATTTAGCAATCTCCACATCTATCACTACATATGAGTTGCACACGAGGCCATTCACATTAACTCACGAGATAATGCAGTGGGTTTAGTTGTACCGCTCTGAAATGCTGATTTCTCATACATCATCAGATGCAGATGCGATGATTCCTATCTAGACTATACTACATACAAACAATGCGTGCTCTTCGCAGCTGCCCCAGTCGAGTCAGTGCCTGGAGCAAATGCTACCTGGTCGAATAACGCAACGATGCTCTTTATAATCCCCGGTTCTCCCTGATTATTTTTTCCCTTCCATTCATTCATCCCTTTACATATGCCCATGCATCTTTATCCTCCTCCCAATATTCCATATTCCCAATCTACCCCATTATTCGGCCAGTCTCAGCGACCTCCTGCGAGGACGCCACGGTAGTACTCCACGCTCAAGTCAGCCGTGTGCTTCAAGTACTTGTCTTCCGTAAGAGGCAGTCTAAGGACTCTGCTCTGATCATGCCCCTGTATTGTGTTAGTCGGGATCCACAAAACATTAGGTTGTTGCGCGATTCTTACCTTCCCATTCTTCCCAAGCTGAACCACCACCCTCGCAACACACGCCCCGATCTCCTGAACCGCCACCTTCTCCAGGAAACCCACACTCTTCACATCCGATAGCATAGCCGGAAGACTGCCCAACAGCCTCTCCACGGCTTGCCCGTCATGCTCGCCTTGCTTCTCTCCATCCAACAAGGTTAAGTAGTCTGCATACGTTGCACCGCCAAGGTTCCAGTCGCGAATACCACCTTCCCTCTGTTGAAAGCCGCTTAGTAGTTTGCGCAGTGTTGCATCATCCTGCTCGATGACTGCGGTTGGCGCAACGACCTTGTAGAAAGTGCGGTGCGCTTCGTCGAATGCACCGGCACGGATGAGGCATTCTACCTCGCGTTTTGGGTCCTTGAGGACGGCGCGCATGTAGAGTGCCTTTGCGTCCCAGATCCACGAAGATGGGATCTTGAACTGGTCGATAAGGGTAGTGAAAGCTGGCCCATCTTCTGCCCCGATGCGGCCGGCGTGGTGAGCGAGGTGATCCTGGACGCTCTTCGTACGAGCAGCCGGCGACGACAAGTGGAGGAGCACAAACACAGCGTCGAGCCAATGGCCGTTATTCGTAAGCTGAGCTGCGAATGACAAAGTAAGCTCATCAGCCTTTTCGTCGGCCTGTTCACCGTATGAGCACTTGCCAGACGCTGTGAGTGCCTGGCTAAGCTGCCAAGAAAATCGCATGTTCAATGGCGACAATTGCGAGTTTTCAGGGCGCAGAACAGCTTGGAGGTCTGTCTTATTGTCGGAGTACAGCTTAAGCAACCCCCAGAGGAGGTCCTCACGATCTTCTAGGTGTTGATCGTCCCAAAGCGGCGAGATGTTTTGCTCCACATACCACGCGAATGGCTTAGAAGACTCCTTGTCTTGCTGAAGATCTTCAGCGAACTTCAATACGGCATGCTCAAGTTCCTCTGTACCCGAGATGGCATACCAGAGTCTGAGGCCAAATGCTTGTCTCCAATCCAATCCAAATCGCTTAGACATGATGAAAGAGTCAATGCGGTCTTCGATAGGCGCTCCTTTAATGCCATCACAAACACAAACATTACCAGCCAGGATCTCGTAAATAGCTCGGAGAGGTTGGTTGATCTCTGAGAGCACTCTAGCTTTGTTCCACTCGTTCAGCTGCTCCCGGATGTTCTTGCGCACAGATTCATTGCCATCAAGTAGAGCTACCAGGGTAGCGAGATGGTAATCTTTGCCAGTTAACAGATGGGTGCAAGCGTCGGGAATTCGATGCCCACTAAGAGCAGCAATCGCCTTTTCTTCAGACGATTTCGCCATTGTGATCTGTCTTGTGGAGGCCTGTTCAACAACCTTCTCCCAGAATGCGGAAAGGTTATCCTTGCGCAAGAACTTGAATGCTGCCGGGAATCCCTTGAGGTCGTCTGGGATCTCGATCTCGTCAAACAGAATGCTTGCAAGCTCCCAAACAAGGTTTTCATGAATAGCTGCTGGGTGGCGCGAGTCTCGGTCGCGAACGAAATCACTAAATTTAAATGGCAGAGAGAGTCTGGCTTGTGGAATGCCTCCGGCTTGATCCACTTGAGCCAATTTCTTTTGGATTGAGAGAGAGTTCGGTGTCGACTCATCTGAAAACTTGGCAAATCGAATATCCTTATCTTCACCGGTAAGAACAGTCGTTTGCGAAAGAAGGCCATGCATCTCAATGGCGTTGGTGGCTTGGTTGTCGACTGCAGATGCCGCATAAACAAGGGTTCCAGTGGGACCCCAGCTTGGCTTGACTGAATTGTGAAATTGTTGGTCGATCTCATCCATATCATCCTCATTCGGACTAGACTTGGACTTCTTCTTGTATGGCCACTCAAACCCAGTTCCTCGCGCTGGTATCTGTGCTACCTTCGCTGTCTTTGCTGGCTTTGCCGGACTTTTTGGTTCACCAAACAGTGAATGCATGAGGTCGATGCTAGTTGCGAAGCCACGGCCATCAGATACCACACGGCTCTTAACTGGCGAAACAAGTGTCTTCTGAGGGGATCCAAAGAGAAGAGCATCCGTTTCCATGTCTCGAATCTGCTTCAGATGTTCCCGGTCCTGCTTCTGAGGGCTAATTGTCTGCTCGAGCATGTCCATCCAGTTGTCGCCGTTCAGCTCCAATTTGCGCTTGAGTGGTGACCCAGCAGCACGCGACTCACGTAGTCGTGCTCGCATAAGGCCTCCTGGAGCTTCACCTACATCCTCCTCAAAACTCTCCTGTGCGTAGTCACTCTCAGGCTCCGCGGTAGCGTCAGGTTGAGGGTAAGAGCCCGCCATCTCGTTACTCACAATCCTAACCAATTCATTGTCTTGGTAACTCTCGTCGTGGTCCATAGGCTCCCCGACGTCGTCGCTTGACAATGAACCCACGGAGCGCTCATCTAAAAAAGACTGGTTGTCCTGGATATCATGATCGTCCTCCATCTCATCATCATCTTCAACGACTTCAGATGCATCAAAAGCGCCTGGGAAAACCTTGCGCTTCTTGAAGTCAAAGGTATCCTCGGGGTCTGACTCCGTAATTACGCTCTCATCGAATGTCGATTCAAAAGACTGATCGTGTTGAACGGCCCTTGGCGTTCTGGTTTGTGGGGTTGGCGTGTCTGGCGCAGCGCTGAGTGTGCTCTGGCCAAAGTCGTCTTGAGTCTCATCGCCAACCTCGGAATCGTCGTCATCATAATCCAGACCATATGTCGTAAAGTGAGGAACTTTGAATGTCCATACACCAATAGATTTATCGTAACTCAAGAACTCAGTATCTGGAACTCTTGTGAGGCGCTTCAAATGTCTGTCCATTTGGGCCTTAATATGCTCAGGCGACATTTTGCGCTTGTCGAGCCTTGGCCAAGAATTCTCCATCTGGATGATCGAGGGAACATTCATGCCCTGACCCATCGGCGGCTTATTGGGGTACCCGGGAGGGTAAACAGTAGCGGCGCGAATTTGGAGGTCAACAATCGTGCCGAAAATCTTGTCGAGATCAACGTTTGACAGGTCAACAGGAGCATCGAAGTTCACAGTGGCGACTCCCCGTCGACCAACTTTGAAGTTACTGATCCTTTGACGCTGAGTTCGGTTCATGGCTTCGATCTCTGGTCTCGATGGCATCATCCAATACTCTCCTGGTACCTGATCAGGCTGGATTGCTAGGGGGAAGGGCTTCTCGCCGGTAGATGGACTACCCTCCTCTGGGACGATGGCCAACTCCTTTCCTTTAACCTGCTCCATTTCTGGCTCGTTGGACGTTCCATTTGTCCTCGGGCCAGCACCATTCGTGCTTCGAGAGGAGCGTAGGAATCCCATCTCCTCGGCGGACGGAGTTGGTCCGACATTGGTATGAACCTGCTTCAGCGGGCTTGATGTGCTGGATGAGGGGCGACCGTTGTTTCCGTTGCCATTAGACGACTCGAAGCTCACACGCTTCTTGAGGATTCCGTTTTGCTGCTCCTTGGGCTCTTTGCTTGGGGGGCTGAAAAAGTCCGCACGGATGCTTCTATCGATAACCAGTCTCTTCATGCTGCCAGTGCTGTTGAATCTAGCACTCGGACTAGCAGAGAAAGCTCCTGGGGTTAGAATGCTGTCTTGGTTGAACGACGTGTTGTAGGAGTTCCTGAGGCTGCTTGTCGACATACTCTTCGAGAGCTTGTTCTGGCCAAGGCTAGCACCAAGCAACGAGTTTCCGAATCCTCCAGGTGTGCTAGTTACGCTAGAAGCGCTGTTGGGCGTTCCATACGTGCTATATGTGAAGCCAAAACCACCACGCCTTTGGGGCGTGCTAAGACGTGATCCCGAAGAAGGGCTGAGTTTGTACAGAGGGATGATCCCAGCTTTCTTCTGCTTCGACAGACTCGAGAGAGGCGTTGCGAGCGGGCCTGGGTTGGTGAGGTCTGGCGTGGCGAGATTTGAGAACATTGAACCTGCGCCAAATGCTGCAGGATCATTGATACTGGTAGTAAGCTGTCCCTGTTGTTGTTGTTGCTGCTGCTGCTGTTGGCCCTGTTGCGGGCCGCCGAATAACGAGCTGCCTCCGAAGAGAGAACCGCCTTGCTGAGCTTGCTGTGGCTGCTGCTGTTGCTGTTGGCCAAGGTTGCCGAATAACGAGCTTCCAGTACTTGGCTGGGTGTTGCCGAAAAGACCACCTCCGCTTTGAGCCGGTTGAGCGGCGCCGAATAATGGCTTGGCTTGCTGGGCACCCCCGAAAAGGCTGCTCCCCGTATTCTGGGCTTGTTGAGGTTGCTGTTGACCGAATCCACCGAAGAGACCACCGCCGGCTGCGGGTGCTGCAGCAGGTTGGCCAAACAGACCGCCGGTGGCGGGTGCGGCTGGCTTAGCGCCGCCGAAGAGGCCACCGGTGGTTGCAGCAGCTGGTGCTGCGCCGAATCCTGTACCGGCTTGCTGAGCTGGCTGTCCAAACAAAGAACTGCCCGTGGCAGCTGGCTGACCCCCGAAGAGGCTTGTGCCTGTGGTCGCGGGTTTGGGTGCACCACCAAAGAGAGAGGTAGGAGCTGCGGCTTGTTGCTGAGCGCCTCCGAAGCCACCAAATGGGTTCGACGCGGCTGGCTGGGCAGGGGCCGCACCAAATGGATTCGCTGGTGCAGGGGTCTGTGTCTGGCCAAAGGGGTTTGATGCGGGAGTCGCTCCAAACCCGGTCGTTGCTGCACCGCCAAATGGCGTCGTAGATGCGGCAGGAGCTCCAAACAATGGCTTGTTCGGTGTGCTGCCAAAGAGCGAAGGTGCAGACGTCGTTGCCGGTTGCGCCCCAAATCCTGTGTTCGTAGCTGTATTCGTAGCACCGAATCCAGTAGAGGGCGTAGAGCCAAACCCAGACTGGGTACCCCCAAAAAGCCCACCGGTGACAGGCTTCGGCTGTTGCCCGAATAGGCCTCCTCCTGTAGTAGTACTGGCACCAAATCCTGTGCTTGGCGTGGTTGTCTGACCAAATGGGTTCGTTGCAGTGTTAGTTTGCCCGAATAGGCCACCTCCAGTGTTGGTGCTTCCGGCACCAAAACCCGTAGCTGGTTGTTGAGTGCCACCGAAACCGCCAAAACCAGTGGACGTGCCAAAAGCACCCGCCTGCCCACCGGAGTTGGCGTGTCTGCGGCCTTGCGCGTAATCAGCCAGCCTCAATTCTTCTTGGGAAAACTTGACGTATGGTTGCTGGAAACATATATTTTCAAACCTTACTTGTTGATTTCCGGAGACGTTGGGCTCTTTTTCAACAGTGGGTTGAAAGGGGACAGAAGCAGTTCCCTGGCACTCTTGGCTCGCACCGCCCAGAGCGCTACCAGCAGCTCCGAAACCTCCACCGGTTCCTCCACCAAATGCACCGCCAGTGCCGGTATTGGCGCCAAAGGGGCTGGCGGCTGGTGTAGCTCCAAAGCCAGTTGTTGCGGGCTTTGGGGCACCGAAGAGACCACCACCACCGAATCCAGTATTTGTGTTGCTAGTAGTGCTGGCACCAAATCCACCAAATCCCGTGTTTGCTGCTGGAGTCGTCGTGGATGCGCCGAAGAGACTGTTCCCTGTGGTTCCTGTCGCTCCAAAGGGTTTGTTGGCGGTAGCACCAAAACCGGTGTTCTGTGTAGCGCCAAATCCTATTTGAGTTGTTAGTCGTCTGTGCGGTATAGTTCCTATAGGTTTATGCGAAGTCTGCAATTGAGAGAGCGTCGATATCAGGTCCTGCGCATCTGCCATATCGCCGGCGTGGGCCGAAAGTTATAGAGTAGCCGAAGTTTGTCGCAGCGAGGGCGCGACTCCATATCGACGGAGCAGGCAGCTCCCTCGATAGCCAAAACAAATGGTGCATTCTCGACGTACCTCCAGAACCGCCAAATCCCCCCGTGTTTCCACCAAAGGCGCTCGTCCCGGTATTGTTCTGCGCGCTTCCAAAGCCAGTTCCGGTCGAGGAAGCACCGAATCCTGTAGGTACGAGAAGGTTCGAGTGAGCCCCAGCTTCGCCAGTGTGCACCGTTGCAGGCAGTCGAGCTCCGTCGCGTCCAGGATGTAAAGAAAATGGGGGTTGCATACCTGTATTTGTATTTGTAGATTGGCCAAAGCCGCCGAAGCCCGTGTTCTGTTGCTGCTGGGCATTGTTTTGCTGGCCGAAGCCACCGAATCCACCGAAGCCTGACATTGTCACTGCTGTCAATGGGTTGATGAGCTTTCAGACGGAGCTGGAAGGTTGCAGGAGTCGTTGAAATTGCCTCCTAGAATTGCGACACGCCGTCGCGCCTCAAAGTTTTGGTTGTCGCGCTCAAAAGAATGTAATCGCGGCAAGCATAACAGGCTGGTATTGAAGTAGCTGAAGACGACCTGTCTCAGCTGTCTCGACGATGGATGAATCAGCGAATTCGTCAAGCGTGGACAGCAATCGAGATGATATAACGCGCTTCGTCTTTTTTGTCGGTCGTGGTCAAGGTTACCTCTCGCTTATACAACACATCAAGCGCTCACCCCAGGAGGCAACAACACGTGACCTACGCAAGCCTAGTTTCCCAAATGTCGAAATAAGCAATGTGCACGACGACAATTGGTGTTTACAACAGAGTGATTAAAATCAAATCAAGGCAATCAATCACTTAGAACTGACTGTAAACAAGGCAGCTACTCATAAATAGAGTTAAATACTTAAATTCTATTTGCTTAAATTGTTTGGTATGAGTCTTCAGTGTAAGGCAGTTGTCTCTCATACTTTTGGGGAGGCACGAGTATTTATGCTGAACTTGAAATGAACACAGCCCCTTTTGCCCGGCTGCACGTGGTACAGTAATTCACGGGTTTGTCAGCAAGTGCAACTGATAAGGCATGTAGCGTGTTTTTATATGTTTCATAGTAATCGAAAGGGATAACTATGCAGATGGTAGACTCAGTTGGAAGTCAGCTTGTGGTTTTCATTGGGCACGATTGCATCAGGCAGAACTGCCTCTCCAGGCTCCCACCACGAAATCCCCAAAATCCCCATGGCCACTCCAATCGGAGTCATAATGACCAGCTCCAATGCCACTTATCACGATAAATTGCAGTCATAGAAATCTAGCCCCCTATGGACCATCTCTGGTCGACGTGAATCATATTGGCGCCTGAGGCCCAAACTTAAACCCTGAGCTGAGTGGCACGGCGCGTCGGAGCCAAAGCTCCAAGCGCGTCCCCCGCCATATCCCATCCCCGTAATTCCTCAGTCGAGTACGAGTACGCGACGACCATTAAAGACATATAAAAATTCAGCCACTGCACATTCCACCACAACGTCAGACTATCCCCGTGCCGTCTGTGACAACATACACACCCTCTCAACGCGCCGACACCATGGCATCCTCCCAGCACCCCTCTTTCCCCATCCGCCCATATCCCTCCTCTATCTCTGGCCCCTCGCAACAACCCCCCCAGTCTTCTACCCGCGGAAAGCCCCTCAGCTTCAGTCAATCACACGCCCCCGCCGCCCGCGAAGCAGCGCGCATCGAGCGCGACCGCCTCGAGCGCGAACGCCAGCAAATTGCGCAAAAATCCACACACGCACAATCGCAAGCGCCGAGCGCACTGTCGCAGTTAGCGGACGAGCAGCGCGATGAAGTGAATGAGGCTGTAAGTATGCGCTTTTGATTTAATGGGGACATTGCTGATTATGGAATAGTTTGCGCTGTTTGACTTGGATAAGGATGGCCTCATCGACTACCACGAGTTCAAGGTTGCGCTCAAGGCGCTTGGTTTCGACCTCCCGAAACCGGAATTACTCGACCTGCTCACCTCCCATGGAATAGCGCCGCCGTCATACCAGGTGCCGCCAGGAACGTCGGGCCAGCATGTGGTTCCGGCGTCGAGGTTGCATCTTACGCTCAATTCGTTCCAGCAAATCGCCTCTGAGCTGATATTGGCACGGGACCCGCGCGACGAGATCCTACGGGCGTTTGATCTCTTTGATACGGAGGGGAAGGGCATGATATCTTTGGATGATTTACGGAGGGTGGCGCGGGAATTGGGCGAGGGTCTGGAAGAGGACGAATTGTCGGCGATGATTGAGGAGTTTGATCTCGAGGGGAAGGGTGGTGTGGGGAGGGATGAGTTTATTGGTATTTGCATGAACTGATGTGGTACTGGAGTGGATAAAAGGCACGGGTCCACGGATTGTGGGCGTCGGGGGTGGTGTTTGGATGGTGTTTGTTACATGCCCGTGGTTGGGTTGTGTCAATTTTGACATGGGATATGACAGCGCGGAGTATAAAGGCGCAGGATTATATGTATGTATGCCTTGTATCAATGATTACAGAAGTTGTTCTGATGCACTCAGATCTCCGGAATATAAGTTATATGTTTTAGCTATAATAGTAAGGCCTTATTAAGTAAGTAAATGGTCTCCGGAGCTTGTTGTATTGATGTGAATCTTAGGTGTGATAGCCACCGGCGTATATATCACCAAAAATATATGCAAAAAGATCTGGGTCCACCGGATTCGAACCGGTGACCCCCTGAATTATCCTAGTTTACTTTGAGAGCTGTTGTCTAAAGCCGTACAACGTTGAACAGGCGTTTTGCGAGTAGAACGTGCGTGGCCAGAGATTTTTATTCTTGACTGACCCCCAGTTGAACCACCTCTCGAATTGAACGAATCCAATTAAGTAGGAGCAGAAATCAGGAGCGCTACCACTGCGCCAGCACCCCATTTTTTGTTGGAGGTGTTTGGTTGAATTGCCTTTTAAGTGTATTGCGTTTGTCAGATAGCAAACAGTGAGAACCAGTAAGAACAATGAGACACTGGGAAGACTGAGAACGATGGGAACAGCAGGACGCTTAGCAACAAACAGAGGCGGTGTTGTTCATCTGATTCTATAGGATCAGAGAGCATATTTCCAATTATTCCTGTATGAAGCTATTTATTTATGTCTTGTTGGTGATAAAGATTAATTATTTATATAACCAAAATTCATAAGGATAGTCCGAAATAAGACATTCAGGGCTCAGAGACACTCATGATCCCCGCAAGAGCTTATATCGACTACAAATAATAAAACATACCCTAACTTTACATAGAAATCACATTCAGAGATCAATTCATAATCCTCAATCTCAATATAAATTCGTTTCCAGCAAGTGAATGAAAACAGCCATTGAATCACGTGCCTGGCGGCTCAATTGAGACTACGCTTGCCACATACCGCACTAGCGCGATTACGTCCTCCTGTCCACGATCAAGTACAGCGTCATCTTGCACCGCCCGACAGATTGACCTGAATCGCGAACCCTGTGGCCAACCAACATTTTCCTACACCGCAAAACCCCGAACCCTTTCCCTCGTTATAACCAACCCTCCCTGGAGCTCTTCTTGTGCGGATCCTAAACAGCCTCATATTATTGTTTCCATCAACTGAACCGGATAAAACCGCTCGATTGATACTCGGTGTGGCAAAGACCCTGCACCACGTCACCTCCGTCGGCGGCGCAATTAGATCTGCCAAGGTCCCGCGCTCCAGCCACCCTCACTCGTAACGACATCATCGCCGCCGAGTCCTATCACTACCCCTCCGAATAAGCGCCATCGCTGCTACTAGATTGGGCCTGCTAGCCTGCGGACGAGTGCGAGAATACCGAGTTCCTCCTCCTATACCATCTCACTGGTTGCACGACCACACCCGCCGCAACCATGTCGAAGGTAATGCGAAGCGTGAAGAATGTCACCAAGGGCTACTCATCAGTGCAGGTGAAGGTTCGCAATGGTGAGATATACTCTTTGCGCACGGTTAAACCGGCCAGCAATGGACTGACCGATTGAAATAGCTACGAGCAACGATCCATGGGGCCCGACAGGGACGGAGATGCAGGAAATCTCCCAGATGACATACAACTCGTATGGTCCCCTCGATTCGAGCAAAATGCGGCGTCGCAAATAACAGCTGCTGATATGACGCAGATCAACCGAGTTCTACGAGATCATGTACATGATAGATAAGCGTCTCAACGACAAAGGGAAGAACTGGCGCCACGTCCTCAAGGCCTTGAAGGTCCTGGATTACTGTCTGCACGAGGGATCCGAGATGGTTGTAACATGGGCACGCAAAAACGTCTTCATCATCAAGACCCTCCGCGAGTTCCAGCACATCGACGACGACGGCCGCGACGTCGGGCAAAATGGTATGTTCCCCGCATTTAGCCAAGATATCTAAGCTAACCATCCACAGTCCGTGTATCCGCAAAAGAGCTCACCTCCCTCATCCTCGACGAAGAGCGTCTCCGCGCCGAGCGCAGCGATCGCAAATCCTGGAAGTCCCGCGTAACCGGCATCGAAGAGTATGGGTCCTCCGAGACCTCCCCGCCCCCCCGCCACGAGCGCCCCCACCGCGCCCAGCGCGCCGACGAAGAAGACGCCGAGTACAAGCTCGCGATCGAAGCATCAAAGCACCAAGAGGAAGAGGACCGCAAGAAGCGTCAAAGCCGGCAGGGCGAGCCTGACGACGACGACCTCGCCAAGGCCATCAAGCTGAGCAAGGAGGAAGAGGACCTACGACTCAAGGAACTCGAGGACGCCAACGCGCAGAGCCTATTCGACGATGACCCCGTGCAGATGCAGGGTAACCAACCCCAATTCACCGGCTATAACCAAGGCTACCAGCAGCAAGGCGCCGTCGACTGGTCCGGAAACCCCATCGACATGTCCCAGGGCCAACAGCCCAACTACCTCAACGCCTACGCGACTGGCTACCCCCAAGCCGCCCCGCAGCAGACGGGCTACCAAACCGGCTACCAAAACGGCTTCCCCAGCTTCGAGCAATACGTGCAGCAGCAGACCGCGCAGACCTCCCCCTTCCCATCGTCCCAGAACTACAACCCCTACGCCCAGCAACCCCAGCAACAGCAGCAGCAAGCTGAACCCATCGTCCCGGCAAACACCAACAACCCCTGGGCCACAAGCGCCCAAACCGCAGTCCAAGCCCAAGCCCCCGCGCCCACAGGCTCAAACAACCCCTTCGCGACCTCCCGCCCGGCACCAGCGCAGACATCCTCCCAACCAACCCTCTCCACTTTACAGGAGCAAAAAACCCTATCTTCTTTCAACAACCAGTCGCAATTCTCCCAACCCTCCTCCTTCACCCCACCCCCCCAGCAACAACAACAGCACCTCCAACCCCAACTCCAGCAGCCCCAAAAATCCCAATCCCCCTACGAAGCCCGCCTCGCCTCCCTCCTCGAAAGCGGCGACGGCATGGACACCTTCGGCAACACGGGCAACCTCCGCATCCCCGCGCAGCACACCGCACCCGGCACATTCGTCAATTCCGCCGGTGCGGGCCTGCCGGGTTTGAATGCACAGCAGACGGGGGTGAATCCGTTTATCCAGGGTCAGTTTACGGGGATGCCGCAGGCGCAGTATGGTGGGCAGCAGGGGTATGGGGGAGGGGGACAGCAGGGAATGCAGCATGCGCAGACGGGGGCGGGGAATCCGTTTGGGAGGCAGCAGGGGGCGGGAGGGGGGAATTTGATTGATTTTTAGGGAGGTGGTGAGAGGTGGAAGAGGGATGTGAGGGAGGGAAGGGGGAAAGGGGGGAGGTGAGGGGTTTTTTTTGTGTATTTATTTTGTCTTGCGAGCGGATGAAAATTCGACGGAGGTGCGCTGTGTTTAGACTGGATGGAGATTGCTTACTTCGTATGATGTGGTGGATGGAGGATGCGGTGATGTAGGGGCGATGGGTGGGTGCGTGGTTAGGTTAGCGGTAGATGATGGGAAGGTGAATTGAAATCGAGATGAGAAATTAAACAATGAGTGTCTGTGCTGAGGGTTGTCTATCTATATCCCCTTCTTGCCTCCTCTCCGTGTCTGGGGGGGGGGTTGCACTTGTGGTTTTTGGACAGCCTGTCCCTCCCCGCTACTCACTCATTCTCAACTCACCACTTATTTATTCAACATCTCATCACCCCAAGAGAGACACACAGCAGTAGTAGATCTAAACCCCATCATATTAAACATCCTATAATACAGTACGTACACCCCCATATAAACAACTATATACCACCCAAAACTATTAGTAAATACCAGATATATAATACACTTTATCATCATCACCCTCCCTCCCTCCAAATATGTCCCCCTTTCCGTAAAAGACCATCTAAACATCAAAAAGAAAAAACGCGCAACCAACAACGCAAAAACAAACAAACACAAGAGCTAATAGACAAGAAACAGATAACAAATAATAAGCAAGAATCCAAAATGATCCTCCCCCCCACCGCGCTCTTCAGCCCCGTAGCCACCCACCGAACAAAGGAAAGATAGTAATATGTACTGTAACGTTGGGGTATTCATCACCCCCCTTTTGAACTTCTCCCCCCCTCCCACCCGCAAAAACAGAAACACAACCAAAGTACAAGAACAAGAAAGACAAAAAAGAAATACATCAGTGTCAGTCAGTTAGTTATTCGATACACCCTCCCTTGGCCGTGACGTTGCGAGGTTGTGAGGTTGCGAGGTACTTGGCTGGTTGGTTGGTTGGTTGGCGATTAAACCCCTACCACCCAAACCCCTCCCCCCCAACACTCCCAACAGCACTCAACCTCACCCCCGCCCTCCCCTTCACCGCACCCACAAAACTCTGCATCTCTCTCTCTCTCTCCCTCTCGCGTTCCCTCTCCCTCTCCCTAACCCTCCTCTCATCCCCACCCCCCCCAAACCGTTCCCTCTCACTCCTCTCGCTATGCACACTTCGGGCGCTGCGGACGGATTTATCCCCCCCATTCGTGACAGGTCCACCATTATTATTGTTATCAAGGCAGAACACCACGCTCTCACCACTCACAGCAGAGGTGTTGCTCATGCCACTCCTCACGCTCGCCCTGGGCATGAGTCCTGCCCCACTGTCTCCCCCTCCATTCTGACTCCTATTCCCACTCACGTCCCCTCTTCCGCCACCTCCACCGCTGCCGATAGTAACAACATTAGCAGTCCCCATATCCAACACCCCCTCCGCGAGGATCTCATCACGCATCCTCGCCCTCTTCTTGCGCAGCGCAGACAGAAGCGCCTGTTCCTGCGGCGTAACAGCCATTAGATTCGCCGCCGCCACCGACGACGACGAGGAAGGGATAGATGGGACGGCGTAAGAGGGGACAGGTGAGCGAGATGAAGTGGGTGTTGAAGTCGCGCTGCCTATAGGAAAGTGCGAGTTATGTCCATTCGCATACCCATTCCCGTTGCTGGCATAACCATTCGAATAACCATTAGAATACCCATTCCCATACCCGTTAGCCCCCCCACTCCCCTGCCTCCCATGCCCCCACCCCAGGCCCCCCTCCTCCACCGGACTAGGCAGCCCCTCCGCCGGCGGCCTGCTCCTCGGCGCCGTACTCCTCAGCGTACTCGCCGTGCGCGAACTATTCACACTCCTCATCGTACTCGCCTTACTCGCCGAGCTCGCATGTCTCCTCATGCCCTGCGGGACACCCGGTAGTGCACCCCCCGGTGGACCACCCGGCGGTGGCGGGATGGCGGTGGTAGGCGGCGAGGAGGCGGAGGATCGCCAGGGTCCGGAGAGGTGGAGGGAGATGGGTGAGGGGATGGTGAGGAAGTCGCTGTGGTGCGGGCTTGGTGTGTTTTGGGAAGGGTGGGAGGTTGAGCTTGCGGGGCGGGGGAAGGCGTCGAGGTTGCGGAGGGGTTTTGGTTTCTGTCGTGTCTTGGAGGAGGAGGATTGTTTTTTCGATGAGGTGGTGCTACTACTACTCTTATGCGTCGCACCACCATTCGTCCGAGCGTTGTGCTTACCCCCTCTCCTAGCACCATTACCCATAACGTCGCTCTCGGAGGTATCTTTGTCATCTCCCCTCTCGTCGTCATCCGAGGACGAGGACTCGGAGAGGGAGAGGATGCTGTTTTGCTGGAGGTTGGAGTTCGAAAACACACTCCGCCGCGACGTCCCAGTCGTCTTACTCGAATCGCTCACCCGGCTCGTAGCATCCCAATTCTGGCCCCCACCGCCCCCGCTAGCACCGAGGTGATCGCGCGCTCTCCACGCCGAGTGCGCCGACGGCGGCGGTGCGGTTTCTCTATCGTGCCCGTTTCTCGGACGGAGATCAGGATAGGAAACTCCATTGGGCGCCTCATGTCTCGGTCTTGGCGCCGCAATAACCGGTACCTTCGCCGCCGCCGCCGCAGCGGCGCGGGGTTCAGGCACAGGAGCAGGAGCGCGATCCGCGTAGACGCGCTGCTCGTAGTGATCCCATAGATCATCCGTGGCGTGGTGATCGTTCTGGAACTGGACTGTTTTCTCATCCCTCAATCGATCGACGGGGGGTGAAGCAACAGACGACTTCTGGCGCACGATAGGCGGGTTCTTGCTCAGTTTCCGGGCGTAGGTGGGGTCGGTGGAGGAGGAGATTCCGGAGCCGACGGAGGGGGCGCGGGAGGTGGAGGAGGGAGGGCGGAGGGATTGTGCGTCTTTTGATTTCTTGTGGAAGAGGCGTGTGAGGTCTAGGCGGGAGGTTTTCTTCTTGGGTGGTTGTGGGGAGGAGGGGAAGTAGCTGTCCCTGTCTTGGTTGTAGTTGGTGTCGTCGATGTCGCCGTCGTCTTCGGCGATGGAGTCGATGCCATGCGGACTGAGTGGGCTGTGGGGCATATTGGAGACGACGGGTTGGTATCCCTTGCGGAGAGCGAGGTCGCGCGCCGACGAGGCCGAGGTCTGCTGTGAGACAGCTAGGGGCGTAGATCCGCGGTCGTAGTAAGACCGCAATGTGGAATTCGACCTCTCCGACCTGATATCGGGTAGGTCACTCGCCATATCCTCTCCTCCACCTCCATAATCCCCTCTCATCACCGCCCCGCGGCCCAACAGCGTCGACGACGCCTTGCCGTTCAATCGTATCGGCGGCACCCCGCCTCCTCTCTCGGAGGCACTATATGCGTCGTCTTCGGTCGTCGACTCGGCTATCTCAATGCTCATCCGGCTTGGACTCGTGGCCGCTCGACTGCGCGAGGAGGAGGGTGTGTAGGAACGCCATGCTCCGTCGTCGTCGCGGCTGGGGGAGTCGATGTTGAGGTTATCTGTGCCGAGGAGACGCTGTGCTTTCGAGAGGGGTTGTTGCTGTCGCTGCTGCGGCCGTGAATTGCTGCTCGAGGAACTCGTAGGTATAGATTCTGTTTTCGCAGGAGGGAGGACCGAGGCGCGGCGCCCTGGGACGGGGAAGAAGAATTTGGAGGTCCTGCCCATAGCCGCGGATGGGGTGGGGGGGGAACGGCGGCAGCGGCGGTGGTGGTGGTGGTGGTTGCGATGGTGATGATTGTGATTGCGGCGGTGAGGTTTCTTTGGGATTTCTTTCTCTTTCTTGAGAGAGGGTGAGGGTGAGACGTGAGGTTTGAAGTTTCCCAGACCGATCGGCCAAGGAGGTGGAGCGCGGAAGGCTAGGCGCGAAGGGATCTAGCGTGAGGCTGTTGATGGGAGCGAGCGAGCGAGCCGTTTGTATGGTATGTACTTCGTATACGTAGTCGGATAGTGCGCGGGCCAGGTTCAGGAACGGTCAGGAACGGTGGCGGAGGCGGGTGACGGAGGTGGAGGCGGGTGAGGAGGGTGTTTCGGAGGTTGGTCGAGATCGGTGCATGCTATGCGTGGTGGGAGGGATGGGGGGGAGGTGGTGGTGGAGTTGAGGATGGTCGAGAAGGTTGGGATTTGGAGGGAAGTGGTGATCGTGGTGGTGATCGTGGAGAAGGTACATGGGGATGGAAGGACATGACAGCCGGAAGAGGAAGAAGATGTGAGGATGGGGATGGGGATAGGATGGGGGGATTTGCTGTAGATTAGTATAGTAAGAGTAGTATTGTAGAGGAGAATATACGGCAGTAGAGTTGTGCAGGTTCTATCCAGTGGTATAGAGAACACTGGAGTCATGGTATAGTTCAGTTATACAAGAACAGTATTATCGAGTATAGTCGCTATACTGACTTACTCGCTATACTGGACTACACTCTCCCATACAATGTTCCCATACAAATGTTCCCATACAAATGTTCCCATACAGTCCTCCGAGATCTGCGTATAGTGGCATGGTTAGAAGTTAGAAGCGGTACTTCGGCGATACACTCTCCACCCACGAGTCTGCACTCCAAAACACCTTGAAACACCCCCAACCAGCGGTGAACACTCAGGCCCAGCACTTGTACCTCCCTCGTACCCCTCCTGCAAGCCCTGAGCCCTGCATCAGCATCTGCAAATTTGGGGGAACAGGGGTCCAATTCATGCGCATGTATTTACTCCTCGCTATTACAAAGGTACAGGCAAATTGTATGTCTGTTATATGTAAATGCGAGGTACCTTATTTCTAGGATTGCAGTAGGATTGGCGTCGATCGTCGGGCAGATCCCTCCTCTGTTGTCTCTTATCACGGGCTGAGGATGACGGAGGTGTGAGTGACTAGGCTGCATGGGGGATGGCGGGGTAGAGTTCAGCGTCTGTGTGGATAGTCCTTTTCGCTGGTGGTGTCTTCTTTCGTGTGGTAGTGGGTAGACTCATCCAACTAATCTGGCCTAAACACCGCTCTAAGAGAAGTTAATAAGCTCTACCGCTCTTACCACGTACTCGTAGTAAACTTGTTCAACTTCGGTAACCTATCATCTCTCCTAAACAGAGGGTAAACAACAGGTAAGCAATTAGGAGATCGTCGGCCTCCTTTCCGGTAATATGAGGTATTGAAGAGAATTTAGAAATTAGCATACGTACGGCTGGGAACCGACTACTAACACTGGGATGGGACCGGCTGCTGGCAAATTCTGCTGTGTGAGCCGAGGAGGAGGGAATAGATGCGAACAACACGTTGCCTCTGCGTCGTGCTTCATGTTCTTTCTTTCCCGTGCCGCCTCGTTTCTTCTCCGTGCTTCATTTCTTTACATCCTTACTGCTGCATGCATGCACTGCTCATGCAGCACCCATACACGTACATACGCACATGCATACATACACACACATACATATATAGCCATACTACTACACCACGATCATACACACAACTCCAGACCAAGACTCTCTGTAGTATATCTAGTATATGCACCCTCTCTAGTATATGCACAAGATCCTCTCCTACAAAAAAATCTACTCCGTAATTCCATGCACGCCCACGGCGACTACCAGTAGTCTGCAGTACTTTCCCACTCTCTATCCACCACCACCGTACTCCTCACCCACCCCATCAAAACTTCCTCCTCACCAGCCCCTGTCACCCCCCACCCCGGAACATCCCTCCCCCGACCAAACACCTGCAACCTGCAAACCCCTTTGTTCTAGCGTCTCCCGTACCTGACACTAAGCCTCTTCCTCCCACCGGTCCCTTACCCATTTAAGTAAGTAAAGTGCACTAAAACATCCCCCCCTACCTTCCTTCCCTTTCCCATGTCCTGCATACTGTACAAAAAAACCACCCGCCGTCGCAAATCTCACCTCAGCAGTACTAGGATCGCGATTTTCAAAACATGCGGCGTTCGTGGCGTCATGTCTGCATAGAAGAACTGAGTCAAGATGCGGATGGGAATACAGTAGGGTAGGCAAGCGCGGTCTCACGTGCTCCACCAACCGCGGACCCCCGAGGCACGCAGCATGGACGTTGAGGGGGGAGAGGAGCATGTGGATGGGGCTCGGGTCTCACTATGGAGTGAGTATACTGGATGGACTGTATACTATGCCCCCGCGAAGATGGGTGCTCCGAGACAGGATATTCTATAGTGTCTTCGAATTATCAATACCAAGGACCGTTGCTCCGTCACTAACCTCCCCCACAGCTGCCTCTCACTAATGGGGATCCCACCACGCCTCCTTTTCCTCTTCTCCATATACCCCACAACCTCAACGACCAGACTACTGTAGAATGCCAATATTGAAGCCCAACTCCTCATAAACACACCACGTCAGAATACTATACCCACCAGCAAACGGAGATTAAACCCACTCCCCGTCCCCCTGTACGCACTGTCCGCCCCCCTGCCCCGGCGCCCATGCTACGCTGAGAAGTGACTGCCGAACCAGGCCGGAGATGAGTGGGCGTGCGTTTCGTTCGTTGCTTAGGTGATGGGGGCGAGGATGAGCTGAGGATCTGGGGGTTGGGTTTGAGGCGGCAGGGGGATCGGCGGAGATGACGGCGTGATGGACGATGGGGATGATGGTTGGTGGTGATCTGGGAAGAGGGACGATGGGGGAATGGAGATGGTGATCGGAGATGGAGGAGAGGATTTGTCATATCCCTCTCCGACGACGCGGTGGGTATAAGTCATACCTAACTGATTACTTGGGATATATCCCTTCTATTCTTCCATCCTCATTCTCCCCCCTTATTTGGGTTGGGTCTTACATACGATGCATACCCCCTTTTCTGCGTGAGCTATACCTTCGTCATTTATCAAAACCCCCCGTGCTTCCACCGCTGTTTCGCCCACCTCTTGCGTTTACATAAGAGAGAGGAAAGGTGAGAGGATCAGGAAATGTCTTTTTTGGCACCACACACTCTCGTGAGGTTGCTTGTGCCGCTCCCAAAGCGCTGGGTTGAGACGCGGATGGCGCTTCGGGTTGTGGTGTAATGGCTAGCACTCGGCGTTTTCTGTTCAGAGCATTTCCACGTATTGCTTTACCACTTTTGTTATTTCAAAGGTCCATCTTCTATTTAATCATCAGATCTGCCTATTTACCTAATCCGATCGGTCACTTCTGAAGTGCCAGGCGATGAAGGTTCTCATATAATGCTCGATATCGTATGATGTGGCTGTGCTGTGCTGTGGCTGTGCTTGGGGGGTACTCGCATTATACGACGATTGATAGCATGGCTATACTACCAGACTAGAGCTTCTTCCTGTTCTAGTATGGGCTTATGACTCTGCGCTTGTGAGTATAGCAAGGTTGAGTTGGTGCACAAACTGTATAACTTGTCGATCGTAGAAGCTTAAAACTGATCTGAATGGTCTTTTATATTCTCACGCAAACTACTTTATATTTTCATTCTTATTATATGTATTTAAAGGCATCAATCACTTCACGTTACTTTCAAACACTAAACGGTCGAAAATTATCTACATAATCTCGATCCCGACAGAGATGGGAGACCAGTCCTTCAAAGGCTTCGACTGGGCTAAGTTGCGTACGGGGGATTATGGTATCGAGGCTCGTTTCACCTACGATCCCTACCTCGAAGCCGCCAAGCAGCTCTTCAAATCCCTCGGCCTAACAGACGGAGAGATAACCATGATCCTCCTAGAAACCTAACAAGAATACAGCCGGGTCTACGAAGTATTCTTGCCCAAGAAAGGTGAAGGTTTCATACTAATGGTAAACCTACCACTCGACCCTCGATTTAAGACGCTCAGCGAAGTAGCTACCATCGAATGGGTAAATGAGAATACGAATATCCCCGTGCTGAAATTCATACACTATGATACATCCAACGCCAATCCAATCGGCCTCAAATACATCTTCACCACCAAACTCCCCGGAAACCACTGTACGAGGTAGAGTAAAAAAACCATCTCCTTCCCCCGCCAAAACCACCCTCGTCACGCAAATGGCTTCATTCCCATCCCGCCTCTATAAATAAATCCCAGTTCCGCGGCATCGGCAGTATTCAACCCGCATCGACCCCAAATATCGGCCCGATTATAGCTAGAGACTTTTTTTTCTGGCACGAGAATATTCATTTAGATGTCCCCCCCCCCGCGGCCCTTTTCCTTCGGCCCGAGACCGAGCGGCTCGGAGCTATCTTGGCGATTTAAAGATAGTTGTCGCCCACGCAACGATGAGTTTAGAATTGACGAGGCGCGGGGGAGTTTGGGGATTATTGAGAGAGGGTGAGGCCGATGGTGGAAAAAATATTACCGGTTACTAACAATAGCCATCAAGCTGAACCGGCGATGCTGGTTCATGGGGATCTGGATTTCTTCATCGACGACAGCGGCGCGCTTAAGGGGGTTATTGACTCGTGGTGCGTCGAGGCCGTGCAGGTGTGGAGAGCTTGCTTGCTGCTACCCCCGATTCCTCAACTCATGGCGGGATAGTAAACCCAAGCGGGAGAGTTACGGGACTGACGCTGATGATTATGGTGGCAGTGGTGATCCTAATGAGCCGAATACGCTTTACTGGGATCATTTGGAGGAGTGTGAGTGTCATCTTCTGCGAACTGTTTTTCTGGAGGAGATGAAGAGGTTGGAAGGGGGTAGTGGGTGGAGGGTTTTAAGAAGGGGGAGGGGGTGAGGAGGGGCTTGGTGTTTGCGGTGCAGTGCTGTGATGATGATTAGAAACTAAATGGGAGGGAGATATGGGAGTGGATTGAGAAAATTGAGGCTGAGAAGCCTTGGGAGGGGAAATGAGAGGGGGTGAATGGTTGAGTTGTTGAAGGCATGGGGGTGCTTGGATTGTGTTTCCGCATGTTGTTTTTATTGCTTTACCCTTTTCTATGTCCCATTTCTTTTTGATAGCTAGATCTACCCAAACGCTCCATCAGCCTGGTCGCTTGTGAAGCGCCTAGTTTCTTGCGAAGCGCTTGGTTTCATGTGGATGTAGCGCCTGGCGTGACCCAGAGCGGCCAGGCGGTTCGGGGTACTTCAGCGATGCTCGCGCTTGCCGGTGTATATGTGGCTATGGTATTGTGTGACTGTGGCAAGAAGCGTTATTATATCATCTGTTGGACTTATAAGTATGAGTCCGACTATGCTACGGACTCCTATATATACCTACGCTCCATTATACGACTTCAATATGACTCGTCACTTATCAGTTTCCTCAAGGTTACGTTTGTGCACGGACTTCGCCCATCGACGATCTCAAACCTTAAACCACCCCCACCACCACTCCATCATTATCCTCACCAACCCCCACACTCTCCTCAATGGCCAAAGCAGATTTCCATGGTCTCTCATGGACCTCCACAATCTGGAGCCTCGAACCCACCTGGACCCTCGAACCCTCCCCCGCCGCCATCGCCGAACTAATCAAATCCCTCGGCATCACCGATGCCACCATCTCATTCCTCGCCCAAGGCGGCTTTAATAAAGTCTACACCGTCGCCTCACCGGCCAATGAAGACTTGATCCTCCGCATCGCTCTACCGGTTGACCCGAGATTTAAAACTCGCAGCGAGGTCGCGACTATGGAATGGATGCGGTATAACACTACCATCCCGGTCCCGAGGGTCCTCCGGTACGGGGAGTCGCGCGCGAATATCGTGGGGTTCGAATGGATCCTCATGACTAAGCTACCTGGAAAGCACCTTGGCGATGTATGGAACACGATCTCCTATGCTGCTAAAGAAGCGCTGGTTAGGAGGATCGCGGGGATTTGGGCGGAGCTGTTTAGGCGGCCGATGAGGGGGGTGGGTAATATCTATTCAGTGTCGCCGAAAAAGGAGGAACCGGCGAAGGTAGGCAGGATTGTGTCGATGCAGTTTTTCTGGGGGAATCGTATCTATCAGGATGTGTCAAGGGGACCGTTCGAGTCGAGTCGGGAGTGGATGCTAGCGAGGTTGGGACTGTGTGAGAATGAGTGCCATGCTACGCTGGAGAGGTTTGAGGGTGTGGAAAGGAATGGAGCGGATGGCGGTGATGAGGGGGGGGGTGGGGTGAATAGTGATGATAACAATGGTAGGGATGATAAAGGTGGTAGGGATGATGAGGGTGATGAGGGTGATGAGAACGACGAGGACGACGATGATGATAAGGAGGAGGCGGAGAGGACACTGGACATTGTTATGAGGTTGAAGCCGCTTGTAGATCGAATATTCCCAGAGGGCCAGTCGGGAGAGGAGAAGACGGTGTTCTCCCACCATGACCTTTCAAATCATAACGTCCTTGTCGACGACGACGGCGCTCTTACCGGCCTGCTAGACTGGGAGTGCGTCTCCGCCGTGCCACTTTGGAAAGCCTGCGACTTCCCGAGTTTTTTGGGAGGCAGACCGCGAGAGGTGAAGCCTGATCAGACGGCATATGATCTGAATGATGAGGAGAGTGCTGATGACTACTGGAGATATTTGAAGGAATATGAGATCACGAACCTGCGGCGGGTTTTCCTCGATGAGATGGCGATACTGGAGCCGGAGTGGATGCAGATTTTCAAGGCGAGTCAAGTGCATCGGGATCTTGAAACTGCGGTGCTAGACTGCGATAGCGAATTGTCCGCGAGAAATATCCGTTACTGGAGTGATAACGTCATGGCCGAGAAGAGCAACATGCTGACTTTGGAGGATAGAAGATATGGATGCTATGGACCTGACGATTCTAAGGACGACATTATATTATAGTAGATAGTGGCATATGATAAGCACCATCATCTTTTGGGTTGGTATATGGAGACATGTACAGTGCAATAGCTCGCAAGATACCATTTCTTCGTGGTAAAGCATGAGATGAACGACTACAACGACTGTAATATAAGTACATTCATATGAATTGCCACAACCAAAATATGAAACGCCTCTGTATAGAAAGTTATGGAATAACGACAACCTTTCCAATGCTGAGCTGAACCCACACCCGTAAAATAGAGGCCGCGTAACGATGAAATTCAAAACAAGCTTCATATTCAAGGTGCGGGGTTGACGTGATAATCGACATAATTAAACATTTGTAGCTTACTGTTTCCATTTCTAGCCAGAAATTCTCGCACCTGAATAGGGCTTGCTCCCCATCCGTATAATTCGGCCGCTTCTTTTCTTTTAGACTATCTGGGAACTTTACTGTTGCCTTGTCCCTCATTTTTCTTCCCATTTTGAAAAGGGCGTTTAATTGGTATATCAGTGTGGAAAATATTGAGTGGTTGGAACTGAGAGGATATGAAAGATTTGGAGGAAGAGAGTAATTGCTGGAAGGTTCTCTGTTTTCTTTTCGAATTGAAGATACCTTCCTTTCGTTATGCATCAACTTGACAGAATAATGGTTATATTTGGAGCGATTTTTGATCTTGCTCTCTAAATAATCATAATCCCTTCCCCCAATAATTGCACACGTCGCCAGCTCTTCCTGCATTTTTAAAACTGCGTCACTACATTCCTCACACTGCGCTATCCGGTCTTGCTATGTATGCATATGCTGGATATAATGGGTTGACCATAAACCAACTGATACCTGTATTGTGTGCCTTGAAAAACATTGAATGACTACTGAATTAAAGATTATGCAGCAAGAACCACCCAATTGGGGGCAAGGAGGAAATCATTGGTACCATTAACTCCCTATCTATATATTCTCCATCCGCCACTTATTCAAATTCTTAAGGGCATTTTCCGTGTGGGGATGATGACGGCCAAGGACCCGTTCTCGCAGTTGAAAGCAAGTCTCTATTAGTGAAATAGCTTCCTCAATGCGGCCTTGGAGTTTTAGCGTGGTCGCAAGGATCTGCATGGTTGCTATCGTGTCTGGGTTTTCACGCCCAAATAATCTTTCCATCGCATCTATTGATCGCTTTGCCATGTCTTCCGCCTCCTTTAGCCGCCTCTGAGACAACAACAAGGCTGCTAGGTTAGTCATGCAAACAAGTGTGTTTGGGTGGTCCTCTCCAACAACCTTCATATATCCTTCTAGAGCTCGCCGCTGCATTACTTCTGCTTCTTCATACTTGTTCAGCTGATCTAACACCAATCCAAGCTGGCCAATGCTAATAAGCGTGCTTAGATCATCTTCCCCCAAAATCCTCATCTTTGCTTCTAGAGCTTGCCGCTGAATTGCTTCCGCCTCTTCATACTTGCCCTGCAGCTCAAACAATAACCCAAGCTGGGCAATGCTAATAAGCGTGTATGGGTGCTCTTCTCCAACGACCTTCTTATATCCCTCTACAACTCGCCGCTGCATCGCTTCCGCCTTTTCGAACTTGCCCTGCAACCTGTATACCAACCCAAGGGCGGTGACGCTCATGAGAGTCTCTATGTGCTCTTCTCCAACCACCTTCTCCAACCCTTTTACAGATCGCTGGTGCATCGCTTCTGCCTCTTCGTATTTCCCCTGCCTCTCTAACGCTAAGCCAAGAAGCCTGACACTAGTAAGCGTCGCTGTGTGCTCTTCTCCAATAGCCTTAATATATCCTTCTAGAGCTTGCCGCTGCGTTGCTTCCGCCTCTTTGTACTTACCCTGCTCCTCTAACACTGACCCAAGCAGGCTGAGACTAGAAATCGTCTCTATGTGTTCTTCTCCAAGCACCCTCCCCCTTTCAATTATTGCAGTCCGCACAAGAGGCTCCGCTGCTGCGCACTCTTTTGCGTTGTAAAGATACCATGCCATGCTATCTGCAACCAATGCTCGATCTAGTGTTGCCTCTATATCTTCTAGAATGTGGCCGAACACTTTTCGCGCATGCGGAAGAACAGCTCGACAAGCTGCCCATGTCTCGTAGCTCCCATCTGGGAAGGAAGCAGCCATGACCCGTAGTGACGCCTTCTGCCACCTGCCCAACTGCATCTGCTCTTCTAGCCACTTCCTCGTCGCCAGCTGAACTAAGTCGTGCATCTCAAACAGATGCTCCCCGACTTGCTGCTTTAGTTGCTTCACGCTCTGGACTTTAATCAGAGAGAAGCTTGTTAACGGTGCGACTGCATCCTCAAACTGAAGCCTGCTTTTGCCATCGTACAGAATAGACTGCGGAATCCCCTGCCTGTCAAACATGGCCATGAGCGAAAGTAGCTCCGCAGATTCAGGCCTCATCTTCTGGATCTGTTCGAACGAAATCTGCCAGGTGGTGACGACCGCACTAGAGATGCTGCCGTCTCGCCGCATGTCCCTTGATTCTTGGCTGCTTAGGAGGTGTGCTTGGTTCTCCTCACTCTCACGGAAGAGCTCAAGGTAAGTCGAGACTGTGATTGTTTGCGCTCGCACTGCAATATACGCCGCTGCGTGAGTGATAGCAAGGGGGATGTATTCTAGTATCTGTATGAGTGTTTTTGCATCGTCTTCAAAGGCCTTGCTGACCGAGACTCTGGTCTTCAGCAGCATTAGCGCCTCTTCCTCCGGCATTGGCTCTACATGAAACACATTGTCCCTTATTCCCACGAGATTCATTGCTGCAGCTAGGTCTCGTGAGGTGACCAGTACCCATCCGTTCGAAGACTGCGGAAGGAAGCTTGCTAAGGGCGCCGCCACGTCTGTTGCTTGCGCGGCGCTGCCTGAGACTTCGCTAGTGGAATGGAAAACCTGGTCGTCGTCGGCGTTGTCAAGTATTATAAGCCAGCGGCCGTTCCGCTCGTCGCTGAGCCAGTTATACACAAGGCGAAGAATATCAGCATTCGGATCGTCCCGGCCGGGCAGCTCAATCTTGGCGGCAATATTTGTATAAGCCTGCTTAAATCGGCCGGCGTTGCTCGCATGTACCCAGAACACCCAGGTCTGGGGTGCTGACTCTCTCACTCTGTATGCATATTCAATAGCAATCTGAGACTTCCTAACCAAAACATTAACCTGAGCTACCCGATAAGAACATCGACATGCTTACCCTACGCCGCCTAGACCAACGAGAGCTACTCGACTGTGATCCTGTGACGCGGCCTCCTTGAATTTCTCACTTATTTTCACTAGAATATCCTCTCGGCCGACGAATGCGCTATCTCTTTGGAATGGAACCATTATGGAAGGCTTAAGTTTGTTTTGTGATCGCACTGTACCCAAGCTAGCATTAGTTCTGCGCAAACACAGCGACAGCACATAAGGCCAATCCAAAGAATGGAATCCCACATACAGAACCGCGCTGCAACCACGCTGGTGGCATCCTGCTCAAACTGTCTAAGCTTATCCCGCGCGCTACTATAGCCTAGGTCGCTCTTATTATTAAATTTCACCATAATTGAGTGATCGGCATCTAGAGGGATCTTGTCCTCCGTTGAGTCTGGCAGCTGGAGAAGAGCTGAATCGGCATCTACGACCGTAACAAAGTCGCCGGTCCTTCTCCAGCAACTGCTTTCACTATCCTGTTACACACAATTAGCAGTCTGCTACTGTGATTTTAACTCTTAAGAGCCATACAAACTCGAGCTGTCTTGTCTGGCCCATCTCAAAGAAACTTACGACCTTTCGGTCTCGGATGAGATTTCTGAAAGACATTAGCTGAAAAGCTAAAAGGTCAGATTTACTTTTGATCTGCTCAAGTAGAGCACCCCGCGGATGATTATCCTGTCCTGCCACTATCTTCTGAATATCGTCTACTACTAGGCCCTTATGTGGGATTCCAAACAGAAGCATGCCGTATGTGGCTCTATATAGAGATGCTATTGTTGGATGGTCGTCTTCGTCTGCCTGGACAGCTTTAATAAGGCACTTTGATACTAGTTAGATTTATATATATATATTATAGCGGTTACTTACGTGAGCGAGGATAATGCCACCAAAACTATGCGCGATAAAGAACAGAGGCCGCTTTCTTAGCTAGTAGGGTAAACCCGTTAGCCTGATGTCACCGTTCTGGAGCTGCATTCTGTAATGGCTCTTACTTCCTCTGTATTCCTTATCTTCTTGAGCTCCTCCAGCAACCCTTGGCCGTAGTCCATGATTGTGTCGACCCTATGCGTTAACAACTTCGAGTTGTAGCCGTAGATCATCGTGCGGCAGCATGGCATGTCCTTGCACAGGAAGTCGCGCAGCCACATGCGCCCAAGGTTTCCTTTGCCCCTCCATGAGCCATATGCGTGCCCATCGAGGCCCGTGATAGCGATTATGCTGTACGGTAGGTCAGACATATATTACTAAGTGATAAATATTACCCACTCTGCGGTAACCGTTGAGTCTGGCTTTGGCATATAGAGTTGGGTGAACCCAAAGAAGTGTCGATCGAAATCGATATCCGTGTCGCCCATCTCGACCTGCCAGTCGTCTAGCGGGTTAGCCGTCAGCTCGGACAGGAATTCGGGCACTCCGCCGTGGAACTCGACTAGCGCGACTTTCTTCTCATTGTCATAGCAGGAGGGCAAAATAGTTGCATTAAAGGTCAGCTTCGATTCTTCGCCCTCCGCTAGATTGTCGTCGATGGCAGCCTTCAAGGCTTCCTTAAGCTCGTCGTCAGGCTGCGAGGCTGGGAGACCGGTGACACGGAAAACAACGCCCTTCTTTTTGGCGGCCATCTCGACTCAGAGGCTCGTCACCGAGCTCAGCATTTGCTACGGTTATGAGCGACAGGAGAGTAATAGATGGGCGGAGGATGGGTTCCACTCGAACAACGAGCAAGTGAGGGGCTACGGCATCTTCACACAAGGCTGAGCGCCAAGCCACTCTATCGATGGGACTTCGGCCCGCGCCGCTGAGGATTGGTAGCCTAAGATGTTGAGGGGCCAAAATGCTTCTTGGGATATGGGACCTCTGGGTATGCTATATATATGTTCTATATTGTGCCGCGTGAAACTATTCAATCTATTGCGCTAGAGTGAGAGGGCGACAATTAATGGGATAGAAGTGCTGAGTAAAATGCCCCAACGTCCAAGCTTGGACTTTGCGCATGGTTGTCGCATATATTCTCCATAAACGAGGCAATATCATCCAATCAATCATGAAAGTAAAGAGACAAGTTTATTATTAAAAGCTAACTTCAACTATAAGTTGGAGAAAAGTTACATTACGTTGACCAGATTCAACTGCAAGTTCCAATCCTACAGACAACCTAGCTCCCTGTCTAGATCACGTCGCCGCCTAGCATTATCGGACGATAGCACGCTTGGTATTTATTAAAGTTATGCGGCACTTTTGAGCGCCCTAATTTTCAAACAACCCTAATAACGACTCTAGATTGAACCCTTCTCAGTGCCTGGAACACTGTTGGCGTCTTCCGCCTTCGTGGTAGTCTCGAGGTCACCCGTGACTGGGCGGTTGTGCGCAAGAGTCTGAGCCAAGTCGGTATCTTTGAGGCTATCCGAAATGAAAAGAAGATCGATCTGCTCGAGGGAGTGACCGCGGGTCTCAGGGCAGCAGAAATAAACTGTGGTAAGGAGTTAGCGCCCTATTCAAAAACCTCCAGAACGGAGGTTGAGACTTACCATATGGAATGGCAATGACGTTGAAAACCAAAAACCAGATCCAGGTCCTCCACCCAACACTTGTGTCGGCGATGGCAATCGGACCGGCGTACACGGTCAAGAAGGCGGCGATCCACTGGCAGGATACACTCAGAGAGAAGCCGATGTGGCGGTATCTGAGCGGCATAATCTCGGTAGAATACACGTACTATCAGCGAAGTTAGTTCATTTCTTTCATGGTGAGACGGAGAATTATTTAAGGGACTTACGGTGACGGGACCCCATGTAGGACCGAACACAGCAATCCAGCCAAACAGCATGGCAGCTGCAGCAGCTCCGACCTGGCTGCTGGAGGGCTGGGAGAGTAGAACTGTGAAGACGAGCATGAAGATTGACTGGCCGATGGCACCGCCGATGAGCCAGGTCCTGCGTCCTAGCTTCTCCATGTAGTATGAACCGATGTAGTTCGTGGTAGCTAAGACGGTGGTTGCGGCAGCGGCAAGTCCAGAGGCCGTCAATGGGCTGAGTCCAATGTACACCTGGAAGATGGTCGAGGTGTAGTAGAAGATCATATCAATACCCATCAGGTATGCGACACCGATCAAGATCATGCCGGTTCGGATACGGCGAGCAGTTTGCATAGCTGAAGTGTCCCAGAAGAAGTCCTTGATGCGTAGAGAATCGGACTCGGTCCTTTCCAGCTCGAGGGAGGCGTGGATGTCCTGTTTCGCTTCTTGGACGACGCCTTCGGTAATGGCCTTGTCATATAGGCGCTCAAGAACGACGTCGGCATCAGTGGTGCGATCCTTGGCATACAACCAACGTGGAGTGTCTGCGCCTGTTAGTTTTCAAGCCTGCATTATAAAAGAGTCGCTCTCACCAGGCATTGGGTAAATGACTGCAACAGTGGCAAAAGCCCACACTACTTGGAATGCGACTGGGAATCTCCAGACAGCTTGAGACGATGCGAAGACCATGCCGAAATCACTAATAAGGTTAGAAAGCGTCAAAATAAAGTAAGCTGGTAAACTTACACCCAGTACGCGAGAGCTGTGCCGAGACTGGCAGCTGCAATCATCATGTTGACACCCTGTCCGCGCTTGTTGACAGCGACGGCCATCTCGGCGACGTAGATGGGAATCATCGACGTTAGGAAACCATTGCCAACACCCTGGATTTAGATTAGCATAGTTTGTGGTTTAGTTAAGTCTGGGCCCACAAACAATTAGAGTTCTACCTGCAATCATCTGACCAGAGCTGTAGGAGGTAGCTGAAATGATTGTGCCCACGACCTGGACCAAACATCCGTAGATGATCCACTGTCTTCTCCCCAACTTCATCCCGAAGATGGAGATTATCATACAACCAAGCCATGATGCCAGCAAAAAGATGGACGTTATCATGGAAATGGTATTCGTGTCTGGAAACTATAATCGAGAGAAGTTAGCTGCCAATTGGGCAAAATACAGAACAAACGCGAACCTACGCCCATAGCACTCTGGAACTCGTTCGTCAACAACACACCACCTAAAACTCCGGCATCCCAACCAAACGTCACAAAGCCCAAGCTGCCTCCGATGAGGGCTCTCACGTACAGCGCATTGCCTTTGAGTACCATCTTCAAGTCTGTTGTTGTTTTTTTGGTCGATGCCCACACCGAGTGATAGGTGACAGAAAAGTAGGACCACGAAGATATACCCCGAAAACCGAAGCGTGCAGGAAAGACGACGGATCCGATGCTGACTAGATCCCGAGGGGCACCCGAAATCCAACAGAAGGAGATGAAACTGCACAAGGGTAGCGCTTCGTCGTATCTTACGGGATCAACCCTGGATCGATACACGTGCGAGACATTATTCCCGAGACACTGGGGAATGTACGTAACGACAGACGAATCAAGATAGAACCATCGATATTGGGTGGTGAACACATGTCTGGACCAGCGCAGCAATCTTTGCTATTCAAGGAGGTTGCACCGATGGCGGGCTGCCATTGACGCTGAAGAATTGGTGTAGCTCAAAAATATCCCTGCGCTCGGGACAGGGGTAGGACTCCCGCGGGCCCGGCCCTTGAATGAGGGGATCTAAGCGCACTAGCGCGCCACCTTAAGAACAGCCAATACCCACTCTAGGGACTACCAGAGCCAGATAGATCCCTGTTATAACAAAAGTTCCCATGCTAAAATGATAATTTTATACGCTACGTTCATGCACCACCTCCCACCTCCAAACATTGCAGGCCCAGAAATTGAGTATAATTCTGTACATACCCCATAACATAATACGAAATAAGGCGATCTCATTAGCTCTAGCGATACATTGATCCAACACCGCTCGGTCTGACTACACACTAAAGAGTCCGTACAGCGAGGCTTATGCACTGACAAGGCGGGGTTAAAATATAGTGGAGACACGGGCGACTACAACAACACACAACCAACAGTGATCCATACGAAGTGGAGTAGGAAAGGGTCCTGGCATTTTCCCAAAGAGGAATTCTAGTACAAGGCCTTCAATGTGGTCGGGATGTTTGTAAACTGCGGCGTTGCGAGTACGTAATTGGAAGATATGCAGTTGATCTCAAATTTTGCTACAGTTTCCGTGGCACCATGCACAGCACCACGCACGGAACCAAAATGGAGCCACACACACGTGGGGTAATTTTGCATTACTCAGCTGTCGAGCTATGCGCAGTGTCTTCTCTATGCAGTGCCTCAAAAGAGAGCTCAGCACAAATTGATTTGCATACGTACATGAGGCTCACGAGCTCGACGTGTTGCGAAGATGGCCAATATTTTGCTTGATTTGTACAGGAACGCCACCTTTGTCAACGTTAGTCTTGGTTTTGTCGCATACCTTATAGCGCGCGCGCTGTATCAGGTCGTGTATTACCGTTTTTTCCATCCTTTGTCGAAATTCCCCGGACCGTTTTGGGGCAGTGTGACGAGACTATGGATTGCCTATCACAACATCAAGGAGGACGAGCCGTACGTTGAACACGAGCTACACAAGAAATATGGTATGCGTCTATCTGTGACTTTCAGTGCGCATTGCAGGAAGGCTGATATGTCGTGCGACAATAGGACCTATCATTCGAATTACTCCCACCTTGCTGCTGGTCAGCTCTGCGCCCGCCCTGCCGACAATTTATCACAGACAAGCCGATAAGACAAAGCATTACATCAGTGGCAGTTTTGGAGAAACTGAATCCGTGTTCAACATGCAGAGCTGGAAGACGCATGCGAAGTTCAGAAAGTTAATTGCTGGCCCGGTATAATTTCCCCGCACTTTGTTTTTTGAGAAACGGCGGTCGCTGACGGAAAACCTCAAAGTATAGTTTCAGCAGCATCAAAAAGATGGAGCCGCTGATTGACATGAGAATTGAAGACTGGACTCACAAGCTGAATGACTTCGCGAAAACGGGCGAGAAATTCGATTTCTCTGCATGGGCGGTGTAGGCAGAATTGGCACCCCGCATTCCAAAATTACAGAGAGCTAATATTTTTTCTCTAGTTATATGGCGTACGACATTATCTCTGAGATTGGATTCGGAGCTCCTTTTGGTTTTATCGAGAGAGGAGAAGACGTTGGAGGCCTTATCAAAGGCTTCCACGATGGTCTCCCAGCCTTTGGGCTGATGTGCCGTTTGCATCCATTCACCTCCTGGATTAAGTCAACTTTCATGAACAAGTACCTGGTGGCAAGCCCAGAGCAGGAATCTGGTATCGGATCGTTGATGCGATTCCGTGACAAGCTTCTTAACCAGCGCGTGAAAGACATGGAAAAGGGAACCACGGGCGGGAGAATCGACCTTTTACAAACGTACGTTGCTCACACTCACAAGGGAAAATCATAAACTGACGTATGATGAAGTATGCTCGATGCGCGCGATGATGAAGGAAAACCCCTCAATGTCGAGTATGTTAAAGCAGAAGTTTTGCTTGTTCTCCTCGCCGGCGCAGACACCACTGGCACTGCCTTCCAAGCCATGATTCACTACATTACAGCAAACGAGGACGTCTACGAGAAACTGATGGACGAGCTTGATAATGCTACTCGGGCGGGACATCTATCAACCTACCCGCAGTATGCCGAGGTCCTTGAGCACTGCCCATACTACACTGCATGCGTCAAGGAAACCATGCGGCTGTGCCCGTCCGCGCCGAACATCTTCCCCCGAATGTCACCTAAGGGCGGCTACGAAATCGAAGGTCAATTCATTCCTGGGGAGGTCGAGGTTACGTGCAACCCCTGGCTGGTGCATCGGGATAACAAGATTTACGGAGAGGATGCAATGGAGTTCAAGCCGGAGCGATGGCTCGATGCGGAAAATGCAAAGGTGTTTGACAAGTACAGCATGGTGTTTGGGTACGGGCCCAGATCATGTCTGGGGAAGGATATTGCGCTCATGGAGCTTTACAAGGCACCGTTGCAGGTTTGTCTCTTTCTATTACCTGTTCTTTTGGAAGGATTCTGACCTTGTTAATAGTTCTTCCGCAAATTTCGACTAGAGTTGCAGCCGCAAGGAGGCAAGGGTGCACAGTTCGTCATCAAGGGCGGGGTTGGCTATTGGCAGGATATGTGGATGCAGATCTCAAAACGTGCTGCGCCGGTATAATATCGGGACATGTTCTAGAATTACGCACCGGGATGATGACTGCTTACGACCGCTACCCTTACATAAATTGCAAACAGCTTCAGAGTGTCGTGTTTTACGTCGTACTATAAGCATGTTGATAATATTAAGATATTTGCAATTAATGCTATTTGCTACTATATCATGATCATGGCGCTGAGTTGGTGCGGCATTCCGCCGGTAGCTCAAGTTAAAGCCCATTTAGTGTCGTGCTAACAAGCACTTGAGAATTAGACTAGGCGGGGCGGGCGAGCCGTCTCCGCGGATAGCGTAAGTTGTCGCTAAAAGGGGTGCTCTAATGGTCATTTTTGGGAGTGCCGAGGTTAAGCCTAGGGCCTTAGCTGCCCGGCCAAGGGGCTGTAGGCGCGGGATGGGTGGGTGCTGTACCGTGCGGTGCTCTTGGTATTGTCGAAAATAATATTGAAACGGCGTGCATTAACTAGAGAGCCTAGCATCAACCTGTCGCCTCGCTGGAGGAAAGATTTACAGGAGTTGCCAACGGTTATGGGGTGGTTCGTGACAATGTGTGGCGATAGTTGATGTAATAGTTGCACATGCGATAGACGAATCTTAACAGTCTCACTATAGACAGCGTGCCCCAGTTGTCATTGTCAATGTTGGTTGCTAGGGTGCGGAGTTAAACTGGGGGTCTTTTTGCATGCAACCCCCTTATAGACCCCCACATATTCTCCACCACTACTCCTCCAAGCGCCTCAAAATTGAATCTTCAGTGGAGCGGTTCACCCGATCTGCAGGCGCAGAAGACTGTGGCCAGTTTCACTTTGTGCTCGGGACCGGGCTCGGGAATGCCACTTGCGGGACTGCTAACACCCATGGAGGCGGGAACGGGCCTCTCGCGCAGCTCATTTCCGCCTTCACTTCGGATACCCACTCTTCTTACTCTTCATCGTAGCGGCGGCACTCTCATTCGGTAACAAGCCCCAGCGAGGCGGGCAAGACACTCTCCACCTTGTAGCCGTATCCCCTGGCCGCTTGATACGGATTCTATTCCGTACCCCCACCATGTTGTTTTCTGCATCGATGTTGTTGGAAGGAGTGTCACCTTCGCAGGGTGTCTGTCTGAAATATTGTGTCTCTGTTCCCATTTGGACAGCGATCTCCAGATACCGCTGGGAAGGAGACGAGGCCTGAGCATGAATTCGTCTGTTCTGATGTTTATATGCACTTCGGATTCTCCGTCGCGGATGTGAAAGCTCTTGGAATTGAGAAACCATATGAAATCGACGTTGGACTTTGATCTGAAAAGCACAACCGACATCCTCATCCCAGCCACCTCCAGTATATCAACAATATTTGCGGGTGAGCTCTTTCACCTGGCGTCATGGATATGGATTATGGCTCCCAGGGCCCGACAGCGACGGCAATCAGTATCGTCTTTGCTGTCTTGACGGCCTTAGTTATATCTGCGCGCTTGTTTTCGAGAATTTATATCGTGCGCAGTACCGGGCTCGACGACAGTAAGTTATGGCATCACAACTGATATTTCAAGACTGACGATTGCGCCTATAGTATTGATGGTTGTTGCTGCAGTAAGCCTATCCAGAATGGAATGCCATGGAGGATTGGCACAAACCATGAACTTTAGTTGACAGTACGCAGGCATTATCTTGGGCATTCATCGCCATGACAGTCTTAGGTTTGTGCCATAATGCGGCCCATATACAAGACACCACTGATATCTCATAGCCGTCAACCATGGCCTAGGATCCCACTTCGATGTTGTTCTGGCAATGGGGCCAGAGAACTTTTTAACCTACCTCAAGGTTTGCCCATCCATCCCCTCTTTTACTGAAGATAGCTCACCATCGTAGATTGTTTATTTCTCCTCTATCTTTTACAACGCTACGCTTTGCTTCATTAAGCTATCCGTACTTGCGCTGTACATGAGACTCGGCGACGAAACCCTTCGCCGTATGTCCATCGTTATGATGGGGGTCATCGCTTGCCAAGGACTCGCCTTCGTTCTGACCTGCATCTTCCAATGCAGCCCCGTGAGAGGCGCCTGGGAACCGTCGATGGTACCAGGGCCGAAATGTGTTAATATCAACGCCTTTTATCTTTCGAATGCGGCATTGAATATCGTTACCGACTTGATCACATATGCACTCCCGGTCCGCATGATATTGCACTTACAGACGCCAGTAAAACAGAAGATTGCTGTTGGTGTTATGTTTAGCTTGGGATTTTTGTATGTCTTCCTCCCGTCCACACCCCTTCCGACCTCGAGGACTTGCGACTAACTCCTCATAGCGCTTGTATCTCCTCCATTGTCCGTATGACTTTTGTTCCCTCTATGCTGGTATCCACAGATCCGACCTGGGCCATCGGACCGCCAATGTACTGGTCGGTCATCGAGACCAACATTGGCATTCTCGCCGCCTCGATACCCTCATTCAAACCCATCGCCAGACGCTATCTCCCACGTATCATTGGCGAGTACAGCTCCGGCGGCCGCAGCTACCCCGGCGCCTCATCCAGCCGAAACTTCGGCAAGATCTCAAACACAGGAGGAGAGTGGTCTGGGTCAATGCCGTTGAAGCCGGTGCACGCTAGGGACGGGGTCACCACTACTGTTATAACAAGCCGGGGAGATGATCTGGGAGGCATGTCGAAGACCAGCTCTGGCAGTGAGCAGAGTCTGGTGAGCAACAATGGGAGGATTACACAGTCGACGCAGATTTCACAGAAGGTTGAGAACTCGCGGCTGTGAGAGGAGAATGTATATACCCTGGAACCAAGGCGTTTGAGGTTAAACACGTAGCGGCTGGAGTGTATTGCCTGTACTAGATATGAATATATAAAATAAAAGCTTGCTATATAGTATACTAAAATACTACAACTTAAATACTCTACTCATGCCATCTCAATCTCTGAATGCAGTCTGCATGCATGAGGATTGATAGCTGGAATTTAAGCTGCCAGAATATACTACAAATAGGTTGATGCGGCTAATACAACTTAGACTTCCACAGGTCGCACACACTATTGATCGTAAGACTATATAACAGTTTCGTTCTGTTTCAGCTTTCACATATATCATGCTGCCTCGCTACATTGCCTTTACACGGTGCCTTTTGCGACGGTGCCTCTTTGCTAGGTTAACACTTCTTGACATTGGATAGTTCTAACTAAACATAGGGCTGTCGCATCAAGAAGGGACCATCACATAGTTGTAAGCAAGAGCAGTGTGTTCACCACCTCCCAAACTTCCCGATAGGTATTTATTCTTAGTGCGTGTGGGGGACAAGCGGGATAGGTTAAGGCTTTTACATACGCTACACAATAGCTACATCTATACAAGTATAATAAAATGCCTTTGGTATCAATAAACCTTCCTTTCCGTGTCCTCTGATCTCTCTAGTTTTCTGCTGTATGAACATTTTTCTCCGTCGCCCCTTTTTCTCGTCGCCACCCCCTTTCTCACAATTGCCCCCTTTCTCGCTGTCACGCGACTTTCTCTCCATCGCCACTCGTAAGAAAGTCAACGTGAGACTTTGACAGGTAACAATAATTATTCTGGGTCCGAAACACGCCCCTTTGATCCAACGCACGGGAGATTCGCAACTCCACCTGCGATGTTAGGGTCAGTTTGGTTACTGGGGCCCTGTGAGACACGGGCCGCTAGCTCAAATACACACATCAGCTGCATACGCCGCATAACCGAGCGATTGGCACCGTACCCCCGAAGAGTTAAACCAAATGCTCGGTTACGTTACGAAATATATTGGCTTTCAAGAATTGCTTTTGGGAGTTGTCAGGTAGATCAATGGTACGTGTTACGAGGTGCGGAATCAAGGGAGGGAATGGGTGAGACATACCCGTATGGACCAACGTCTATATATTGCACCCCGCCGAGCAACCCCGCTCTCGTACTTATTTCAGCTGTGCTAGCCTTTGGTGGCAAATTTTCGCGACTGCGATTTTACAAGCCGCCTCGTATGGCTGGAATGGTGCCCGACAACGGGGCACCGTTGTCGGGATGGATCTAATATCATCGGCTCGGAGGGGGATCGCCATGAAGCCCCATAGCGGCACGGTACGCAGAGAGGCGGAGAAGATGCGGGCAAGGAGACACGGCACAAATTTACAAGGGCACCGGAGTATTCCCCGCTGGGAATGCCCAGCACGGGAACGGTAGACAGCAGCGGCAGTGGCGCTTTGAAGGAAATGACTTTGGGACGTTGTATTCTTTGTCTATCGCTAGAGTATTCTGAGACCGTTTATTCCGCTTCTCATCGAGCATGGAAGCCCTTCTATTTGTGCCTGTCACACACGTAGACCCCTATCCATCGCCTGATCCAAGTCAGCGATCACAGGATAGTTCCGAATCTGCCATACGTTAGTTTCTTCCCAATCTCGCGGGCTCCCATCATAACTTGGAAAACACTCACCCAAATGTCGTCTTAATACTCCTCACATAGTACTCATTCCAGTTCCTCCTCGTCACCTCCTCCTGCCCGACCGGCACTCCCTTCCACTCGACCCTCATAACCGTAACCCCATCAACATCATTCTGATCAAACACCAACTCGAGTGTCGAATAGTGTCCCGCAGGCCACTGGTCCAGACGCCAGCTCTGCACGATCCTCCTCGGCTCCTCAAGAACCTCATACTTCCCACTAACATTCCCCCCAAAGATCTCAAACTTCCCTCCCACCTTCGCGCCCTCGAACAGCCTCGGCTGCGCGCGCGTAAACGCCGCAATGCGAGCCGGGTCGGTGAAAGTAGCGTATAGCTCTGCGGCCGTAGTGCGGAACTCCTCGCTGGCGGTCACGGTGGTGGTGTTGACGTTGGATGTCTTGTTGGAGGCCGTGGTTGGGGCGGCGGCCGCGGCTTCGGAGGGCTGGAGGTGAGTCGGGGTGCGCCAGCCGGAGGAGGGGTTGTTGGAGGGGGCGTGCTGGATGTCTTTTCCGTGCTCGCTGACGAGGGCGGGGCCGAGCTTCGCGAAGATGGTGCGGAGTTGGGGGACGAGGGTGGAGCGGACGAGGTCCTTTACGGGTTGCTTGGAGGAGGATTCGGAGAAGATGTCGATGTCGAACTGGGAGGGTAGGGGTTAATGGGGGTGTACTATAGGGGATGGGAGGGAGGGAGGGAGAGGACATACGACATACTCGTCCTCCTCGGTGTCATGGGCGACCTCGGGGACGGTGATGTTACCGCTAACGGACTCATCATCTTTGGTTTTCCCTTTGCGAGACAAAAAAAAATCAGATCAGTTCAAACTGTTTTGCAGCAAAAAAAATCATGATGTGGTAATATAGCTAACTAACCGGAATACTCTAAGACCAGCTTCACATCGAAGATGGTGATGACCTTGCCCTTGCGCTGGTTCACGTCGACATCTCCGTCCATGCTCGTCAGTTTATCTATCTTGGCCGTCACGCCGCCCGCCGAGGCCTGCACATCGGCCAGGTTCTCCTCGAGCCACTGCTTCGTCCAGCCCGCGGCGTTCTTGTTCACCCAGTGCCAGTTGTTGGGGTTGTGGAGCACCATTGCGGCGGTCTGTAAGTGAGTTGGTTGGTTTTACGGGGAGGGGATTATGGATGTGTTCACTGCAGACTCGAGTTAGCAGATGTTCCCGAAAGAGCAGTGAGCAGAGATTTCGAGCTGGGAGGTTTGAATGGGTTCAGAAGAAGGCCGAAGCCAAAGCATTGTCATCAATGAAAAGAGTACAAGTTCGCTCTATGACTGGTGCCAGCTGATGTATCGTCATAACATTCGGGGGGGGAGGGGGGAAGAGACAAAGAGGAAAAACGCAACTGTGACAGCATATTGTCCACAGCGAAAGCGACAAGGAACATACCTATAAAGTAAGGAGAGGCGCTGACATAAAAATCATATAAAATCGTCAAAGAATCGTGATACAGGAGGAAAAGAGAGAAGGAAGTTTGGTGGAGGAGGTGAAGTTGTTTTTGAAGGGTTTGTTCAAGCCGCGCCCTTTTGTAAGGAAAGATCTAGAAGAGTTGTGCGATTGGCGGGGCGGAAATTTCCGTCGACCGGGCCGACGGGTCTCCGTCCAAGCTATCTCGGCAGTCTGTGAAGCGTATATACACCAAATATTCCAGATAAGGATAATCAAAATGATTATTAAACGTCACTCTCACATAAGAGGTAGAAAGTTGCAGGCATTCATAAATACATACACTAACGATGATTTCAAGTCACTTTCATATAACAAGCAAAAATAGGGTAACTGATCGTGAATAGTATATCTACACAGCTAAGTAACACTCTTGAGCAATGATAGGCACAAGCTATTCTATACATGCTATTCTGGTATCTCAACTCCGGCCAAAGGCTCGCTATTTTCGGAGCTACAAGCTACACAGACAGAGCCATCCCTCCCATACCTGCTAAAAAACCCCCGCTGCCATGCATGTCCCTGCCCAACCTAACGTCCAACAAAAAACGCCTGACTTAGGCCTTACAATAAAATGCTCGATTTGTGTCTGTGTGCTGTTTCATGATGATGATTGTGATAGTCGTTATGATGATGATTGTGATGATAGTCGTTATGATGAATGATGATGATGATAAGTTTCTACGCCACGACCTCATCGTCTTCCGTGATCCTGTCGTATTCCGATGGCTGTAGCAAGATCCTGCTGTTGCGATCTTCGGCTGGTACCCCGTCTCGCGACGCACCGAAGTCAAGTATCTATAAGATAGTTAGTTAATGCTGATAAGACCCAAATGCTACGAAGGCACGTACCTCTATAAATGTGAACCCTTCTCTCTGTACAGCTGCAACACATCTTCTCTCGTCGAACTTCACCTGCCAGACTCCGCTGAGATCCGTCAGGAGGTCTTGAATGCACTCTCCAGTCTTGACATTCCACATCTTCAGGGTGCGGTCCGAGCCGGACACAACCTTGTTACCGTCGTGTTGGAAACATGTGATGGCACCGGTATGAGCGGTAAGCGTGTTCTTGCACTGCCCGTTCTCTGGGTCCCAGATCCTCAGCGTTGAATCCGCTGCTGCCGATACTAGGCGCTCGTCTTTCAGGTCAAGTAGACCCACCAAGGAAGAGTGGCCATCCAGGGTGAAGAGGCACATCCCAGTGTCCAGTGACCAGATCTTCACCGTGTTATCCATAGAGCCGCTGATGCAACGCTTACGTTTATGATCGAGTACAACACTATACACTTTCTGGATATGGCCACGAAGCTGGTGTACGCTCTCTCCAGTAGAGATCTTCCATACCCTAACTGACGAATCGTAGCTGCCACTCACGAGAGTGTCTTCGTGAGCAGCAATGGCACGCACAGAACTGGTGTGGCCCTGCAGAGTACGGACGTAGTACGGACAATCGGAATCATTAGCGGGAGGGCCAGCCGCGAGATATTTCTTAGAACCCTGTTCCGGCAATCTCCACACTCGCAACTGTGCATCGCGGGAACCTGTAATAATCAGAGGCTTCTCGGGAACCATGACTGGCCTATCATTATAGACCCTTCCAGTGTCGAGAGGCATCAAGATTTGGAGACATCGAACGGTTGATGTATGCCCGTGGAAAATCTGAGTGCACAGCCCCTTTTCAATATCCCAAACACGGACTGACCTATCAGTTGATCCCGAGACCAGAACATTGCCTTCGTATTGCAATGCCCATACGCCGCCATCGTGGCCCGTCAGTCTCTTCCGAAGGGCACCCGTTTTTGTGTCGTATATGTGAATAAACGTGTCGTCGCTGCCAGTAATGATTTTGTCATCATCAAACTGGAGACAGGTGATGACGTGTCGGGGGTGTGCCGGGAAAGCCACATGTCGAGGTGCCACTTTGCCGCCACTCATCCAACTGCGTTGTAACATGAAGTGGCGTCTATACAGGGACTTGTAAAGGTGAAGTTTGCGCAAGCTAGGAAGTCCAATCTCAGGGGCTGGTACTGCAAGAGCCGCCGCAGTTGCGGCAGCATTAGGACCTTCAGATTTGCGAGCCGAGCTGTGGTATTTTGAAGCCAGGCTTGTGTGTCGTGGCTTCTCTTTGAACTCTACAGAAACGGCTCGTCTCTTTGACCTCTCTGGTCCATAGTTGATATGAGCTCTCTTCCTCTTCCCTCCTTGGCGTAGGGATCCGGAGTGGGCAGCATGAGATCTGGTAGCAGTTGGAATGCTATCCATGTCGGATGACCCGGGACGCTGGCTGAGGTCTTTCTCGCAGCCATCTGGACCATACGGATCTTGCCAGCCCCAGCCTTCCCTGATCGCTCGCTCCACTTCGCCCTCAGGGATAACAAATCGATCTCTTTCGATAAGTTCTTTCCATCCAGCCTCGTTCGTGTCGTTGATGTCTCTCCAACGCTTGGAAACTTGAGCAGCACGACAGCGATCTTTGTGATCAAGGAAGCTCAGAATTTGTAGGCTCAACTCCGTCGGAAGTTCTTCGAGAAAGTCGCACTTCAATGCTGGGTTGACAACGCCTGCAATGACATGGAGAGTCTTTCTATTGCAGCGCCGAAGAAACTGGTACATCATGAACGTCTTCATTTCCGAGGGCATCGAGTCGAAATTTTCTAGCATTGACGTCACGTCCATGGCATTTCGTTGAGGTGCGCCTACCAGTGCATATTGTTCGTTGGCATGGCCCGGTGACTCAAATGTTGACTTAGAATCTGCTGTAGCCGACAAGAGTGTATTGCCGGAAGCCTGTGATTCGGGGTCATCTCGTACTACCAGTTGGGCATTATGAAGATTCGCCGCAGCTAAAGTTGGTGATAGGCTTGGACTTGGCAAGCTGGCCCCATGGGTGGCCCCTCCTGCACTTACGGATGACCGGAGTACGGAGGGCCCTGCATCATCATCGTTTAATGGAGCAAAAGGCTCGAGATCTGATTCTGCGATAGGTGGTGTGGCAGTGGCGCTGGGGAAAGAGCCTTGACTAGCAGTAAGGGATGGGCTAGTGGCCTCCTCGAAAGAGCTATTCAGTGTCGACTCGGTAACGGACGAGGTCAGCTGGGTCTGGAGCGGGCTTGTTTCGCGGTGACCGGTATCAGGAGTCGACAACATGGCAGGGTTGAATGAGGCGCGTCTGCTTGAGGAGATCATCCGGTGTGGAAAGCTAGAGCAGTGAGCGTCCAAGGGCGGGTGCTCCAGGCTTGATTGGCGTCGTGGGGCCCCTGAAAGCCTGAGGAGTGAATCGGGAGACCTTGGGTTTGTTGGTAGCCTTCTCGATAAATATGATTGTGAGTTTTCGTCTGCATTCTGGAAGCGCCTTGACGATCTAGTAGTATCGGGAGTTTCGTAAGCTCTCAAGCCTGCCAGTCGTGAGTGTAGTGTGGGAGGTGGCCGAGGTCTGGATGAGGATGGAGATGCCTGGAGGAGTAGAAGTCAGTGGTTCGTTATCAGATAGGTGGTAAGGGGTAGCATACGGAGGATGACGGCTTGCGGTCCTCACGGAAGTGCACAACCTCGCCGTTAACCTCGTAGGAGAAGCTTGAGATGGCTTCTGGCGTCGACTTCCTTGCTAGCGGGTATTGCTTCAAGTCGAGACTCTCCAACGGCAGAGGCGGTCGGACGAACAGAGGCGGATATGATCTCTTCGTGGTTGTGGTGGTGGTGACCGTCTTCGTCTCGACACATTCGGCAAGATCGATTTGAAATGTCGACGAATCCCGACTCTCCTGGTTGGCCGGTCCGTCCCAAGCCATCTCGTCTTGAGGGCTGGGGGTTACACATCCATCGAGCTGAGAATCTTGTAGGCTACCGGTTGCCTTCGGCGAGAGGTCAGTGGTGATGTGGTTTGGTGGGAGTAATTTGGCTCTTTGAGCCGCTGTGGCCTGGCGTGTCGCTGGCGGCCATCGGGGCGGCTCCATATTCAGCTGCCAGGTATTCTAAAGATAGAGACGCATAAACCCGATAGACGGACGAGAAATATATAAAAGGCCGAAGTTGTGTTCTCGAAACGCGTTCAGGACTGTAGGACACGAGACCTCGTACGCGTTGTGGCGGCTCCTGCGATAAGGATAAGTTCCGAGGCGGCTAGAACGGCCGAACCGGGTGTACAGGGAGGATCGTCGAACACTCCAGTATATAAAGTACCGGTATTTGAAGAAGCAGCTAGAAGATGGCAGTTGTCGAAAAATATCGTGTTGGGTACTGTATGGTAGTATCGGCAAGGGAGGGGCGGGTTGACGGAGGAGGCGAAGTTGGATTACGGAGAGGAAAACGGCAACGATGAGTGGCGGCGGGGGGCGTGTGGAAAGAGGAACGGCGGCAATCCTTGTCTGACCTTATCCCAAGAGCCAGATGGAGAAGACGAAGCCGGGGTTGTTATATTGACGCGGGCGTAAAGTGGCTCGGAGTCGAGGTTGAAGTTGAGATCAGGTCAAAGTCGAAGTTTGACGAGGAAGCCGTGGATGTGGAGTGGAAGTGGAGTTGGTGGTGACTGGAAACTGGGCCGAGTCGAGTGGTCGATCGTTATCGTTCCTTCTCCGCCTGGAGATGGGAATGGAGGAAAAGAAGCTGGCGGGTAGACAGGGTATTTGGGGGAAGGAAGGGGGAGGGGGGTGGTGGTTATGGTGGTTATTATTGTGGTTATGAAAGTGATTTGACAGGATGGCAGGCGCTTCGGGGATTTAGTCGAGCGAGCAGGCGGCGGGCGGGAGATGCCTCAACTCTGCCTCGTCTTGTCTTTCAACTGGCGACTTTCCCAACTTTGATGTGGTAAGGTTGGTCCGTCCGGTTAGTCAGGGTACTTTGTAAATCGCGGAGTGCGGAGTACAAGGGCGAAGTACCATGCCATATATTTGCAGGAGCCAGTAGTAATGTGCATTAAAATAGAGAGCGTGATGTGATGGGCTAACTAGATATGGTTAAGCGTGGGGTGATATATGGTGGGGGCCAGGATGGCACAGGGTACGATCAGTCACGCCCTGTGCCAGCCTTGACGTCAACGTCAACGTCGAACGTCAAATGTCAAACAGAAATTATATTCCTATTTCGCTTTATCTTTATTCTTGGATCTATGTTGTTATAATATAGCAATATAAATTGCTATATTCTATAGCGTTTTACGCGTATATATCTCATGATTTGTATATTCTCTACTCTCTTGTTATCTGCTCTCTCCCCTCTGTCTACACGCTCCACTCCAATCTCTCTCCTCTTTCTCTGGTCTCCTTCCTCTGTATGCTCCTTCTCTGCTCTCTCTTGCGTCTTTACCTCCGTCGACTTTCTGCAGTCTCTCTTCCCTCTCTGGCACCTTCACGGTCTCTCCTTCCTCTTTAGCATCTCCACCGTCTACCCACTCTCGCTGGTCTCTGGTGCCTCTACCCCCTGACTTTCTCGGGCATCGCTGCCATCTCACTTTTCTCTCTCTGGAGCCTCTACTTTCTACTGTCTTTATTCTTTCTACCCTCTGTCTCTCCGCTCTCTCTCCCACTCTCTGGCCCCTCTTTCTCTAGTCCCCCCCTCTCTGCTCTCTCACTCTCTGCTCTCTACAAGCTCGTGGACAACTGCTCATGCGCGTCTGTCTGAGCTTAGATTGAGTTCTGAACATTCATTTCTTCTTCCAACGCGTCAGGATATCCAAATCTACTACTGTATATCCACAAGTATTCACGTGTACGATAATCATTCTATTCTTCCAGAAAAGCCTCCCTCTCCCTTCTCAGAGACATAAGATACCGCAGAAAACACTACTCTACCAACTGCACCTTCTGACCGAGATCTTATCATCCACCTACTGCAGAATACCGAGAACCGTTCATCCTCCTTTCGTTCTTTCCGTATTTAGCGTAAACAACGTCGCTATAGGGTGATTGTGTTGCCTGCTTTGTCTGGCATACACTCTCTGGTACACAGCGCGTCTGCACGTGCCCCTTCCTTTTTCGGTTCTCGTTCCCTCTTCCATCTTTACATCTCTTCCCCCTTTCCATATCTTTCTCCTTTCCACCTATTCACACTGTGTTCACCTCTTTCCATCTCCTGTCCCCTTTATATTCTCTTTTTCTCTTCTAGTCTCTCACCTACCTCTTACGTTCTCTTCCAACCTCTCACCTCACCTCTTAAGTTCTCTTCCAACCTCTCACCCCACCTCTTAAGTTCTCTTCCAACCTCCCACCTCAAGTTTCACACTCACGCACACACGTCTGCTCTCGTGAATCGTGCACATCTCTACCTCTACCTATCCCTCTCACTCAATTGACACTTCAACATTCACACTTCATTATTGTCCTGCCCAGAATCTCGATCTTCGCCATGAAGAAGAGACTACGGTCGGCACGTCAAGCCAAAAGCAATGCAGCCGCAGCAGCCATGGTGCTACTTACAAATCCTACCAAGACAGTGGTGAGGATCAACCAGGCGCAGTCTCTCAAAATTGTACAAACCACAGTGTCGGCAGCGCTTTACACCATACTATGGATCAATGACCTCTTCCCCGATGACCATTTCGAGACGCGCAGCTACAGCCTTGACGACCCTGATTTCAGCTACGAAATAAAACCAGTGCCCCAGACTGCTTGGGAAAAGAGGACGGAAAAGAGGAGGCCGGCGGATGGGAAGGCAAATGTCTCTTGGGATTTTCTTCTCAAAGGAAAGTCTGAAAAGGCTGATAAAATTTGGTCATGGCTGGTCAGAATCCACTCTCCCTTCTCATCGTCAACGCTACTGACGAGGCATAGGAAGGAGTCTGTGACGCCATCAAGCGTGGATATTTGGCGATTTTTCAAATCAGCTTTCACAACGGCGATATATCCCGCGACACTATAGCTGTAGGTTACGTGATGAGATTCAACTACTCCGAGAACGGAGGTGAAGTTCACCTCAACATTTCAGCGGGGGACGATAAAGTCGAATTCACAACAGAGGCCATGCAGGATCTCAAGAATTTGTTCCATAGGCTTATAAAATTGTCTCAGGAAGCAGCTAGATTCCCAGGTATGCCCTGACAGCTAGACGCGTCATTGACAGCGTTTGATTCTTTTATAGCGGATCCAATGATAAGCTTGCAGTTGGTGTACAACGAAACCTGTCCCGCGGAATACCAACCGAAAGGTTTTGTTGTCGCTCCGGATCCGAGCATTGTCATGGGCCAGCCCGATGGCTTCGGAATCGGTCACGTAGATACGACATATCATGGGTATGCTCCTTGTGGTATTTTGGCCTCATTTGCTAACTATTTAGTGTTGGAATGAGCCTCGTGATTCCCCGACAAAGTGCCGCCCACGGCTCAAATAGACCTTCCCGGTCTGCGACACGGTCCAACTCCCAATTGATCTTGAATAACAGCAACCTCGTGTCTACTCCAGCTACTGCTTCCCCTTATGATGGCTCCACCGTCCTGAATACACAAGAGCGCGCAGAAATACAAGCAGTGCGAGAAATGGTAACGTACACTTAGTTTGCCTTTGTGCGGATGCTTGCTGACGATATTGCAGGTCCCCCTGGGCCGCGAAGTTGGGGACACCCAACGTGTTGAGGACACGCAGTCACAAAGATCTCCTTCGGACATATCTTCACCCTCACTGGCACATGGTCCGGCCGAACAACGTCCGGCCGAACAAGGCATCGCACCTCCAGAGGGAAGGAAATACTATTTCAATCGTGAGGTTATTAGAGATCTCCACCCATCCCACAGGTGGCGGAATGGACAGGTTCGCATTTCGCTCGGTAGTGCCCAAGACACAGACTGCCTTTGCACAAAGAAGTTTGACGGCATGACTGTAAGATTCAATGTCATATATTCATTGTCAATACTGATTATTACAGGTACAATGTGAAATCTGTCAAAAGAGACAACACTTGCATTGCCACGGATATCTTGAAACAGACGTCATGGATACCCATGTGTGCTACAAATGTCTTTTGCATGCTCAGCCAGATCTGACGACGGAAATGCAGGGGCTCTGCTTGTTGAGACAAGTAGCCTGGGTTGCATCTATGGAGCAGTATCCGCTCAAAGAAGCCGACCTGGCGGCCAGGATAGGTAAGCTGCAATAAGTGGGCAAGTATTATGGTAGCATGCTTATCGTTATTCAGGTTACCTGGTGAAAGATGTTATCGCTGTGAGCCAGAGGCTAGTCCAGGAGAAGTACTTGCGAAAAGTCAGCAAGCCACGGAATAAGAGCCATAAGAACTATCACATGCGGTCTCAGATACCACCTTATACGTTCATAATGGAGGAGAAGGGACGTTTGTTCAAGGAATATTTCAACCCCACTCTTGGGATAGAAAAATACGTAAGTACTTATATATAAATCCTTTGACCACACATCAAACTAACGAGCCAAACCACTCCAGCTCCACGAACATCTGCAGGCCTCAGCCTCGAACGCCAAGCCCAAGTCCGAGCAACCATCGGCCCCCGACTTTCGCATGAGCTCAATGGCACCTGAATCTGTGACGCTCGTACCAACCTCACGCCCACCAGCGACGCCGCAACCAACCCGTGCGAAGCTCATCGGTACCGGTCCCCTATACGGCATCTTCGACGCTGATGACGACGCCACGACACCCCATCCCGGCCATGCGGCTCCCGCGCCTAGCATGAACGGTAGCACCCAGGGCTCGCCGAGCCAGATGGGCGGTCCTGGGCCACGGCCTCATTTGGGGTTGAAGAGGAAAGGGGACGTTTTGGAGAGGGGTGCAAGGAACCTGAAGAGGACGGATTTCGTGGGCAGTCCGTTTCTGCTGAATAGGATAGTGTGATTGTGTGCATCGTGGGTGTGGTGGCGTTGAATTCGCCGAAGGCTTGTGGAGGCGGCTGAGTCTCGCTTTATGTTCTCGTGCTTCGTGAGGTTGCTGGGCTGAGGAGGCTCTTTGTGGAGTGCTTTGTTGTGTTTTGCTCGATTTTGGGAGGGGATTTGTACAAGCTGGAGAGGAGTTTAAATTGTTGGGATTTAAATTTGCTGGAAGATGGGCTGCAACAAGACAGGGCTCCGAGATCACCAAATATGTATCTTAGCCTTTTGCTGATATATAATATAAATCGGCTTGAAAATAACAACGATTGTTTTATCCTTTTCTACTAACCCAAAATATAGACTCCTCTCTCCATCTTTGAAGTATTCTCTGTATTGGCCCCGGTTGGTACTGGTGGTGGTGGTGGTGCTGGATGCACGCAAATAATACAAATAGTAGGGCATATAGCACAGAGAACCATACAGCACCACAACAAATTGCATTCGAGAGTCAGTGGGACGATCTCGGATTGGACATTATAGGGCTAGTTTTAACAATCAAGCCCCCCAGACAGTGAGTGTGTGTTGGGGGAAGGTAAGTGCGTGGTGAGAAATAGAGTGTTGATGGGGGCGATGCGGTGACAAAATGCGCCTCTGTTGCTGGGCATGAGCGAGTGCTGTGACGATAGGATGGGGAGTACTGGTTATTCGGTCATGGGTCTCGCTCTGCCGTGGCGGTTCAATGCATGAGTGTGGCGGTTGAACACTCCTTCGATAATACTTTTCACGGTTTGGACTGCTAGAGGTGTTTATAGTAGGACCGGGACACATGATGTACTGCACGCACTGTTTACTATGACCATGTGTTAAGGTGAATCGTTATTTTCATCACTTCTCGGTATCTATCCTATCCTGACAATACCGTGCAGATAATCCCGCAATATACAATCCCAACAACGCCATCCAAGTCGTATACCAGCGTTAGAAACCAAGAGCAGCGTACTTTCCTGCCCCATCGGGACGGGAGCTAACAAGTCGCTGTATAGCCCTCGCTCGCCTAGCTTTCTCCCGTTCCTCTCTCGCCTTCTTCTCTTTCTCACTGCGCGCCTTAATTACCTCGGCGTCTTCCTCCGCCTTAGCTTCCGCCCTAGCTTCCGCATTCTCCTTCTCCACCCTACTCTTCCTCTCCTTCCCGCCCTCATCACCATCCTTCTCCCTCTTCGCCCTCCTCTCCCTCCTCCTCTTCCTCCTCTCCTCCTCCTCAACCCTCCACCTCTCCCCTTCGGCCTCCTCCCTACACCTTCTCTCCTCCTCAGCCGTAACCACCCACGGCACCCTCAACACCTCCTCTCTAAACCTGACTCCCTCCCTCCACGCCCCCACCTCCGCCCTCGTATCCCCTAGTATAGAAATCGCCTTCATAGCCAGCTGTCTCACGCCACGGAACTCCCTGATCCCCCCTTTGACCTTGACTACCTTCCCGATATCGACGCCACGCAATTTCGGGCCATCAGGTGAGACCATTGCGTCATCTGCAGGGCGCTCGGTGGAGACCACAATGGCTGCTACTGTCGCAGTGGCTTCGGGGCGTGGGGGGGCGAGGCATGTAGCTTCGATTGTGGCGCCGCTGCCATCGTCGATGGTGATGCAAACGCGGCTATAGAATTCGTCCATCGCGACGATAATCCCAGTGAGACGCACCCATTTTATGGGGTGGTTGAGGTGAAAGTAAATCCCCTGCCCTACTTTATGTCAGTCTCCCATACACAAACTCGCCCAAGCCGCTCTTCTCCGCAATCTAGTGTCCCCCCGACACGAATAGCGAAGTCTAGTTTTGCTACGGCTGGAATCATACGGGGAGACGAACCTTCATACTCCGCCACCTCGCGCAGCGCAAACACGTCCACGGCGCGCAGTGGGCACCAGCGGCCCAGCGTCGGGCTCAGCCCATGACAGTGGCTCGGGTACAGCGCGGGCGGGGTCGTCATCGGTTGCGTCAGAGCTCATCGTCGGTGAGCATGTCGCGGTTTTGCGGGCTGGGTGTTCATGGTCTGGTTTGTGCCCTGACGGATTGCGGCGCGTTGATGGTGAGTTGTGCGTGTCTGGGTGATTGATGGTGGACGTGGGGGTGGTGTGCGAGGCGCGTAAGCGACGCGATATCACGTGCATCCGCGGTTCGATCGGGCTGGGATGAGGATAGGGGTGCGTTCTTATGAGGGGTGGATTATTGAAAGCGAGAAGTAGTTTGGAAGTTTGTTATAAAAATAGTGATGTTTTGCGCACTTGGTTTCGATGCTGTTGTAATACCAATGCCTACATTTTGTCATGTTTTTAGTTATGGTGTAAGTTTTATCTTTTACGTAGTTATATAACATTTATGCCAACAGATACATATCTATATTTCACAATACTAATCCCCAGTTGATACAGCTCGCACAGCAGCCCTGTCGTACACCCAAGCCTTTATACATATCTTACATCAACCACCAACTCCACAGATACTACCCCTACAGCCTCCTTCCCTTCTGCTTCGAATAAGTCAAGTTCACTCTCGCCGACGTTGCCGCCTTGTGCACCATCGCCCGCTTATCCCACACGCCGCTCTTCCCCTCGACCACACTGATAATCTCATCCGCGAAGCGCTGCGCAAACATCGTGGGCCCGCTACCACGGCTCTTCTTCTTGAGTACCGTGTCCAGGATCCACATGATGGCTGTGCGCCGGCGCTGGCGTAGAGTCAGGGGAACAGGGATCGGCAGCGACATACCACCTCCGGCAGCACCCTTCTGTTGGCGGATGCGCATGAGAGGTGCGATGGAATCGATGGCGACGGCGAGGTAGTTGATTGGGTTTAGGGGCAGTTCGATTGGGGGTGGGGAGCCAGGGACGAGGGGGCGAGCTTGAGACGGCACTGGGGGAGGTGCAGTGCGGAGCTGGTTGAGGATGTAGGACATGTGCTGGAAAACAGACAGGCGTTAGCTGCGTCATTCTGCCAAAATCTGGGATGATGGGAGTGGGAAACTCACCCTTTGAGCACGGCTCAGCTTGCCATGCTGCATGAGGAGGTTTGTGATCTGAGAAACGATCGGATCATAGCGCTCCTTGCGATTCGAAAATGGCTTCAACGGCATATCCGGCAGGGGGAACTTATGGCCCACCATCTCTGGCGTCATATCACTCGCGTGCCCTCCATTGGCAATCGCATCCATCTGTCCCAGAGCCAGCAGGTTGTCAAAAGTCGTGGCTCCCTCTTCACCCGGGGCCTCTGCGCTCGTCTTCGCATCCGTAGGCTTCTCCTTCATCACTTCCGGCGCCTTCTCCGCGAGCTCGGGGTCCCGTTTTAAGATCTACTCCAGTCAGTTGGCCGCTCGAATCACGCGGGTCGGATGAGCTCATACCTCTTGCACTGGTATCCCTTGATCCAGCTCTGGTGTAGCCTTGCCGGTGGCCTCGCCGACCTGTGCGGCCTCCTCGCTCGCATTAGGCAGGGCATCTGACGATGTCGGGTTCGAGCTTGGTTTGGGGGATTTCGAGTCTGCGAAGGCGCGAACGGGGTATGTGCGGAGGGTAATGGGTGTGTGGCGGGCAATTGATGGCTGGGGAGCCGGCCGAATGGCCAGGCACCTTGAGGCGGTCCGTAGAGATATGCGTGGTGGCATCGCGGGCTGTGTTGTGGAACTGTCGTTTTCGTGAAGCTCAAAATTATTCGGAATCTTGGTTTGGAGGCGTTGGAGCCTAGTAATTCAGGCATCAATTATTTGAGCCTTGTACTTCGTAGAGAAGGGTCGTGCTGCCAAGGCCTGTAGAGGGACCGTGCATAGTGATAAATGGTAATTGTCATTGGGAAGAAACCCCTCTGTTCCGTTCAGTTTCTTTTTTGGCATAGTAAACTCCGATAAAGGTCTAAATATGATAATTGCAGTTGGAAATGACTAAAATGTTTCACTTGTGGTAATAGTTACTGTGCACGCCCACTACTAACTAATCCGTGGAGTATTTGAACGCATTATTGGCTGACAGCCACAGGTTCCCCGTCTTCGGACTTCGGGCGCACTCCTCATGGGCATTGTCAACCCTCATTTTCATTTTTAAGGTACTAGAACACACATCTATTTCCAAATTAAGAATAACGTGACGGCCGATGGCAGCGCGTTGACTCGTAAGTGCGATGTGTGATGTGCTGGAATTTTCGCGTCACCTCGCATGCCATGCGCCCTGAGAATTCTGCAGCGACATGCGGAGCTGGAGATCTTTGGCCCCCATGCCCCCCCACGGTACCACCGCATGCTGCATCAAAATAGCGTCGAGAATGGCAAGGAACAAAGAAAACACGGTGCATTTACGCCTCAGAAAACATGGTAGAACAGACTGTATTATTCTCAGTATCATCATAGTGCTATTTTTTTGAAGTGCTTTTCCAAAGCCCTCGTACACTACACGTCCTTTTTTTTTGTAGCGAAACCGTTGAAATCCAAAATCAATCCCTAACCCTGCTCATACATATTCTCCTGGACGCCCCAATATTCCTTCTTGCGCCGGACTACGTCCCAATATCCATTCAAATGAGCATACCAAATCTAAGCCAAGTCGTTTCATATCATATCATACAGGTGCTGCTGGAAGCAAGTGTTCGCCTCGCTCCAAGAAATCGCTGGCGCACAGATGATGTGAGAGCATAAATTTCTACCATCCGTGTCGGCCCTGTGTTGGCGACGTTGGGCTGGAGTTGCCAAGGGCCTTGAGGGCCACTTCTGCAGCGTCTTCTTTGGCGTTGTTGAGGTATTGGCCGTCGTACCAATATCGGGCGGCAATGCTTTGGCCGGACACCGTGACAGTGCTAGACCAAGCAGTTCGGCCTCCTTATGACAAATGTCAGCTGGATTTTTTAAAGAACTTGAATTTTGAGCGTTCATACCTCTTCTGTCGGAGACAATGCTGAAAACCGGTGGGTTGATTTGCGCGGTGCGGCATCTCTCTGAGAGATATTAGAATAAACGTTTAATGGCGCCAATGAGCTGTGTGCTGTGACCCACCTTGAAGCTTATCTTGCCAGGTGCTTGTTGCAGGACTGGGGCTTGAATAAGACATGTTGAATGTGTATATCTATATACGTGGATATATAGTTGGAATTGAGCGAGTGGTTGGTGAGTACAGAGAGTAATTGTTGGAAAGTTTTAGCTTGGAAGAAAAGTTGATGAAGCTGTTGAGCATCCGGAATCTTTATACTTATTCTCTATTGTGACGAATAATTTGGTGCTACCATGAAACAGCTCATGGGTAGCTTGATGTAGGACTAGTTGGCACTCATGAGGCCAACGCGAAGGTGCAGGCGGATATGCAACCTAGCCAGGACTCGGCACCGTGCATCCCACAGAACAAATTCCGGTCGTATGATCCGAAGGTAAATATGGCTCGCCCTGAGATAGCATCTAAATTTGGCCAAGCGCTGCAAGGTAGTCCAGGGGGGGGCGACGAAGGATGAGTTTCAATAGCTTCATAGTGAAAGTTGTACAAATACACTGAGGGTGAGCAAAAGCAATTTGGGGGCTCGGCATAAAAAAACGATAAGTGCCAACACAGCAGAGACATGTATTTGGGGGTAAATACCTATGGACTAAGACCAATTCGTATGTATATCTAAGAGCGGATGAGTAATGAACAGCATGTGTGTGTGATTAGGTTGAAATGAGTTGGAACGATGGCCGAGGTAAGCGTGAGCACGCCTCTGGCGCAGTTGGGTTCTGGAAGGACAGGACCCCTCCTGATGCCTTATCTTATTAATGTGACCGTAATCGCGGGAATTTGTGAGTAGATCCGCTTAGAGGCGCGGTATGCACTGGAGGCTAGCCAATTGGGCCGAATTCGACATGACCACCAACGGTGGGAATGGCGCTGGCAAAGCTTACCTGCATAGCGCCCTTGCAGCCTCGTCCGTAAATTGGAGAGAGTTGACTTTTTAGTAAATGCTGTCGTTTGGATAAAATATTCCTGTCAAACCGAAACATGATATGATCTGGCGCCTGTTGAAAGGCGGAGGCGGATGCAGCAAGGTTCAGGCTGGCTGCGTGGATGCGTACCCGTTTATCCCCTGTCGCTTTTACCCTGTTCCAGGCACTTAGTCACCAATGGATGGTATTTGCCTCGTCTGAGCAAAGAAAATCTACTGCAATGAGCAAGACAATATTTCTGAGCAATTTGGTTCTCATGGTACTAATAAACGTGCGTCTGAAATGGACAGTGAGACATCCAAGAAGTCTCAACCCCCCCTCCCCCCCGCCCCCTTATCTGATCGTGCTAATTCCAAGGGGATGGAAGATGGCAGGCATCTAGGAAGACGTTAGAAGCAAGTCATTTCTTCTCATGCTGTGTCGTACGTATCTCCTGGTTGGGTATGCGTGGTTGGGAGTACAAAGCACAGGGCATGGACTAATACAAACAGTTTCCTTCTGAAAAGAGTTTATCTCAGCTCTGACAAACAATATATTGTCGCCTCATTGGTATCATCCTCGTGGCGCTTCTGGTACATGACGAGTCACTTGCCCAACCGATCTCAGCATGGATCTTGCAGATCGTAAGGCTTCTAGGTGTTGAGAGAAAGGAAGCTGCGGGAGCTTCTGTGGGGGTATGTGAGGTACGACAAGCTGGCTCAGAAAAGTGCCGCTTCCACCTGGTATATGTGGAAAACCGGCGGTGAAGTATACAGCATCAGATCCCAGTAAAATCACAGATTATGTAAAAATACAGGACAGCTAGTACACAGCTCCACCTGCCGGAGTGGCTTGCCGTCGGACTGATGCATTGCACGGCGAGATCGTGATCACAGCCGCCATCGTCAATGGCGGCAACATACATGTCGGCGGGGTACATAGCCTTTGAAGCCTTCGAAAATACTATTCCAAATGTACCACATTTCTTTGCCCAGTAGAGCGACGTCAACGCCCTGAACCTTGCACACCGGTCGGCGATCTGATGCAAGCCCAGAACTCGTCATCTACTTTGGGGTAAAAAATCCTGGGCCTACTCGTAAAGTAGCAATGCCCAAGGTATTGTGTGCATCGCTTTCAACCTCGCCTTGCACTATCTCGGCGTCGCTGCAACTTCAATGCAACCCTGGAAGGTTTAGGTGGCCTGTGAGCTTTGGTCAGATAACCCTTGATCGTTGGTTGGTTGTTGGTTGATCGTGGGATGAGCCAGTTTCAAAAGGGGTAGATATTCTGAGGCCAGTAGGAGGTGACCCATCGGCCGCGCAAATATGATATGCATGACGGCCTGCTGTGTCGCCTGAGACAATTTGATGGATTCGTGGCAGGTAATTAATTCGATAGGTTTGTACGCGTGACAAGAAATACAACTCGTAGAGTACAAATTTTGAGATGGGAATGTGCATGATAAATCACTTAGTAGGGGTCTCAAAACCTTGTCACCTATTTAATATGTACAAAAACAAATGCAAATAAGATGGAGTATTTTGGTCACTCAGAGCTATAATTATCATTACGGCAATTCAACGACCTCGTTCTCATTAATTGAGACGAAGAGAGGTATTTTATTAGTTTTAATTGTAGGAATTATATCAATTTCCAGCAATTAACGATTCCTCGGACTACTGGGCTGCACACGCACGAGTCGTGACACCCCATGGGGATGAATCCATAAGGCTTTGGGCTCCATGTCTACTCCCACCCACCCAATGGCGCCCCCCGCGCCCGCGTGCTCTCCCCAGCATTCCTTGTAACTCAGCGACTCGCAAGCCTCGTTACTGAGATGCGGCCCGCACCGAGGTGGCACATCGCAATCACGAAGGGACCCCAAGATTGCGCAACATGGTGACTGACCAGATGCGTCCCGAGGGCGGCCTTACACCCGCTAGATCGAGCACGATGCTGCGTTATGCATGTGTTGTTGTCGTATGCAGCTATGCCCAGCGCAGCGCGCCCTGTCCGGTCTGCGCGATCTGACTGGCTAGGCGCACGGAGAAAGGTAACCGCAGCATCCGCCTCGGCACTCTGTCGCAAGGGTCCACCGATTGAGACACGTTGAGCTCAGGGACAGATGGTGTGTGAGGGGCTGTGGTTATGGATATAGCCGTGGGAGGGTGCCGTTGGGGGCTTTTGGGGGGTCACTTTTTGGAGGTGGCAGATGGTGACTGCGAAGCAAGAACTCGGGTCAGCTTACAAACGATTACGTCGGCGACAATATTGGATTGCCAGCGACGACGGCTTTCCACAAACAGAAAAGCTGACGATGAGATGAACCTCGCAAAGCTTCACCATTGCCTTTGTCCGACTTTAGGCGTGCCTCTCTGACAGTCTTTTTCTCAATGGAGTGCTCTGGAATTGCGAGAGTTGAGAAGCTAGTTCCAAGTCTTCGAGTTGGGCTTCGGTATGAGGGTTTCAGTATCACAACCTGCTGTCTTGACCGTTATTTCCAGATTGAACCCCGACGATCGTTTTCGCGCACTGAGACCATGGCGATCGGATCATTCTGCTTAGACGCCATCTTAGGGAACGTGAGACACGTTGTCCCGCTAAGGCAACAGTAGCTTGACAAGGACACAAAAGCGCATGTGAGAAGCTGCTTCCTGGGCGTCTAGAAGACATCTTGGTTTGGTAACTGCCTCATAGTCACTGGCACTGCACTGATTCCCAAGTGCGAACTTCTGATGGAATTCCACGATCTAGACCATGTTGCCCCTTGGGTCACTTGCCACCCCTTGTTATTATTTACCAGGTGATAATCTCACTACCGGAATGTTCAATATCAGTCAAGGGACTATAGGAAAACAGATCTCATATTTTCCAATTACACTTATATTGAGCAAGTCTAGTTGTGTGGCCTCTGGGTATGACCATGCGGTTATGCCAAAAGTGCAGTGAAGTTGCAAAAGAGTTGTTAAGCTGGAAAGAGTGTGAGGTGGAACAACTGAGATGCGAGTAGTGAGAGACAATAGATGAAAGGATGGTATGGGAGAGAGTGCATTTGCCAGTCAAAGACAGCTGGATCTCCATCATTCTGGTCTGATTGAAGTCAACAAGTCAACAAGCGAATCTTCCAGCTCAATAGACCTTTGGCTCTACTAGTATCCTACAAGCCACCCAAACATGTTGACGAGATTGTTGGCCACAGTCAAGTTATGTGATGTGATAAAGATTGATCCTCTTTGCGACTAAGGAAGAGATGCCCCCAGCGGTGGCTGCGAGTCTGCTCCTTGGTCGTGTAGTGAGGCGCCCTTGACGACTTCATTATTCCCCAAAAAATTGACTTCTATCATTGACACTGTCTAATATCATATCCCACCGTTCGTTCGCTTCATGTGACATTCAATTGAATACTAGACGCAGCATGATGGTCTTTGGATTGCATAGAGGACGCCAACGGAGAATACTCTATGAATGTCAATATGGAATCACCATATCCCTGTGCCGCTGCACGAATCATTGGCATGAATTATTGGCATGAGGCTGGCGTTGTAATCTTCCTAATTAACTTCCATAGCATTCCGATTTAACGCCTGCGTAACCGCATCATCATGCGCAAGATCTAGAGCAGACACTCCCTCATCGGAACGAGCGCTCAAGTCAACGTCGTCGCACATCATAAACATCCGTACTATCTCAACACAGTTCGCCTCTACCGCGCCCATCAGCGGCGTGTATCCATTGTCATCTCGCGAGTTGACGTCTACACCACTCCACCCTAACAACAGCGGAACCGTATCAACACGCCACTTCCATGCCGCAATACTTAGAGCAGACATTCCTTCATCGCAACGAGCGTTCACGTCAACGTCGTCGCACATTATAAGCATCCGTATCACCTCAATATGGTCCCGCTCTACCGCGCCCATCAGCGGCGTGTATCCACGGCCATCCCGCGAGTTGACATTTACACCATTCCACTCTAGCAACAACAAAACTGCGCCAACTTGCCCCTCCTGTGCCGCAACGGCTAGAGCTGTCATTCCTGTGATGCTCTGAACGTTCACATCCACATCATCACGCCCTAATAGCAGTCCCATTATCTCAGTATTGTCATTCTCCGCCGCATGCATCAGTGGCGTGCGACCGCGGTCATCCTTCACGTTGGCGCTCACATCACTGCGCCCTAATAGCAGCGTAACTGCGTCAATATGCCCTTCCTTTACCGCAGTAGTTAGAGCTGACATTCCTGTGATGCCCTGAATGCTCACATCCACATCATCACGCTCTAGGAGCAGTCCCATTATCGCAGTGTCGCCATTCTCCGCCGCATGAATTAGTGGCGTGCGACCGCGGTCATCCTTCACGTTGGCATTTATATCACTGCGCCCTAATAGCAGCGTAACTGCGTCAACATTCCCTTCCTCTACCGCAGCAGATAGAGCTGATATTCCCAGCATGCTCCGCGCGTTCACATCCACATCGTCCCGATCCAAGAGCATCTTCATCATCTCGATGTGGTTATTCTCCGCCGCTATCCGTAGTGTCGCCTTACCATAGTAGTCATCATTCTTGACTTTCACTTCACCCCACTGCAGGAGCACTTTCGCTACCTCAGTGAATCTATGTTGCACCGCCAGCGATAGTGAGGATATGCCAGGCCTCCCATTAGCATTCACTTCTGTGCGTTTAAGGAGCATCTCTACGACACGAAGATGCCCAGATTCCGCCGCATAGGCCAGCGGCGTGTACCCCATCAAGTTCACCATGTGGGCATCAATGGGCCCGCGCGAGAGGAACAGCTCGACGATCGCGATGTGACCGCGCCCTGCTGCAGCCGAGAGCGCCGTGAGATTGTGGCCGATTTCTCCGTCAGCGCGCATGTCGGGCCGCTGCCGCAGCAGCATCTCCACCACCGCCGTATGCCCCTGGGACGCGGCGATCATGAGCGGTATGTCATAGAATCGGTTATGGCGTTTGGCAGCGACATCAGCTCGCGCGAGGAGGAGCGAGACAATGTGAATGTGGCCCTCAAACACGGCGAGTGAGAGAGGCGTGCGATGGATGTAATCGGCGTGATCGGCATCCGTGTCGGGATGGATAAGGAGGACCTCGACTGTTGCGAGGTGCCCTCCGGCGGCGGCGTACGAGAGCGGCGTGCGACCGTGGTAGTGGTGCTGTGAGGGTATGACGCTGTAAAAAGGGTCGCAGAGGTCGTTCAGTGATAATGCGGCGGGGATCATAAACATATCGGCATGGACGTTCGGGTCCGTAGCGGGGTTAGCGAGCAGTTCTCCCAGCACCCTGGCGTCCCCATCTTGGGCGAGGAGGTGCAGGAGTGTCTCCCCACTCTCGCCCACAGCATGGGAGTGTGTGGAGGAAATAGCGGCAACTGTTAGGGGGACGGCGCGGATGAGAGACAGAATGCTATTGGGGGACAAGTAGTCAAGGACTTGGTGAATGATATCAAGAGGGAGATCGGACAAAGTTGCTGGTGTTTTCATGGTCGTGTTCCCGAATTTACCTCTTGCTTTGCAGCAGAGGTATCTTGGATTAAGTGAAGGGACTAACGGGGCTAAACTGCGATATATCCTGGCCTGCGGTTGTCAACTGTAACCATTGACATGGAGGCAAAAGAGAGGGGCGCAGGAAGTCTCGCAGCAAGAGTGACGGCGTAACCTGTAATATTATAGTTAACAATCTAGACGGAGAACTAAACACATAAAGTCGGATGTGCCTTGCAGCTCGGCTCGTAGTCGGAGCAATTAGGCTGTCCTGTGGTAAGCAAACATAATATCTTCATCAACACTCCCTCGATATAAATAGCTATTCTTACATGAGCCAATTTGAGTAACTACGCACTGTAGAAGATAAGCACATGTATATGATATTTTTTTGGCCTTGAGACGAGACGATTTGCCCACTCCAATGATTTATAAGACGGATAGGAAGACAAGGCTCCAGTGCCAGTCGAGGATGTTAATGTAACCCCTGAGTATGACTACACGTGATTATAATTGACGTGATTATAATTGACGTGATTATATAATCTGTTTCGAAACGGAATCGAGAAGGAACAGAGAAAGGGGGTTATCCCCCCCTTCCTTCTTTCCTTTGCTTTCATCTAGATTAGGAAAGACCAAGGCAATGGTTTTTCTGATCTCTGGTGCTATGGATTTTCGTTAGTCGAATACCGATTGCGGATTATTTGGATAATATATATTCGTTGATCCAGTAGGTTAGCATTGCGAAGTTGTCATTTTTGAGGCTAAAGCTTCAGATAGGCACTTGATAATCCTGACATACTGTCATTTTCTCAAAAACAATGGTTGGGGATGTTTGTACGAGACTGCATAGATCTATGTTGACGCCAAGCGAATCACAAATGCGGATACTGAAAGTGCCCCGATAAGTTTTTGATTGTGCCAACCTCAGCCTCCAATTTAGCCTGGGGAGGTTTAACCAGGGACATCCAAGGCTGGCTGCTGACTCTGGCCATGTGACATGGCGATACTTGGAAATAGGCAGTCTCTGCCTCAAAGCCACGTGCTCACTATTTCGGGGCTTTGAATAAAGATACCAGTCTAACCGTCGGCGAGCTAGTATGCGGTATATTGTGGTATCTTTATTTTGCCGCGAAGGAACCCGTAGACCGAGAAAGACGATGAAGCTCCATTGCTGCGCAGAGGCTTTGCTTTCGAACATTAAGTGAGGTCAGTGGGAACGGCATGGTTGCGTCTCCAGTCCGTCCAAGCTGGCAAATAAAGCGACGGTAAGCCATCAGATGATGAGCCTGGCACATTAAAGAGTACCAATTCTTAACGTCTGTTAGATTAAACGTGATAGTTTACCAATTCGACACCCTGCATCACACGACACCGCACCGGAAGGAATATTCTCTAGGTCATATCTGTTATTGAACTCTTGCGACAAGGTCACCGACGCTCTACTTGTCAAGGAGCCTTCTTGAAAACCTGTCGCTGTGTACAATGGTGGTTCCATACAGATGCTGCATGACCGAAGTGTGTATATTGGATGTAAGGATTCCCCAGAGATGACACAAGTGAGAAGGGTAATGTCTATGTTGACGGGCGATGCTGACGGGCCGAAGGGCCTAATCTCTAAACAAGAGGACAAATGAAGGTGTTATATACATCGTCTGATCTGGGCGTCGCGGAGCATCCAGATACGGAGGACTGTTGTCCACACGGCACTTATGGGGTGCGTGGATCGCCGAGGCCAGCGCTGACGTCTGTGATCGGCACTTTGGTATGGCCCTGCACACGAGATAGGCCATTGCTGGAATTGTTGAACTGAATTGTGGAGACGAAATTGAACTTCGCTTCTAATCTGCCACGAAGATATGAGACGGGACAGTGGGCGCTTTTCACTCAGAATAAAAGCACCGTTATCCCTAGATATATCTTTCTGATTATCGCCGCCAATAGGCGGCTTGACGCCAATATTGATGCTTAGTCCCATCTGCCGGTGAGACTTTCAAACGGCCATGCACACCCCGGACCGACTCGGGCTTTGTAATTTGAGCTGACATGCTAATTGGCAGTCACAGTGGGTTTTGCATATATCCCCCATATCACCGGGGAATATGACCAGTTCTCCGGGGCACAGAGGCAAGGGGCTCCCACATTCCTAAGACCCCCGGGGCAGCGAGACAAGGGGGTGCAATAGAATGTAATATCTCGGGGTCAAGAAGTGAGGAACCACTACAAGGTAAAGACACATGTACGAAAACAGGTTGCTTGACATGCTTCGCACGAGCAACTCTCGTTGCTTCCACCACGGCCAAAGTAGGTACGGATTGGAAGCCTGACAGAGCCAACGCCATTGGTGGTGAAGGTGTGGGGATGTGGGGGCAAGGACGAGAGAAAAAAAAAAGCCACCCAAGACCGGCAGCTTTACGTCGGGAAGGAGCAGCCGACATAAAGCAGCGGCATCGTACAGTAATTAAGAGCAAAATGTCACGTACGGCACTTGCATGAACCACACAACAAGCACCAGCCAATTTCAGTACCATGAATATTTCCGGTTACGGACTTTGTGGAGCTGATGGAGCTGACTAGAGAATTTATAAGCCTTGATTTACCCCGTTTTTAAAGTTATCTGATGATCAGATAATGCTAGCGCTGCCAATTACAGTCGCACCGATAGATCCACCGGGATCTGCCCGGTGGATCTTATCGGTGCGATTCATACTATGGAGATGGATCTTATCGGTGCGACTCGTATACATCCGATCTTTATTCGTCAGGGGCAGCTGGTAAGGCTCTATTCGAATAACTACCTGCCAAGTGAAGCTTGCTTTGGGAGAATGAGGTCCGGCCCGATCGATAATGAGAATCCGCTGGCGTTGAAAAAAACCTCAACTCCACTCACATATGTTGGGTTGGACCGTGGGCTCACAAAGCAATTTGAAATCACACACGACACACGATTTGCACTGCCTTCTACCCTCATCCCTGGCTCTTCATTTGGGGTGATTAAAATCAAGTTTGGATAGGCACCCTTCATCCGACGGATATGTGTTACGTCAAACAGATCTCGGTCTTTTAACCGGATCATCATGAGCCCACTCACTGACACCACAGTATGCCGCAGAGTTTAGAAAAATCATGTAAGGGATAAGGGAGGGACCATATGCTCTCCACGAGCATGCATCCTGCAACCGTGGGTACCACGCTTTCGTTTCTTTCCCGACGGGTGCTGCTGCGATTGTTCTACACCCCTTCTTATTCCTGAGGACTTTTCCGAAATATACCGCGCTTTGGCCTCTATTCTCGCCGAGTGCTCCTACAAGAGTCTTGTTTCCATTCTTCTTCCTTTGTATAACTTTTCGGAAAGCGAATACAATGGTACCCCCGAAAGTCAATGCGAAGGCGCTACGCCAGGCTTTGAATGAGAAAACTGCCAAGTCATTTGGGATTGCAATCGGAGCTTTCATCGCTCTCTTTATATTCAACCACTGGGCACGATACCTCTTCCATCGGTATAGTAACGGAAGTCGAAGCTCAGCTACGGCTGCTGTGATAAGGCTGTCTAGGTATGCAGTCGGTAGTCCGCTTTCTCATGTTTGCTAATAACTATTTAGGAGAACCAGATCTTTCCTTTCCAAGAGGTTCTTCAAACAGATATCGCTTGGACGTATTCTACTCTACACTTCATTCTGGGGAATCAATATCATCTTGTCATGCACGAACGTGGACTTGACCATACTCGTCAATGTAAGAAATCACTGATCCATTTTTTTAGTCGCTCACCTGCTTACCAAGTGAAGGTTGCAAAACACCAAGGCTGGTACTTACAACCTCCTACTTCTCCTTGCGAATCCATCGAATCTACGAAGTTAATCGGTTTTTATATGGTATTTTATATATTTTATACTGACTTATCAAAGGGTTGCGCTGTGCAATCTAGCCTTTGTCATTTTTCTTAGTTTGAAAAACACGCCATTAGCTATCCTCTCCGCCACTTCCTACGAGACCTTGATGCCGCTCCATAAGGCGGCGGGATATACATGCATAGTCGCATCATTGGTCCATGCCATCGTCTATCTGGAAGCTTGGGCACAGGCTGACAGTCTTAATGACATGCTGGAGCCTACTCAGATCGCAGGAATAATGGGCGGAATTGCGTTGCTTCTCATTGGTGGCTTGGCCTTGCCATATATTCGCCGCCAACGCTATGAGTGTATGTTAAGACACTAGACTTCTAATGGGTCCTGTCCGACTAATTTATCATATAGTATTCTACGCTATACATGTCACACTCTCAGCCTTCATTTTAATAGTCGTCGCATTGCACCGGCCAAACTTCAGCCAACATGCCATCATTATCACCCTTTTTGCAGCTTCTTTGTCATTCATGGATCGCGCCATCCGCATTTTCAAATTCTCCTGCAACTTCATGGGTAACCATGCGGCGCTCACCGCGCTACCGAACGGTGCTACTCGAGTCACACTTCGCCAATCATCGAAGGCCACCCCCGGCTCGCATGCGTTCTTGTGGTTGCCTGCTATACGTCTTGCAGAGACACACCCTTTTACACTCGTTTCCTCGGACCCCGCAGAGTTTGTCGTGTTCTCTCGCGATGGATTCACGTCCGCATTGCACCGATATGCCAAAGAGTTTCCCAACAAGACTTTGAGATGCTCGCTAAACACAGGTTATGGGAAACTACCTGCCTTCAAGACCTACGATAGCATCTTGCTCATTGCTGGTGGTAGCGGTGCAAGCTTTACCTTTGCAGTAGCCTTGGACCTGTCCAGGAACCCTGGCCCCTGTCCATCTGGTAGTATAACTTTTGTCTGGGTTATTAGAGATAAAGGTAACGCTGTCAACTAAGACTATATACAAACATCAACTGACAGTGCCCAGCTTCTATCTCATGGTTCCATGCGGAACTTCGCGAACTACTCCTCAATCCACGCATTAAAGTTATGATACATATAACTAACAATGTCGAATCCTCTACATTAGTCTCCTTATCGGGATATTCTGACAAGGATAATACTTCAACCACAGAAGAATCTAGTCAGACTTCGCTCCCCATTATGGCACATGGTGACTTAGAAAAAGCCATTGAGCTTGAGCAAACTGCGAAGTCAGAAAAGCCTGCCGACCCAGAGAAAGCCATGGGCTATGCTGTAGGAGAGGCATCCAGCAGCACCATTGCAACCTTCCCAGGGCGCCCAAATATTCCTGCGCTGATGGAAAGTCTCGTTGACAATGAAGATTCCATGAAGAGAGTTATTGTCGGCGCTTGTGGGCCTGAGGGTTTGCTGGAGACGGTGAAGGACACCGCATCACGATGCATACGGCCTGACGGTCCATCTTTCACTTTACATACCGAGGTAGGCTGAGTGTTTTTGCCCTTTTGCTTTTCGATCCACTAATATGGGAATAGGGGTTTGGATGGTAGACGCACTTATGATCTTTTGTACATATCTTTTTATGAGCATTGATTGATGAATAACGGAGGAACGAGGTGGGCATATAAAGGTTAGAAGGGCGGTTGAAGGTCGCAGGGACGGCAAAAAGTGGCAAGTATGGCGATGCTGCCTTTTGTATGGGACTTTTTGCATAGGAATAGTTTTTTTTTGTTTACAATCGCGACAGCATTTGAACATTACTATTTACGACGAATATTTATAAAGACAGAAATATCATCATATCATGTGTTTGCATCTGGATGGGATTGTTGGCTTCTTCCCTCGGACATTTCATTGATTAGTTATCGAAGCCGAAGGGCCGCAGGTAACGTGACTCAACGCTAAACCCCGCCTACTCGGCCCTTGGCCTTGGCCACCACCTGAATTTAGTGCAAGGTACTAACCCTTTGTACTTTTTGTGCCTCGGCATATCCATCATTTTGTGGGGGTTCTGGAAGAAAGAGACGCAGCTGACACAGCCGAGCGGATCTTCGACAACCGATGGGATTTCTTCAATAACCATTCTGTTTCCTGTACATTTAAGACGAGGAGTAGCGGATATCAGGACGTTCTCTCATTGACATATATTTTTTGTTTTTGCACTGCTTAGGTTCCTAGACTTTACATCCCTACAACTAGACACAGAGACGCATCGTCCGGAGCGACGAACAGACAGACACCATGCCTTTCGATACCAAGCTCACTCGTGCCCTGGGCATCAGAGGTATGCCCCCTTCACCTCTGCTCCGTCGCCTCAATCCCCTCTAACAATATCTTTCTAGTCCCCGTTGTCCAAGGTGGCATGCAATGGGTCGGCTACGCTGAGATGGCCGCCGCCGTCTCCAACGCCGGCGGTCTCGGCCTCCTCACAGCTCTCACGCAACCCACACCCGAAGACCTACGCAAAGAGATCCGCCGCTGCAGGACCATGACCAAATACCCCTTCGGCGTGAACATCACCCTCCTCCCCGCCATGGTTCCCCCGGACTACGGCGCATACGCCCAGGTCGTCATCGACGAGGGCATCAAGATCGTCGAGACCGCCGGCAACAGCCCCGGTCCCGTCATCAAGCAGCTCAAGGCCGTCGGCACCATCATCCTGCATAAGTGCACCACCATCCGCCACGCCGAGAGCGCCGTCAAGCTCGGCGTCGACTTCCTCTCCATCGATGGCTTCGAGTGCGCCGGCCACGTCGGCGAGAGCGATCTCACCAACTTCATCCTCCTGAGCCGCGCGCGCCAGACCCTGACGGTCCCGTTCATCGCCTCTGGTGGATTCGCCGACGGCTACGGCTTGGCTGCGGCGCTCAGCTTGGGCGCTGAGGGTATCAACATGGGTACCCGCTTCATGAGCACCGTCGAGGCGCCCATCCACAACAATGTCAAGGAGCAGATCTGCAAGGCGTCCGAGCACGACACCCAGCTTGTGCTGCGCAGATGGAAGAACACCAGCAGACTGTACAAGAACAAGGCGGCTGTTGAGGCGTTCAAGATTGAGTCGACCAGCACAACGGGCAAGTTTGAGGAGGTCGCACCGTGGGTGTCGGGTAAGAGGGGAAGACAGGTGTTCATCAACGGTGATGTTGATTTCGGAGTAAGTTTCTTCTGATGTGATGTGATCTGCGAAGAGTGCATGTGCTGACTACGGTGATTTAGGTGTGGACTGCCGGACAGGTGATTGGTCTTATTCATGATATCCCTACGTGCGAGGTTCTGTTGAGGAGAATCGAGAAAGAGGCGGAGGAGACGATCAACAGGGCATCGTCGCTGATTGTTGCCAGCCCCAAGTTGTAGAGGGTTTGTATATGATAGATATGATTTATTTACAGCCGATATAGAAGAGATGTACAGCGTATTTTTTGTGGCATTGTTTATTGTGAAGTTCTCGTGGTCTCTGAAGCCGACAAATAAGCTCCTTCATATAATTCATTCATATAATTCCTCCATTAGACAATGGTCCATCCATACGTACAGACCCTGAGGTCAATCAAGGCCAATCCGCTTCGCCGATCTTGAACAAAATCCCCTTATCGCACCCTACTTACTCTAGTTTCTGTAACTACTACCCCACCACGTTCTGGCCTCCGATTTCCTGCCCCACCATTGAGTTAGTCTGCAATATTAAATCATAGTCCCAGGCACCAGGCAGACGTGTAAAGTGCAAACCGCATTTTGATACCGCGTTCTGTAATAACTCTCCTCCAAGATCGCGCCCTCACCGCGACCTCATGGCGATCATCGCGCCCTCATCGGTGTTTCAAGTCATCCCTCGCCCATCGCGACTGATTGGCCCAGCCTTGCCCACCCGTCCTTAACTGGCCGCATCGCCAACAACCGTTCGCAGCCAGGAAAAAACAGGCAATTGGGTGTCCCAGCCCCGCGAATTTGTTAGTTGGGCACTGTGGTGAGAAGGCGACTGGCCAGTCATCGTCGTCGGGGAGGAATTGTGAGGTGTCGCAAAGGTAATGGGCTTGGTGGAATGCTTGTACCTGTACTTTTTGGTAGGAGAATTGTAAAAGGGAGTGGCTGGGCTTTCGTGATACTCGAGTACAGGTACAGTTCTTCGTGGTACAGTTGTACCTCTTATCTGCTTCGCTACAACTTCACTTTCAACCCTTCTGTTCACTTACTACTTCTGCTTCTCTACGTCTTATTTACCTTCTTAATCTATTTGCTGAAGGCGAAATTATATTCATTCTGTCGCTCTCCTATTCTTCTATTTCCAAGGAACTTCACAACTCTCCCAGAGAGCTTGTTGTGTTATCGTGATACTGCGACAGCCTCCCCGAGTCACCTCGCCCGCCGTCGCAGTGACTGAGAAACACCAGAGCGCAGAACACCTCTGCGATGCTCTTTACGATAAACAACGACATCAAATTCTCCCTCATCGCAATCGACATCGCCCCCAGCACCGCCATCTGCCTCTCCGCCGTCCTCGCCGGCTACTACTACCTCCTCCACATCCGCGCCCACCCCCGTCCCCTCCCCCAAATCGCCCACTTCGATCTCCCCCCAGCCGACGCCAACGACCATGACAACCATCTCCGAGCTCGGCGACCTCTTCGACGACCATCCCTCCTTGGACGCATCTCTGGCCGACTTCGAACCCGGAAGCAGCGAGCCCGCTCACAGCCCGCGCTTCCCGCCCCTCCAAATCACCCGCAACAACAACTACAACCACCTCTTCCCTTCGCAGCACTCTGGTTTCCGCGAGCCCTCAGACTCGGAGGACGATCCGATACGCCCGGACTCGTCGGGGGGGTACAGCCCGCCCGCGTGGCGCCGCAACGGGGGCGCAAGAAGCTCAGGCTTCTGGAATAGACGCGATAATATCCTTAATCGCGGCGGCGTGAGTAGGGAGGTTACGCCTGAGACGTGGGAGAGTGCTGAGGAGGGAGATGCGACCCTCGCAGCTGCGGTGCGGGTGCGTCTGCCCACTGGGAGTTTGAGTCCTGAGAAGCGGCGGAGTCCGAGTCCAGATCCGTTTATGAGTGGGGGGGATTTTGGGGGCTCGTTCGGCGCCGTGAAGAAAGAGGAGGGTAGCAAGGTGGTTCCGCTGGCGACTATCCCCGAGAATCCTAATAATTGTAAGTTTCTCGTCGTCTGCATGGGAATGCAGGTCGAGGTCCCGTTGTCTGCGTCAGTCTAACTGTTTTAGACATCCGCTTTGCCGTGCGAGCAGAGGTACAGCACCGGACCGAGCCGTTTGAGAACGCGCTGGCGGTAGCGACACGTAAATTCGACAGCGTGACCAAATCCTGGACCTCGCTCATCACCACCATCCTCGTGGGATTCATCTCCCTCCTGGCCGTCAAATCGATATTCACCCCCGCCGCACCCCTCCCCGTCCCAGACCTCGTCAAAGTCGCCAGTCTCGCCAAGGCCTTCGAGCCCCTAATCTTCTACTCAGAGCATGGCATCCAGCAAATCGCCGACCTGCAAGCCACCAGCGTCGCCGTCTGGGACCTCGGCGAGTCTGTTCGCTCCGCCAACATGACCTCCGCCCCAATCATCGTGCGAGAGCTCGACGGCCTGAGCGATTCCCTGAAGACCCTCGCTATCGAACTCACCCGCTTCTTCGCCAATGTAGATGGTGATGTCGACGGAATACTAATCGTCATGGACTGGGCCAAGCGCGAACTAGCTGCCCTCCCTGCCGCACCGCCATCCCCGCTTTCTGCGCTCGCTACAAACACACACACCCTCCTCAGTCGACTGCACGTCCTCGAGTCATCTCCAGGTAACCCGACAGCCTTGGGCCACGCGGCGCTTGCACTCTTCGGCCCGACGCCCCCGCAGCGCACGGCTGCGGCGCTGGGTCGCGCATTCCGCGAGTTCGTGGGCGTGCTAGAAGAGGCAATCCAGGCGGAGCTTGAGCACGCCGCCGCGCTATTCGCGCTTTTTGAGGCAGTGGATCGACGATTCCTCAATGTTGCCCGCGCAGTGGCTCGGGAGAGCGATGAGCAGGAGCGTGGAGAGAGCGAGATGCTGGCGAGTTTGTGGACGAGAGTCTTAGGCGGGAATGCAGCAGGGTTGCGCAAATTCGAGATGAATAGGCGATTACTGGGGAGTGTGAGGGAGAGGACGGTCAGGAATAAAAGGGTGCTTGTGGATCATAATGGGAAGTTATTAGCACTGAGGGCGAATCTCGAGATGTTGAGGATGAGGCTTGTTAGTCCGCTTGTGAGGGCAGGGGAGGGGAGCACGATTGGGGTGGAGGAGCAGATTAGGGGGTTGGAGGGGACGTATGAGTATTTGAGGGGGGTGAGGGAGAAGCAGAAGGGGAGGTTGATGGAGGTGCTTTATGGGTCTGGTAAGGGGAGGTCGAGGATTGTGGGGGACGACGAGGGGAGGGAGATTGACGGGGGGTGGGAGAGGAGGTAGCTTTGGTGGGTGTTGCTGGATTTGGATTTGCTGGGGGCGCTTTAATAGGATAGGGGGGGCTGGCATGGAGTTTTGTTTATGTTTATGGAGTACGGTGGATGGGAGAGTGTGGGGATATATTATGGCTGTATATGTGATGAAGGGCTGGCGGAGTACATAGATGGAAGCTGTATTGGCTACTGAGGATAGATGACACTTGAATCCAAATAACTCAACATGAGTATCCCAACTATGACCCATGATTGCAGATCTCCCTCTCAACAACAAAGATCCCTTGTACATGCGCGCTAAACGTACCATGCGTTAGCTTTTGAGTCTAATAGTATCACGTCCACTAGTTTCCCATGGAAGCCTCTCAGAGGGAAGGTACGATGCAAGAAAGGAGGAAAAAGGATGGCACGATGAAGGAAGGCATGATGAAGGAAGACACGATGAAGGAAGGCACGATGAAGGAAAGCACGATGAAGGAAGGCACGATGAAGGAAGGCACGATGAAGGAAGGCGCGATGAAAAAACAGTCGAGGATGGAAGGAGCGAAGGACGAAAGGGCAAACAACACCAATTATGAAAATCCGTCTGCCGCAGCAACATCTCCCCCCTATATGTCAGGGTCCGCATCAACTCTGACTTCAGCGGCTAGCGTGGCTATCGTCTCTTGTGGCATGGGCGTCGTTGGGGCTGGCCTCGGCGTCATTTTCGTCGGGAATGAAGGTGGCATGGCTATCACCAATTGTCATGTGGGAGTCATCAGGGCTCACGCCGGCATGATTCTCTCTTGTGATGTGGGCGTCATCACCGATCACTCCTGCGTGCTTCTCCCTTGTTGCATGGGTGTTGTCAGGTTTGGCCTCGATGTCGGCGCCGTCCAAGCCAGCTGGAGCAGCTAGAGAAACGCTGGCAAAGAGGAGTAAGAGAACGGGAGTGAACTTCATGATGGATTTTGAGTATGTGATACTACGTGGCTTGAGTGGGAGGGTAGGGGTTGGTGAAGGGTGGGTCAGGCATATTTATACAGCTCTGAAGGGGGATTTCTTAAGACTGGTCAAGGTGTATTTGATGACCTGAGTTTGGGATTCGCAGGTAATTCCGAGTTTGAGATTCGTGCATTTCTCGGTGCTGACTTGACGTTCTGCCATGACAAGCCTGCTCCGCCTCTGTCGGACAGACAAATGCGGCTGTCAGCATCGGCGAGGACATCCCGATCCATCTTGGCCAGTCCGTTGAAAGCCCTGTTAGCCTCACGGGGTGGCTATTTGTCTTGTAAGCCCGTGATTGGAGACTTGACACCGAGTCCTGCACGACGTCGTCAGGCAACGACGCGGCCTCAGCCATGTTTACATTGGCAGAATTCCCCGACTTTAATATTTGCGCGACATCGCCGGGCATATCTTTTCCCTTCCGAGATACATTATGCGAGTACGCTGAGCTCTTTCGGACGAAGAACGCGAAGTACGGTCGTATTAAAGCTAGTCCCACTCCGGAACCTTTGCGCGAACCTCATCTCACCTCGAGAGTAACTGGTAGCTAACGAGAGCGAAAATATAAATATTTTGGGAGTCCCAAGATAAATATGTAGGCTGTCCATCTCTATTTGCCTATCATTGTCATTGAACAAGATTATTTACTATGGCAACTAAAAGACTCGCGATGTTGGCATTCTTTCTCCAATTGCTTGCCTTATCATCTTCTCACCCCAATCCAAAAGTGTGCAAAGCGCAGCCTGGGACAAAAGCATGGCCATCGGAAGCAAAATGGGAGAGCTTTGATAAATCTCTTTCGGGCCAGCTTATTAAAACCGTCCCGCCCGGTGCAGTCTGCCACCCGTCGCAGCCTTCGTACGACGCCATAGCTTGCCCGGCCGTGCAAGAGGGATGGAAACTCGCGAAGTGGCACACTGAAAATCCCGTTTCGGTCATATTGGATAGCGCTGTAAATGACACTTGTCTTCCGGATCCGAAGTATCCATGTAGCGCAGAGGGATATCCGATTTACGTGGTTAATGCTACGACGGCGGAACATGTGAAGAAGGGGGTCAATTTTGCAAGGCAAAATAATGTCAGATTGGTTATTAAGGGAACGGGCCATGATTATATGGGGAGGTGAGTTGTATGATAATTGTTGGAAATAGATACACGGCTTACTCCAGAAGGTCTGCTGCACCTAACTCTCTCTCAATCTGGACCCACAACATCAAAGGTCTGGAGTTTTTCGAGATCAACAAATTCACACCGAAGCACTGCAAAGTTCCTATTGATAAGCATGTTATTACTGTAGGAGCGGGGACGCAGATGCTGGAAATTGACGAGCAAGCTTCTCTCCGAAACCTCACTGTCGTAGGCGGTGGCTCTGGGTCAGTTGGAATAGGGGGCTACCTCACAGGGGGTGGCCATAGTGCTATCAGTCTCACATTTGGACTTGCTGCCGATCAAGTTGTGGAGATGGAAGTTGTGACTGCAAGCGGAAAGATAGTAACCGCGAATGCATGTCAAAACGAGGATCTGTTCTGGGCTATGCGCGGAGTAAGTTCCTCCATTCCGCTCGACGATGAAGAATCTCTACTAAATAATCACAGGGTGGTGGCTCAACCTTCGGAGTCATCATATCAGCAACAATCAAAGCCTACCCCTCCTTCAAGTTTGCCACCGTCTCGGTCATGTTCGGCGCCCCAGTCTCCTCCAGCGATGCCTACTATGACGCTCTTACCACTATCTTCGAGGAATCACCAGACCTCGGTGACCTTGGTATCTCAGCCTACTACTTTGGCGCTGCCAACGTGAGTGCTGCCGATTACGGCATTCCAGTTCCAGGAATGATCAACGGTTTTATCGGCGGCTTTATGCTCCCGCTAATAGACGCTTCCAACACAAGCGACAGCCTTCTGACGGCCGTCAACGCCACATTAGCCAAGGCCATCAAGGGTGCAGAAGACCAATTCCTGACTTCGGTGACGGAGACTACATTCGATGACTTCTGGTCCTGGTATAAAGATAATAACGGGCCATTGAACGCGGGTTTCGATGCCATCCTTGGCTCGCGGTTGTTGGATCGAAAGTCATTGACGGGAAACCGAGCTACGCTTAAGGAAGCGCTGATTGTGGCTCCTGGAAACGGAACCTTGCTTGGCCATCTGGTTAGCGGGAAGGCGGTGCATAACGCGAAGATCCCGGGGGGAAGCAATGCCGTGAACCCAGCTTGGAGGTCTGCATATGTGCATACTGGTTCGTATTAACCCGCATGAAAAAGCTCGCCGTAACTGACAATATCTATAGTTGTGTCATCGTCGTGGGATCCCTTGGATGCTGCGGGGAGGGAGAAGCAGTTGAATTTGAACACCAATGTATACACGGAGGCCTTGAGAAAAATTGCCCCTGACACTGGGGCGTACATTAACGAGGTAGGTGCGCTCTGCTGGTCACGGTGTTTGGTTACGAGCTAATTATTGTAGGCTGATTTGTATGAACCAAACCCCCAGAAGGCGTTCTGGGGCGCCAATTATCCACGACTCTGGTTCATCAAGAAGATGCGTGATCCCCTAGATGTGTTTTGGTGCTCGCCTTGCGTGGGGAATGAGGGATGGGAAGTGATTGATGATGCTCTTTGTAGAAAGTGGTAACTTGGAGCGGAGGATAAGGGGTTGGAGAATAGTTTGGATGTGTGAACTGATAGAGTGATTATTTAATCAGCATTTAAATCGGATTCTTGTCATGTCGATGGAATGTAGTAGAACCACTATATATTGTTATTTCGAGGTATTGTATTGTATACCGAAAGATTGGATGATAAATGAGGCGTTGATATCCTTGCGCTGACGCCTGGGTCATCTAGGGTAAGAAGAGCACGGAAGAACAATCAACGGGGTCTACGCCGCCCGAATAGCGACAGTGGATGGCGGTGGCATACAAGATTATTATGTAGGCTTTGGTGATTACTCCTGGCTCTAATATGGATAGCTTAGTCGCTTTGCAGCCCGCTCCGTTTCGTTGCTCAAATACTTTAACATAGGCTACATCATCTCTGTCACTCGGGCAGAAGACGTGCCCAAATTCAACGCGGAATCTGATACCTCTGACATCAAAGATGTATTTTTTCAAAAGCAGGTTGATATTAACGATGACCCGACCGAAGACATCCTCATTCATTTGACAGATACTTGTGACTGGATCAAAACTAGCTTGGCCTCTGCACCAACCGACATTGAGGACAGCCCGAAGCAAACTGGGGTCCTAGTGCATTGTACGCAAGGGATATCTCGTTCCGGATCAGTTGTTATTGCATACTGTAAGATAATTTCTTTACATTGTTAAATTTTGTTCCAAATTAAATGTCTTTCCCTCTTGCAGTTACCCCTATTATTTCACAAATTTGACAATCGGTGTAGTAATGCGTGAGTTCTCGCTCAATCCGGGTCATCCTCCCCGCTCAACAAATAGACGCCATTCACTGAATATAACCAGAGCCGTCGAAATTATCAACATAGAGTTTGTATTCTACATAAGATAACCTATAATTCTTCTCGGTTTTTACTGGCAAACATGTCGACATACGCGTTTTCCATAATAACGTGTGACCGCGGAGAACAGTGGGATTCGCCAACGAAGATGAAGCCGTATCACTGGGTTTTTTGGATCCAGAGTAGCACCACTCCAAATGTTGGTCATACGTTTCAGCTTCGTGGGATGCCTGGGACATTCTATCACTCTGCCGAAGAGGCCGTGGACCTCTCAAAGTTGGACGGTGCGAACGGACGACTTGAAGTGGGATCTATTCCGCTGCAGAAATATGAACTCTACAAGCAACTCTTGCAAGAGGTAACGATAGACAATGTTGAGTCTTCAGGTTGGAATTGCCAGAATTGGAGCCTCGCAGCCTTGGATAACCGAGAACAAGACCTAGTTGCTGACGATTACTCCAATAATGTGATCCGGCACTGGCTCAGCGAGGATCAGTAGTCTAATAGTATATGTATGACGAGCCAGCAAAAGGCGAGTGAAGGGACAAAGGAAGGCACAGGTTAAGGAAGAGAGAAGCAATGAAGGAAGGCACAGGTTAAGGAAGAGAGAAGCAACGAAGGAAGGTATGAACGAAGAGATGCGGGAAGGTACGAAAGAGGTACAAAAGAAAGGGTTGAAGGAGCATAATATTACACTCAGAGCTTCATTCATGTTGCCTCACCTTTATGCTAGACCATGAACAAAAAAGAAATGATACCAAGGAGCATTTCCTGGGCACTGGACGTTTGTAGAGCATCTGATAAATAATCGACTGTAAAGCGCTTTGTGGTTACTAGTTGTCCGGTGGCAGCATGGTTGTTTTAACTGGGAAAAGAGGGAATCGTAGTCACAACAGGCATCTGGAATGATAAATCTATGTTACTGGCCCGGAACAACTCCTGAACCTGTTAAGCTGACCCTGGCATGTGTATTCGGCAAACAAGTACGATCCTGATCTACTACACGGATAGCCTCTTCCACACCGATCAATTGAGCCGACCGTGTTGTAGTTGGCCATTAGGTAGATTGTATACATCAATGACTGGATCTCTAATATAATTCTTTGCGATGGCGACCCCGAGTTGAATTATTTGACTCCAGTAACTTAGATCCGAAGTACTTAATCACATCGGGATTGTGATGATCCATAAAGTGAGGGTAATTGAAGGAGGGTCGAAGGCAGTTGAGCCCTATCGAAGCAAGTAGTGACGCATCTTCCTCGCTGAATAAGTGGTGCCTTGGGGAACGGCGATAAGGGCTACTCGGTGCTCATGCTTATGACCAGAAAATCCACTGACGAAATTCTCTATGTTAAGCATGCCCTCTAGGGCTACAATTTGATGATGGTCTTCTCACCCGCAGGTTTGATGATGTCTATCTCAGATAGACGAAGTAGCACGCACTATAGGTGTGGAGTACAGCTTAAAAGCGATACTCCGCGAACAAACCCGACCGTCGTTCTCCACAACATAGCTTCCTTTACCTGGTCCGGGGTCAGCATTTGATAGGCACTTGGTAATTTAAGTAAGGAGTTACAGATCTCCGAAATCGAGGAGATTTGACTGGAATATGCCGAAGAGGAAAGGGGGAGGCATCGCGGAATGTCGTTCTTAATATTTCTATCCGTCCACAGAGGAACAATAAACGCCCCTAGCGGCTTTCTCCAGATGCGGGGAAGCCTGACACTCCGCAATCCCCAGGAAAAGAGGACCCATAAAAGCATGTTAGTTGTACAGGATTTGTGGGAGGACAATTTGCCTAAATTTTATTAAGTGGGTCGGGAAGACCGGCCGGACACCGCTTGACTGCGAGGCCGAGTCGAGACACGAAGATCTAGAATTTCCGATGGAATTATACCCTGCAACCTTGAATCTTCAGTATCAATTCTTCTAATCCGAATAGATGCCACCCAGGTAGTTCATAGCTAGAGAGTATTGTAAATGACATATATATACTCTTCCCCCCTCGATAGAATTGATGGTACCATTTTAATTTATCAAGGTCTTCACAATTCAACCTAGCTTCTATCTTCTCTTGACATCTACTATCATAGATTATCCACGAAACATGGGGAGGGCCTTAGTTATCTCTTGCGCCGCCTTCTCGGCGATTGGTGGTTTCCTCTTCGGTTACGATTCTGGGATCGCCTCGTCAACCATCGCACAGCCTCAGTTCATAAAATATTTCGAGCACCCCAGCGATGCTGTGGCTGGTGGGATTGTTTCAGCATTCCAAGGTATGTGCTTACTTTATTGCCCTAGATTTTTTGAGACCGAGCACTGATTTACACTTTTAAGGTGGTGCAATCATTGGCTGTCTGACAGTGACATACCTTGGGGACGTTCTTGGTAGGAAGCGAATGATCTTCCTAGGATCGTTGATAGCTATTTTCGGATGTGCCCTGCAAGGCGGTGCAGTCACCATTGCGATGCTTATTGCTGGACGCTTTTTCGCCGGAATTGCAGTAGGACAACTAAGCAGCACCGTGCCTATCTACTGTGTAAGCAGCGACATTCTTATTCCGAATTACTTCAGTATATCTGCTAACTGTTCCTTAGGCTGAAATTGCTCCTCCAAATATCCGCGGTTTGCTCGCAGGATTGCTACAGTGGATGTTATCGTGGGGTTTCTTCGCTGCACAGTGGATTGGATATGGGTCTACATTCTCCACGTCTTCATTCCAATGTACTGAAAACCCTTGTAAGGTTCACTTTGGCATAGGCTGACCCATGAATAGGGCGTTTCCCACTGTCTTTCCAAGTTGTGCCCGCACTAATCCTGGCTATCGGTATCCTGTTTTTGCCAGAGTCCCCTCGCTGGCTCATGGAGAAAGACAAGCCGGACGAAGCCCTGACGACTCTACGTCAACTCCACTACAATGGCCACAACGATGATTTCATCGACTTAGAATTCACTGAAATGCAAACCTCAATTCGTGCAGCCGGTGTCAACAATAAATTATCCTGGACAGAAATCGTGAAAAATCCCTCCTGGAGACGTCGCCTTGTGCTGGGATGTAGCATCCAAGCGTTTGGCCAGCTATCGGGAATCAATGGTATGTCACTTATGAGGACCAAACTTTGTCTCGAATGTAGTAGCTAACAGGCACAAGTCATCAATTATTATGGCCCTCGCATCTACGAATCACTTGGAATTAGCACATCTGGTGCTCTCATGATTACTGGCATTAACGGAACAACTGGTATTGTGGAAAACACTATAATCCTCCTACTTATAGACAAGATTGGGAGGATTTGGCCCATCACAATCGGGGCTTTCGGCATGGCCGGCTGCATGCTTACTAACGCTATATTGAATAAGAAGTTTCCGGCTAATGCCACGAATCCTAACAGTAACGCCTTACGTGCCCAAGTGGGGATGAACTTCGTTTTTCAACTGGCTTTCCAATCCCTCGGATGCATCTCGTGGATATACCCTGCCGAGATCTTCCCTACCGAGATCCGAGCTCTCGGGACCTCGCTGGCTGCTCTTACCAACTGGGTAGGTCTCCCTTTTAAGGCCAACTCAAACAATCGTCTCTAGAACCAAGCTAACATCATGATAGTCTTTAAGCCTAATATTTGCTCAATGCAGCCCCATAGCCTTGAGTTCCATTGGTTTTAATTATTTCTACTTTTTCTTCGCCTTCAATCTCATTTCTGGTATCTGTTATCTTGCATTCTACCCCGAGACTAAGGGCCGAACTCTAGAGCAAATGGACGCTCTCTTTGAAGATGAAAAAGCTATTCCATCTCTGGAATACGGCGATAAAGCGGCTGAGATAACAACTAAGAATAGTCAACCCACGGCCCATGTTGAGAAGATATAATTAAACAATAGCACGCTATGAGATGGCAGATCATAATGGTGTATGAAGATTGAGAATGGGGATAAGCTAAGCGTGGCCTATTAGTTTGATAATCTTAGGCATGATTTCCATTCTATCTATAATCACTCCTTCCATTGTGCAGTCTGCTATCTGCCCCTTAAACTTTATTAATGGGGGGAATGATCATGTCTATATTAGAAAATAACCATCGCCAGAGATGTCTCACGTGCCTATAATTTTGTCACGGCAGTTAGGCTTCTATTCCTATTAAAGCATGCAAACCTAAGAAGCAAGCATTGTTTGATGTCTTTAAACGTCTACATACTGTTAGAACTGTAATTTTTACTTCTGTCATCGACTGTCTTATTCTGCTTCTTAGTAGACTGGCATTAATATGAGTAGTTAAATGGGCTGATGATTGTACTATTTACTATCCTTTGGGTCTTTTTACGGTCTTTGTATAACTTTAAATTATTGTGAAGATGGCGCAATAAGTCAAAGGGTCTACGGGTAACCAGCAACTGCTAGATATAGGAAGCTAACATATTTAAGGTCAGTTCTACCCTTAATACTTCTTATATACTATCGCGTTTGCTTCTCCCTTCAGCCTCTGTACTAGCGCATCTTTCTAGGTGGAGCACTACTCTACTTTCTATGATCTAGGATCTATTCACCGATCACCTATTTATGATTCTCGTGGCGCTGGACATCCTAGGATTTTATCCGTCACTTCTCGTGCATACAGGAGCAACTAACTTGGGACATGTTGTAGTAGGTCCTCTGATGTTAACGGAGCTGCTTGTGGCATACAATGATGTGGTGTGCACCATATAATGCATATGTGAAAGGTAATATCGGAAGATTCGTGAGGCATAATCTCTCGAGGATTACAAATCACTTAGTTTAATTACACTGTCTTTGGATCATAGTAAATGGCTATAAATACTTAGGTGGCGTATGTTAAACAAATAGTAGTGGCAGATGTAGATCTGAGCTGAATCACTCAGCAGCTCAGGTCACAGCGGGTATTCTGTGGTCTCGACGTTCTCCGGGTATATCAAACCACATTGTCTTGTAACGTCATCCATGACTTCCATGATAATTATGGTTTCTTCTAAGTCCAGATACTTGCCTTCCTTTCTTCCTTCAAGCAGAGCCATCCCAGCTTCATCCGCTTCCCAGAACATTCCTTGTCCTTCACCTTCAGCATTGACACCATCTCCAAATCCATTGTACCAACCGCTTCCCTTTCCTGGGCCTGGCTGTGACCAGCTCTTTTCTTCGATACTTCCATCTAAGAGGACGAGCTTTGACTTGTTTGGGTTGTGAGCGCATGGGAAGAGTTGAATTTCGCCAAGGCGTCCCTGGATGCGAACGGCTGGTGGAGGATTGGGGTCAGCGGGCGGTGAGGTTTCTAGGCGGATAGAGGTTGTGGCGATGGCGTGAGTATCCCCACCAGCGGACTCGTGTCGTGGGAACACCAGAACCATGGTTGTCATTTCATCAGCGGTGAACGTTGGCGGGTACTGTGAGGGATATTAATGTATGCCAAGGAACTGAAAGCCTGTCCCTCACATCATAAAGGGAGGCAAGCCTAACCAGGAAGACGGAACATACCTTGGTCATTGCAGCAAGCACTCGAGGTGGCCTGCGACTCTCAACCGGCTGCGTATGGTAAAGCGCCACAAAGGGCCAGGTCAGGCTATAGATTCCCAGATCTAGGAGGGCGCCACCTGCAAGATTCGCATTTACCATCCTGTGATTTGCATCCTCAAAGGATGACTCCGGATTGGTTGCTACGCTACAATCTGTGATTACTCTTACTACAGAGCCAATTTGTCCTGATGTTATTGTCTCACGCACGTATGCAGACAATGGAAAGTATCTTGTCCAGAGTGCTTCCATGAGGAAGCACCCCCTTTCTCTGGCCTTCTCTGCCAACTTCCTCGCCTGCCGAGCATTGACCGTGAAAGGTTTCTCGCATAGGACATTTTTGCCAGCTTCAAGGCACAGCATTGCATTCTGATAATGGTGCGAGTGAGGCGTGGCAATATATATGATGTCAACCTCTGGATCATTCACGAGCTTTTCATACGAGTCATAAGCACGAGCGGAGGTTGGGGCACTGGTGTAGCTGAGGAAGGATTCAGCCCTCGACAGGGAGGACGAAGATGCTGCTGCGACAACAGTGTGTCTGATGGCAGTGACTCCGCGGGTGATGGGGTCGACGAGCAGATCTTTGGTACTAGAGACATGTTAGAATATAATACTCCTGTAGCATTTTACGGTGGGATTTGAACAATGTTGTTGCAATGCTACCAGTGGCAAGGATCCCCCAGCGAATTACTTTTGGAGGAGACATGATGGTCTTTGAAAGGTACTCAAATCGTTAATGGCCGTTCGTAAACAAGAGGAATAGAGATTGACGATGATCGTACGCAAAGGATTTCGACGGTCATATATATCTGTCGATGGCGAGATGGCGACAGCAGTCATTCACTGAGAAGTCGTCGTGGTTATCGCCGACATTCCGCTGCAACTTGAAACTGTCCTGAGTCTAGTTAGAGCTGTGCTTGAATTATCCTCTGAAGTCAGCTGATCAGGACATCTTCCCCCCTATCTCTTCGCCGACACTCCGCGGGGATGTCAAGCTGCAGAGTATTCAGGATAGAAAATGATGTAAATGTGCGGATGTTGTATACTAAGGAAACTCCGGAAACGGGATGTCGCTGTCCGACGAAGTGCGGGCCAGTCATGTCTTGAAGCTAATGCACGGATCCTTACCGAATGAATCGCAGTCGATATAGACCCCGATATTACTCAACATGTCATGCTCTGCGTCGAAACCAGATTACATACCATAGTCCGACTTTCACCGAGGATGACCTAATTATACCTAGATTGATATAGAACTGTATAGACTTGAGTACACCATAGAGTATATTGAAATATATATTAGTAGTTATAGTCTTCTCTTCCAACCCACAACTAATTCTGTGCTTTCGACCTGCAACTTAATTTACCATTTAAATCTCACTCAGTGCCGAATTTGCTAAAGCAAAATCGTATCTATAATGTCAAAGCTATTGACTGTATTTGGGGCCACTGGAAACCAGGGCGGTTCTGTTATCAGGGCAGTATTGAACGATCCTGTGCTGTCAAAGGAATTCAAGATACGTGGCATCACTCGTGATGTGTCCAAGCCAGCAGCCCAAGCTTTGGAAAGCCGAGGAGTTGAAGTGATGGCGGTAAGTGTCCCGCTACTACTGCGTGCTCCATTCTGTGCGTTATAAGGCAAACGACTGATACAATGAAGGCCGATATGAACTCCAGAAGCTCTCTGGCCGAAGCACTCAGGGGATCGCACAGCGTCTTCCTCGTGACGACGCCTGACTTCATGTCCGGAGATAGTCAGGAGCTGACCCACGGCAAAGACGTCGCCGATGTCGCGCACGAGGCCGGAATCAAACATCTCATATTTTCCTCTTTGCTCCATGTCACAGATGTTACCAACGGCCGCCTCAAGCACGTCCTACATTTTGACATGAAGGCAGATGTAGAGCGTTACATCCGCTCAAAGGGCCTGCCTGGCACCTTTATTCTGCCCGGCTACTTCATGAGCAACTTCACTGCACTGCAGATGCTAAAGAAGGGTGACGGCGGGGTCTATACACTAGTGTTCCCCGTTACTAGCGAGGCAAAATTCCCTCTCATTGACACAGAGGCAGATATTGGTAAGTACAGACTGCTCGAAAAATCAACGCCTTTGTCCGTCACTATCTAGTCATTAGTAAACTACTAACCTCTTAATTCTATCAGGAAAATATGTAGTGGCGGCGATCAAGAACCGTACGGATGTTTTAGGAAAGCAGATCCTTGCAGCAGCTGATTACTACACCCCAACTCGCATTATCTCTGAGTTCGAAGAGGTAACTGGGAAGAAGGGACGATTTATGCCGGTTGACTCAGAGACCTATAAAAGTTTCCTTCCCGAGTCGATGGCAGAGGAAATGCTAGAGAATCACTTGTTCATAGAGGATCCAGGCTATTTTGCTGGCCAGGACTTGAAAGGAAGCTTGGATTTGCTAGATAAAGTGGGATTAAAGCCAAATTCGTGGAGGGATTTCTTAACAAAGAACAAGAGCTTGTTCGAGTAGGAAGTCTAGTTGTGTCAGATCTCTAAACAATGCCTGAGAATAGCCAAGATATACGTTACTTTATTATCTCATCTTAGAAAACGAACTTATAGATGAAGCAATGTATTACTGTATTAATTTCTCCTACTAGAGATCAGAAGGTTCTAGACAGCCATCGGCAATGGAAAGCACAAACTCTGCAAAATTGCATTTTGATGCCCTACTAAACCACGAGCATTGCCACATAATTACATTTCTTTCCCTAATCCGCTAGTTAATATTAAGTTGAGCTTTGCAAATAATAACGAATCTGTTACACATCTTCTAATTTCCGTGTAATCCATCTATCTAAGCAATGATAGTTAAACCCCTCTCTGTAGCGTCTAGTGAAATTCTACAAAACATTACAAATCCACGCCGATATCATCGGACTCACGTCGTTTCTCGGACAAAAACATATCCCGGAGTGCGACAGTATTGCTCTATAATCAATTTCTACTCTACAACATTCCATCCATCTTCAGAAAAAGGTCCCATTCTAGACTTCCTAATCATTACGGCCCGAATTTCGCGCGTATCGTTGGTTTCATACTGCTAGTGAGGTTGCAAAAGATGGACATACCGGTTGAGAGCAAGATCCGTTTGGTAACATATCCATTACCTCTACAAGCCGCCTCTGTCGGACTTCTCGCAGTTGATGGAAGCTATTACCGAACAGCGCCTACCACTTTTTCCTAATCTAGAGTATTTTCGTCCCTAAAAGTTTAGTAATATCGAGGTGTTGTAGAGCAGGCCGCGAAAGTCCGAGATCTTAGCACGCCTGGCTTGGCACGGTTTTCGCATATCTCTCAAACACGGTATAAGTTAAAGCTGTTACCAGGCCGCAAAAGCCTTACAAGTTCGTATAAAACCATTCTATTGGCCTTAAAGCACTCTCATTACATTATCCAACCATGGCAGCCATAACTATAGGAATCGCAGGCATCACTGGCAAATTTGCCCGTCGCCTAGTAGCGCACCTCCAAGGCCACGACGTGGTTATTAGAGGCTACTGCCGCGATGCTAGCAAGTTCTCAGCCTCCCCTATTTCATTACCGCAAATCCAAATAACCCAAGGCGATGCATTTGATTCTGCCGCGGTACAGTCATTCGTAAAAGGTTGCGATGTTATCGTTTGCTGTTATCTAGGCGATGACAAGCTCATGGTCGATGGGCAGAAAATGCTGATCGACTCGTGCGAGGAGGCGAATGTTCCCCGATACATTGCTAGCGACTGGGCGCTCGACTACACAAAGCTAGAGCTAGGCCAGCTTTTTCCGAAGGATCCGGTGAAGCATGTCAAAGCCTATTTGGACACGAAGAAGAACGTCAAGGGAGTCCACATCCTCATCGGAGGATTTATGGAACCCATTTTCAGCCCGTTTTTCAATATTTGGGATCCAGTAACAACAACGTTCCGGTATTGGGGTGAAGGTGATGAGGTGTGGGAGGGAACGACATATGACAACGCTGCTGAATATACAGCTGCTGTCGCTCTTGATGCCAATGCTACCGGGATCCAGCGTTGTAAGTTGGTTCCATTGAAACGATAACTATAAGCAGCTTCTATACTATACGTTCGGGTGCTGATTTTTACGCAGTTCTTGGTGATCGGGCAACCATCCAGCAGATTGCAGAATCCTTCGAAAATGTCTACGGCGTAAAGCCCCGCCTTGAAAGACTCGGCTCATTACACGAACTATACAAGAAGATGCATGAGCTCCGTGCTAAGTATCCCACTGATATCTTCAAGTACATGTCAATGTGTGTTATTATATCTATATTGTCACTCTTTTCACGATCAATAAACTAACATGATGAAGGTTCTTCATGTACTACTGGATCAACGGGCAGACATTTGTGGGCCCAGAATTGGACAATTCCAAATATCCTGACATCAAGCCAGTGAGTTGGGAGGACTTCATGAAAACACGCACAGTGGACCAGCTGCCGGGTGCATTCAATGCCCTCGCTGGGGACTTTAAAGTAGGAGACAAGAGGCAAGCTAGCTAGTTAGAGAACGAGGATGCACAGAAATGGGCTTAGATCGTTTTCAATTCAAACCGAACCCATTTTCCTTCTCGCTACGTCCGTTCCATCATGAGGCGTGTCTAAGAAGACTATACCGTGTGTAGATCAGAAGACCTTCTCGGGGGTTTATTCACCTTTTCTGCAGCATAACAGTGTCTCTTCGCCCAGGCCCTTGCGACTGTGGATGATGAAACTGACCGGCCTTTCTCTGCAATCAGTTCGTAGATGTGACACTGGAAATGCCAGGCTCTGTCCATAATTTCTAAGAGTATTGCCTTTATCCTCAACTGTATGAATGAACTGTATGAATGGTGGTTTGGTAGTGGTAGAAGCGGGTTGTAGAATTCATAAACTTGGCCCAGCTCTTTTATCTTTGTGACAAGAAGGCCGGTTTAACTCGTCGGCTGGCGGGCGTTGATCTGGCTCTACGTGTAGCATCTTTGTGGATTTGCGATTAAGGTGATTGGACATCTCGTTGAAATTATCCGGTGGCCATAGGCCCCGTTCACCGTAGTCGCGGGGTCGGCGGTCAAAATCAACGGGAAAGGTCAGGAACTCCAGATTAGGAGGTCGCGGTGGGGGGGACTAGTCATGACTAGGGTATGGTCGAGCGACATTCCGCGACAACAGTCAACGCCATTTATCCAACCCTTTCAATTTACCGTCTTATTTAAAGACGAGACTCCGCGACCCCCCCCCCCCCACCAACAACTTTCTCCGCATATTCATCCTATACCCCAGGTTTTGCTTCAAACAAAAGGACGGGTCCTGTTGTTCAAGAATCCTAGTGGGTCATTCGGGAATTGTTGGTGGGATGGCCAGCCCTTTCACTGGATCCCCTGTCGATGTCGACCCATCGCATCAGCACATATCACCGCCAGAAACCGGCAACAGAATACAGAAACGCCCAGCTCCCCGTGGAACTGCCGCGTATCCTCGGAAGCGTGCGAATAAAGCTTGCCAGGTTTGTCGAGCTCGACGAACGAAATGCGACAACAAGAGACCCTCTTGCACGTTTTGTGAGAAGGCTGGCACCGAATGTGTATGGGCGCCGCATGATCTATCATCGTAAGTCTCTCGTGCTAGAGTTTGCCATCCTTAATTATGAAGCACAGGCTTTCTCCCTTGTCACCGGACCCGAATTTGGAAGACGCGTTTTATCCCACTAATTTTAACTTTCCCCAGATTTGACCCTGCTAGCCTGGCCATTCTCGAGCGATTTGATCATTTGGAATCATTAATCCTCTCAAATGGCAGTCAATCTCAACCACAGGCATTGGCAACTACTCCCACCTCCGAGCTGGATCAGCAACATCCTCTCACTGATCAGCCACTAGGGTGTGTGGCCCTTGATTCAATAAACATACGGATCGAGGCTATTCTGGAATGGAAACCACTGCAAAACATTATTAGGAATTTGACCTTCCCTCACTTAGAATCTCCAACAGAATCAATCTACCATGGCGCAGTCTCGGGGCTGGAAGATCTTGATATAGTCACGTGCAATCGATTATTAGATAGTTTTTGGAAAAGAGTTCATTCTAAAAACCCTATCCTCGTCCAGGAAGATGTCAAAAGGTACATGAGCCAGGCAGTCCTCAATGGCATCGCCTGGAATGCAAAATCATGTCTTGTGGTAGAGTCATCTATTTCTTCTTCGCAGTGTTAAGCTGACTATAGTTAGCTCCTAATTTGTGCACTTGGCACTCTTTCTACAGACTTCAAATCTCAAGACACTAATCACGATGGTCATTCTGCTCAAGACGATCCGGCCAAGGGGAAAGCCCAGGCACAGCACTATTTCTCTGCGGCCCAAAAGCGCATATCAGTATGCTTAGGCAAACGTGGAATACTCGAAGCACAATGCCTCTTTTATTGTGGTGTATATCTAACGACGACGATGCAACCTGAAGCAGCATGGTCGATGTTTCTTCAAGCAAAAACTAGTTGTCAAAGCTTCAATTGGTCGACTCAGGTCTTACCGAGAGAGGAAGATTTTGGATCTGCCTTGAAACGAAATGACACATGGGTAGCGGAAGAATGTACTTATTGGACTTGTTGGAAATCAGAAATGTAAGTTTTCCTAGAGTTTGACGTTGCGTTGTAGGTTCTAATCGATCAAAGCGAAATGCATCTAGAGTTGAGCCCTCCAGGATTTCGTATCCTAGATTTGTGGTACCCTGACAAGTTCCCAGATCCACCCAGGCATACAATCACAGACTCTGACCGATCATGGTTTTTCTACTTGGCTGAAATTGCATTACGAAGACTTGCAAATCGAATTCTTGCCTTCATTGCTTTAGACCACAATATGGACAATCCGCAAGATATAGCACGTGCACACGAAAATGCTGCCGAGTTTGAACAAGAAGCTAATGACTGGTTGGTGTACCCTTCCTTGGGTCTCTCATAGCTTTACTAAATAATCATAGGGTGCAGTCCTTGCCATCTCCTCACGGGCTAGATAGATCTAGTGACGATGTCTTGAACTTCATCTTAGAAGGGCACCTTGGCAATTGCTACGAATTCATCTACTGGCCATTCATTAAACACACGATCAATAGCCCATTTCGTAATTTGTCGACTGATGAATACGTGAGAAAGGGGCTTCAAGTCGCCATGGACCGACTAAATCTAAATAGGCCCGGGTTCAAGCATCGGCATCATGGAACATACTACCTGATTCGATCCTGCACGAGAAGTGCATTTGTGTTATTAGCTGCCCACTTCAAGGGCAACTTGGAGGATTTAATGCCAATAGGTTGGTTTGAAACCATCTGGAGTGTGGTGGACTTACTAGAGTTCTGGCAAGATGAGCTCCCTGACGCTAGACGATGGAGAGATTCAATGACCCATCTGATGCAACAGGCCTAACATCCAAAATACTAAAAACGAGTCATCAAAAGCTCGAGCAAATACATGAATTATATTGATAAGTTACAGCCGGCTAATCTCTACCCCATCATTAGTGCTTTATCGCATCCTTCTCCAGAATAACATTCAGCTCCCCTCTCTGCACACAATTCTCAAACTTAAAACTCGCCGCCAACTCCCTCAACTCGTCTTCAGTCTTCCCCCTAAAATATTCTGCCATCTCAAAACACAAGTACTCCGAAAGCAAACACTCCCTCAACACACGGTCAATATGCCTCCCCATATCCCAAAGTGGGGAGGGGTATTTCTTATTCCAGTGTTCTTTTGGAACCACATCTTCAAAGTGCTGTTTCACAGGTGCATAGATATGCGCCACTTCCTTGTCATCTCGCCCCCAGAAGTCAACGCCGAGACGGGCTTTCTTTTCCATAAATGGGCCGAGAAGTTTGAACCATGCACTTTCGGGGGAGACATGCAACATTCCCTGGTACCCAATATCCTTGTACAACCAAATCGACCAGCTCACACCGCTCTCGGCATAAATAGCCAACTGCTCCTCCAATAGCGCATATCTCTTCTCATTGACTTCCTCGTGACCTTTCTGGGATTTGAACTCATACACTGGTCCAAATTCGCCGTTCCATATCGGCACTTTCTGTTTCCTCATAAACTCGACTTTTCTCTCAAAGGACTTCCTCAGTTTGGTCTTATGCTCGACAGTGCCGGCGTACTGTTCTTGCGAGGGGAACCCCATGGAGGAGTAGTCGTGCATCGAATACACGCAGTTGGGGAGGATGGCTGTGAATTGCCTGAAGTCCATAGAATATGTATTACCGTCGAGGAAAAGAATGTGATCCGGGTCGACTGAGCGGATTGCTGCTTCGATTCTCTCGTAGAACTTGATTAGTCTTTTGTGTTCTGGGTCTGCAGGTTCGTTAAGGGGGTTGTATCCTGCCACCTAAAATTGATATATTGTTAGCACATCATCAATTTTCACCTTGAAACATATGGTGAGATATACATAAGGATTCCCCTTGTACCTCTTTGCAATCTCTACCCACAAATTGATCGCACGATCCTGAAACTCCCTAAAGCGCCAGAACAGGGCTTCGCTTATGCCAGAATCCGAATGCCAGTCCTGGTTTTGCCCGCCTGGAACTGCGTGCAAGTCTAAGACAACATAAAGACCCTCGGCAGTGCAGTGCTCGACGACGCGGTCTAGGAGTTGGAATCCCTTCTCAAGATAAACGCCGGGATTAAAATCGTCTTCGAAATGGGCATAGTTAAAAGGGATGCGGACGCAGTTTAGGCCGAGGGAGGCGAAGTAGTGAGCATCTGCACGGGTGAAGAAGTAGTCGAGGAACTATTTTGAGGTTTTATTAGTTTATGATGCTTTCTGGGTGTAATATGGAAAGAAGTGTTGCTTACGGAATCAAAAAAGACATCGTACTTCTCTTTTCCCAAAACTTTGAGGAGAGCTGCTCTGTGTTGACGCTCGTGGCCACTGAAGCCACTAATAAAGTTCTCCATGTTCATGTGGCCTCCAAGAGCAGCCTAGAGGTGGGATTAGCTTTCTCGAACCGTTTTTTATATATACTTAGGAATAGACTCACCCCTTTCAATATCACAGTGTGTCCGGAGCCGTCAACTATGCTCGTGCCGGATACACGGAGGATAGAATTGATCTTACCATTTAGCATCTTGAAAAATTATAAATTTTCCAATTATTTATATTTTTTTTTTGAGGGTTTGCCGGATGATTTGGAAAAATTGTTTAATTGAAGATTGTAAATTAATTAAAGGGGGAGAACTAGGAGTGTTATCTTTATACTTGGGAACTTAGGACGAGATGAACCTAAAGAAAGCAAGTATCATAATGATGCCCATAAATCTAAACGCTAGCAGGGTAGTAGCAAAAGGGTAAGATGGGGTTAAAACTAGGCACATTGATTCTTAAAAGCGATACTCCGCGGTAGGTAAGCATGAGATTCAGATGTTTTGCGAACACCATGCGGTCCTAGAACCAGTCAGGACTCTGGGAGCCAGGGGGCTTCCGGGAACGAGTGTTCCAGGAAGCATGGGAATTCCAGAAGCGGGACTTCTGGGAGTGTTGGGAGTTCTGGGAGCCGGGGTGTTTCCAGGAATCACGTGGGGCCCACAGGGCTTCCAGCATGGATAGATTTGTGGTGTAAATCCAATGATGCGGAGAGGGTCACGTGACAAGCAACAAGATAGCTGGACAGTTTGGGATATCCTCACATATCCAACTATCCTATCTATCCCTTTGGCACGACGCCACTATATAAGTAGATAGTTATTTCTCTAGCCCCTTTAAGCTAACATGCTTAATAGGCGAGCTAAGTTAATAAGGACCAGACACGAAACTTTTTAATTGTATTGTGTAAGGGGGCTTTCCTGTTAGACTGACAACGCCATACAAGATATTTACGATGAAGTTGCCTATCTCTTGGCCTATAATAATGTATAGCAATTTAATGGAACTCGTGGTCCTGGCGATTTCTAAGAAGTGGTTGGGTTGATGTGTCATTCGTTTTCAGTCTGGTGGGTCTCTGTGGCAAATGTGTCCACAATCGTATATCAACGCGATTAGATAACCAGGTGGAGAACACGAGAGTGACTTAGAAATCACAAGAAATCACAAGGCTCCCAAGGTTGCGTGTGTTGCCACGGAAAATGCCGCTCCATTGGTCACCGTCTATTATTATCCACAACCACAATGGAGATTAGACCTTCGTAGGCGTGCAATCGCTCGCCTGTTTAACCGCAATTTACAATTATCCCCTTATTCGATCACTATATTAATTTTTGTTTTCCTATCAAATCACCTAGTTCTCGCCCATTACATGGACTCTACAGCTGCCCCGTAACCTATATCCTGTTTCTCAAACTCTCTTGAAGCTAGCGCGTCTCCGCCCATGACGACATCTTGTTAGGTAGCTCCGTAATTCCAGCCTACACATAGCCATGAGCAATAGCCAGACCAGTGACCCACAACCTGTTCCGCGGCTGTCCTGCATCCAGTGTCGTGGTAAGAAGTTGAAATGTGACCGTGTGAGGCCACGCTGCGCGCGTTGTACGAGACTTCAAGAAGAGTGCCTCTATCCGAAATCCAGGCAAAAGCTAGTTGGGAAACGAATACAGGTCAAAGAGCTCGAGGCTAGGCTAGGTTAGTTGCTTCTGTCTCGCCATCTTACTCTAGAAATAGAGTTATGCCGCTGTAGTGAGGGTGGCTAATTAGATGAAGGCCAGCTTGAGGACTCAGTAAAGAACGCTAAAGCGGACCTACAGCCGCCATCCCCGAGCGACGATAACTCTATCCCATGGGACTGGGACCACGCTGCGTCGAGCATCAGCGGTGCTGAATCATTGCTCGTAGATACTAGTGGTGCACAGCCGGCCTCTGTGCAACCGGAGGTCTTTGCTTCGGATGAACTAATTAGGCTGGGTCTCTTTGAGCACTTCCCCCCTCTTCAAGTCATGGAAGACCTGTACTTACTCAACTATTTCCGCCTTTTGAAAAATCATTTCACTAACTAAGCTTCACAGGATAGATATCTACTTCGATAAACTGCATTATGGAGCCCCCATGTTGCATCGGTCTCGTTACACAACGTCAGTGCTTCTGCCATCCCCTATGCGACCGCCAATGTGTCTTCAGTATATCGTAATGGCCTTGGCTGCAGCCTCCACAGAGACGTTCAGACATCTCGCAACACCATTCTACCAGCGTGCTAGAGCCTATGCCGAATCAGATGAGATGATGGTAAGTTTTGCTGATCGCATGAAATTCCATACTAAAGACATTTGCAGGATCAAGGGGAGCGATTTACAACAGTGGCCCATGCACAATGCTGGACCCTAATGGCCAACTTCGAAGCTCAACTCACCTTATTTTCCCGAGCATCGACAAGTCTTTGTCGAAGCATTAGGATTGCCTAGATGCTGAATTTGCATCGAATAGATAAAGGTTGCGAGGCTCCGCTGTTAACTCTTCCGCCACCAAAAGACTGGTCTGAGTTGGAAGAGCGGCGCCGAACGTGGTGGGTGATATTTTGTTCGGATCGTTTCGTCTGTGGAACCACTGGATGGCCCACTCTGATCAACGAGCGAGATGTAAGTTCTACAAGCACTCTTACCATGTCTCTAGATGCTGATAAGCTTAGATTCATACCCTGCTTCCAGCCTCGGATGAGGCATTCGATGGCGGTGTTGAGGAACAGACGAGCTCACTTATGGCCGCAATACGGCAAGAAAATAGGGGCTATTCCTCATTTGCCGGAAGGGTTCTAGTTGCGCATATGTTTCATCGAGCAATAGAACATACTTCCCAAAGCTATCCAGATGACAACCCGCAGGACATAAAAAACGGCCCATACTGGAGACGGCAGAGAGGCATTGACAATGACCTAGCAACCATGCTTATGTTTTTACCTGGCAATCTCCGTCTTCCTAGAAGTATCCGTTGTCAGAATGCCGTGTTCGTCAACGTTTATATCCACACCACTATTATTTGTATCCACAGGGCAGCTGTGTCGAAGATAAATCAGTTAACGTTGCCTGAATACTTAATGAACCAAAGCCAAGGCCGGTTACTACTAGCAGCTGAGGAGATCCTTAATATCTTCCGCATGGTCAATGATCTTGACGCTACGCTCAAGAACCCGCTAATGGCATTCTCGATGTATATGGCCGCCTTAGTCTTCCTAGAAGACTTTGTGATGGACCACAGCGACCAAAGTGAAGATAATCTTAATTTTCTCCAGAACATTATGATTGCTTTTGGCCGAACCAACGCTATAACTAGGTCATTAGCAATTCAGCTTGCCATGGACATGAGACAGAGTGGCTTTGACGCTTCAGCGATGGACAAGGTATAAATGAAGCCCTACTATCTGCTACTCATTATATTCTAATAGTCTAGCAGGTTAAGGGGCTATATACAGACACCGAATTAATCCCGCTGCTAACGAAGAGAGACTCTACATCCTCAAATGTTATGTTCTGCCTACAAGCAAGCTATGTCCCGCAACAGACTATGCCTATATTATCGACCTCTGAACAGTTTCTTCTAGATGGAGATATAACTGCAGGGTTGCCATGACACTCCGCAGCTACACAGCCGACAGTGCCATCATTGACCCCTATGAACTTGCATTTTCCGTTCGCTCTAACGATATCACAAACGATTCATAACTAGCTGAGGAAACTTGATGTGGCATGTATTTTAATCCTTTGATTCTCGTGGTGGATCTATTCAAATCTGATAAGTGGATTGGCAGAAAAGCGCATCCTTCGATCCTCACTGTGTCCCTGCATCAAGCCAGTTTTCAGTGATTGCTTTGAGACCTTCCTGCAACCACGGAGTCTCAAGCGGGGTCTCGCCATCAAAGCCGTGCTCTGCACCCTGCTCAAGGTGCAATTTAACCTTTTCCTGCCCAAGCTTATTCTTGGCCGCCTCGACCCATTCAATACTTCCATCGACTGGCACCGCTGAGTCTTCGGTCCCATGAAAGATGAATGTATAAGGTATATCACTGGCTTTCTCAAGCAGCGTGAATGCGTCATGTCTTTCATCAGCTCCATAATACCTCGGGAACAGCTCCTGCTGTGCAATAGCTATGGCAATGTTTATCCGCTTTGGTGGAGTCGCCTCTGTGATAATCTTTCCAGGCTGTATGGAGTCCAAATGATCCTGGAGGACCGTCGTAGGAAGGATGGGTGCGCCAAAAATAGGCTTGGTGCGCTTAGGCGACAAAGTTAAAAATGGATAAGTGGCAATGACGGCTTTGATAAATCCTGGCGGTTGCGTCAATGCAGAAACTATCGAGATGGCCCCTCCCGCGCTCTCGCCCTGAAGCAAGATCTTATCAAGATCGGCTTGGACACCCGCCCTAATGCTGTCAAGATGTGGCTGCAGACCATTTCTTATCCAGTCCCAAAAATCAGATACGTCTTCATATATCTCGGCGCCGGTTGCCTCGGGGAGAAGACGGTAGTCACCGGTTACAATTATCGCTGAGTGGAGGAGGCAGTAGTCCAGAGACCATTGCGGATACCAGTCCGGATAAAGGCTGTTGCCGGAAACCTAGAAGAGTTAAAAGCGATTTGGGATTGGGCGAGGTGGGAGTTGGCTTACGAAAAACCCACCATGGAATTTTACCACGATGGGGTGGTTCCCAGAGGGAATATTCTTCGGTGTTAGAACGTAAGACTTAATATCTTGCCCGTTAACGACTTTGTAGGTTACGACTGAGACGTCAAACTTTGAGTACTTTAGGGAATCCATTGTTAAATTCCAACTTGAAGAAAGACTTCAGTGGCGGGAATAGTATCTATTAGAACTCGAGAACTGTTATGATATACAATTGTACCAGCGTATGAAAGTGATGAGAGAAGATGAGAATGGCAAACTAACTACGGGGCTCATATGTATTAAACGGGCTGGACGATGTTTCATCTCATGTGGCGGTTGCCTAGAAGCTGTAGGATCAGAGGATATCAATGCAAGAACACGTAATCTTACATGCATTACAGCCTAATTCCACATGCCTTACAGGTCGCTAACAAATAATTCCTGGATACTATAAGATGACAGAGAGGACGACAGGGAAGATGATAGGGTATGATGACAAGGATGAGATAGAGAAGGGCAGAAAAGACGTAGGAGTGTGTAAACACTATACTAAAGGTGGGCTAGGCGCTGACGTGATATCCATCTCTCTTGTCTTGAAGTCGCAAAAGATAAATCCCAAATTCGAAGCCCGCTGGGACTCGCAACATTGGAGGGTTTAGAAACCAGAAACGAAATGCTACGATTGGTGATACAGAAGTGAGGAATGAGATGAGAAACGGCAGTTCTTTGGAGATGGGATTTCTATTCTCGAATCTAATAATCCATACAATATTGTACAATACCCAGCCACGGGAACTCAATGATCTATCTACCACATTAACGCGCCAAAATTGATTGCTCCCCACACAGCCTCATAGCAGGCGACGTTCTTCCATGCCCCACCATGATACCAAAATAGAGCGGCGGCAAGGAATCGGCCAGGTACTCCCATCACGACATAGGTTCGGTTGCTCTGATATGCGGCAACAAGGTATGTTAAGCCGAGACTTATCGTCGATGTACTATAGTTTCTAATTAGTTTCCTGCTGCCGCATAACGGGCAGTGTGTGTTTGTCAATTGACTAACCTCATGGCATGAATCACAGAGATTGGAGTGCCAGCCATCGGGGACGGAGGGGCGGCGATTTCTGAAGGGAAGAGGAGCATGTAGGCGCCATTGGCAAGCAGCAGGCTTCCTTGAATTCCAAGGAGGTATGTGTATAGCTTTGACATTGTGTCAGGTAGAGGATAGCGGTCAGAATAAGACTAAATGGACTTTGTGTCTTGTTGAGGCTTGTTTTTGAATCCTTATTCGCACAGACGGTAAGTTACCAGAAAATTAGTGCTTAGGCCACAGGCGAATACGGGCCGCTATTTTGATCAGGGCCCAGCCAATGGCCTTGATTACGGAGATACATGAAATGGAGTGCTTGGCGACCAGGCCACCAATGGCCACTACATCGACTTTGGTCAGGAATCGCATATGTAGAACCCTCAGTTATGGCCACGAAGACTCAAGGTTGACTGCCGCCGGATGTAGTTCTTCGAGCGGGGTACGGTTTACATCCCTAGTTCACATGGTACCGTTGCACGTGATCTAGCACACCAATCCATCGTAGAAATAGGCAGGTACTTTTCACTCTGTTCCTAAATTGGATACGATAATTAATAAAAGCATTGCTCTGTCAATATATTACATGTAATATCACAGCCTGTGGTCCACAGGACAATCGAGTCGAACCAATCGTAATATGTTATATTATTTTCATAATTAAATTCCCACAGAGATATTTACCTCTCCTACAGACTAACAGTAAATATATCGTCGATATGTACTTTGCTTCCACCAGCTGTGAAGATAACGAGCCCAGCATTATCAGCTACGGGAACAGCAGTAAGAGCAGTTCCACCCAAGGTGGCAGATTGGCCGCTGGAAGTTAACAAAACCTCCAGAATTTGCCATTCTCCAGTTCGGTAAGTCTCTGGATTCCCCAGGACAACATCGATGGCCTTTGAAGTACTCCCAACGCGAACACTAACTGGTTTAGATGTGCTCACAGCATCAATCCAGATCCGCGCGTTGAATCTAAATGGCAGAGAGGCGCCTATGGGCCGCGAGAAAACCGTGGAAGGTGCCAATTGAACCGAGTTTCCGAGGTCACCAGCAGGGTCAGGCACAATAGTTGCACTCCCCGATGACGACTTCCAAGCGGAAATATCGGAATCGTCAAATTTGCTGATCCAAATAGGTATGTTCGTGCCTGTGCCAGAATAGAACCCGAGGTTCTTGTGGCCAGTTGTTGGGTTGTTGAAGAAATCCACGGATGCATCGCCAACAATATCAACAGCCACGTCTAACGTAGGATATCCATTTAAGAGGTAGTATGCCTTAGGGTCTCGGAGACCAGGTGCTGCAAGGCCGGGCGCCTCAGTGACGGAACCGGTCGCGTTGAAATATGTGTCGATTGGTCCATAAAATGAGTTCTTCACCACCGAAAAGTATTCATCTTGTAGTTTCCAGGTAGCTCTTCCAGACCCCTCCTTCCGAATAATATTATCGGCGAATAAGACATCTAGAGAAGCAGATGTATCTTCCGTGACAATGACGGGAGAAATCCCAGAACCAATTTGGATAGTATTTTTGTAAATTTTGCCCCCCGTGAGAGCTCCGTCACAAATCTGGAAGATTCTTGTCTTATCATTTACCGACAGGTTATATCGGATGGTAAAATTGGTAGTTGGCTTGTCATATGGGCAAAGAAGGAAGAATCCACCTTCATTATCATGCGAAACGTTGTACTCGAACACCGTCCCTGAGGTGGAGTGGTCGACGTCGTATGACATTCCTTAATTTAATCGTTAACAGACATCTATCGTAGCAAGAAAAAGGGGTGTTACCATCAGATGTCGTCGTCCCGCCCGAGACAGTATTGTACTGAAACAAGCTGTTAATACTATTCGCAGTCCAAACTCCAGCATTGGGAGACTTGGATCTCTTGTTGAACCCCACAACGAGATTATCTTTAACAATGGCTCCCTCGTGTCCTTTAACAACAATGCCGTCACCTCCGACATCATAGAGCCTGTTACGCTGTACAAGTAAGCCACTTGAAGCATACCAAGGCGCAGTGCACAAAGTAAACCAGAAGGCGGCCAACTCAGGCCTCTGACACCAGTTTGACCACGTGTAGATCCCTTGACGGTCCACAGAGCGGATCTCATTATCCTGGATGTTAATGCCAGTAAAATATGTCGGGGTAGTTGATCCGCCAGCCTCGACGACAATAGCCCCTGAAGCATTTGCGTACTTTCCGACGGGGGCGCCGCCTGTAGTCGTCGAAGGCATGTACCCTCTCACGTCATGAATGTACAGGTTCTGAACCGTCACATCCTTTACATTTCCAGAATCGTATCCGTAAATATAGACACCACGCAAGGCCGATTTGTTGTCTCCTGGATTGGTGACCTCCAAGTCCTCCACAACAACGTGCGAGGCCCCCTGAATAAGAACAGTACTCAGTCCGCCACCAACAACTACCGGTTTTGGCTGTTCAGCGTTGCCATAGGCACCAATGTTGATAGGGGCGCTTGTAGAGCCGCTGGAAGTCAAAACCAAAGGCCCTACAATCGACGACCCGCGCTTTAAGAGAATTTTGTCTCCTGGCTGAAGTTTCAAAGACGAGATAACAGCCAGGTTATTATATGGCTGGGATTCAGATCCTTCGCCCGCATTGTTTGCAGCTCCATCGAAGAAGTAGGAAGCTCCAGAGCATAAGCGGACAAGTGCCAAAAGAAGAAGAGAAGACTTCATACTGGGCAAATAACTGTCGCGAATTCCGAGGTTGTTGAGAACTATCTGAACGAGGGAATCACCTCCCTTTTGTAGACGACCAATTGCGCCTTATTAGGCGATATGAATGGCAATCGGCGACGTCGTTATCCCCGGATTTTATTTCCACTATGAGGCATCGTTTGAGCTTCAATCGCCCATGGTACGGAGAAGTTGCCGAGCGAAGCTCGTGGCACAGTAGCTTGGACCGGATATCGATCCGGCTGGCGTGAAGATCGGCGGTGGTTATGCAGGACTGGCCGTCTCTGATAACGTGAGTTGCGTCTTCAGAGCGGGTTGTAACGTGGTGTCCTTCCTTGATCTCTATACCCCGTACATAGGCATAGGCGCCTAACAAATAGGGTCTTGAAGTCAACGAACTGCACTATGCCAACCCGCCGTGATCAACTATCGAGCGGCTGCCAACAAAAGGATAGAAAACCACCCTGGTTCTCCGAGCTAACACTTCATTGCTCAGGAATGGGGCAGACAAACTAGAAATAGCGCGGTATTTAGGCGAAGATGGTGTGCTCTGATTGTAAATTGGCTCGGAAAAGAAACACCTACAACTTTTATTAATCGTGGGAACTCTGGGGTGATTTATTGGCAGCGAATTTCCCATTCTAATGGTGCCTCGCAATGCTTTTGGATACGAGGAACACGCGGTAGTATCTCGTATAATGGTTAAAGCCGTGCATGTAGGTAGATATAGGCTTTATCCGGGGTAGGTTGTGCTGGGGATTCGCGGATAGACTAGGTCGCCAAGTAATAAGCCAAGTTTTCGGGAGTTTCCCCGACCATCCCACTGGCCAGAATTGACATGGTGCCAGGTGAGCTGACAGCTGATCAAAGAGCAGTCAGGGTCTAGGATTTTGACTATTTCCCCAGAATCACCTATATAACTACATGGCCCATTTAGATAGTCAAATAATTGGAAATTCTCCCAACAGGCTACGAAAAGTTGAGATTAGCAACGAAGGAACCGATATTAACGACCTAGACGCGAAATAGAAACGTTGCTGTGCTTTATCTGCCCATACGACCACTGCGGAATTTAAATACAATGCGGTCTGCAACAGTAGGTTTGCACTCGTTTTTCCATCCTGGCATACCATAGTAACATGTTTTAGATCTTTTCAGCTCTGCTTTCAGTAGCTCTTGGGGCTTCTATAGATATCGCTACATCTATATCTCCAGAGTGTAGCCAAAGAATAATAACTGCTACCTTGGGCGCGACTGGATCTTGCACCCTAGTCGAGCAAGGATGGCCCATATCAGGCATAAAAACGACTGTTATAGAGCCGTGTTCCGATGACAAGTTGCTATGGCTCGCATACACTGTTGGCCAAGATGTAGACTGTGCAAACGCTCCATACAAGCACGGCCCTCTTGTGGGATCGCAGTGTTGGCCTGAGTCTAAACCAGTCGCCGGATTTGAACTGTTGTGTTTATAATGCAGTGGTCCATGCCGATTTGATATGGTGCTTACGTCGAGGGAAGGATCCAGCCCCAGATTAAAAATTCATGAAGGAGGCTGTATTGTGTCAAATAATCCCGCTCTAGTCGTTACCATATTAATTTACCATTACGTCGTCTTGAACCCCTTAGCTCGCTGAATTATGCGTCACATAAACGCACCACTTCCACTTGGGGTTGGTCTAATTGGGCCATCACGGACAGCAAAACCTCCCTCAAAAGTTTCACCGGGTATCCCGGGGACCCAAGTTGGTATGCCCATGGCCGACATATTTTCTTGTGCAGTCTCGGCAGGTAGCCATAAGCCGTCAAAATCGGGCATAAAGCCTGGCCAAAACGAATCCATGTTAGCCCCTAAATCATGTTGTTCCCACATGAGGGCCATATTTGGCATGAATTCGCCCGAATTTGTATTGTAGTGTTCCTGAGGGACATGTGAGGGAAATTGTTGTTGTAGAACAGCAGCGAAAGCGCCTTGAGGTTTTCGTCGAAAAGAATTGGTGGCAACTGTAGATGTTTGGACATTATCGGCTACTCTTGTTGAATACAAAGAGTTTCTGGAATCAACTGATTCCTTCTCATCGATATTTTGTCGTGTTAAGGCGTAGATTGAGAGTGGATTAAGGACGTTTTCGGGGGTTTCCATAGGTGGACTTGCGTAATCAACTGGCCTACGGAGTTCTTGTAAGCAGGGTCTCAAAATGTGAAATATAGAGGTGGGGCATACCTTTCAATATCACTAGAGTCAAGTTGCTCGTCTGTACCAGGGGCGCCTTCTACGAGATGTGACCCGATTCCAGCCTTCCTCATGAGAGATGTTGCAGCAGCATACTGTACACATATTAGAACAATAATAGTAAGGAATGGCAGTACTTACACATCTCTCTGCAGTTGTAAACAGGGGAATCATGAGTCGCATTGCCCTCATATTTGCCTGAAAAAGTGGTATAAGTTCCAACACTAACTCTCTGCTGTTGCTCTGGTTGCGATCGACTCCTTGAACGCTATAATACAGCATCGTCCTTGTGCTCTCAAACGCACAAGTGCATAGCCAGGTGTCAGCTAGAAATCTTGCGCCGTGACCAACGGCTTTCATGAGGATTCGGGCTGCATCTTTGGAGTGCTCAAAGCATTTGCGCTGATACAGAGCTCGAAATGTTTGTTGATTCGGTGTTGACTCAACTGACAGTCGGGTCCTAAGTAACCCTGGTAGGAGCACCGGCATGGATATTCGATAGAGGTCGCAGAGCGTAATGTGATAGGCACAGTGTAACACAAATAATGCACCAAGTTGACTGGAATCCTTGCGGGTGTATATAGATGCTGTTGTGAGGCGTAGGGACGGGGGAAGCGAATTTAACCAATCCTCACAGGATTCGTCGAGGCTGGAAAATTCAGCATCTGGCAGTTGCAGTTGTTGTGTAAGATCGATCTGTTTGATATATCTATATGGGGAGTCAGTATACCACATACACATAATACTTGGATTCACGAATCTTACCTTAGAATTTTCTTTCTTATCCCAGCAATCCGGGCAAAGTATGCGGCAATCCCCATATTGTTGGTTGGGTCCAGAGGTCGGAGCTCTGGTGGTATAAATTTCAAAACTTGACCCCTCGTCAATGTTTCAGTGATACTCGGGATTTGCTGAACAAAATTCCGTTCGTGACAGGGTAGTTGAACCTTCACATCACAGTCGGCAATGAGCGTGAGCTGATCAACACCACTACCGACCCAGCTATCTGCAACATAGCAGCTCCACATAAGCCGGCGTCGAGATTCCCTCACACAAAAAGGCATGTTTGACGGCTCAGTGCAGAGAATATCAGTCGAATATTCGAGGTTGATTTGAAGAGCTTGCAACATTCTAGTCGCAGCGCCGCTAATCATGAAGGCACCAGAATAGTTTCCAACACGAAGTTCGTGGTCATAGAGTAGTATCGTCGCCTGAGGTCAAACGGTTATTGTGAGTGTGGTGTATGCTGATTCAAGAGATATGAACTAACCATGAGATTTTCCACGGAAATATTATTCATGTTGCCAAATATCTGTTGTTGCGCAATATCTGCCCACTGGCTACCTGACGCGAGAACATTTTTGGGATCGATTTCTTTCTCATAATTAAGTGTTTCCAAGGCATAGAACCTATCAAACTATTAATGCTAGTATATAGAGTAAGGGTTCACTCTTCGCTTACTTTGCTCCAAGGGCGCATATCACATGGAGAAGGGGTCCGTTCATATGTGTTATGGCAGGATCCTGATCAAGCCTCTCCATAAAAGAGGGCCTGTGTATAAAAGAATAGCAGCGCAAGGGGTGGATATTTGTGAAGTAACTGTCTACGAGCTGATATATTATTTCCTTTCTTGGGAGCGACGAGGAGAAAAGCCTTCACGGATCAGTAGACACCCATAAGCGTGAATGTGGGTGGAATGCACTAACCAACCGGGCAACTCAGCTCCTCGCACATCCGAACTGCCATCATTTGGGCTTGGAATTTCGTCGTCAGCTTCTAGGACAGTATTGCTCTCATCTTCTTCTCTGCCCCCAGGCAATGTCCTGCTCCTGGTACCATTCCGAAGCTGCTGAAGAACGATTTCCCTTTGGGGACTTTGGCGAGAGGATATACTTTCGGTCTGCCTGGTCCGTGCACGATAAGTGCACGAAATTCCTTTCCCCAAACACCTTTCGCAGGTAGGCTTGTCACCGGAACATTTTGTCTTGCATGAGCGACAAGAGTTACAAGATCCCCGGAGCCTTCTTCTTTCAAGGCCAGCTTCTGTCAAGTCGGTTTGCGCATGAAGATCTATCCTCTTGAGCTTGGGTGCGGGACCCCAGGAATACCCCCCACATGACAGGCCTCTACGAGCACAATTCATGCATGAGCGAGGACGTTCATCGCATTTTACCTGTAGCGCCTGATTAGCAAACATAGTGATGACTACAGAGTGGTTGTTGCACCCACCTTGCGGGCCCTACATGTAATGCAACCTTAATTCACGCATCAGTGGAGACCTTTGCGGAGAATTGGGACAGCTGAAGAACCGGTGTAGAGTAGCTCAACACTCATGTTCGACTAACCTGACCGAGACCGCTCTCCTTTTTTGGGGTTTACCACATAGGGCGGACCAGATTCCGTTTGGATTATCTGTTGGAGCCCATGACCCGCCTGTTCGATATTCGAACCGGTTGGAGGATTCGTATCGTCTCCCACGGTCATTGACTCGGGACCCATGACAGATGTTAGCTCCAGCACCACCCGAGAGCTTCAAATCAAATATTAGCGGCAGCAGCACTCGGATTTCTGAATTTCAGTCCATCGACACGAGATGCGATTGATATAGCAAGAATACACGCAATTGTTGCTTCCTATGGCGATTTATGAGCACGCAATGGTTCGGCTATCGGGTCGATACCCGGAAGCGAGTTTCTGGTAACGTGTGGGGAAATTTATTTGGGATCCCCTTCGCCATGTGCTCCGTGCCCCTTCGCCATGCGCTGCCTGCCTCAAAGGTACAAAAGAGATGCCATTGGCCTACCTGTTGTCGGGTTCAATATGGAGTGTGTCCTGGGCAGTCCTAGCTGAGACTTCAATATTTAACGTGAATCACACGGCGATCTTGCCCCCAAGTCAATCATGGCGAAGTTCCGACTCAGTAACCTCTATGTTATCTCTGCGTTGGCCACCATCGGTGGTCTAATTCAGGGGTTTGATGTGTCGAGCATGTCTGCAATTATTGGAACGGAGAAGGTGCATCCTTTTTGATTCTTTCGAGTTATTCAAACTGACATCACCATAGTACAAAACGTATTTCAACCACCCAAATTCTGTTCTTCAAGGTGGCATTACAGCTAGCATGGCTGGTGGCTCCATGCTTGGCTCCATGTTCTCTTCGATCACGAGTGATCGGATTGGACGAAGAGACACCATGTTTATTGCATGCTTAGTCTGGCTAGTGGGCTCATCCGTAATGGCTGCTGTTCAGAATGTTGCGATGCTCATCGTAGCACGAATTATCAATGGATTTGCTGTTGGAATGTTAACAAGTCAAGGGTACGTAAGTGAACTAAATGAAATCAAAACAATTTCTAATGGCAGTGTCCAACAGTCCAGTCTTTATTGCTGAAATAAGCCCTTCAAATCTGCGGGGCAGACTTATATCTCTCCAGCAATGGATGATTACTTGGGGAGTGAGTTTCTAACCCAGATATATTACTTCAAAACTTATTTCTCATGCTCCTACAGATCCTCATTATGTACTTCGTATCATACGGCACATCATTCGTCCATGGCACGGCTTCTTTCCGCCTGCCTTGGGCACTTCAAATGATTCCTGCTCTTGTCCTACTTGTCTTTTTGCCAATGATGCCGCGATCTCCTCGATGGCTGGCAAGTAAAGACAGGTGGGAAGAGGCCACGGAAGTTCTGGCAAGATTACATGCTGGTGGAAATCAATTGGATCCTTTGGTTATCGCCGAGGTCAACCAAATCAGAGAGGCTATCAGGTACGATAACGTGCCACTATATTCCAGGTTATACATAATAGCTAACGCCTGCGCAGGATGGAAGCCGAGTTCAGTAGCGTCTCCTGGGGTGAGGTGTTCAAACGCCACAATATCGTCCGAACGACTTGTGCTATATTCTCCCACGTCTGGTCGCAATACACAGGCACCAATGCCATGATGTTCTACATCGTATACATCTTCCAAATGGCAGGATTAACGGGCAACAATGCCTTAATCTCAGCTTCCATCCAGTATATAATCAATGTCGTCATGACGCTCCCTGCGCTCTTATACATGGATCGCTGGCCAAGAAGGAAAGTTATGATGTCTGGATCGTTTATCTTGGCAGTTCTATTGTTCACAGAAGCTGCAATCATGGCTAAATATGGAGAACCTGTCCCAGGTGGGTTGAACGGTGTTCCTACCGTAACCTGGGTGGTACGCAATAAGAAAGCTTCCAGGGCTATTATTGCTTGCTCGTACCTATTCATCGCCACCTATGCACCCACGTGGGGCCCTGTGGGCTGGTAAGAAATTCATTCATTTCGTACTGAGCAATCACTCACTGGATTTAGGGTCTACCCGCCGGAAATTATACCTCTTTATATTCGTGGTAAGACCGTGAGTCTTGCAACGTTTTTCAACTGGGCCATGAACTTCTCTCTCACATTCTTCACGCCTCCTGCATTTCAGCACATCCAGTGGAAGGTTCGACTCAATTTTCCCATTCACATTTGCGGACGACTAATTATGAATAGACATTTCTCATATTCGGAACGCTCTGTTGTTGCGCCATTGTCCATGTTTTCCTCCTGTTTCCAGAGACATGCGGCAAAACATTGGAAGAAATGGACGATATTTTTAATGAGTCGATTTGGGCGTTTAAACAAAAAGGCAGCGGCAACAAACTTGAAAGGGATGTACAAGCCGCCGCGGAGATGTTAAAGGGAAAGGACTATGCTAGGAGCCAGGACGCTGTTGAAGCTACTGGTAGCGTGGATCAGAAGGTTTAATTAGCTGTAATAAGGGAGATGCTGGAAAAAAATATATAGCGCCAGAGTTACAACGTAGGGGGTAATCAAGGGTACTTTAATCAAATATTGGTAGCTCAATGTAAACTGAAACGTGGTGTCCAAATTGTGGTATCGCTCGTTTCCGTTTTACTTCAGAACTCTTTCTGACAATCTACCATAGAGCAACTTGAGCGAGGTGTTGAATACTTATTTTAAAAAGATTAATTGGTATAAATTGTATTGGTTCTATATCTGTCCATCGCCCCCAGTAATGCATACATTTTAAGTGTGTCTGGACTCAACCTTGTGATTAAGCTGACCGCTGTCCTACATTTTCGGGTGACCAGCAGGCAACATCTCGATTCCCCGGGTTATCAACATCAATCTCAAACCTGTCTGGGATCTTGAGACCGGCATCTATGTGATGTTGGTTCATTGCCACGGAAACACCATCTCGATAGAGCCAAGCATCGTTTGTCTTTAATTGCCAGGCCTCTAATTTCGTACGGTACTCTTTGATCACATTCTCGTACTCTTCGTTTAGTGCCAAGTTATTCACTTCTTGCGGATCCTTCTCCATATCGTACAACTCCTCCTGAGGGCGCCATATGTAGTTTTTTAAGGAGCGAGGACCGAGCATCACTGGCGGCGGAGTGTTGCGGATGCCGTCCCAGCTCAAACTTCCGTACATATCGCTGGCAAACGGAAAGTCGAGTCGCCAAGCAAGATTCCGATGGTACTTATATCGCCTTGAGCGAAGGTAGCGAGTAGGCCAGTAGTTCTGTACCTCATGAAAGGTATGCGACCCGAATACGTGATGCTGCCACTTCTCTTCAGGCAAGAGCTCTTTGGCATCAAGAATTTGGAGGAAGGATGTTCCAAGTCTTGCTGGTGATCTACTATTCTCAGACAGCACATGGCCCTTTGCGCCAGCCCAGTCCAGGAGTGTTGGGAAGAAATCGATGTATGAGATCATGTTTGGGCTCACAACGCCGCCCTTCAATTGGGGGGCTCGAACTATGACTGGAAGGCGGATGCCAGCATCGTACAGTGTCGTCTTCGAATTGATAAATGGCGCGCCGTTGTCGCTAACAAAGCAAACTAGTGTGCTATCTGACAGACCTTGCCTCTCCAAAGCATCAAGGATCAAGCCCACGCCAGCATCTAGACGTTGAATGGACTGATAATATTCGACAAGCTCAGTGCGAACCTCTGGTAGGTCATTCAAAAATGAAGGGATTTCCACGTCCTCAGGTTGAACCGTAGTGACCTTCACCCTAGCGTCGCCAAAGTCTTCGTTTCCAAATCCAGACCGAGTTAAGTCACGGTGGGGATCGATGTATCCCACAGTCAGGTGGAATGGTCGATCGGTCTCTTTTGCTTTTTCAAAGAAGGACTCTGCTCGGTCTGCAACCCAGCCAACATTTCTGGTCCCACTTTCTTCGCGGATCTCCCACGGATAGGACGAGGCCGGCCCAACGTGCACTTTTCCAATGATTCCTGTCTGGTAACCGAGAGAGTTAAACACAGCAGGGACAGTCTCGATGTAATCAAATGTGGCGAAGTGGTGCCTCTCACAGGCTAGACCGTATTGCCCGTTTTGGTGAGTGTGTAGGCCAGTATACATGACTGATCGACTGGCGCTGCATGATGCCGTACTGGTGAAGGCCATATCAAACTGAGTGCCTTGTGATGCCAACAAGTTGATGTTTGGAGTCTTGATATTCTTGGCGCCATAGCAATTGAGATATTTTCCGAGGTCATCTGCAATGAGGAACAGAATATTTTTCTTTTGCCCAGAGGCATCCCGTGATTCAGCCATTTTCGGAGTACGTCTTGGATCAAAGTCTACATGATGTCGCCTTGGATCCTGCGTGCCTCCCTATTTATGCGCTCTGACAACCTTCACTGGCAACACGCTAATGGTTGGTGTCTACGGATCTCGATGCGACACCCGGTCGAGAATGCGGGGAGCATCTCGGGGTTTAGTTTGTCGTGGGGCCGCTAATAGTTTACGCAATACCCTTGTTTTGGCCTGCGTGAAGTGGATTTGATAAGCGGCAGCGATATTTTCTGGAAAAGTATTTACGAGAAGATGCGACGATGTAATTTCTCAAAGAGAAGAGAAATTTACGTGAAAAAGTTGGTCGAGGGGTAAGAATAATGTGCTGCATGTCAATAAAACTTTCCAAATAGTGCTGTGTGTCAGTATATGTTTTATTTCTTCAAAAGTAAAATACTTTCGCGAATGCTTTTAGATCCTTATATGATGAGGTAGTTGGCGCAAGTGCTGCCCATTCCTTGATACCTACTCCTCCGAACTGACCGCCCCAGCCAGAAATCATTAGAATGGCCCTTAAAGAAGTAGTTGAGACTGTCTGAAAGCTGACTTCTTCCGGCGAATCAGTGACATTGGTCGGATACGCCCCAGAACTTGTTACCGAAACCGCCGTCCACGACCCTGCAGACATGAGATACTCCAGCTTCCATGACGCTGGCGGCGGGACCCCGATATTTGATCCCGTAGGTTGATCTGCAAAAAACGCCATGGTTGCACCATTAACCTCCACCGCTGTGTCTCATTCATACGTTAACGTACTTGTCTCTGGCGATTGCTCTGCGGCGTACGAGCACCAGTAGTCAGGCGGTAATGGGTTTGCTTCGACCCGCTCATCATTGATAGCCTTGATCCAATACTGGATTGGAGTAGCATTTGTAGATGATGGCGTGGCACATAGGGCGATATTACGAGTTGGCTCGTTGGCAGACGCTGGTCGATGCGTTTGCACCACTGTTAGAATTGAAGGCGGAGAGGTCGTATCATCCCATGTGAGCTTATCGAAGGCAATGCTGCGCCGGAAATGAGTACCACCCACTGCATCGCGCGTATGGTATGTGATGAACCATTCATTGCCAAGTTGATACACACCAGGATGAGATGTCGTCGATGAGACAATATCAAGAACGATGCCGCGGAATGTCCTTGGACCAAGGGGGCCTGACGCTGTTCCATAGGCTATACAGGCATGATGGCTGGTTGGCGTACAAGGTGAACTTCCTCCTGCATTTTTGGCTGCATACAGCATGTAGTAGGTACTGACAAGTTTCATGAGCCATGGAGCCTCGAAATAGCCCGTGAGAGAGTTGACCTTGGTGACTGCGCCTTTGATTGTAATCATATCTGACTCTAATTCATAGCCCAGGAGCTGGCCAAAGGTGCCGAAATAAATAAACACCCGGCCATCCGTATCAACCAAAACTGTTGGATCAATGTTCTGGATGGTATTACCTGGAGACGGCACGCCTTGCGATATGATCGGACCGGAAGAGCGGGCATCAGTGAAGGGACCGAGAATATCGCTTGAAACAGCTACCCCAATAGCAAAGGGATCCGAGGCCCCGCTGTTGGCTTGTGTGACTGGAGCATACATGTAGAATTTGCCGTCGGCACCCTGGACAACCTGACCTGCGTAAGCTGTACCTGTTTTTGCCCAAGAAAATACACTACCCGGTTGTGCTATATTTTGATGGAGCAACCAACTACCTCCACTCAGATCCGGGTTTTGGGCCTCGAAACTCTTCCATTCATTCATGATAAAGCCATTTTCAGTAGCACCCGCCCCGTCTCGACCAGATAGAATATAGACGGTTTCATCTATTACAATCGGCGCAGGGTCTGCTGAGTAAATAAATCCATCGGCAAGAATTGGGTTTCCAGTTGATATAATAGTTGTAGTCTGGCGGCGGAGGTGGGGGGATGCGACAACGGAAGATCGGACTATGAACGACAAGGCAAGTGCCACGGCCACTAACGGTGCCATAATGAGAAGTGATTGGGACAATAAGATGGACATACGATCTAATGACTGAAATGCGGGGTTGATTCTAAATGCCGAAGGTAATATAGTCCAGTTGGCCTGCTTGATACTACTAATTCGAGTGTGTATGACAGATCAATTATGACTCTGGAACGGCTCGTATCATGCATAAGGCTTCAGCTACCTGCCTTGTTAGGCCGTTTAGTCCTGTGACTACTTTATTATAATCCGTTTCATTAATATATTTCTGTGGGCTGAATGAAGGTTGCCGGGCTGCTAATTGAGTGTGTTGGGGTCTCGTGTTTTAACTCTTTCGTTCCATGGGTGATCTCTTCCTCAGGTAAACTTGGAAAATAGAATCTCCGCATAGGCTATATTAATACTTTATTAGTTAGTCCACCACTAAAGTTTGTTTTGCATAATGGCGTTTGCTTTTACCTCGCGGCGACGAGAATGTTACCTGCTTAATGGGGAAAATTTAATTACTAATGGCCGACGCATTTTGATATCCTTTTAAAACCCGCTGCTGCCATGAACATGCGGACATTAATAACTGAGTAATTAGCTCCTCGCGTCTTTGTCTACGTGCCGTCAGTTTGAACCTTCAAGTCATCTAATGCGATTATGAAGTCTCAGGCTCTCCGTGTTTTGCCCGTTGTAGTTTCGCTCTTCGCACCTTCCATTTTGTGCCAGGATACCTTAGGTCTTGACGATGGTTATATAAGACTATCTACCACCAAATTTGATGTTCAAATTGTCAGCGATGCTCAAGTACTTGCATCGCTGAAGCCAGCGGGGGGAACTTTTGACTTTCTCCCGTTCGATTATCTCCCTCTTCGAGCCAAGGACGGCCAATATCACTGGGGAGACATCACCTTTCGATATCGCACATCAGGAAGCACAGCATGGATCACGGGCGACTCTTCGAAGTCACGAAAGAAAGTAACCACACTTTCAACCGGAGCACTGGCAGCTTCTGGGCTTGCACCCACCCTTCCTACGGGCCCCTTGAACATCACGCGGGAATGGATAGATGTGTCTGGAGACCTTGGTCTCCAGTTTACTATCATAAATTCGGGATCCTCAGCCATCGAGATTGGAGGCCTGGGATTTCCAGCGGAGTTCAACAGCATATTCACAAACCGTCAAGCTAGTGATATGTTGCGGCTGTGTTCTCTCTCCGACCCTTACATTGGAATGCATGCAGGCCAGATTCGCGTTGCGCCTACAAGTGGAGATGGTCCGGCACTTGTAATAACTCCTATTGGAGACACGCCGATGGAGGCCTATCGAAATCTGGCAGAGACTTACTACGAGGACACCGCCTACGGTAGTCAGGTTTTCGAGGGCTTTTACGAATGGCAAGTATTGAGTAAGGCTTGGGCTGAGAACGAGTGGTCTGGAAAGGAGCCCTGGAATGAGCCCTCTTCGAGAACGCTACAGCCGCACGAATCACTGAGGTATGGACTCCGATTCTCAGTCGCCCAAGGCGGTGTCAGAGATCTCGACTCGACAGTTCTAAGAACCGGGACACCTGTTGCTCATGGGGTTCCGGGGTATATCATCCCCAGAGGCACAGCTGCAAACCTATTCCTCGAGGCGTCGTCTGCTGTCAACTCAACTACCGTGAAACCGGTTGGTGCCCTGACATTGGTTTCCGCTGGTGATGGACATTATACGGTAACACCTTCTACAAGTGCATGGGGCCGTGTGCGATTGACTGTGGCCTATGCGGATGGGAAAGTCCAGACAATTCACTACTATGTCACAAAGCCGGGGACAGAGGCAGTCGCGAGTCTCGGCCAGTTTCTCACGACAGATCAATGGTTCACCGACACCTCAGACCCATTTGGCCGAGCTCCCTCTGTAATGACATACGACTACGAAGCAGGATCTATAGTCAAACAAGACTCAAGAGCGTGGGTAGCTGGCCTCAGCGACGAGGGTGGGGCAGGCTCATTCCTTGCCGCATGTATGAAGCAGGCTGCGCAGCCCAACCAAGGTGAAATCACAAAACTTGAGTCATTCGTAGACGGTGTTCTGTGGAAAACCATCCAGACGCCCGACTTTGCAGTTAGGAAGAGCATTTTCTTCTACGAGCCAGCTGCTGTTTCTGGGTATACTTATGACAGTAGCATCGATTGGACCAGTTGGACATCTTGGAATAAAGCATCATCCTATGCGACCGATCGTGCCTACGACTACGTTCACGTCGCAGCAGCCTATTGGGGTCTCTACCGTGCAGGAAGGGCATATCCTAATCTCATCAAGAGTCACACCTGGGATTGGTATCTCAACCAAGCTTACAACACAATTATTAGGGCTATGAAAGCCGATGTTGGTTATAATAAAGTCGGACTTATGGGAGAAACTGTTTTCGGCGAGATCCTCGCCGATCTCACTCGTGAGGGTCTCTCATCTCAGGCGAAGACTCTAACAGCGGCAATGAAATCTCGAGCGGATCAATGGAATACCGAGGCAGTGCCTTTTGGCAGTGAGATGGCTTGGGACTCGACAGGACAGGAAGGCGTGTACTATTGGTCAAAGTAAGTTTATATCGGAGTTACTCATCTACGTCCTTTAGCTTCAAAAATATGCACACGTTCTAGGGACAAAGTTAACTAACTTCACTAGATACTTTGGACATAGTAGCACGGTAACAAAGACTGTAAATAGTGTGTTAGGGTTTATGCCAACTGTGCCTCACTGGGGATGGAACGGCAATGCACGACGGTACTGGGACAATATGTACGTATCCATTACTATTATGGCCTGCCCTTATTCTTGACAACCTTTATTTCACTTTCTCACGGTGTAATATCCAGATACGGAGGCAAGCTCCGACGCATTGAGCGCCAAATCCACCATTATGGATCTGGATTGAACTCCCTCGTTCTTCTTGGAGCATTCCGCAGTGACCCATCAGATTCCTACCTCCTTCGAGTTGGGTACGGCGGAACCAGTGGGCCAGTCTCCAATATCAACGAGGATGGGTTTGCGGCTGCATCTTTCCACTCCTGGCCCGATACCTTGAAATGGGACGGCCTCAGCGGAGACTATGGCCCTAATTTTGTAGGGCTCGTGCTTGGTACCGGGACATATGTCGTGCAGGATACTGTTGTCGGACTTGTCGCATATGGTGGTGTGCTAACCAGCTTGGGGGATTCGGTCAGTGTGCAGACGGCAGACCCAGTGAGGAGGAGGATCTTCATCGGGCCGCTAGGGGTATTGATTAGTGTTGACGCTGGTATCATCGACAACTTCAGCTATGTGCCCAGCACTGGCGAGATCAGTGTTACTCTTTCGCAACTATCTAGTGTTCCGGTGGCAGCGAAGGCGGTGCTGTGGGCAGAAAGCACCACTGGGGCGAGAAACTACTCGGTCACGGCTTCTGGAATCACTAAGACTCGGTTGGGCTGGCAGATTCCTTTATCGTCTGACAATGTTACCGTAAAATTAGCCTAGTCACTGTTTTATCGGAATACGACAATTGAGTAATAAGAATCTGGCATCAGTGATTTAATTGTGTAAATCAATCATCGCCGTTAGGCCCTCGTAGGCCCGACACTGCTCGTTTATCGACTCCATTTCCCTTCCGTGAAAATAGCAAAGCAGCACCCCTTAGCGCCGAGCTGTTATACAAAGGTTAGGGCCTATAGCCCCCAGTACCTGTTACCTGTTTATTGCCATCGCAGGTGTCCATAATGGAACTAGAAGCGTATGTCTATACAATCGCAATTTGTCCGCGGTGTGGGCGTAATTATCCGCGGCCGAGAATAGCGTGTGGATTAAACCGAGTAGTAGTGTAAAATAATGAACGAGCTTATTGGGAATAATGGGGATATGAGCCAAGTATATGTTCCAGCCCAACCACGAACGGGTGGTTGTATTCGCGAATACGCTGGCCCATTCACGAATTCCGAGATCATCACAAGTAGCGGGTCTAGTATTTCGGAATAACAAATTATTGGCTGGTTCGCCCAACTAGGTACCCCGCATGCCCAGAGTGCGACGACGCCCACTGAATTCAAATGCTTATTACTACGACGTGGTTGTATACGCGTATAGCTACTCTGTCGCATGGCGAAGACGAGGGAAAGAAAATAACAGGGTAGTAATATTTTATGTCAACGTAGTAGCTTTCGATTTGCAAGCTTAATAGGTGAGTCTGACAAAACCAAGAACTGATTTTAAAAGTTAAGTTGTCCTCGTTGCGACTTGTTCCTTCAAACAAACATTAGAAAAGCCAGGCAATCCGTGCTATTTTGAAACTCTATCATGGCATCTATTATGTTTTCCCAGAGAACTCTCTATCGCCATAAATTCTGGGCGATACTGTTTACTTTGATCTCGGTTGTGGCTTGCGAGCGTGATTCTTCTTATATCAGGTACGCTGGGAGGGAGGGCGTTTTGAAATCTGTGCTAAACTTTCATCAGCCAGAAGCAATTCGCTCCTGTGGGTATTGCCTTGGGGAATTCACCTTCGTGGAATACAACCAAAGGCGGATCCTTCCAATTGACGCCATCGACGCCTATTGCGACATTGGACTATGGAACTGAGGCCGCTGGCTATCCTTTCTTCGCCGTCTCATCTGTCACTGGACGTGTCCAGATAGAGGTCAAATACTCCGAGGAGTTTAATGGCTTGCTCGCCAATTTCTCTGATGGACCTCTTCCATTTAACATCGGACTCTCAAACTCGTACCGAGTAGAGACATTCCAAGTCACTAAGTCAGGGTACTTAGAGGCCTTTCTCCTCCAGGGTGGTCAAAGGTGGCAATCGATACGTCTTCTGACTGAGGGAGCCATTACCTTCTCATCCGTTGGTTTTGTTCCCTCAGTCCCAATCTTAGATATCGATCATATCCCAGGGCAATTCAAATGTGACGACGACAGGCTCAACAACATATGGAGACTTGGAGCCAAAGCTTCGACAATGTCGTGCATCGGCCAAGGCTCCCAGAAAGCGATGTGGCAGGTGAACCCAACTGGTGCCTCTATACGCGGCATGAGATCTGGTCTTAGCGCGAAAGGCGCCTTCCTAAAAGATTACACATTGGAATTTGATGCACGTATCGAACGAGGCGGCATTGGCTGGGTGGTGGTGAGGATAATGAACCCATATTACTCTTTTGACACAGACTAAATCCGAATACGTAGGCCCACCCACTTGCATCGCCAGCTAAGGGCATTCAATTGAATCTCGTCGGCAACCTCCCCCCTTCAACGAGCTTTGTTAATACTAATACGTCTCTCACTCCTGCCAATTCTGTCGTACTTGGTTATGGGTACTCGATTGTCAATGTCACAACTCTCACTTCGTACCTCCTCGATACCTTCCAAACACCATTCTCAATTGAGGAAAATACTTGGTACAAAGTTCTGACCGTGCTAACGGGAGGCCAGTATCTCTATGTTTCGATTGAGGGCACCCAAGTCTTCAACGTCTCATTAAACTCATACTATACGGGTGGGGCTGCAATCCCTACTCGAGGCTCATTCGGCTTCGGCGGGTGGCAAGACCAGTGGGGAACTATCCGAAATGTCACTGTCACAGATACCACAAATGGCACAACAATCTACCATAATCCTATGACAGACAGCTCCTCTGTTATTGCGGAGTACGGCGTTCACTCCAACTATGCCCCCATTTGCCTTGATGGGCCCAAACGTGACCGTCTTGCCTGGCTCGGAGATTTCTACCACACCGTGCGCGTGGTTGGCGCAAGTACAGCGCGTCACGATCTCATCAAAGGAACACTCTCATACTTCTTGAGCTGGCAAACCCCTACTGGACTGCTGCCGTATGCCATACCCATTAGTTACTCTCCCTCCATCGCCTACAGCGCTTTTGCAAACGGCGCTGGTGGTCAGTTGTTCGGCTACGAGATCTGGGGTGTTATTCTGGCTGACTACCAGATTCCTGGCTTGCTCTCGTTCACTAATTACATAGCTCTAAGCAATGACCTTGACTACGCCCGCACGACCTGGTCGCAATGGCAATTGCAAATTGGGTGGTTGTTAAGCCAGATCGACGGTTCTACCAACCTGCTTTCCCTTGGCAACGCCTTCCTTGGGCCCGGGATCGCGGGTTCTGCTGTCAATTGCGCATTAGTCCAGGCCCTAGACACGTCCGCTCAAGTGGCTACCGCCATCAATGACACCCAATCTGCATCCAGGTACTTTACTGCAGCCACGAATCTAGCAGCAGCTGTCAACAAGAATCTCTGGAACCCAACACTAGGGGTCTACGCTCTTGCTATCGACTCTCCAAGTGATTACTCTGTCAGTGCCTGTGGCTTTTGTATCACTTCCGGGACTGCCAATGCCAGCCAGGCCACAGCATTTCTGTCAGCTATGGAGACCCTCCGCCTCGGGCCCGGCTACAAAGACTCGACGAAGTCTAACAGCTTGGATGCCACAGTTAATATATCGCCTAACACCAACGGCTTCCTTCTCGGGGCCCTACTATCGCAATCGCCGGTGCAACGAAATATCACTGGTATAAGTTCTGTGGCCAAGGACCTCCTCTACTCTCTTTGGGGAGCAATGTTAGCGGACAAAAGGACGTCTACAGGGGCAAGCTGGGAATACCTCTCTGTGGCAGGCACGCCGGGGCTGGGATTATTTACAAGTCTATCGCATCCCTGGGGTGGGGCGCCCACGTATCTGCTGACGGAATGGGTAGCGGGCATCCGACCTGCCGCAGGTTTAGACGGGTTTGGTTACCGAAATTGGGTGGTCGATCCATCAATAGGGATAGCGATGGGGTTAAAAAGTGCAGCTGGAAGTGTAACCTCGGGGTTCGGGGGTTTGGTGGAAGTGAAATGGCAGTTTGGTGGTGGAAAAGTTCTAGATATAGAAATCAAGGCGCCAGCAACAACGAGTGGGATATTTGAACTCGGCACAAAGAAACAGTTACTAGGTGGGAAGTCGAAGTATCGTCTTAGAATTATAGTTTAGTTAAATAAATAGCTTGGGGTGTCAATGATTGAGAAAGCACTGTGCCATGGTTTAATCACATTGTTCAATGTTATCTCGTGCATCGTCGCGCGAAGTCCGAAAAATGTGATCGCAAAAGTAATATCACTCGGGACTTCTGCGGTGCCAACAAGCCACCAAGGAAATCATTTCAAGTGGGGCGCGATATAATTTACAAGCTCACCAAGCAACGATGAATGCTAAAGAAGCCAGGGGGGGAACAGGGATAGTACACATTACAGGCATCTTACTTCAAAATGTTCGCTAATTTCGCACCATTAATAGAAGCTATGAACGGCTACTATTGATCCCTGATGGGTAAATATGAAATTCATTTAAGTCCGTGGATCCCCCTCGTTCACTTCCCACCTCCCACAGCAAAACTACTTTGCTGGGGGAATTTCTGTCTTTTTGAGCAGGTGAGAGCATTCCGTCGGCACCCAATCACCACCACCAACTTTAACTAACATAATAATTTTCCAGGGCGACACAGAATCTTCCTTCATAGAGATTTCATCATGAAGTTATATAGCCAGGTTCTGGTCCTTCTTGGCCTGGTGTGTTGCGCCATTGCAGCCACTGCAAGCCAGAGCAACTCGGTAAATGGGCTGGATTTTGTTTATCCGTATCCTGTTAAAAGCTATCGGTTCACCTCGCAGAGGAAGAAGTTGACTATGTCATACATGGACGTTTCTCCAAAGGGAACTTCAAAAGGAAACATCGTCCTTCTCCATGGCAAGAACTTCTGTGGCGCCACTTGGATAGCGACTATCAAAGTCCTTGTCGAAGATGGGTATCGCGTTGTCGTTCCTGATCAAGTGGGATTCTGCAAATCGACGAAGCCCAGCGAATATCAATTTACGCTAGAAGCTCTAGCTACAAACACCAACGGCCTTCTCCACGAGATAGGAATCACGAATGCCACGATTATGGGTCATTCAATGGGTGGCATGCTGGCCGGACGATACGCTCTTATGTTTCCTACGGAGACCTACCGCCTCGTGATGGTTGATCCCCTTGGTCTTGAAAACTGGTTCGCCCTTGGAGTTCCATATCAAATTCCAGATGCCTCATACCTAACGGAGCTGGCTACGACATATACTAGCATCAGAAATTATCAGCAAGCTACCTACTACTCTGGAACTTGGGAGGATTCCTACGATGTCTGGGTTTATATGCTCCTTAGTATCTATGAGGGTCCATTGGGAGACCACTTTGCGTGGAATATGGCCGCTACAACCGACATGGTTTTTACTCAACCTATCATCTACGAACTTCCTAACTTGAAAATGGAATCTCTTCTTGTGGTCGGCGGCAAGGATAACACAGCGATTGGAAAGGCGTGGGCACCAGATGCCGTCAAGCCATTGTTAGGTCAGTACGAGATTCTAGGCAAGCAAGTCTCAGCACAAATTCCTGGATGTACTTTGGTTGAATTCCCCGATCTTGGTCATTCTCCTCAAATCCAAGACCCAGACAGTTTCCATGCGGCATTGCTGAACTGGTTGCCATGAAGCTATGTTTGATGCGGTGGCGATATCAAGGAAAGTTTATGCATATGAGCTGGGTGTGGATGCGAAACAAAACGTTGTCATTTGATGATGCTTAGTCACCAATCCCTCTTCAAATATCATGACATTTCACTAGAGTGGCGGGATATTATAACGAATTAACATGTGGGAGCTCTTTGCCGTAGGATGTTCCACTCAAAATAAAGAAGGATGTTGGTTACACAAAACGTCTAGGTTCAAGTTGGAACACAACTGACAGGGGGAGTCTGGAGGGGTCTTAGATTTCGCCGGATTCTCCTCCAATCTGCCTGCGTTTTTCATTTGGATAAATACATGACGCTCTCGCTTCGCCATGTTCTGCGTCGTCAACATCCCTGACGTTAATTTCGATCCAACGTCAGCGCATGAAGTTTTATTAAGAACAGGGACCCGCTACACTTGCCATTTATTATCAGTAAGATTTCATGGCAGGGAAATTCAGTACCTAATCAGCTCATAGCATAATGTATCCTCGTACTTCATATTGATTTCAGCAAGGATGCAGACTTGAGGTTTTAGCTGCAGACAAGACCAAGAAATTAGTCGCCGGAAGCACATATGATGGGTAACATCTGCCCAGAGCTCCACCAGTGTTCATCGGACTGACACTCCTAGTTCGAGAAGTAGCCGCCGCCAGTATACCACAGGCTAACGCCTGATCCTTCACCACATCATGGCAATTGACAACTCGGACATCCATCATGGGGATTTCGAGAAGATAGCTTGCATCGTTTTTGTTTCTATTACTCCTGCATTCCTCATCGCACGGTTTGCAAGTAGGATTTTAGACAAACAAGTTGGAAATGATGACTGGGCATCACTCGCGGCTTTTGTGGGTTTTTTTCTGCTATTGGCGAACAACCTCAAACGAAATGGGAAATCATTCACTGATGTAAATATAGATCTTTACAATGGCTTGCAATATTCAGACTCTCGTTGGTAAGTATCTTTGGGTTTTGGTCTTTCGGGAATCGAGAGATTCAGGGTTCTGACCCTCATCTAGCAATTGCGCATGGTTGGGGCCGTCATAAACTTAATCTGAATGCTGAGCAGCTTCGGATATGTCTCATAGTAAGATGCGCCAATCTTGTTAATTAGTATTACCAGTTGTTGGTTACGCTAATATCACAAAAAGTTTCATTACGGATTTCAATTGACCTATAAATTGGCCGTGGGCTTCAACAAGGCATCCATCTTACTTCTCTACTTACGGATCATGCCCCAACGATTTTACCGGGTCAGTATATATAGCCTTTTGGCCGTCGTTGGCTTATTCGCATTTGCAACAGTCATTGCTGGCATCTTTCAGTGTATCCCCGTCGATAAAGCGTGGAACAAGAGCAAGCCAGGCCATTGCTATAACTTGGTAGATGCCTGGTACTCGAATGCCGTTTTCTCAATCACCACTGATTTCCTCATTCTGTTTCTTCCTATGCATATGGTATACAAGTTACAGAGAGCCAGGCGGGAGAAATTTCTGCTGTATGCAGTATTTGGATTTGGATTCTTGTACGTTGCTAGACAACCTCTTCGTATCTACGAGATTCGTATAGCGGCTAACAAGCGGGCAACAGTATTACATTCACTAGTATCATGCGTTTCTTCGCTCTGAAATCCGCGAAGAATCCTGACACCACATGTAAGTGTATCTCGCATGTTGAGAAAACACTAGTGATAGCTTACAATATTCCAGACGACATTACCTCCGGTTTCTGGTCCGTAATCGAAATCAATGTCGGCGTCATCGTCATCTGCCTGCCTCCTCTACGTACTCTGCTCTCCCGTCAATTCTCATTCTTCAACCGCAGTCGCAGTCGAACCGATGGCGGACCGTATCACGCGCATTCTGATGAGCCCTCCCAGTTGGTGACAATTGGCGGCTCTGGACCTCGCGGCCAGACACGCAAGAAAGGAGAACCAGATGACAGTGAAGAAGAGTTGGTTACAGGAGATAATAGTGTACGAGTAATGGATGGATCCATATTAAAGAAAACGGAGTTTGTTATTTCTGAAAGAGGTGTGAGGGAAGGTGATGTGGATGATCAACGTGTACTTAAACCTTGGGAGAACCCTGGTCGATGAGGGTGCTGGAAGCCATACCCATCGCCACGTCGTTGTCCGCTGAATCTAACGAAGTGTTACTCGGTGTAATCAGAGAACTAAGGGGCGCATCGCATCACGGGTAGATGTCCGTAACAGGGGTTATTAATATCGGCCAGATGGGGACATTCAGATGTTGTCAGACTTGGCGGGTGGACTACGATATGGCGATGGGCATTACTTCTAGAAGTTGTGTGTCAGACATCTATGTCGCAAGTCATCACGCACTTAAAGGATCATTTGGTATAGACAGTTACGTGGCGAGAGTTGTCCCTTCACATAGTATTAAAAGGGAATGATATATATTGCATTTGGGGATAATAATGACAACAATAATACTTAATAGACTCTAGGATAAAGATGGGCTATTGAGAGCAAGATTATAGCTTGGAACGCTAGTCCAGTCCTTACATTATTCGTTAACTTCGTCGCAAGCTAGCGGCCACAATATCAGCAATTACTATGTTTTTACTGAAAATATAACAGCCTGAGCATAGTAGATCCCTCGGATTTAGAGCAAATCGGTGATGTCTGCTGAATACTTCCTCCCTCAAGACGTGCTGAAAGTGGTACGGATGAGAAGCTGAGCCCTAGAATCAGAAACATAGCCTGGATGCATAGCAATCCGGGATCTGGAAACCAGAACAGAATGTTGTATTGGATCAGTTACGGCATATCTTTTTGGCGGGCTTCGAGCCATCGAGTACCATATAGTTGTAACATTCCTAGTATTGGTTTTATCTGCAAAGCAGAATTATCCACTCTCTCCCTCCAACCTGTTCAGAAATACCGCGACCTGAGCGTAAGCCCTTCGACCAGCCTCCATCTGGTTTTCGCGCTTCTTGTTCTTGTCAAAGCCATGATCGCAGTCCTCCATCCGCCTTAGCACTAAGTTTCTGCCACTCGCATGGCCGTCTGTTTTGATCCTCTCAGCTAGTGCCTCCATGTCTGTGGCTGAAACATCATGGTCCGCAGTAAATATTAGCATTTCCTGTGGAAAGTTGGTCGTATCAGCAAAGACTGGCGAGATGCGAGGGTCCCTAGCATCTTTGTCTCGTATGTAAGCCTCGCGGAAGACTTTCGTCCAGAATGACGGTCGTTCTCTGCCAGGCACAGGGGCTTTTCTCGTCGCTGGATCCCCGGCCATGCTAGGAGAAGGATAGAATCCAACGAGGGACTGAAAGGTACCATGGGGAAACAGGGTCGAGTTGACAAGTGCAAGGGTTCCGCCAGATGAGAATCCACTAAGGGACACATGCGAAATCAGGTACTCATCTGGGTGGCTGAGTACGTACTTCACGGCGTCCTCGGCGTCGTTGACTGCTGCGGGGAAAGGGTTTTCTGGTGCCACACGATACTGGACGTCGAGAACTACGTGGCTGGTCTTCGTAGCGATGAACCGACAGAAAGGCTCATCAGCACCGTGATATTGGAGAGCAAACCCACTTCCGAAGAAGTTTATCAGTACAGGATGAGGCCCTCTAGCGCTTCCGGGCTCCCCACTCGGGTTATAGACATTAGCTTTGATGGTCCGCCCCTTGTCGCGAGATGGGATCCTCAAAACTAAGTCTGGCTTGGGTACTGGCAACGGAGCAACGAGTTGCACAAGGAGGCGCAGAGACGAGATAAGGAATTTAAGGCGCAGGTACTGCAGGAAGCCAAACAGGCCCATTGTCAATGCAATGATCGAGTTCTGGTTGCTGTAAGCTGCAGCCGTTACTTAAATCGCCGTTCGTGATGACTCGATCTCAACTCTACCAGTAACTGTTGTGGGATTGTATAGACACTGTTCGCGAAAATAGATGAGGGGAAATATAAATTCGGCTGTGATTTAGCCGATTACGTCAATGCTCATTTGCTCATGCGCAGCCAATGCCCAACAGGTGATGGAATTTTGAAAATGCGCATTGCAACAGCCGGGTGGGTTCCACGCACGCACGCCCTCATGTTGGTGTTCTCTGCTTTCTCAGCCTTATTTTATTCTATAAATACTTGGTCGAATAATTATCTTCCGAAATGTCCACCCTACTGTGCAATATGGAGATTGACCGACAAGGAGACTTGTGCGAAACATGTCGAAATATCGACCTCGACGCACTGCTCAAAGAGGACGGTATGTACCAAGCACAGCCCGTACTGTACCAGCCTCTAGCCCCCATCTCAGTCAAAGCGAGCTCTTCTTGTCCTCTATGTGAATTCTTTCTGTCCATGCTCAAAGATGAGGAGAGAGCGGGCGCAGATGCGGTATATTTGTTCATGGTGACTCGCTCGCAGCCGGCAACCGAGGAGACGTGGAAGAACCATGACGAACGAAGAAAACAAAGATGCTTCTTTGTCCAGACTAGTCCTGACCTTACTGGTCCTGGTCCTGAATGGCAAGAATGGGAGACGCCGGAGAGACCACGCTGTGACTTGGAGAGACCACGCGTAAATTACAGCAAGTTACCGGACATGCCTGTGTTTATCGAGCACGAGAGAGTCGACTACGAACCACTGAGAGGCTGGTGCAAAAAGATCAGGGCACTCGAGACTGCACGGACGGCTAAATTGCAGGGCTTGAAAGGTGTCGATGATGGAGCACTGCCAGTAAATGTCATTGACTGTCATACTCGCGAGATTGTACCAGTGCAAGCTCCATGTGAATATTTCACGTTGAGTTATGTTTGGGGTGCAACAACAGTGGCACCAGAGAGCTCATCAGGCAGTTCACTCCCCAGTCGGCTCCCCACTACAGTTGAGGACGCTATAACGGTAGTCAAGCAGCTTGGCTACCGTTACCTCTGGGTGGATAGGTACTGTCTGGACCAGAGCAATAAGGCCCAGTTTCAAACACAGTTGAACCAAATGGGTGACATATACAGAAACGGCGTGGCGGGCATCATCGCAGCAGCAGGCGGGGATTCTGACTACGGTTTGCCGGGAGTAAGCACTAGAGCCCGGACTAGACAACCTCGTGTCAGGATCGGAAACTACGTCTTGTGGTCTAACATGATGGACCCGCGCACCGTTGTGCGAAGAAGCAAGTGGATGACGCGAGCCTGGACCTATCAAGAAGGCATTTTTACGGCTAATTGGTTCGCCTTTACCGACGAACAGGTATTCTTCCAGAAATCTGACAACTCAACAATGGCCAATAGGGAGCGATTGTGGAAGGTCTCATGTGAGATGTTCCCAAACGGCGGTATGGGGGTTGAAGCAAATTGCCCGCTCTTGAGAATGTCCGACAACAATATGTGGAGCAGTGAGGGATATATACATTTGAAACTTGAGGCATACACTTCTCGCAGTATAACGTATCCATCTGACGCTGTGAACGGCATGCTAGGCCTCCTAAAGAGATGCGGAAATGGGCCATATCCTATGAACCATTATTTCGGAGTTCCGATCCTGGGGCCTCTACTAAATCATCGAATTTCGATGGCACGAGATACTACACGAAGTTGGACATTAACAAAGGCATTCGTAGTGGGTCTCTGTTGGACATCTGAGAATACCGGACTTCGCAGACTGGAGTTCCCATCTTGGTCGTGGGCTGGGTGGAAAACCAGCTATGCAAGACCGAGTCATGGAACACTCTGTGACGGAATAACACTTGCTGACGATTTCAAACTATCAGTACAGACAAAGCAAGGCTTGGTTGACTGGGAAGTAATGTGCTATGCAAAAAGCTGGGGCCTCGACGAAGACACCAGCCTGTTGCCTAGAGAACTCTACATTGAAGCTCCCACTATTACGGTCACCATTTGCCAAGATCCTAGAAGTATGGCAAGCGATTGGGCATCGGCGGCGACTGGCCATGCTTCGATTCTTAAATCTATGGGCTGGTGCGCAATGTTTTCTGACGCAGACTGTGACGTGTTGGTCAAGGTGAATTTAGTAGATGCTGAAACGGTATCAAAACTTACAACTCTTGGCTCCATGACCCTGAAAGGGGTTATTCTGCGGCGGGAATTTATCTTTGCCCTGCTAGTACTCGAAACCAACGAAGCAGCTATAAGAGTCGGAAGCCTAACGCTAGTGGACTACTTCGTTCGTTGGAAGACCGATGTCCAGCATCATAATGTACAGGCCAGTGAATACTGGAATAACTCAGGGCGAATTTCACACATGCATTGCCCAGAATGTAAACAGCGAGCATTTCAGAGTATTATACCTAGCGAGACGACGGAAGTGACTAGGGTGCAGTAAAGGGGTTATAGCATGCCAGCCTAATATATATAATTACAAGCAATATTATTATCAGTGGCGTGGCGAGAACATGAATGAATATGGTGGATTGCCGGAGCAGCTGAGTGTCTCACTACCATGTCTAGGTAGTAATAGACGATTAAACCACAACAAGAAGGCATTAGTGGTCTAGTGGTACTAATCCATAAATTACACCTTGTTTTTAGCCCCAAAATTCCAGTTTACCATCTCCTGGTTTGTCCTTTCTCAAGTCATGGAAAAGCAGCGATGTTTAACACTCGGCTTCTCATAGAATTCGACACGGGGACCCGTGATTTCAAGCCTAGTAATTGGCTCAGAGCATCCATCTCCTTATATTCTTCTCCGCTTATGGCGGCGCATGAAAAATACGAAACTTTGGTTGATTCTGAAAGCTACCAAAGTCCTCAAAAGGCCGCATCCCTTGTCTGCGAATCATGCGAGCATTTTCGTGGAAACGTGGTATGGTTACTCGATTCATAAACTCCGTCTGCAATCACGATGCCATCTGTTCGATAATTTGCCCCGAGGCGCAGGATTTAAGCCCAATAATTAGTTTGTAACTCTACCTCCCCGCCGACTCCTAGCCAATGTCCGCATTTTACCACCGCCATCCATCCCTGCAGATACTGAATGCAACAATGGAAACTCGCACTGTTACCTCAAAATTGGGTCAAGGTAGTTATATTTACATAGTAGGTCCTCAGTCTTTTGTTTCTAGTTTCGATTCAAGGTTTTGGGTTTCGATGTTGACGGTTTTGAATTTCCGATGACGAACTCGTGTCCCAAGCTTAGTAGCTTGCCTTGACCGAATTTGTTAATCACTAAATAGCCAAATTCTTGTGAGCGCCGACATGAGGCAGGCTCTTGTCCCAAAACCCGCCCATGGGTCATAGTTACGGGATCTCTGCACCCCATTTTGTATAGCCTTAAGAAGGAAACTTTGGACGTGAATATCTGCTTGTGTGACAAGCAAGTTTTTTAACCACATATCGAACGTATAGCGTTTTTATAGGCTACTTACTATGTAAACCACTTATACTGCTTATATATAAAATATATTATATAATTAAAGAGTATGCAGGTTTGCAAGAAATGGTGTAATTTATATAAGTCGTTTATGAGTAATATTATAAGTAATTGAAGTCATGAAGTTTTGTTTACAGGTGGGTTTTAAATTCAGTTAATAACAGTAGCCTAGTTCTCTACGACTACCCTATCACGATCCAACCTTCATTTTTCAAACATCGCGAATCGTTTCAACTTGCCGAGCTTGACCTTCTTGCTGATTCACAGCCATCATTTTCTCGTCTATGGCAAGATCGATCTCTTCCGCATTTCTATTTCCGTACATACCTATCTTGTACCATGGGAGGGAAAAGAGGCGGTCCATGCTCTCAAGATCACGACCCGCAGTCTCAGGGACAGTAACGACGACCCACACAAAACCAGCGATGGTGATGACAGCGAAGAACCAAAAAGTACCAGCCGGATCTATACCGCCTAGATGTTTAGGAAGAAGCATGTTGGGCAACGCACGCGAGCTGCCATATTGGTTCGCGAAGTGGAAGCACATCACGAGCGAGGTGGACATAGCTCGAATGCGGAGAGGAAACAGCTCAGCTGTGAGAACATATTGCATGGAATTCCAGCCGAGCGCCCATCCAAAACCGGAGAGGAAGATCATGAAAATAGCACCCTTGCTTACTGGCGTCTGAGATGGCGCAAGTTTGAATGTGCTTATAGTGCCTAGTTGTGGAACGGCAGTGAGGAAGCTGGCAATGTAAATCATCGAGATGGCTTGCAGGGCGATACCAATAAGGAGAGAGCGCTTCCGACCTATAACATCGACGAGGAAGAGCGCGCAAATGATCGCGCCAACTAGCTTGACGATTCCGAAGACAGCAGTGACAAGAAGCCCTTCATTTGTGCCAGTAACGCCGATGAGGGCAAATAGACTAGGAGCATACAGAGTGATGGAACCTGCACCTGACCATTGGGAAAGAATTTGGGCCATGAGGCCTAGATAGATGCGGTAGAGGTTACTGGGTACCAAAAACATCTCCTTCACAACACCGAGCCAGCCCTGGCCTAAAGTGGCCTCTTGCTCTTCTTGCAACTGGAATCGGATGTTGTTGATTTCTTGGAGGACGTATGCGTTGTCTCGTGGGAGGTTACGCACGCGAGACATATTTATAATGGCTTCTTCATCTTTGCCAATCTTGACGAGGTAGCGAGGGGACTCGTATTGGGTGAAAGAGAGCAGGAACACAATGCCAGCAAACATGATGTGCAAGCTAGTGGGAAGCTCCTAAAATGACGTTAGCATAACACAAATAAGCGGTCTGTAAGAGGCGTACCCATCGTGCGTGGGTGTGCTCGCCGATATTCACAGATGCGCCATAGTTGGCAAAGTAGGCAATGACAATGCCCAGGTAGACAAATCCAGTGAAAACACAAGTGCAAAGACCGCGAATGGATGCCGGTGCTATCTCAGCGAGATAGACAGGGGCCACAACAACGGTCTGACCGACGCCTAATCCAGCAATGAATCGTCCCGCATAGACAGCGCCGAGGTTTCCGCCGTTACCCATGAAAATAGCGATACCGACAATCCAGATAATACACAGCTGTCGAGTTGCCCAGAGACGACCGATACGATCGCAGACGAGGAATGCACTAGAAGATGATAATAGGTTAGAAGATGGTTAAAGATGGAGATGGAGACAATAACTTACAAGAGGGCTCCACCAACAGAGCCGATCTGGACCATAGCAGAGACATTAGCTTTAATGTTTGTCTGTTCGTGAACGCTATAGCTTTGGTAATTGATAGAGTTCTGGAAATTCTTCGAGTTGAAAGCACCGCCAATGAGACCTTCATCGACACCACGGGCGGCACCCATGAGGCCAAAGGAAAAGACAGCAAGCCATAGCCGCCAATTGAAAATTTCCTTTGGCTCGCCTAGGTCCTTGAGCCTAAAGATATTGACGGGTTTTTTAATGCCGCCAGCCATGTTAGATATAATCGAGTCTGTGTTATAAGTGACAGAAGAAGTCGCTCGGCTATAGGTAAGGTTGATAAAGTAGGAGATGCGCCTAGGACCCTGAGAAGACGGTGGGTTGTAGACTTATATAGCTTGTGGCACTGTAACGTTGGTACGCACTTCCCCACTTTCTTGTGCTCCCTCCAACTCTTCCCGCGTGCCAGCCGAATGCAGCATGGTAAGGAGCCAGTCAAGTGGGTTCGAACGCGGGGAAAGGCTAGATACGATCGGCGCGCCTAGTTTATCCTTTCCCCGCTTGAAAAAGCTCCTTCCGAATGAATAAGGAAGTCATTGCAGGCAGGAGCCGACATATATCGAATCATAAACGAGATAGGAGGCACTAGAATATGTCTGTATACCTCACTCATAGAATCTTCCGTCTTCAAATCACAATCACGCTAGAGAATATAGCAAGGCATGGGAATGGCGGGGTTAATATGGAGAAGGTGTAATATTAACTGGGCGGACAGTGTTCGGAAAGTCGCCGAGCAGTAGCTTCAAGTTCGTTGTCCCCTGCCCATGTGGGGTCTCCGAGTTGGTGATCAGCAACATCGGTGTGGTCTTAGACCACCAGCGAACGCCGAGCATGAACCTGTTTGCCGCTATGTACGAACATAACCACTATTTGGGAGGTAGGAATAATGTCTCGGGCAGAATCGGAAATTGTAATTCGAGAAAGATTCTTGTTTGTAGAATGATTGAATCTACAAAATCGGTCATCCCGAACGTGTACTGAGCTACCCCGCTCTGCGCTAAGGGGTTCTCTTATTTCCGCGGGGCCTTCGCGCAACTAATATGAACTAAGCAAATCACTAGCCTCGCTAATGAAGACAAGCAATGCTAAGCAATGCCATCAACGTTCGAAACGCATGGCGGAGACTTTACCCCACATTACTCCGAATCGTCCCCCGCCTTACCCAATTACCACTGCTTGTCGATCAAATTTTTCGGAGAAATTGTCTGTATTCTTTCCTTCATTCCTTGATGTACTTGTCACCGACATTGGTTAGAAGGTATTGTATATGTAGAGATGAGTAGGGAATATTTTCATAGGAGCTGATGCGCCCTTTAATATCGTCAAGCTAATTTGAGGAGATGGTACTTAAGGAAGCTACTAGCGGCAAATTATAGCTCATCATATTTGGTGCTATAGGACCTACTGGGATCGTTCTTCGAGGTCTCATTAGCGCTATCTTCACCCCTCCCCCTAACGCTATAAACGAAAATCGTATTGGGGTGCAGTGCTTGAATAAGCACCACAATATGCAGAACAGTGAATAGAGATGCAAAATATAGGTTAGTAGAATCCAAGCCGTGTTTTTCTCCACTTTCTGCTCTGATTTCTTTTGGTTTGCAAACACGGCAAGTGATGACGGCAATTGAACTATCGACCCTGTGGTCACCAACTCAACCACTACTACCCTTAAAAGTATCAAATCATATGGCTATAAGTGCGGACAAGTCTGCCAAAGATGAATAGTATCATATGCTACAACAAGATCACTTTCAAATCAAAGACTGAGATCCATCACTTCAGATCATTACGAGGCGCTTTATAAGATGAAGGTTCTCACGATAACTGTCCTCGCAGCTTTTCTAGCAGCATCTACTTCGGCTCAAAGCAGTGCTATAATCTATTCTGTAGCGACATCCATTCCTTGGAGTCCAAAGGCTCCCTCATCAGTCGATCAAAGTGTGGTCTACAATGACACGTACTATCTATCAGACCGCACTAATGCTGGGGTAAGTATTGTATTCCTATTGCTCGGTTTACCTCTTCACACTTTTGATAGGTACACGTTGTCTCCCTTATCAACAAGACGCAGACCAAACTTATCACGGGTTTCTCGACTGGCCTTGTTAAGGGAAAGCTCAGCTCCTCCATATCCGGCCCGGACGGCATGATTGTTCTCCCCTCTCGCAACGAACTCTGGGTTGGCGACGGCGATGGCACCATCAAGATCATTGATCTCTTCAATTCCACCATCATCGCCTCCATCAACACAACTTCCACTAAGCGTGCAGACGAATTCGCCTATGACCCCACCAACAACATCGTAGTCGTCACGAACCCTAACGAAAAAATCCCATATGTGTCTGTCATCTCGGCCACAAAGCGCACAGTACTCGGCCGAATCATGTTCCCAAATGTCACAGAACTCGAGCAGCCTGCATTCAATCCCGCTAACGGCTTATTCTATGTCTCCGTGCCATCTTCAGGGGCGCATCCAGGCGGATCGATCTGTACGCTGGATATTGCGGGTCTGTCGATTGCGCAGACGTACCCGATCCCTGACTGCGTTCCTGCTGGCATTATCTTTGGACCGACGAACCACCTCTTTATCGGATGCTCTGGATCACAAATTACAGACTATGGATACGCTGCCTCGTATATTATGGATGTTTCCACCGGCAAAATAATATCAAACGTCTCTAGCCTTGCTGGGGTTGACCAGGTTGCCTACGATTCTACGGCGAACTTGTTCTACGCATCTGCATACCAGAACCTTGCGGCTGGAGGGAATCCGATGCCACAGATTGCAGTTGTGAATGCATCGAGTGGGGTTTTGGTTCAGACACTAGTCACGGATAACGTGACGGCACATTCCGTAGCTGTTGATGAGAAGAATGGCCTCATGATCGTCCCCATCCAAAAGCAGGGGATTGTCGTATATGACCTCAAGGCTGGTGTGAAGGGAAGTGTAACGGGGGCGGCTGCAAAACCATCCGCGAGCTTAAAGACGAGTGGCGGGGTTGTGATTAGCGCCGTGCGAGCCCTGATGACTACGGTTATAATTGGCATTGCAGGGTCACTACTACTATAAACCCCTGATCCTAGCAATATGTCTTTAAATTTACAACATATCGCTATTGACCTTGTCCCAAGCCTAGTTCCTAACATGTATGGCATTTTATTAGATCCTATAGTTTTTCTGCGCTAGCCTGTCAAGGAACCCTCCTTGTATCTGACAGGCTCTCTCAAAAAGACGAAGGACAGAACTCGAATTATTAAAGTCTCAAACTTGATCAAGATCATGCGCCTCATCACCCTTTAGCGAGCGAGTATTCGGGGATGGCTGTGTCCGAATTTGGCCTGGGCATTATCAAATGGCGATCCATAGAGGGGAAGGTGCTAAAATCCTTCAAACGGAAGCAGTACAAGTCTGCTTGGCCTAAGCTCAGGCAGCTGTGAACTCCCAATCCTCCTCAAATCGGCTATACTGGATTTCTGGATTCCCCTTGAAGATATCATCAAATTGTACCATAGCCGTCTCAGGATCCTCAGCCTGTTTGAAATAATCTTTGCTTAGCAACTTCAGAGTCGGGTCGCTCCACATTTTCTTCACCCATAGAAGTGCTTCGGGCGAAGCAGTTGTCAATGGAAGATTGTAAGTTCGGAAGCGCTGTCAACAGCAGTTAGCCAGGGCGTTCTATTCCAAGTGGCGTTATGATTTAACGGGCCGAAATAGAGCCAAAATAAATGTGTACGCACCCATAGAAGAGGCCAGTAGAATGCATCCGCAATTCCAAACTTCCCAAACAAGTATCCCTCGTCTTCTTCCCCAAGCTCCTTCAATCTCTGAGCAGTCTTGGTCCTAGCCTCATGCCACAGAGAGAAGGCCCTCTCAACCTCTTTCCTCGCTTTCTCAGTAACGGGAACATTGCCTGTATATTTAGCAACAAAGTTGCCTGGACAGGTATTTCGCAGCTCCGAAAATCCCGAATGCATCTCTGCAGCCGCACTCCTTGCGAGCGCTCGAAGCATAGGATCTTTAGGCCACAGTGGGAGCTCGGGGTGTGACTCAGCGAGGAATTCACAGATAGCCAGTGAATCGCAGATTTGGATGTCTAGTTTTGGCGACAGTGGAATCAGAACCGGAACCAAGCCGGTATTGGACTTTTTCTTCGCCTGGAGATTTCTATTAGGGCAGGTAATGGAACCAAGAAGTAATGGCGCCCTACATCGCACACTTTGATAGTTGAGGATGTATAAGGAAGCTGGAAGTGCTCCATCACAATGGCCGGGCGGGCACACCAGCCTATATTCCGTTAACTTTCCATCCTTTTTTGTGTAGAAAAACTAGACATACCAGAATATCGACTTGGTATCCCGATCAGGTGATATTTAGCGTCTCCATTTAGGTCGAACGTAATGGGTTTATTCCCCTCCATCGCTGCGATCGAGAATGGTGATTAAATTTGCTCCTAGATGCGTTAGGTCAAAAAGCAATTGTGAGATAATCACACGATCAATTTGTCTCTTATGTGGTAGCTTGGACGACGAAGCAGGAATAAATACGCAGGACGTGTTCATCCATGGCCTTCCCCACCCTTCCGCTACACGTGCGCTTTTCTTCGTGTGACTGACTCATGCTAGTAAGTACGATTAGATACGGTTTGGAGATGAAATGGGCACGAGTGCGGCATAAAGATTAGAGCTTCAGCCGCGTTTTGCCGAGTTTAGGTTGGTTGAAATAATAGTCGTAATTCTCTCGAGACACAACATATTTGAAGAATAATTCTTCTGAAGGCGTAAGGAAAATATTACATGGTCATCGTTGTCTGTAATTTTACTCACAATGTACACTACCCATCTAAAGGGAGTGGAATTACGGCGAGTAAAATTACTCTCAAACTCCTCGTCTCGGTGAGGTAGAGAAGTTTGCCTCGGAGCTACCAGCAGACTTGATGCAGACTGTGGAGGAGGTGCCGGAACCAGATGTCGGCGAAAGAGGTTGTGAGGTTATGGTGTCCTCCCAGTAAATTCAGTGTCCACTGATCAGTAGCGGGTGTCCTAAACCACATATTCTATTTCTGGTTTTCCAACACAGCAATCGTAATGCCTCAGTGGCGGCAGATTTTGCGAAGTCGCGAAAACTCAGAAGTGTGAGGGTAAATAGGGACCCGCTATCATTTATCATAATACGCGACAGACTAACAACTAGAAAGCATCAGTGGTTTAGTGGTAAAATCCATCGTTGCCATCGATGGGCCCCGTGTTCGATTCACGGCTGATGCATCAATTATTCAATTAATTCAACAACTCCAATACCATGGGTTCGTGAAATATTTTTTGCTTATTTCTCCTATTTTGCTGCATAATGTGAGCGGCCAACCCACCCAAGCTACACATTTTTAGTTGCGAGGAGCGAAAAGCTTCTTTTCTATTTTGCATACATATCTTATCAGATTCAGCACGTGATGTGGGGTGATTTATGGGTACATGATTGTTTCGACATCGTGAGACCTGAAAGCTCCCTTGTGTCTCTTCACTTTAATTAATACTCTTGTCTTTCTTGCCTACGTGGCCATGAGAAGCTATATCTTGAAATCTAGTTCTTATGATCAAGCATGACATCGTGACAAAGACAGATTCCATCCCTTCTGATCTGCCTGTATTAATCAGGACACGTCGCTCGCTACTTTATACGACCATTTCAGGCAATTAGCTCCACAGTTCCTGGCGCCTGGTCCGCTTACACTTCACGACCAAGACATTTTGGCGAATCGCAACGACGGCCTCCATATTTCCCAATCGAGGCCAATTCTTTCTGACATAACCACATGGATGCCTACTCCACAGGGCGACACATTCTCTCATCTTTCTTTACACACGCTTTCGGATTCTAATAATATTTCACTTCTACCCTTGCACAACAACCAGCCTGTGTCACTGCACGGCCACGACGACGTCGAGCTAGACAGCCTCGACCAAACCAACCCACGAGCCAACAATAGACCCTCACGATCCAACCGACGATACGAAGGAATACACGAGAGGGGCGAAGAAGGCACACAGCACCTGCTACACGAGGATTTAAGCTCCGATAACGCCGACTACGACTCGGACGAGCCCATGGGCGCCCGAAGCCGCCGCGCGAACAAGGAGCCCGCCTCCGCGCTCTCGGCCTCCACGTCAGCCGCTAACGGCGACGCCGACATGAACGGAAACGTCGAGCTACGGCGCAAGAATGCGTCGCTGGACTCACCGTCTGTGACGGCGAGCCTCATGGCGCGGGAATCGTTTAGCCTCGACCAGCACGTCCCCTGCACGCCAGCGCCGTCGAATAATGGCTTCTTTGAGCTGCCGATGCAGGACCGGAGGAACTTTGTGCTGTTGGTGCTCTTATACTTTTTGCAGGGTGTGCCGATGGGATTGGCGACGGGGTCGGTGCCGTTTTTGTTGAAGGCGCATTTGTCGTATGGCCAGATCGGGATTTTTAGCTTGGCGTCGTATCCTTACTCGCTGAAGCTGCTGTGGAGTCCTATTGTTGATGCGTGTTGGACGCCACGCCTCGGGAGGCGGAAGTCGTGGATTCTTCCAATTCAGATGCTCTCTGGTTTCGGGATGATCTGGCTAGGTGCGAATGTCAAGGCAATGATGGTCACAGCAGGGCAGGAAGGCGGTGGTGGCGTTTGGGATTTCACCGGCTGGTGGTTCTTCCTTGTCTTCATGTGTGCTACACAGGATATTGCTGTTGATGGCTGGGCACTCACGCTCCTGTCGCCGCAAAACCTGAGCTATGCATCCACTGCGCAAACCGTAGGATTGACAGCGGGACAGTTCATGTCGTACACCGTCTTCCTGGCCTTCAACTCGCCCGACTTCGCGAACAAATGGTTCCGCGCCTCCCCATCCCCGGAAGGTGTGATGACACTGGGTGGCTACCTAACATTCTGGGGCTGGGCGTACTTGATCGTGACCATGGGCCTCGCAGTTCTTAAGAAAGAAGAGAGGACGAAGAATGAAGACGGCATCTGGGATGTGTATAAGGTTATGTGGAAAGTTCTGAAGCTCAAGAACATCCAGACCATCATCATTATCCACCTGATCGCCAAGATTGGCTTCCAGGCTAATGACGCCGTCACGAATCTCAAGCTTCTAGACAAAGGCTTCAGCCAGGAAGATCTCGCCCTGACCGTCCTCATCGACTTCCCCTTCGAGATCGCCCTCGGCTACTATGCCGGAAAATGGAGCACAAAATACACGCCCATGCGGCTGTGGAGCTGGGCCTTCGTCGCACGCCTTGGCGCTGCCGTGATCGCCCAGTTGACTGTCATGATATTCCCAGCAAATGGCGTCGACACGTCGTACCTGCTTGTCGTGATCGCGTCGCACATTTTTAGTACCTTCACAAATACCGTCATGTTCGTGGCGATTAGCGCCTTCCATGCGCGCATCGCGGATCCGGTCATCGGAGGGACGTACATGACGCTCCTTGCTACGTAAGTCCGCTGCATATCTCCGGCACCCCCTACTCCCACGTTGTATAATCAGCGAGCTAACATATCCAGGGTCTCGAACTTGGGTGGTACCTTCCCGCGTTTCTTCATCCTCAAGCTCGTCGACCAGTTCACTCAGGCGACTTGCGTGCCACCTGTGCCCGGCTCAACGGCCTTATCAGCGGCCCTCAAGTCGCCGCTCGTGACTGAGGCGTTCAGCTGCGCATTGGAAGTAGATAAGCACCGCTGTATTGACGGCGGTGGCGTGTGTAATATTACGCGTGATGGATACTACATCACAAACGTTGTCTGTGTTATTATAGGAGTGCTCACATTCTGGGGCTATATTAGGGAGAGGGCGTTGCAGCTGCAGGCGTTGCCTTTGAGGGCGTGGAGAACGGGGGGCCCGACGGGGCAGAGGGACTAGTGGATACTGAAGCTCATGTGGAGAAAGGAATAGTATATTATCTTAGACATAGAGCAGAAAATGTACATCATAATCAACCGTGGGGAGTTTCGCCTCGGAAAGAGGAGTGGGGGCACGTGGGATGTCTTTGAGAAATCGGAGAAGTTACACATCGCGGCTGGTCTCGTTACGAATACGTCGACGGGCATTGGGACGTTTTTAGCTGGCCAAGCGATGCCGCGTGCACTCCATGCAGCAGAGATGCGGAGTAGGAGTTTAAATAGTTCACAATCCTTGTCTAGAGCTTCTTCATTGACAGAGGACGATGTTCTACGTTGGACCAACCGAATCACATGATCCGCTCAGGAGAAGTTTAACGCCGACCGCCGACCTAGCTAGGCCGAAATATGCAACTTTGGTTGTAAGGCGCACTCGAGTATCAAAATGGCATCTTCGCCCATCGCGCCAGTAAGTTGAGATTCCGCAGCGCTCTCCCGCTCTGCTCCTATCACATCACTTCCTTTTGCAATGTCGGGCCCTCTATCCTTTGCTACTGCAGTAGCAATCGGCGTTTTTAATCCCGCTGTCGCCGTCCTCACATGCGGCGGTCGCGGTGGTCGGCGTTGTGTGTTATCTTCCTTGGCTATGGTGTGATCACCACGCGTGTATTGCCATGCGGGACCCGTCGCTTCGCACCGCTCCCTTCTCTATTTGGTCTAGGCGTTCATTGTCGCTATTAATCTTTTTGATATTCTCGTCCTTGACGTCAGGTAAGTGGGCTTCTGGGGAAAGCTTCGTCGCCGGGAGATGTCCGTCTAGTCCCCTCCCGGTGCTTAGCTGCGCGCTATAAACTTGACTATGGTGACAGTCTTCAATGGCATCGCGCAATTTATCGCCATAACGCGATTTGAGATAGGCCCGTTACTATAGGCGTGGGGGGATGTACGACAAGACGCGAAGGAGCTTGTCTTGACGACTCCGAGCGTTGAGGATGCTGGGCATGGCTTCTTTGGGAAAGGACATAAATACCGTCTGTTGCCTCTCGGGTAGTTGAGTGCTCTGATTGATCTTGTTTCAGTGCCCAGTGTCGAACAGGTCATTCGAACGCTTCCAATTATAAAGCAGGCTTTCATCATTCGCTGGTCTTTTGCCCATTGACGTATTGTTCACTTCATTTACGCCGACATGGCAGGCGAGCCGTCCCCTGATCCACCGGCACCTTTGGCCCCGGCCCAAAAACCATGGATCGTGAGATTCCTGCGCAGGGCCCGGGGTCAGATTGACCGTCCCCCGCGGGTGAATATTACTCCTATCTCGCGGAAGTACAGTGATCCGGACTACTCTGTATCAAAGGGAGCGGAGGTGGGAGTTGCTGTATCCGAATCTGGCAGCGACTATAGCAGTACCGCCGTGGGCCTACAAAAGCAGCATCGGGGAGAAGCGTTCGCAGAAGGTGGCTCAACGAAATTTTACGAGCCGATACCAGAATATGAAGGTCGGCATAGATGGGACCCTACGGCGGAGTGGACCCCGGCGGAGGAGAAGAAGCTTGTGCGGACTGTAAGTTTTCCACGGCCACAAGAGCATGGAAATGTTTGCTAATGGCGTACCAGCTTGACATTAGGATCTGTTCGTGGGTATGCCTAATGTTCTTCTCGCTCCAGCTTGACAGAGGAAACATCACCCAAGCGCTGAGCGACAACATGTTGAATGACCTTGGACTCACCACCAACCAATACAACTACGGCCAGACAATATTTTATCTTTGCTTCCTCTGCGCTGAGTTGCCGTCGCAGTTGATTAGCAAGAAGCTTGGCCCAGATAACTGGATCCCGATTCAGATGATCTGCTGGAGTATCGTGGCAATTTGCCAGTGCAGGATTACTGGACAGTCAACTTTCTACGCTACTCGCGCCCTGCTGGGGTTGATCGAAGGTGGTTTTATTCCAGACAGTATCCTCTATCTGAGTTACTTCTACACGAGCAAGGAGCTGCCCATTCGTTTGAGTTTCTTCTGGGGCTCGTACACACTTACGGGTATAATCTCGTCCTTCCTCGCCTTTGGAATTCTGCACCTTCGCGGTGTGTTGGGCTTGGAGGGCTGGCGATGGCTCTTTGCCCTCGAGGGTATTGTGACGGCAATTATTGGCGTATCGTCCTTCTTTTATCTGCCGCCTTCGCCAACAGAAACCGCGAGTTATTTCCGAGGACAAAACGGGTGGTTTTCTGAGCGAGAGGAGATTATTATGGTTAACCGAGTTCTCCGTGATGACCCTGGAAAGGTGCGTACTATAAATACTCGCGGAAAGTCCCAATTTGTCGAATTACATTGGCTAACAAGGCTTAGGGTGACATGCACAACCGACAGGGCATTTCATTAGGTCTCTTCTGGAAGGCACTCTGTGATTATGACCTGTGGCCTGTGTACCTCATCGGGTTTACGTGGGGCACTCCATTTCAACCAGTCGCAGCCTATTTGACATTGACACTGAGGAGTCTCGGCTTCGGCACCTTCGAGACCAATCTCCTGGTTATCCCTGGCTCCGTGCTCACGCTCTTACAGCTCCTCTTCTGGACCTGGTATTCGGAAAAGATCAATAGCAGATTTTTCGTCATACTTATCTCGCAGATTTGGGCGCTCCCGCTCCTCATCGCACTAGAAGTTATCCCAGGAAATTCGAGTCCCTGGGTTAAATACACCCTCAGCATGCTCATGGTTGGATTTCCGTACACATATGCGATCATTGGTATGCTTTCCATAATTATAGTGAGAACTAGCGCTAACTCTATACAGTCGCCTCCGTCAGCCGCAATGCAGGCTCGGTACGAACGAGAACAGTTGGCACGGCTCTGTATAACATGTTTGTTCAAGCTAGCAGCATCGTTGGTTCAAATGTAGGTCCACTTCTGGCATGTTCTGTCTGTTCCGGAACACCTGCTCACCGATATAGATATACCGAGATGACGATAAGCCGAACTACCGCCGTGGTAACAAGATCCTGCTCGGTTTCGTTGCGTGGAATTTCGCACTCATCATCGGGACGAAGTACTACTATGTGTGGAGGAACTACACGCGCGAGAAGAAATGGAGTGTGATGACACAAGAGGAGAAGGATATCTATCTTGAGACAACAAAGGATGAAGGAAACAAGAGGTAATGTCAACTCCTAGGTGGCTGCTTAATACAATTCTAACATAGATACAGACTTGATTTCCGCTTTGCGCATTAGAATACTAGTTGTGAAGACGAGGACTAAGTATGGATGTGGAGTAGATACTACAACTAAATAGGCATGGCCGGCCATCTGAGAAATACATTCAAAAATTAAGGTTTAAATTTAAATATGATATCATATATTGACGTAATGCCCCGCCCAATTTTTTAAAATGGCCGAATTTTATATGTGAGAATATCAAACTAAACTACAAGACTATGTTTAATGGCAGATAACTTATAAATTAACAATAAATGTAGGTCCAATTCACTTCAAAGTGCCGCGTTCCAGACCCGGATAAATTATTTTGAGGGTAGGTGACTGTCACCCTACCACCCCGCATTTTACCCCACCTTATCTCCAGAGACTCGGTTCTATGGCCGCCGACAGGACATATATTAGAGTTATATACACAATCCGAACCCCTTCACATCTCCTCATACTCTCCAATCCACCTCTACAATATGGCGACTCCAATTTCCCTAACAGCGTGTGTTCTACACGGGCCCAAAGATATCCGCATAGTTCGTCTGCCCCTCCCCCGCCTAAACCCCAGCTCACGCTTCCCAGGAAACAGTCCCGGCCGCCACACCCCTGGCACCTAACGAAGTAACCGTCCGCGTTACCTCCACCGGCCTCTGCGGCTCTGATCTACATTACTACAACCACTACCGCAATGGCGACATCCTGGTGCGCGAGCCATTGATCCTCGGCCACGAATCATGCGGCTACGTGACAGCCGTCGGCCCCGACGCCACATCCCTACAAGTCGGTGACTTCGTCGCCCTCGAAGTCGGCCTGCCGTGCGGCACCTGCAACTTATGCGCAGAGGGGCGTTACAACATATGTTCCGACCTCCGCTTCCGCAGCAGCGCGAAGAGCTGGCCCCATTTCCAGGGTACCCTCCAGAGCGAGATCAACCACCCCGCTGACAAATGCTATAAGTGAGCTCGTCCTAGTCTTACCCGATACTATAATTTGTAACTAATTATCCACCCAGGCTCCCCCCAACCCTTGACCCCCGCCTCGGCGCCCTCATCGAACCTCTCAGCGTAGCAATGCACACCCACCGCCGCGCCGCGCTCCCCACAAACTCCACAATTCTCATCATCGGTGCGGGAGCAGTTGGTCTCCTCTGCGCCGCCGTTGCTAAGGCGAATGGCCACCGCGTCATAATCTCCGATATACAACCCCTCCGCATAGATTTCGCAACTAAGAACGCCTTCGCTGACGCTGGTTTCGTCGTCCCGCTCACGCCCCGTGGAGACGTGGCTGCAAACCTCGCAACGGCAGCGACGATGGCAGGCGAGCTGAGAGAGAAAGCGAAGGAGTTGGGTGGGGTGGTGGATGCGGTTATGGAGTGTACGGGTGCGGAGGCGAGCTTGCAGACTGCGATTTTGGCGGCTAGACCAGGCGGGAAGGTGATGCTTGTGGGTATGGGGACGCCAGTGCAGACACTGCCGATTTCGGCCGCGGCGCTGCGGGAGGTGGATTTGTTGGGTGTGTTCCGATATGCTGGGGTGTACAAGGAGGCGGCGGAGCTAGTTAGTGAGGGAAAGAGTGGGTTGCCAGACTTGACTAAGTTGGTTACACATCAATATACCGGGTTTGGGGGCGTGAAAGATGCGTTTGCTATGGCGGGGCAGGCGGTGGATAAGGATGGAAAGTTGGTGATTAAGGTTGTTATTGAATTCTCGAAGGAAAGGGGAACAGGGGGGTCAGAGGGGATGTGAGTGCATGTAAAATCCGGCTGGTTTGGGAAAAAAGATATATACATGGCCATATACATAAACCCTGCAGAACCGGGGTTGAATAAATATAACGTATTTCACGGGCGAGCGGGTCACACGAGCGAGCGGGTCACCAAAACACCAAAATTGACTATTACTGCCTACTACTACACCACCACCCTACATAATGACCCTTATTCGATCGTAATTGAATCCTCGTGCTTCTCGCACGTACGGGAATTATGGCCCATAATACCACATAAGCCACAGCGCTTCTGTCGGCCCTTAGAGCCTACCTGCCGACTACTCTCACTTGCCACCTCCGTACGGACTTGAGCATCAACCTCAGCACTATGAAGTATATCCACTCCATCTCGTACAGAGAGACTACCCCCTTGCATTATACGTCTCTTACGCTTTCTTTCCCTTCTCTTTTTCTGTTCATTTGCTGCCTATAGAGCCTTAACTTCTGCTTTAAGTAGAACAGCAGAATGCATCATAACTTGCGCCCCTTTAACAAGGCAGCTAATAGCATCATTAATTGAAGTAGGAGAGCTATTCTGATGTCTTATAACACGCTTCTTAATATGCTCTGTTTGAAAGTCAAGCTCCCTTATAGTTTGAGGAGTTTTTGAGGTCCAATTGTCGCTCTCAACTATTAGAGGAGTTGGAGTTCTTAAGTGTAGATTTAAGTAAGAGAGAACATTCTATGGTTCGTACGGAACTAGCCCTATAGCTCGGAATCCGCCCTTAATGTTCTGCTCTGTAAATGTAGCTTTGAATGCTTCTTTGAATGCA